TTGTTCTTTTTAGATGCTCCAGGAGGCACTGGCAAAACCTATCTTTTAAATTTATTATTAGCCCAAATCCGAAAAGAAAAAGGAGTTGCGGTTGCAGTAACTTCCTCTGGAATAGCTGCTACGCTACTGAGTGGGGGACGAACAGCGCACTCAGTTCTAAAACTACCACTGAACTTAGTTAATGAGGAAATGCTAGTATGTAATATTAGCAAAAGCAGTGAACGCAGAAGAATGTTACAGCAGTGTAAGCTGTTGGTTTGGGATGAATGTACGATGTCCCACAAAAGAGCAATAGTAGCACTGGATCGCACAATGAAGGATATTAAAGGTAACTAAGATATCATGGGAGGGATTGTGGTACTTTTAGCTGGTGACTTCAGACAGACTCTTCCGGTTATTACTAGAGGTACTTGCGTACCTCTAGTAATAACCGGAAGAGTGAAATAATGCAGATGAAATAAATGCCTGTTTGAAAGCATCTGTATTACGGGCATACTTAAAAAAACTTTATCTCACTACAAATATACCAGTACAACTTCACAATGATTCTGAAGCAGGTCAATATGCAGCTGCTCTTCTAAAAATCGGAGAAGATTGTATGCAAACTGACAGCAACGGTATGATTACACTGAGCCGTGAATTCTATCAAATTGTTGAGAGCACAGAGCACCTAAAAAATCATGTATATCGTGATCTTCAAATAAATATGGGCAATCGAGAATGGCTGTGTGAAAGGGCAATTTTGGCGCCGACTAATGAAATAGTTAATAAAATAAATGAACAAATTATGTCAGACGAGGAGGGTGATATTGTCGAATACTTCTCAGTAGACAATGTTATGGACACTGAACAAGTCACATCATACCCTATAGAGTTTCTCAATTCCTTAGAATTATCAGGAGTGCCTTCCCATAAATTGAGGCTGAAAGTTGGTGTTCCAGTTCTTTTAATGCGTAATCAGGATACGCCAAGGCTATGTAATGGTACGCGGCTTCAAATTACACATTTAGTACACAATATTGTAAAAGCCTCAATCATGTCTGGAATGGCAAAAGGAGAAAATATTTTGATTCCCCGTATTCCAATAATTCCGACTGATTTGCCATTTAATTTTAAAAGAGTACAGTTTCCCCTTAAACCAGAATTTGCTAATAAAGCACAAGGACAGAGGCCTAAAGTTGCAGGTGTACATTTAGAAAAGAAGTGTTTTACCCATGGGCAACTCTATGTGGCAAGGGGGGAAGGATTGTTAGTAATGTGGATTGATAACTCCATTGCTAGCAATGTACCTTGTCAGGTCGACCTCCACGCGGTTCCCCCTGGAAACCATCGTGTTAAATTCCTGGTGAATTTGTCACGATAGGCTAACTGATCTGACCTCATGCTCATCTTATCATCCTCCACTGGTGCCCCGCCAGCGTAAACCGTTAGCGCAGGCTGGTACACCATTCCATTATCATCCACAAAAAAAAAACTCTATGTGGCATGCTCACGTGTTTCAAAACCGGAATGTCTTTATGTTTTGGCAAAAGATGGAAAAACACAATTCTATTCTATTCTATTCTATAAAAATGTATTGATTAAATGAATGATTGGAATACGGGGAATCAAATTATTTAACCTTCACCTCACACTGAAATTGGGTCAAAATTGAACAAATATTTAGTTCTTTCTTTATAACTTTCATTTTTTTCCTTCTAAGAATTATCTTAAAATGTTAAAACATAAGAAATAATAATCAAAACAATAATTATTGGAAATGATAATAAATATTCTAAAAAATGCAACAAATGTAATTAATTTGTTTGCTGTCAACACAGTTACTCTATAACTACTGCGCAAAAGATGAGGATGGGGAACCACATTCATAAATACTTAGTAATATTATAAATGTGTAAGTAAGTCTGTCTGTCTGTCTCGGTTTCACGTCAAAACTACTGAATCGATTTAAATGAAATTTGGTATACATATAGTCTACCCCGAGAAAGGACATAGGCTACTTTTTAATGTGAAAAGTTCTAAGGAGCTGAAAGGGGAAATGCAAAACTAATATGGGCAATCAACACATTCCTGCCTTTCAAAGCAGCGGGACTAGATGGTGTCTTTCCGGCCCTCCTAAGATGGAGCGGGGACATAATAGCCGAACAACTCGTTCAGCTCTTTCGAGCATGTCTGGCACACCGATATATACCTTTGAAATGGCGCGAAGTGAAAATAATCTTCATTCCAAAACCAGGCAGAGGTTTGACTAATTGGTTGGTAAAACGATGAGAGACTAATTGGTCGAAAGGATTACACGCAGGCTAAATCCTTTCGACCAATTAGTTTCACATCGTTTTTACTAAAAACTTTGGAGAGACTTTGCGACAAAGAAATCAGAGACCTTGTGTCCATAAACAAATCACTTCACTCTAACCAACATGCCTACAGCGAAGGCAAATCAACGGAATCAGCACTCCACAGCGTAGTAACCCGAATTGGTAACTCGTTATACTCAAAGCAGCCAACACTAGGTGCCTTTATAGACATCGAAGGGCCCTTTGATAAAACAAATTTTACCAGCATAAGCCGGGCTCTTGCCATACATGGAGTACCTTTAACTATCATAGAATGGATAAAGAACATGCTAAAGAATCGTGCAATTCAGTTTACCGTAAACACTACCACACGCGGTATCGTGAGCAAGGGATGTCCACAAGGAGGGGTCCTATCACCTCTTCTTTGGAACCTAGTTGTTAACGAACTCATTGAGGAGCTCAATGTCAACGACCTCTACACGGTAGGTTACGCTGATGATATTCCTATACTTATAACAGGAAACTTTGAGGGAACTTTATGTGACCGCATGAGAGAAGCCTTCAGAACTCTAGAGAGATGGTGTAAAAACCACGAACTCTCGGTAAATCCTTCCAAAACAGAACTAATCATGTTTACTAACAAAAGAGCTCCTGGTACCTTCAGGATACCGAAACTCTTTAACACAGACCTCATACTAAAAGAAGAAGTCAAGTACCTGGGAGTTATACTAGACAGTAAACTCCTATGGAACAAACATCTTGACCACAAAATTAACAAAAGTACCATAGCATTTTATCAATGCCGAAAGATGCTAGGAAACAAGTGGGGTATTACACCAAAAATAACACTGGCTATATACAGCAGTGATAAGACCAATGCTCGTGTACGGGGCCTTGGTTTGGTGGACAAGGTAGAAACTTACGATCACAATCAACAAACCAAGGTCCTTTCAGAGACTTGCCCAACAACAGCAATTGAAATATCCCTCAACATAACACCCCTAGATTTATACATACAACAGGAGGCAGCCATAGCTGCCATAAGACTATACCATCTTGGTCTATGGGGCAAAAACCATAATAGTTCTCACACTTACATCCTGAACCAAGCAATCGAACACGAACCTTTGATTGCCGCTCCGTGTGACAGAACTCAAACATATCATTCATTTAACAGAAAATACCAGATACAAATGAATCCGGAGGAACAAGACCAATCTGCAGTAAATGAACTACGCATATACACAGATGGCTGCAAAATACAAATCGGTTCAGGAGCTGGAGCACACTCCCTTGACCTCAACATGAATTTATACATACCACTCGGTGCACACAGTTCGATTTTTCAATGTGAATGCGTTGCCCTGACTGAGGCAGCACGAACAGTGCAAAGGTTAGGTGTCAACAACTTCAACATAAAATTTATATCGGACAGTGCAGCCGTGCTAAAAGCACTACAGAACAGGAAATCAAACAACAGATTAATAATCGAATGTCACATTATCATGGATAAAGTGGCAGAGCACAACGGTGTAACCATCCAGTGGATAAAAGGGCATAGTGGATCATATGGAAATGATGCCGCGGACGAGTTGGCGAGAAGAGGATCAGGCACGACGGTAGCAGGCCCCTTCCCGTACTTGCCAATACCATTCTCACAATTTCGATCCTGGATTCGCCAAAGATCCACTGAGATACAAAACCAAAGATGGGAACAAACCACCGATTGCAAACAATCAAAAGTGGCAATTCCCAGAACTAATTAACGAATGACAAAACGCCTACTAAATCTGGACAGGCATAACATAAAAATAATGATAGGGACAATGACGGGCCACTGTCCCTTAAACAAACATCTGTACACTATAGGTGCTACAGACAGTCCCCTATGCCGGGGCTGCTTTGTAGCCGAGGAAACGGCCGCTCACGTAATCCTGGAGTGCGAAGCAGTGACCACCCACACAACGCAATCAAATCCTCGGAACGGTGAGGTCGCTCCGTGAAGCCTGCGTAGATACCAGGAGACTTCTGCGCTTCTGGGAGGAGCTTGGCTGGCTACTTTAGTAGCCTGGCTCTACACGCACAACGGCCCGAATGGGAGGCCAATTGCGGAAAATGGAGTCCAACCTACACTACACTACACAAGGGGAGATGCAAGGTTGTATAAAAGAATCGTCATTTGGATAAGCATGCGAAACTGCGCGCGCAGTTTATGCATGTATATGTCGATATTCATACATAAATTGATTAAGAAAAGGCATAGGTTACTTTTTACTGCGAATAAGGAGTTGTAAGGAGGTTGAAAAGGGAGCTGAAAGGTAAGGAAATATCGTCATTTTCAAAGCTAAAAGCTTGAAACTTAGTTTTTAGGCTGTGGATTGAGTTAAATGAAATCCTGCATGTAATTTCGTTGTCTTATTGGGTTAGATTACTAAATATTTTTTTATTATTTGGTCAAGGTCACTATTTTACGCGGACGAAGTCGCGGGTACAGCTAGTTATTTATATAAGAAAAATGACGTTGAAGTTAAAATTCGGTTGATCACATCTTATGCACATAAAGTTAGATATTAGGGTCACCATAACCAGGACAGTCTATTGACGAAACCTGTTTGACTAATTGCTATCATCAGGATGATTATGTTTAATAAAAAAATCATTAATAAAATGCAGTAAAAACTGTATAAAATATAAAACAATTACCAGAAGTAGTATAGAAGTTAAGCGCTGCGTTAGTAATAGCGTAGGAGTCCGGCAGTGAATTAAGTTTGGCTGCGAAACTGACTGTCTTCCCACTACCGGCGCTGCCAACTAACATAACTGGCTTTTTTTTATCAATTAGTAAATCCATGAAAAATCGAATTCGTGTAGTTTCAAAGGTAGACACCAAGCAAGACTAGAAAAAAAAGATATTGACATATACTGATACATTACATACCTTTGTATTTTGCAACTTTTTGATATTTATATTAATTTATAAAAGCTCATTATACAAATTTAATTTGAAATAACTCGAATTTTGTTAATTTCAATTTCCAGTATTTCACAAAAATTTCATCTACATATTAACAGGTTTTACGAATTTTTTTTTATTTTACTGATACGAACGAACGGTCTGTGAAATATGAATGAATCCTTTCATATTTTTAGCCTATACTCTCTTTTCTCCATATCTAAACGACCCTATAATTTTGAACGTCAAAGTAAAATTACTTTTATTTTTTATAGAGTCTGTCATAAGATATTGTCGCCTATTGATCATTATTAATTAATCGGTAGAGTAAACTTCCATATTCGAGCCATATTAATGTTCCCAAGATTGGAATAAGGTGCTTTTGTGACACAACATTTATCATCAATAATGAGAACAAAGTCCATTTGTTGCCTAAAACCAGTCTACTACAATATATATACCTGCAACGGTAGATCGGGGTCAAGCTCAAAAGCCTCTACTTTCTCTGACCACGGTAAAAACTTTTTCGTCTCTGGATCTATAAAGAAACTGAATACGTTTCCATTTGAAGGAAACTTGATTTGTTTGAATTCATTACAGAACCATTTGCTGAATTCATTGCGCCAATCTACTAGTTGATCTTGAAACAGACCGGAACCAAATCCCCATACAATGGAGAAAACGAAATATGTCTCGTACCTAAAATATAATACTATATTAATACATGGCATAATTATGTTTTTAATCAGCATCAATAATTGGTTACATAAATCTGTACCATTGGGCTATGCTGTGCCCTTGCTTATATAATTTATTATGTAAGCAAGGGCACAGCATAGCCCACTTGAAGGTAGGCACATATCTAAGGATTGAAAGGTCGTGGTACTAAACTAAATCATTTAGTACCACGATCATTTTTTTTTGGTACCATTAAAGTTCCTTTATCGCATGCGAATTTTATTTGATTTTCACAAAGTTGAAGTTGAGCCAAAGAGCAGGGAGATTAATAAACAAGTTAATTACCATTCCTTGGGGCAGTCTGAAGGTAGTAAAGACTTGTTAAGGAAACACTCGAGTAAGTAACACGTGAGTTGTATCTGCTGTAGCTCAGTGAGTGGTGTGATGCGCTTATACTTCTTGCATGACTCGAGAAGAGATGGAATGTATTTGTCAAACATCACCGTCAACATTGCTTTTTCAGATTCGTCATTGCGAGTTGTGTCGATCCAAGATGCTACGAAGCTAGCGAAATTATACATGTTAGTAGTGAACTCTATTTTATGTTCCTTATAGTGAAAAATTAATCCCAACCTATGACAATTTTGTTGCAATGTAGTAAAACAAAGGTCTGCAGTAACCCATTCTAAAGATCTTATACACAAACTGTCTATAAAATAAGTAGGTACCAAAGTGATATACGCCAGAGATGAAGTATTATAACAAAGAGTAAAAACGAAACTACTATATTTCCACTATATAAAGTTTTTTGAACATTCTTGCAAATATGTTAATCGGTACAGATAGTATTTTTCTAACCTACGTATAAATACTCATAAAAAATATTCTTACGGGTTCCATCCCAAATCCTGGGGGTTGATGTAAAGGATACCAGCTCGCGAAACTGTAGCCGGTGTAGCAGTTCGCAGGTTTGAGATTTCAAAAAGGAGACGCATTGACTTGGTTAACGCGATACGTTCGTTACTTGCCAACGTTAACACCTTACAATAAAAATATATTATAATTATATGCATTAATGTGTAATTTACCTTTTGCAATAAAATTCCCGTAAATACATCAAAATATAAAATTTAATATTATAAGTTTTTAAATAGATAGAGCTTAAAATGATTATTGGAAAATAATATCTAACTTGTTCTATATTAATCACGGCAAACATATCTTGAAACTTTTATAAAGTATTATTAATAAGCTAATTTAAAGTACTACAAATTTCTTACTAACTTTATTATCATCCATCAAAGTGTTTAAACTCTCTATCCACATGGGATCAATATCACCATCCAGCACTATCCACTTTGGTCCATCTCCAGGCATATTAGCCATATCTCTCATAATTGTTGAAAACAAGCCGTCCTTCCATTCTCTAGTAGCTGGATTAATAATTCCAAACAACTCATCATTAGTGACTGCTTTTGGATCCAAATCGTTGTAAAACGGTTTTAGTTTCAGCATTTGATAAGTCTTGTTCAAGCATTGCCACACCATAGATTTGCCGGTGCCCGCAAATCCGATAATAAATACGGAGTGTCTTACGGCAAATAGTTCAACTAATTGAACCATCTAAAATCATAATTACATTATTTCTGCATCATTCCAAAAATCAAGTAATTATTATTAGATTGACTTACTATATGTTCAGCAACCTAACTAGTATGTTAGACTAGTTACACTCTCTAACTAGTATGTTAGAAAACAACAATTTTATTTTATTTATATCTGATATTTTCAGTAAAAATAAATTGATTTTGAAATGAATTTTTACAATCAATAACCTAGGTTTATCTTCATATTGATCCTTTATATTTTTAACTTTAGTTTATTTTTTGAGAAACAAAAATGAAGCATCTACCTGTAAATGCTAGCTAGCTTTGGCTTACCTTCAAAATAAATCCGGGCTCAGGTTGCAATTTCATTGACAACGCCCCTTCTACTAAACTTTTCTCAAAGTCAAAATCACGTTTCCTAGGCACATCGAGAGCTGGGAATAAATCACCAATCAATCCCATAAAAACAGGAGTGTCGTCCGTCACAATTTTGGGAATGTTGAAATCTCGCAAGGCTCTCATTAATACTTGATCCTCAGGCCTAAGGCGATCACCTCGCTAAAATAGTAGTAGATTATAGCGAATGTAGTAAAGCTAATAAAAAAATGTATAGATTTGAATTTGTATCTGAACAGAAACTAAACCTTCAATGATCCAGCAACGACGAGCACAGACTTAATAGCTCTCAAACCCCAATCATAGTGATCTTGTTTGGATAGTAGCTCACGGCAGAGCATGTACAAAGTAATAAACTTGCGCGCCAGAAGGCGAGCTTCCTGGAAGCCTTCCGCCACCAACATAATTTCACAGATCAGTTCAAAATCTGGCACCACCATAGCACATGGTCTGTTAAGAGTAAATATGTTATTTTATAATATCCAATTGTAGAGATATCGCACTCTGTCGAAAAGTTTTCTAACAATTAATTATTATTACTTGTGACCGAAGAATATATACAATATTCTTGGGTACACAAGTAATTCTGTATACCTAAAAAGAGCCTTCAAGTTTTCTGGCAATTCTGTTCGCCCAGCATATCCAGGATTCATTGTAATGAACATACCAACAGTTGGTATTAATGAAATAAACTCTCCCATGAAGTCAAACTTTTTCTTTTTTGTTTTGATCGCGTCTAGAACACTTTTTACTTGAACGGACACAACAGAAAGCACTTCTACAGAAATTCTGTTGAATTCATCGAAGCAACCCCATGCGCCAGTTTGAGCCAAACCTAAGATAATAGATATTTTAAATTATCGAGTCTACGTGTTATATAATTTAATTATCAATGTTAATGATGTTACGTTTAAATTTTAGTTAAAACTAGCTATACTCGCGACTTCGTCCGCGTGGAATTTAACATTATTTTTCTGAAATAAAAGTAGCCTAATTTACTCCTTATTACATCAGCTATCTGCCAAAAAAAGTCCCGTTAAAATCGGTCCAGCCATTACAGAGATTAACCGGAACAAACAGACAGACAAAAATTGTAACAAACGTTATTTTGGTGTATGTATCATATTTATATTCATATGAATGTAGTAAAAAACGGTTATTTAAATATTACAAACAGACACTCCAATTTTATTTATCTATATAGATGTGTTCTCGATGTTGGTAATTATTATTCTATTTCAGTTCTTATAAACTTCATTTCATTCGTTATATACATGTCGTTACAGACCTTTATAAATATTTCCGCAGGACTTGTAGTCCATTTGCTCAGAGCAATTGAATACGTAAACCATAATTCCAAGTGCTCTTCCCAAATCTTTAGTAGTCTCTGTCTTGCCAGTACCAGCAGGACCGGCCGGAGCACCACCCATAATTAAATGCAGACTCTAGAAAACAATCAATTATACATTGTATTGTGTCCTCCATTAACAAAGAAATAATAATTGTTTTCATTACAAATAATGTTGTTATTATAAATAGAACCCATAGTTTAAAAAATTGTTTTCATTTAGACTTCTACGAGAATAAATTCTCCATATTAGTTAGGCAATTTTAAATAAGTCTGAATTTAGAATATAATTAATTTTTAATGATCTATTTATACATTGTACTACAGTGTATTACGTTTTGAAGTACCTGGGTGAGTGTGATATAACAACGGTCAGTCAAAGGAGTGATTACGAGACGCGGCGTATTTCCCAAGTACTCGTAATCATAAAGGAATTGCGCGTCACAAATGTTCGCATAGCAGTTATTTAAATTCATGTCCCAGCGATGCCTGCCCACAAAAAATATATTAATTCACGACAAAATAAACCAACTTTAAAATAAGTTATATTATAATTAAACACATACATATTAATGTTTACATGTCGGGATTCATATATTAATACGACTTGGAAATGATACGACTAAACTTTATTACCTTAGTTGACTCTGCCATTGGAAAGCATTAGAGGTCTCTACTTTAGAGATTATAAGTTTAGCGACGACGTCTCTAGAGTGTACGTCAATGGTACATATTGTCATAATCTTTTGACGATCTCCTACTGTCAGGTCGCCCAACAACAATACAATGAGAGCATTTAGCTGTGCTATTTGTTTTTTCTGGTAATCTTTCAGGGCGTTCTCATAACCTGTTAGAAATGATGCATTCAGAAAATTATGTTATAGAGTCGTAATTGAAACCTTTATCCAGATTACGGAATAGAATACATAATTTTAAAAACATTTATTGTATTATGTTATCTTTAAAAAAACTTTTACCTTCTTCAAGCTTCTCAAAAGCCTGGTTGGTTTCGGTAGTCCACCAGATCTGCGTACCAACTAAAGCGGGTTGTGCCGGCCAATCAAATACCCACTCGTCGCGGGGCTTTTCCTCATATGACTTCACACTATGTTCAAATATGTCACGAAGCGTGTATCGCATGCAATCGGTCACACGATTTAGCCATAATTCTACCTGAAAACATTATTCCTTCAAACAATTGTACCTACTGATACGGACTTGATATTACAACGTTCAAATGCTGTTCTGTTGTGTTCTTATTATAATATTTACTAATATAGGATCGGCATATCAAAATATTATCAAACATTCTATCCTAACAACTCACCTTTCCAGAGCAATCACAACAAGGTGCTTTGAAAGGCACATGTTCTTCATTTTCTTTGGATATCATTTCAATAGCTTGCTTACTACCAGGCTTGGGGAATACAAGTTTCGCTAGATTATCGTAGAGTTTGCTGAGGTGACGACATACCGCTGGTGGATTGTTCCCATTTGACAAAATATCTGAGACATTTGTAAACTTATGTTTACTAAACATTGTGTATTACTCTTAGCAAACTTAGGCAATTAGTATAACTGTACATCATTGTTGCAGACGAAGTTTTCGATGTAGTGCTACTCAACCTAGTAATATTTTGCTTAACGTGATTCTATTCATAAAAACACAACAGTACTAAGATCATACCCAGCAAATCCGCCGATGAAACGAAGTAAAAACGTGGATATGCCAAACGTTTAGTCTCAAGATAATCATTAAGCGCCTTTTCGCAAAGATTGAGTCCTTTCATTAATTCTTCAAGCTTATCTAGAAGACCTGGTTTATTAGTAGCTTGCACCACGTTAGGAGTTGCACCTATATCTCGTAACAGCTCCTGTATGAAAAACTCCCCATAAAAATAAAATTACCTAAATTATAGATAATTCAAATGATTAAAAAGAAACTTGTTTTTTTTATTATAGGAACAAGTAAATTTTAATAGGAACGGGAAAATACTAGAATTTAAAATTGTTATATGTAGGTATTAAAATCTTGCCTTAAATGTTTTGTCAATGTTATCAAATCTCTTTGAATCTTCAGGCAATTGTGAGCGAATATCATCCGATCCAACAAAGATACTCTCCAAGTACTGCCACTTGCGTTGCACCTCAAACCAGAGCGCAATCACCGCATCGGCTGTTCCCAATTTCTTCTGCCATACAGTTGCCTCCGTTTCGTAGTAGCCAATAAACTTAGATGACATCATGTTTTGCACTTGATTCTAAATAATATTAATTCAAAATACTATTTTAGGTATTACAACAGCTAATTAAAAAATAGGCTGTTTGTTTTAGTTGGTCTAAATTTATTTAGGTAGATGAATCTTTAATGTAGATATGTTATGAGTACAAAATTTGAGTAATGTTAAGGCGTTGCTTCTCAGGATAAATATTATTCTCAAAAGCAACAGAACTAGAGTAAAACAGACAGTACTGTAGTCCTTGACATGTTAATGAATACGAAAGCATAATATTTAAAAAAAATGGTAAAACCTGGTTATCTTCCAGTGTTTCAACTAATTCCTCGCTGGCTTTGGGTAGTTTAATTCCAGTTCTATCATGAGAACTATAATCAAATTCCATGACTGCCCAAGTAGCTTCCAGTTCTTTTAATGTCTTTTCCATAGCTGCTTCCTTTACGGATTTATCTACTATTGTCTTTACTTCCTCTTCATATTTGTGAAGATTTAAAGCTAACAAATCTGCTAATGTTGTATCGTCATCTATGTGGAATTTAACCTGAAATATTAAGAATATAACATAAAATACAATTCTATTAGAAATATATTATACAACAGTATCTTACCTGACTAATGTATATATATGTAATGTAAATAATAAACATTTTATACTTAGAACATATAATAGATCTAGAATATTCTAAAGAATAAATTCAGACAATATAACTGCGCCATCGTAACAATTTTTGTAATTTTGATGAGATGATTGTCTCCGTACAAGCTTCAATTCAATTCCGTTTTCTTTCATTTCTTGTATTGTGTATGGTTTATTCAGCTTCCTAATTTTAATACCAGCGTTGATACACTCCTGAGTTTTCAATCTTCTAAAATCTTGCATTTGATTATATTGCTCACTTTGAACTTCTTCAAGTCCTTCTTTATTATTTATGTTATCTACTAGTTCTACATGAACAAATAAATCCTCCAATGATTTGAAATCATCTAAAATATCTTGTAGAGATACACGACTTGGTACACTGTGTGTGCGTATGAATGATGGACTATATACATGCTTTGTACCGATGGACATGATGTGTGAATGAACTGCTTTCTATGTGAGAAAAAAAATATTTACAATGTCTTCAATACAAAAACAAATTTAAGAAAGGTAAAATGTAAACTTTACTTTAGTTGCCATCATAAGCTCCACCCAATGTCTGTCTTTAATTGCTGGATTCTGAAGATCAGTCACAGCTCGTAGCGATGTCATCAGATTCTTTATTGTAGCTTCTATTGTTATATACGGTTCCCTTCATTATTGAGTAACATTTTGATTACAAGTCTTTATTGTTATAAAACGAAAATTGTTAAAGATAGATAAGAATAGAATACTAACCAAACTCTCATATCTTTATCAAGTTGACGCAGATCTTTGGTAAAACGCTTACATTCTTGATCCATACCATCTGCATCAATTTTCTTCCATGGAGATTTTTTCCAAAACTCAATAGTCCCCATTACCAAATAATAGTAATCCCAGAGTTGCTGATAAATATTATACATAATTTAACACAGTTTAACAAGCATTCTAAAATTATATTTAGTGATTAGAATATAAATAATATTGTCGTATTCCTAATAGAAATTTGCTAAATAGGTGCTAGCACCTAGGTGTACCTATCTCTAAAATTAATGTTAAATATAATGCAATAGGTCGATTGGAATAATTGTGCAAGTTTTACCTTAATTAGTTTAAGTTCTCTACGACATTGCTTAAGATTTTTCTCATCTGGTGGTTGAATATCGAATAATCCGCAAGATTTTTTCAAGCCATCGACAATTTCCTCAAAACCCATTAACTCTTGATTTACTCTATCGATTTGTCGATAAGGCTCTTTACAGGATTCTAAGAACACCTATATTTTTAAAAAGAATTATTAATAAGAATAATTCTTAAGAAGTTTTAAGAAGTAATATTGTAACTCAAGGTTGCAAAACAAAGTGAATTTAAATGTCAAGGAATTATTCAGTGTCCTTGTACTTTATAAATATTTCTATTTAATCCCATTTATCAGATTTAAATCAATTATGTTAACTACAATGATATTAAATTTGTTCTAAAAATGGAAAAAAACAAACTGACCTCCTTTAATCTAAACTGATCCCTGTACATTGTGAGACGTAGGGTGATAAGTGCAACTCGTTTAGCTATTAAAGCGGCTTGTGCTGCCTGTAATGGTGCTACATTGTTCTTCATTACTGTCGCCAACTTTACTAGGTTTCGCCATTTTTCTGGCAATACGTCCAACTGAGGGAAAAATTAAAAACCTTTAACTCTTTTCTTTATATAACTGCAATAATAAAGAAGCAATGACATATAGATATAAACTAGACCAAGGACATTACAAAGTTAACTGCGATGCCCGTAGTAAAGGTTACTTAGAAGGTGAGATAGTTTGTTATATTACTACTCTACCAAGATCGTCATGTTCTTAAAATTATACTTTACCAATGTATACACGGAGTATTGATGAAAACTCGATTCCTTCAGGAGATCCAGTAGGTAAGCAATAACACAAGTAGGCATAAAGTAGATACAAAACGAAACTATTGCATATTAATATTAAACCAACATTAGATAAATGGCGACCCAGCATCTCTTTTTTTTGACAACGATATATCGACATTATAAGATGACTTATGATATGAAGTTGAAATAATTGTCGCGAAAGGCGAAATCATAGGAAGTTCATTCCCGTATTTATAATATTCGTAGCTATAAAATGGTGAAAAACGAACATAAATGATAAAGTTAATTTATAAAATTATTTTAGGTACAAAAGGTATTTTTCAATAATATGTGATACATTCGTGACTACTTTTGTTCCTCTCGTGTAAGACCACCTGCTTTTCTATTCAATTTTAGGTACCTGCTCATATGTCTCCTCCGGAAAATCAACTCCATACTCCTTAAGTACGTCAATGATATCCCTGAGTGGTTCAAACATAAATTCCGTGCCAGCATCCATCTTGGCTCGTACTTCATTAATTACGCGCATAACTTGCAGTAAACCTTCGTAATCATCATCTCCTAAATCCACAGATAGCTCTTTAGAAGCATATGCTATGAACTTTTCTAAATCGTCTAGACTGTAAATGTATTTTTATTTTAATACTATTATCATGCGTAATTAAACTATTCATAGCCAAACTAGTTTACCTACGCATAGTAATAGTATTAAAGACAGAAATTTAATGCTGTTTTTTTTTTGGTGAGACTGTAAATGCAATACAATAAATCCTGCAAACCGTCGGTCGTGAAAATGTGTGCGTAAATTGTGTGTTAATATTAAAGTTTACATATCTACAGATATTGTACCTAGTTTGCACATGGTCCTTGAGATTCTGTTTGTAAAGATTGCTCCATTTACAAATTATATTCATTATCGCTTGATTAAGTCGTTTCAAATCTAATTTCAACCACCCATTGCAGAGGTATTCGGATGGCAATGTTGCCACTTCATCATACATGGAATTATACTTATCAATCTAAAAAAAGCAATATATTTCTAAAATATATTCTGAACACATAGATTGTCACATCTTCCAGAATTCTATAGAATCTAGTTATTATTATACAATATGAAATTTCAGTAACCTCTTTTTGGTATTGTTCAAGTTTTGGTTTTGTCTCAGGGGGCTCGCATCCATTTTCATACTTGTATTTATCAAATTCTTCAGGAGATATTACACGACCATACTTCATAAAACCTGCTAGTATTTCTTGCCGGTCTTCCAGCCATAATGGGGTATATTTCTCATATTTCTAAGATGAAACAATTTCGTATTAACTAATGTAGGTATAATAATCCTACTTAGGAATACTTATCTACTACTTACTACTTCTATTGACTGAATAAAGTTATGTATCATAACTTAGAAATAATAAATATAAACTTGACTTACCGATGCATACTGAACAATACCGTTTATACTGTTTTCAATTCTCTTAAGTATATCATGATAAAGATCGATCACCGCATCTTCATTGGCGATGTCATCTAAATATACGCAATCAATCAATTATTACTATTATAGACATAATTTATCATAATCACATCATTTTCAAATCGTAAAGCATCAAATGATTGTTTATTACTGCATTATTACCTTCGTAAGTAGATATTTGGATAAGAGGATCGATTCTTGGGAACAGTGTAGCCTGCAGGAACATATCCTTCATCATCTCTCTCAAGGTATCATATAAACCACCCTCATCCTCAAAGTCCAATGAAGGCGAGAAATATATATCTAGAATATGAAGTATACGTCGAGAAAAGCGATATTAAAATATATTAAATAATTATATAAGAACTTACCTGGATCCTTAAGTTCTGCAATGACTTCTATAAATGCAACCCTTGGACCTTTTTCTAAATTTGTCTGTACTTCAAATAAATTAACACTAGATTGTATTGCTTTCATAACCTGCTTCGACACCTAAATAAAAACAATGATACTTGTTATGTATTTAAATTTTAAACAAAATACAATATTAATTACATAATACTAACTTATCAGTTAGTGCATCTAAAATTCATAATCAGAAAACAAGTAATGTCACTAACAAGCGAATCCACGTATTGTACGTAAGCCGGCCACCGCGCAGCTCTAAATGCCTCTTCCTCCATCTCCTGTCGTTCGGCATCAATATCAGCTAATTCTTCCGGATCTAAAATTTCTTCTTCTTCCTCTACTGGAGAGTCGACTTCTTCACCTGTACGTAAAAAAATCATACTAAAGATTTTACGAAATATTGAAAGAAACAGCTTTAATACTACTACCGGCTACCAAAGAAGAACAGTTCATTGATAAATAATCTTAATTTATGAGTAAAACTACATTACACAAAAAAGCATTAATTGCTACTATTTTCATAGTTCTTATCACCTTTATCCGATTAAATAGTTTTTACTAATTATTACATAGTATAAAACAAAGTCGCTATTGCTGTCTGTCCGTCCCTATATATGCTTAAATCTTTAAACCTACGCAAGGGATTTTGAAGGTTTTTTTTAATAGATATAGTGATTTAAGAGGAAGGTTTATATGTATAATAGATGTATACCCGGGCGAAGCCGGGGCGAGTAGCTAGTAAATAATAAATAACTAAAATAAAAAAAAATTCTTACCCGCATCCCGCCTTTCTTGTCGTTCAAGTTTCTCTGCAGCTTTGGCTTCTCTCTTTGAACGTCGTGCCTCTCTCCTTTCAAATTTTATATGGGCAGCCACCTCTTTCTCTCTCTGCCTTTCTTCCTTAATAATTCGTTTTTCTTCGCGACGCGTTAATATTTCTTGCAGTTTTGCCGCACGTGCAGCTTTTTCATCTTGGTCTAGTGTTGCTTCATCTACTTCTTCTAATTCTTCTTCCTCGTCATCAGACTAAAACATGTAAATATTTGCTACGTTGTCGATCATTTCCGCAGCGAACGCGATACAGGTCTTTTCTTTGGTATTATTTTCACACGTTGGGTTACACTATTAAAATTTTCATACGGATCCGAAATGTTGATGATAATATTATGTAGACTATATTTATTGGGGATAATGTCGGATTCTAATGGTAAAACCATTTTTCAAAACGATCCAGTAATTTTGGATTGTTTGTTTGCATTGATATAAATGCAAACAAACAATCAAATCTTTCTTCTTTAGAATATTGGTACCTACAGATTATTTATTTAAATAAAACATTTATAAATACTGCAAACCTCCTGTTCTTCTTGAATATTGAAGAATAATTTATAGTTCTCCTGCAATATATTTTGAAACTCAGCATGACTATCTAGTATTTTTTCTCTCCTGTAAAAATTAAATTTTAATTATACTTTTATTATTTGATTGATATATATATATGAAACATTAGGACTATGTTCATAAATTCAAAATATATATACATATATCCCTTATACATCGTTTTTCGAGTGCTTCACTCCCAATTTATAATGTTATTCCACTAAAAGTACACATCTACCAGTTTAGTTCAATATTCAAATTTTTCAAACTTTATTCACGTTTATTTACAATTTTATCCGTTTTAAAAGAGATAAAAGATAATTTAAGAAAACCATACCTGTTAATAAATCTAGACTGTCTCTCTGCAACAGCAAGTAGCTCCATCTTATCCGGATTATGTTTACGGTTATGCAATGGCTTGTCTCCCCATGCAGCAATGTTGGCTAATCCACGTTTCACATTGTTCTGTGCGGTCAATACGCGCTCTTGCAGCGTATTTATCGCCGCGTACACCTCCGCCATCCATTCAGTGACTGAAGGAATATTACTATACTATACTATATTAGTGATCACTACATAAATTGGGTACAGTTAATGTAGTTATTTAGTTTATTTTTTTCATAATTTGCAGATACCTTAAATGATAACGTTATGGTCCTTAAAAGGTAAATTACGAGTATGTTTGGTGATATATGTGTATGTTCAAGGGCAAGTTTTTGTTCACACGACTACCACTACCTTCTAAAGGCGGGTTTTATTCAGTTATTTAATCGTATATAAGGAACATATTTGGCCTTTAAGGCAAGTCATAATTTTTTATCACTATCCTTACCTTCCAATTCCAATATCAGTACAGATTAGAAAAACTGACAAGAAACTCAACTCGTTAGTATTTATTGGATAATTGTGTCATGTACATACACATTCGATATGTGAAATTTTCGAACTAAACATTTTTTATTATTATTATTTCACTGCTGAATCTCAAAATAGTAGAAGTATTTTAATATCGAGACAGTTAATTTAAATAAAAATATTCTTACAGTCATCATTCCAAGTGAGTTCCTCCACGCCGCGGCCGAGGAGTTGGTCAATCGCAGATATTTCCTTCTCAATGAGAGCCACTTCTGTTTCGTGACTGCCCTCGCGGATGGCATTGTACCACGAGATCGCACGGTTCAGGCGGTTCATGTCATACTGATTAGTAAATAAAAATAAAATTTAATTTTATAATTTGATGAGTTTCAATTCCTAGTAGACATATAAATGATTTTTTACTTAGATATCACGGGGCTTAATTTATTTTTAAATAGTTTTTACTATCTTTACATCAATACCCAATACTACGTACCTCAGATAACTGCCATAAGCCTCGTTAAGTATAATTTTGTTATTGCCTATTTTTTTTTCCTAGATTTAAGTTTCGAAAATGTTAGTTTTGTTATATAATGGAATGGAAAAACAAGCTGGTTATGGATCTTATGATAATTGAAAACCGTCATCGTATGACGACTTCATATCATCATATGGCTTCCATGATATCACCTATTCTTTATCAATCCAGAGGACTAAGGTACCTATCTTATTTAGGTAGCCTTCTTATCTTGAAATTTTACTGCCCCATCACATCCTTCAATCGAAATATACCTTCCAAAGCAAACTGCTTACAGGCTGAATTGAGTAACATTCAAAAGATCGATTAATTGTAATACAATAGCTAAAATAAAAATCATGTAAGTATTACCTGTAATTTTTCATTTCGAGCGTACAACTCAAGTCCTTCAGGTGGTACACCCTGTTTATCCAAATATTTCATATATCGTAGTTCCCGTAGTAACATTACCAACTGTAAAATAGACGCCGAGAATATTAAATAACAAAACTAAAAAAGTACACGTGATCAAATCAGGTCTGTATATGAACTTCACACCGTCACATCACTACTCATCCCTAATGGCCACCCCATTTGGGATGACAGTCGTGACGTGACGAGACGTTAGAGGCATCATATACATATCGACATGTGGTGGTTCTGTCGACATCACGCAAGTAATACTTATTTATGAATATAAATGTTTGTCCTAGAACAGGAATCGAAATTACGACCATCGGAAGTAAAGCGGTGTACCACTGAGGCTGTCAATATTATATTAATATACAAAGTTATGACCACATAGAACATTCATGCAATAATAACCCAGAACAATTCACATAGCTCTATCTAGTCCCGAGCTAAACAACTGATGAAAATACATGTTTAAGGATTCCTATTTACATTATGTACATATTTTTGTAAATCTAGACACGCGGTAGCGTGTTAAGCCGAGTTTCAAGTAACTGGCGAGCAGCACCGTGTGTATATTTACACGAACCGTTTGGAGCCACTTTTGACCCCCTCATAACTCAAAAACTCTTTCACATAAACCTGTCAAATTTGGTTCATATATTGAGACTTGTGAGATAAATATGTGTTCCAAATTTCATAAACATATCTCAAACGGTTATTTAGATATTAACGTCCAAATATCGTCATTTTTATCACTGATCAACTATACATCAAAATTATAACCCACTTCCAGATGACCTAGGAAGTTCAAATTTGGCATGTAGATAGCCTAAGGTCTAACTTGGCTAGTTTTCATATACGAAATATACTGTAGCCTTCGCACAAACCTTTACAACAGTTACTTGTCGGTTCCTATTTTATTATTAGTAGTAACTAGCAATCGAAAGTAATAATTGGTATATGAGAACTGGCCAAGTTAGACCTTAGGCTACAGTATATTATCCTAAGTTATAAGAAGAAATGATATTATATATTGTTATAAATACATTTCAGGACATACCATTGAACTTGGCACCCATTTAGATCTCACCTCTTTTGTCGTAGAAGTCAACAATCAAGGCATATATCATAATATTAAACTCGGCTATCATTTCACATTTATGTTTTTTATGGGATAGGTATATACATAATATAGGTACATAGAAAACACCCAGACAAATACAAACAATCATACTCATGAATTTTACTTTATTATGTTTGAAACGAATCCGCGACCATTATAATTATGGCGAATAAACCGCTCAACCTCTATGCAAAATAATAATACTTAAGTTCACCTCTGGACTGAAGTTGTTTCTGACAAACGGCGGGTCCCTGTATATGAGATTCTTAGCGAGGTGCAGTTTGCAGGTGGCCGGCACGGTGGCGCACCATTGTTTGAACTGGCGATCCTCCAGCGCGTTCAGATAACCAAGCATCTCATTGTGTTTTTGCTTCATATACACTGCATTCATATACATACTGCATATAAAGAAAACAATCGATTACTTGCACAGTTTCATTTGTCATTTCAAAATTCTTTTCTCTTCTTTTATAAACCATTTACACAATTCTTTTTTATTGTTACAACATACATATTTGGTTTTTCAGAATAAAGTTATAAATTACCGATATAAAAATGTGTTTTATCGTAGTATGAAATTAATAATTGCATTTTTGATAGGCAATTTTAACGTGAAGTTGAGATATACTAATTAAAATCTATTATCTAATTGATACCCAAGATTATCATAGTTATATTTATCCTAACACTGTACCTGCTACATTAAACATTACGACAATATTAAAGGAAGTGTACTCACGGATCTTCAAATAAAATGAAGTCTTCCATAGGTCCCTGAAGTCGTCTGCGTAGTTTATGAATCCACCAAATCATTCCGGCGACCGGAGGCAAGTACGGGTCTACCATCGGGCGCTCAGGTCCTTTGGTTAATTTCTACAAAGTCATAATATAACCACTTCATAGAAGTAAATCTTATTTTATTTGTTTACCGGGTATTAATATATAGATATATTATAAAGGTAAATAAAGGTATAGGTACATTTATAATTTTAATATGGACTTGTATAATATCGTATGATACTCGCATTACCGTAGACAACCAAACTCCAAGAAGCAAAAAATATGATAACATTTATCATGAATGGAAACTTCATTCAACTGCATTAGCACAGGTACATTTTTTCCTATTGTATTGACAGTAAAATCGTACATTACAGTTGGAAAATTACAACAAAATAACAATATCATTTATTACTGAAGATTTTAAAAGCGTACAAATAACTAAAGATTTAAATTAATAAATAAAATAATTTTAACTATTTGGACGAAATAGTACTTACAGACATTTCTTCGTCATAAATTTCCTTCACGTCATCTAAATTTGAATGCATAAAATCCAAAAGTTTTGATAGTTTCGGTTTTAATTCATTTTTAATAATAGAACGATGAAATAAGTCCCCAATGATTTGAAAAAACTGAAAATGATAAAATAGTAGTATGTCATCTCAGTTATCTACAAAAAAAATTCAACTTTAAACATTATTAAAGTAAAAAGACAATAAGTTATTTACTTTAAAAAAATGTTCTAAATTGTGGCACTCGTCCAACCCTTGCGCAAACAATGAAGCTAGTCTCCTGTCGACATCTTCAAGCACGCGCATGTGTTTCTCATAATCAGCCAAGAATGAGTCGTCTTCAGGATCTGCCGGGTCGTAAGTTATGTTTCCCAAGTTTTGATATATCGCGGTATATTCTTCCAATATCTACAAATTATATTACAAAATAAAATAAAAAAAAATTATGTTGATAGTTATCTATGGTAATGGTAATGAAAACGAAAGAACGAAATACATAAAACTTCTTTAATAATGGAAATTTGATGTGACACATTGGGGCGGATAAAATTCCGACAACATATGCTTGTGAAAATGAGTTTTTTTTAATTTATTATTAATATCAAGAATATAATTTAAAAAATTGGCGGACAAAATGAGGTACAAAAAGATTATATACAGAAATAAGCCAAATATATATATCGAAAAGAAAAAACTGGTCTAATTTGAGTATTTGGAGTTAGTGGGGTGATTTTATACAGAGGCAATGTTCCCTACATTGCAGCTTCAAAAATACTTCAGTTAGTTAATGGACGCTGGTACTCACAACCATCTTATGTAACGCAATGTATGATAAATATATGTTCAGTAATAGACGATTTAAATGAGTTGTGATGATATAAATAAAGTTTTGTCTATTTTTGGGATGGAACGATTCAGAGAGATTAACTTGACATACCTTAACGCATTCTGTACTAAGGATTTTCCCTCTCAATCCACAGAATTCAACTTTTTCTAATTTAAGTATCTCAACTGTTGCTGATAGAATTTCCTCGATCATTTTAAGCCTTTTCATATAAACATTAAACCTCATAAAGACACGATCAAAGTCGAAAGACCAACGGACAGGCATAACTCCTGGAGGGAAAAATGTATGAACTTTGTCCCGATTTATTTCATATGTTTCACTGAAAAAAAAGAGTTACAATGATGATATTTTATTGAAATTTTGTTCTAAGAAATCAGAATAAGTAATTTTTATATTATATTCTTACATGAAGTGATTCAAAATACTGATAGCCTTTCTAATTTTCAATATTTGTTCGTCAGCTTCTCCTTGGAATATTGAAGCAGGGTCAATAGAATTTGTGCATTGTTGTATGACTAAATTGCATACTTCACGCAGTAGAGCTAAAAGTATAAGAATATTAATATTAGTCAATTTTAGTTTTTTTTAATGTGTATGTACTGACGCATGGAATCTTCTATTCTGTAATAACAACTTATTTTTATTTATTTAACTTAAGTGCAAAAGGTAGGTCAGTACATTTACCGGACTTGGTCACATTTTCTATAATATGTAAAATGATCACTGAAGATTGTTCTTGAGTTTCTCTTGACGAATGAGATGTCTCGAGACTATTGTTTAATCCAAGGAACTTTACATCCTTGAGATAACAATGACCACTTCCCACCAAATATATATATATATATTATCTTGTATAGGCAGATGTGTATTATTCGTATTGATTATATGAAGTCAGTTAAATAAGTGTCATCTTATTTTAGGCTTAGGTAAATGTATCATCATGTATGTAGTGTGTAACTGAGATAATGAAATGACTATCCTCATACTCACGTATAAGTTTTTCTACATTACTGTAATATCTGGAGTTGCCCCAAAGCAGGCCAATACAGTGAAACATTGGACGTATCAAATATTTAGAATCAGCAAAATCAGTGGCTTCGAAGCTTTCAAAATGTGTTATCAATGGTTTTTGATATACATAAATATCACGGCATTCAACAATGGCTGAAAATAATTATAATTTACCAATTATTTATAACAGCCCGTAACGTATATATAGGGGAGAACAATTCTTAACTTCTGAACTAATGAACTCATTTTTACTTCACAATAACAAGCTACGAGTGTACGTTTAATTGGCGCATTTTAAGGAGGCCGGAGTACACTCCGGCCTCCTTAAAATGCAATCAATGCGACAAGCGAATGGCATTGTCAGCACGGGTTGTAGGATTCAAACTGCATAATGTGAATCCACCGTGAGGCCTCGGGGAGGGCAACAGTGAAAGTGGTTAAAATGTATATTGGACTGCATAAAAATCCATATCAATTCGACGCCATTAATTTCTAATTAATTTCTCAAGACGTATTAACTAGCCCGACTAACAGCAAGTTTAGCCTATCAGCTTTCCTTAATACCACGACGGCCTGAGCCGAGGTTCGAACAGTCGTGATCCATTAGACAAGAGTTGGTCTTCAGCCGTCACATAAGTCCTTCCGCGAATTTGGAGTTCTTACTGCACTCGCTGTTTTTAATCCGTTAATGCTATAAAGGTCAAATACGGCCAACTGCATTAAAATAGTTCTAAAAACCAAATTCTTCCCCTTGTACAAAGCAATCGTATACCATTGGCGCTATTATCATGGAGTAGTAAATCCGTCTGGGCTGCGCCGTAAAGAAAATGCAATTGTAGGTACATAGGTTAATAACTGTCTGGCTAATTTAGGTAACAAAATCATGAACTCATGTTAGTATAAATAACTTAAAAATAGGTACATACATGCTACAATATTAGTAAGCATAGACTTGAAGCAACTAAGGTAGACCGAGTGAGTGTCCTCCAGGTAGTGCGCCACACGCTTCACGCGTGGATCCCGAAGCTGGGAGTAAATGCCCTCTAGATTACGCAATCGCTGTGCATAAAATTCTATGTCCGCGCTTGGCAGTGGAAACTTTGTTCTTTTAAATGCTGTAGAATATTAAATAACACATAATAACAACAGTAAAATACTAGTCGCATGCATACATTTACCAGTGGCAGACGAGAAAATAGTTTGGCTGGGTATTACAGTCACACCTATTCAGCCACCGAGTTTCTTAATTAAGGGTGAGCCAGTGAAATTTCAGCATAGAGACATGACATATTAGTTCTTTATTATATATATATAGGCGACGGACACCACCTACCCCCATGTAGCATATTTGCAATCAATTGCGTAAAAAACTCAAAGGTCATAAATATTATACTAAAAATTTTATTTCCTTGACACTACATCATCATCATCTCATTCTCATTGAATTGAAACACGAAATAAGTGAATTGAAGTTACAATTAGATAGTGCCCACAAAGAAATTGAAAACCTGATAGTGCACACAAAGAAATTGAAAACCTGATAATGGAGAAACTATGTCTAGGAAGAAAAGTGCAAGACCTTGAGAAAAAAAGAGAACAACTTCTACGCATATGTTCTTCGACAAATAAGTATATTTCAAGACTTAATAAATCTTCAAACATGTATGAAAACTGCACAAAAATAATGGAACAAAAAAAATCAAATATTTCAGAAATACCAAGCACTCATATCGATATGTCTTCACTACATATTTTCTCAAATACTACTGAAGATAAACAAAATTTAGATGTGTCACCGTCCGATAAAAAATATATTAGTTATACTGAAAATAAATTATTAGTATTTGGAACACAGCAGCGTCAATGTTATGGGAAAAAAGGAAATATAGTAAATACGATAAATATATTGTTACAGGATTCATTAAACCGAATGCAGAATGTAACACAGTGTTAACTTCTTGTACCGCCATGGACAAAATTAATCCTAAAGTATATAATAGATAAAGTAATTATATGTATTGGAGAAAATTATAGCGACCCTATTAAGGTTACTTCAGAATTATATATGGCTCTTAAGGCACTTGAAGATAATACTGTAATTGTACTCAATGTGTTAAATAATAGGTTTCTAAATGTCAATATGCTGAACAGTAGTCTCAGAATGATATGCAAAAGATTTAAAAATTGTGTATATTTGCAAAATACTCAATATTGCCGAAAATTCTAGAAGAAACATGTGATAAGGTAAATTTTCTTATTGACAGTATTGACTACAATAATAAATTCTTAAATTTTAAAAATGTTAGGAAGAGTAGCGTAGGTCGCAGAATCGACAATACAAATACTAAATAGTTTAAAAAAGGTACTATTCCTTATTATTTTACTACTAAGTTCCACCAACATCAGATGCTAATTTTTTTCTTAAAAAACTTGACTTTTTATTGCTAGAATTACAGGATAAATGTGGTAAAAAGAAGATTATTCTAACCGGTGATTTAATATTAATACACTAAACTCGGGGAAAACTAATGATTACCTATATGACGTAGCTAATAGTCATAATCTAAAAATACATATAAATGTAGCTACTAGAGGTTCTTCATGTATTGACATATTGAGTAACATTAAGAATGCCAATGTATTTGTGTTATCTCTTCATTTATCTGATCATGATACTGCTCAGTTACTTAATTTCCCTATTAATATTACATGTCAACAGCAAAAAGAGTATTTTATTTAAAAGATATTACAGTATTGAAAATATTACCAAATTTAGGAACTATATAAAAAAATTAATGTTTTCAGATGTATTAGAATCTAGGAATATTAATGTAGCATACAATAAAATTTACGAAATATTTACACTAATATACAAACTTTGCTTCCCAATAAATAAAATTAAAATATATAGGAAAATATCTAAACCAAAATGGATGACAGAGGGTCTAAAATTAAGTTGTAGGAAAAAAAGAGAACTCCGTTTCAAATATTACAAAAATAAAACATCACACGGTAAAAATATATACAGACAATAAAAATATATTTAGAGCACAAAAAATTTACAATATTAGATTAATTGCCAATAGTAAAAATATGTGTAAAGCTTCTTGGCAGATAATAAAGGACGAAACATCTAATACCAAAAAAATGACATAAATCAATGACACAAATAATGACATAAAAGTTGGAATCGAGCCACAACGCGTTCGTGGCCCGGGTCCCCACCAACATGCTGCCCACGTTCATAATGTTCATCACGCTACCGTGGCAGATTGCCGTCGTCAGTGCCGTGACCATAGAGACAATTTTATTTACATATTTTATTATTATTTATTACTTATGTATGTTATAAGTCTATAAGGTATTTATAACATGGGCCATGTAGCCTGAATTAAATAAATAAATAAAAAAAAAATAGTATTAAATATAATGACGAAAATATAATTGACCCTAAACAAATAGCGAATGCATTTAATAATTACTTTATTGACATAACTTCCATTCCCTCAGATAACACTTCATATAATTGCAAGATACGAACCGTAAATGACACGGGTTACTCATTATTTCTGAAACCGTTAACTGTTAATAAAGTTATTAATGAAACAATGGCATTGAAAAACACAAATTCAGAGGGGTTTGACGAAATATCAACAAAAATTATAAAATCATGCATAATGGAATTGGCACCAGTTTTAACATTTCTAATCAACTTATCTTTTGAATGTGGATACTATCCATATCTTTTAAAACTATCAATAGTAAAGCCACTTTATAAAAAGGGCGCTAAAAGTGATATAGCTAACTATAGACCTATATCCCTGATTTCAGTACTATCAAAGTTATTTGAAAAATGTATTATTCATTGATTACTGTTCTAAGTATAATATTATCAATAATGATCAATATGGATTTCAAAGGAATAAATCTACTAGTCTAGCTATCTTATCTATTATAAATGAGGTGTTACAAAATATCATAGAAAAAAACGTGCTTCCGCTTTATTCTTTGACTTAACTAAAGCATTCGATTTTGTATCGCATCATATTTTGTTGAAAAAATTAGAAGCCATAGATATTAGAGGCCCAGCTTTACAATGGTTCGCCTCATACTTGCAAGATCGCAAACAATGTGTAGTTATTGAAAAAATTAATAAAAATAACACCCTAGAATCATAGCAATCCGACTACAGATACAATAAGTCAGGTGTTTCGCAGGGAACAGTGTTAGGGCCAATACTATTTTTTATTTATATTAACGATATACCTTTAATTACACGACATAAATGTGTTTTATTTGCGGATGATATTTCTATGATTGTGACATGTGATAAAAATATTGACAATAATGAATATGAAACGCATATTAATAATGTGGATAAATGTATAATAAATTGGCTTGACATTAATAATCTAAAAATTAATTTATTAAATACAAATTATATAGAATTTTGTAAGAAAAATACTGTACAAAATTTAAATATTGCACACGACAACGTAAATATCGAGGAAGTTATGGATGTAAACTTTCTTGGAGTTATTATAGACAAAAACCTTAATTGGAAACTTCATATTGATAAAGTATGTAACAAAGTTAACAAATTCGTTTGTTTTGAAAAAAATAAAGAATATAACAAATCAAAATACAGCTCTAACAGTTTACCACGCTTATGTAGCATCCGTTTTAAGGTACAGCATCATTGTCTGGGGTAACAGTGGGCATTTAAACAGAGCTTTCATTGCACAAAAAAAATGTCTGAGGGCAATATGCGGCACCACCCCGCGTACGTCTTGTAGGACATTATTTATCGAACTTGGAGTATTAACGGTACCTTCAATGTATATATTGGAAGTCTGTAATCATGTTAAACGGCATCAAGAACTTTTTACGAAAGCCAAGGACATATATCCACGTAACACTCGTAATGCAGAGAGGTTAGTTTTAGACATTATCCCGAGAACATCACTGTACCAAAATAATAGCACGGCTATGTTTATTAAAATTTATAATAAAGTATATATCTATATACTATCAAACAATGTAATATAAGGCATTTTAGGGCAAGGTTACAGGAGTGGCTAATTGGAAAAAACTTCCACAGTATAAGGGATTATTTGACATACGAACTCTGACTTCATGTAATTATAGTTTTAATAATATTGATTGACATTAGTGGAATACTGTGACATTTATTATTTTATTGTGGTACCTATTATAATGTTTTAATGAAATTTAAATATTACATATTGTAATTATGATATCATTTTCAATATTTGCATACCTCTACGGGGTGCTGCATGTCGTGTACTTATATTATATTGTAAGATCAAAATTACCATGTAGCAGGCAAATAAATAAATTATTATTATTTAGTGAAATAGTTTTTACTGAAAGTAGATTTCCCAAAATTTTACTATTCATGCATTGTGACAATTAACTTTAGTAGGCATGATGGTGGTTGGTACAGATCAAAAATATACAAGGTGACACAAAATGTTTAATATGAAAAATATTTTATGTTTTAAGAATAATATAAAATACCGCGTTAAAATAAATATCGTACCTATGTAAGAATCCTCTTGCAGCAAGTCATGTACTTGTTGTGCCCACTTTATGATTGCTCCCTCTATGTTTGTTTTTAAATATAAATCTACATCTTCGCCGTCACTACAATGTTACAAAATACCTTTAGATTTACAAATATTAAATTATATTAAAATTCATGTTACGCAACCAATTAAATTTCTCGTATATGTAGTTATTTAATCTCAACACATTACAATACGATTGACACTCAAAGCGAACGTGATACGCCTTTTGTTTTAGGCATCCATAAGCTACGGTAACCGTTTATACCGGGGCCGTATAATTGCGACCACTATGATATAAAATTAATTAAATCTTATCTGTTTATGAAATAAAAGAAAATTAAAAGCAAGTCTTATTCCACCTTTCCTTAAGTCTCGTTTCAGCATGATAAATGTTTTCCACACCAGCTGGCATCGGAAGCATGACTTGACTCGACATTTCTCCTTTAAGCTAGAAATATAAATTGAATAACATATATAACTCTCTCCCTCTCTCTTTATTGCGCTGCAAATTTCAAGGCGCCTTTTTTGTTCTTTTCGAGTTTGCGGTTTTAAACAATCACTTATTTAAAAATCAATATCTCTATTTTTAATAAGCTACTCACCTGATGCATTAAGTTTCTTAAGCCATTGATGTGTCGTTGCATGTCGTTCTTCACAATTTTGGGCCAACCTTTCTGATTTTCCGGATTACATAGTAAAGGACCGATTACTTCATCCGCCATAACACTGATGTCCATTAGAACGTTGCCAGAAATCTCTCCTATAGTGACAGCCTTAAATATTTATAAAAACAAGTGTTAAAAAACATATATAAACTCTTCTTTTTGAGACTAGTCTTACCTTAATGTGATAAAAAGATAGGCAATTGTCAATGAGTTCAAATTGCAATTGAGATTAAAACTTGAGGTAAAATCAATAATAATAATAATGTAAATAGATTTAAAATAATATGAATGGCAACACTTGAGAGAATGTTCATGGTGGTGTTGACTATAGGCCACTGTTGTGTTTTCATTCGGTAGGCCATAAGTTTGTTTGCTATTTCAGTTGTATAAAAAACATCTATAAGAAATGTTACCTTCCGAAAGTTGGCTTGGGTAATTTTGTCTTCAACATTCCTTAAAAAGTATACCATCTTTCCTCTACTTATTGGGGGAAAATTTGTCGCACAAGTAAGCAAGCCTGCGGTGTTCATTCGAAACACGATTAAATCATACTTAGGTATATCGAAAAATCTGAATAGAATATGCTGAAAAAAGATATCATAAAGTGTATGTAATATAATGTCTTTTTATAATGTCGTTTCTTTGTAAAAATGTATTAGTGAGACTGAGGTATCCCATGCAGATAACAGTTATACAGTCTACATCGGAACTTTTCATGTATTTTTTAAGGTTAAAGGTGAATGATTGCTGGTATTATAAATGATAAAAGTTGATTCAATGCATCTCATAAGGTATATACTTGTATTTTTTGGGGATTATTTCAAGGTGTATTTTTTTTAAACGGTGACTATTTTTTCCCTATTAGATTATTTGTCTGTATTGGTTCAATATAATCTATGACGATTTACTCATATCACACGAGCTGTAACTGATGTAACTATTAATTATACATTTTGTATTAATAAACATAATGAAAATGGTATCATTAAATTGTTAACTTTTTTAAAACCATAACTATATACTTACTCTTTCATCGCTTGTAATAAACTTATTCCATTTATCTACTTTCTGCTTAAATGTCTTAAGTAAATATTCACTCATAAATTCCAATCGTGTATCAACTTCTTCTTTCTGCAAAAAAAGTTATTTGTAAAGTTTTAATCTCGTCAGATCTCTCACGGTGTAGGCAGAGACACAGGTGCCATTAGTTTCTACAAAATTAACAAAGAAAATATGTCGGACATTTGAGACGACACGTTTTTTCAAAAAAGGTATATTAAGAATCGGCAACGCGCACTTAACATCCTGGTATTTCAGGCGTCCATAGGCCATGCTATGGTAACCGTTTACCATCAGACAGGCCATATGCTTGTTTGCCACCACCTTAATATAAAAAAAACGATCTAATAAACATTATTATAAAAGAAAGGGATCTCAAAATATAATTAATAATAATAATAATCTCAGGACAATTCACACAGCACCATCTAGACCCCAGTTACGCTAGCTAAAGCTTGTGTTATGGGTACCAGACAACTGATATAAATACACAGATATTATTTTTTTTCGTAAATACATACATATTATACATAGAAAACACCCAGACCGATACAAACAATCATACTCATGAATACTATGTTTGTGCCGTGCATGTAATCGAACCCGCGACCATCGGACGTAAAACGATGTGCTATACCGCTAGACCACTGAGGTCGTCTAATTAAGTACCTCAGGCAGTTTATGTGAAATATAATTTTGAAATTAGAGAGATTCTTGACCTACAACAATATTGTTGTAGGTTGTTGTAGGATTACATGGAAGTAATTCCATGGAATGATTTAGGTAAATGCCGTTCCTATGAGCATTTTTGAAAATTCTTATTTTATATATTAAATAAACGCTTATAACATAAACCTATATCACCGATTTAATTTCCTATAGGTACTTAGTAGCTTTCACAGTGATTGGTCAGACAAGAAAAATAATCATGAATATGGATGTATATTAATATTTACTGTAGTATCTATAGAATATTCGTCACGTATCTAAGGTATGAATTTAAATTATTATGTTCTAACACAAAAATTAAATTTTTCGTTATATATACATAATCATAGTCCCCATATGTGTTTATTTACATTAAGTTGCCGTGCAATTGGAGTTGAAACAATAATTTTAATTGAAATATCGTCAAGTTAACAGGGCAGGTATATCAATAGATAAACAAATTCGCACTGATTAATTAACAACACCTACATTATTAGTAGTATTTGTCCCTACGAATACAAGCAATAATAATGTCTATGCTTACATCTCCCATTTTGGATTCTATATACGAACTTTATCTTGTGTAGAATTCAAAAAAATAAATGAGAAAGTATCATGTTCAAATATAATATGATAATAGTAAGCATTACGTTCTTTCTACTTTATGCAATATCAACTACTATTGCCAATAGGCAATTTATCAGTCCCTATGACAACAGTATTATGAAATCGATTTTTAAATTCCGTTGCATAAATTTTGAATGTTTTTTTTTCTGTGATTACCGGAAATAAACTATAGAGACAATCTTAAGCTATTACATTATTCTAAAGATATTACACGATCACTAAACATAATCCAATATTAGCAGTGTTGTTCATCATAGTTCAAATTAATTTTATCAAAATATTCAGAGCAATTATAATGCGTAGATTTTATGCTATTGACGCCAAGGACAATATGTGTTCCAATTATTAAGAATCTCCTGTGCTGCAGTGGAACAAGTCGAAGAAGAAATCATACTAAAACAGTTAATGTTATTTAAATAAGCAATCTCCAATACTCAATCTACAGATAACCTTATAAAAGTGTATGTGTATAATTGTCAGAGATAAATCTCAATGTCATGTCAAGTTGGCGATCTATATGTCAATTGTCTGTCATTGTCAACGGTCTATTTACGCGCCAAAAATTGTGGTCTTAGGCATTAAACTGATACTTTTGTCGTTTCCTAAAGTAAAGTAAACTTAACTTAATAATTACAATTGAGTTACTATTCTTGAACTGTGTCTATAATCGTCGTTAAATTATGGAAGGCTTTGATGATCCAGGAGTTTTCTTTTCTGATAACTTTGGTGTTGAAGAGAATGAATCTCAAGATCAAATTAACCTACAAGCTGTGAAAAAGAAATTTAAAGAATTTATACGACAATTTCACACTGGAAACTTTAATTTCAAATATAGGTAGGCAATCTATATATATCTATAATATATAGGTTAATAATGTTTTATGTATATTTGTGATTACATCTATTATTACATCGAATATTGAAAATAAACACCTATGTTTACTCCTAAAATTTACTCTTTACCCTCTTTTTATACTCTTATCAGTCACTATTTTCTATGTTAATAACAGATAATAATATGTTTTGAGTTTTATTAGTTTTATGAGTTCAACAATACTAGACCTAACACATTTTGTTCTTGCTTTAATAATGTGAAACAATAATAATTATTGTATTTCAACAACATTAAAATCAAGTTGTGTATTTAATAATTAAATTAATACCAATATTTTATGTCTAAATTTTAATATTTACAGAGATGCTCTTAAACGTAATTACAATTTAAGCCAATATTGGGTAGAAATAAATATTGAAGATTTATCAAGCTTTGATGAAGTTCTAGCTGAGAAACTGTATAAAAAGCCTACTGAACATCTGCCTATATTAGAAGAGGCAGCAAAGGAGGTAACAATATTTTCTGTATTTCGTATTATTTCATACATTGCTCAGTTGCCTTGCAGCTCTAAAACCTGTATGCAGTAAGAAAGTTTACCTATTTAATTAACTTTGTTATTATTATATGCACTAAAAAGATTTAAATTAATCTTCAAAGTCTACTTTAGTGTAAACTACTCATATAATGTATCTGCATAATATGATTCACTTAGGAATTGATATAAAATATAAATATTATTTGCATGTTTGATTCTCACAAAATGAAATTCATAGAAACAGTATTGTTTATTTAATATTGATGAACAATAGACTCAAATCAATTCAATAAAAAATATTTCGATTTCTATCAATTATTAGAAAATTGTACAAGTTTTTATATTCATCCTTTCAAAATAGTTGGTTTATCTCAGTAGTTGGCCCTCAGCTAATCGAAACCAATAATAGGTTTGGAGTGCATTGGAATTATTTAGGAAAATACATTTATTTAGATATTTAATAATAACTTCACAGTTAGCTGATGAGTTAACAGCACCAAGGCCGGAAGGTGAAGAAAAAGTTGAAGATATCCAAGTACTACTGACTTCCGATGCACATGCTTCAAATTTACGAGAACTTAAAGTAAGTAATATTTTGTTTATTTTACAACTTATAGTTTTTTTGAAGCAATTGAATTGCTTCAAAATAACTGTTTAACATATCAAATGATATTAAATTTTATATATAAATATTTAATATCATTTGATTTTTAAATGAATTTTCTATATTTACATAATTTTCTTTATGTGAACTTAACTTTCAAGTTGTGCATGTACTAAATGTGTATAATTTTCAGTCAGAAACTGTCTCCAGATTAGTAAAAATACCAGGGATAGTGATATCTGCGTCTGGCATTAAAGCAAAAGCCACCAAAATATCCATACAATGTCGTTCGTGCCGAAACATTATACCCAATTTACCAGTCAAGCCAGGTTTGGAAGGATATGTTATGCCGAGGAAGTGTAACACGTAAGTTTACCATGTGGAATATATAATGAGTAACATGTATATACTGGACTTCTTATAATAATAATAACAATTCGATAAATAGTATTATATTCAACATTTATAGCATATTCATTATTTATTTATAGCCTTAAGAGAAGTTAAACACTGAAATAATTTATTCATTTATAAATAATACATTTAATTTCTTTAAATTTACTTACATTTTAATTTTTTATTCCCTAAGTTATCATATCATATTTCATAAATAATTATTAGGAAAGTATTTAAATTTTTTCTACAAGTATCAATTGTAATAGAGAAAATAGAGTCAACAAGATTTATACTATATTGTTTAAGTATATTTAATAAGAATATAAAAATACAATTTATTTACAGAGAACAAGCTGGCCGGCCCAAATGTCCTTTGGATCCATATTTTATTATTCCCGATAAATGCAAATGTATTGACTATCAGGTTTGTTTCAAATGAATTCTTATTTAAGTAATGATTCATATTTATTTAAACTAATTTTGTAAATGTGATATGCCTGTCCACTAATATTATTACAAAATTGCTATGTTTTTAAGGCAGTTAAAAAATGAAATTTTTTAAAAAAAATTATATATTTTTAGGTTTTGAAGTTGCAAGAATCTCCAGAAAGCATTCCACAGGGTGAACTACCCCGTCATCTGACAGTATACTGCGAGCGTGTACTATGTGAACGCGTTGCACCTGGCGCCAGAGTTACTGTGCTGGGAATATATTCTATTAAAAAAATTGCAAAAATTGGAGTAAGCACTGATATTTTATAATATTACTATCTGACCTGCGCAACTTCGCCTGCATCACACTTCCTTGACATTTATTTATTGTGCCTAATTTACATAATATCTTTTTAAATTATAACCTGTGTATTCTTTGGATTACGTATAAGCTATATTACTGTAAAGTTTCATTAAAATCCATTCAGTACTTTTTGTGTTCCAAAGTAAAAAACATCCTTTCATCTATACTCATTCATCAAATTTTGCACATTGATAATATTAGTAAGATTTTATTAAAATTCTAAAGACCACCAAATTTATTAATTAATTATAATAATGAATTTCAGATTTACAAAGAACAATTATTGTTTATAAAATTTTGTGCATGCAAATTTATTTTATAAAAGTAACTACAATTATAAAAAAAATAGTTTATATTTATCACTGAATCTAGTTCATTAGAATCAATATACAATTTAATTTTGTCTTTAGCTATAGTTTATATTATTATTATGAGCAATGGTTTCTACCCTCCATCCGATAGACTGATTGCATCTCTCTCTAACAATAAAAAGAAATAGTTTCATTAGCTTTATAATTTACTGACAGAGAGAAGGTCGTGATAAAGGGTCAGTTGGTGTCCGTTCATCGTACCTCAGAGCTGTAGGCCTGACGGCTGAAGAAGGTGTTACGGGTGGCTTACGTCCGTTCACAGCAGAGGAAGAAGAACAGTTTAGAAGACTAGCAGCTTCGCCCGATATCTATGAACGCATTGCGAAGTCAATTGCGCCCAGTGTATTTGGTGCAGTTGATATGAAAAAAGCCATTGCTACATTACTATTTGGAGGTTAGTATATGATGCAATTATGAGATCAGATATTAATTACTATGTTGCTTTTATTGTTTATTACAAAAGAATTTAAATAAAATAATAAATCATAAGATCTGTTAATATAATGTATCATTTGATGGACATAGGTTCCCGTAAAAGGCTCCCCGATGGCCTGACCCGACGTGGGGACATCAATATATTGCTACTTGGAGACCCTGGCACAGCTAAATCACAACTTCTGAAGTTTGTAGAGAAAGTTGCCCCCATTGGCGTGTACACTTCAGGGAAGGGCTCCAGTGCCGCTGGTCTCACTGCTTCGGTTATTCGAGATCCTGGAAGTGTAAGAACAGAAATATATAATATATATTGTGTAAAATCTTAGAATTGATTATTGATGTAGTCAATCATTCCTTGAAATAGTTACATTTTATAAAATTAATATAGTCATACTAGTCATATCCTTTAATATTATGTTCTCATTTGTTATATGAAACTGTTCACATGTTAATTATTATGTATGTATTACATTTTCATTTTGTTTCTTGGTAATACTTATAACTTTGTGACATACTCAATATATTAATAATGCATTTTTTTTAAATATTAATTTATTTACTTTCTTTCATTTCATAGCGCAACTTTGTGATGGAAGGCGGTGCGATGGTACTGGCCGATGGCGGCGTGGTCTGCATTGACGAGTTCGACAAGATGCGAGAAGATGATCGTGTTGCTATTCACGAAGCTATGGAGCAACAAACTATTTCTATTGCAAAGGTCTATACATTATTATATTTAGCTCACATTACATATATATAAATAATAAAGAGAAATAAATATTCTCGATTTATTGTGTTATATTAATTAACTACATATATATACAATTTCATTAAAGTAATTTTTTAATATGCCACATAATCCATACATATTTTTAGAATATTGAGTATTTCCATGTCAAGAATATATTCTTTGCCATCTAATAATATTCCTGCCAGTTTTTTTTTAAATTAATATGCTGTTAGTTTTTTATGCGTCTCATTGTCTCTAGTTGATAAGGGGGAGAGACATATTAATTAAGGGAGAATTTGTTATATCAGATATCAATTAACGGATACAGGAGAAATTCCTAGCATAGTGTGATTCTAAGTTATTTAGACTGAGTGCACCAGACAGTTTTAGTCTTTACACCGATCTAAAATTGCTTGTCTTATGTAAAACATTTTGTCATAAATCAATTTTATAATACTTGGTATTTGTTAATTCAATGATGTTTACTAGACTATTTTATTATTTATTTTCAGGCTGGTATAACAACAACACTGAATTCTCGATGCTCAGTATTGGCGGCTGCGAACTCTGTCTTCGGACGGTGGGACGACACAAAAGCCGATGACAATATCGATTTTATGCCTACCATCCTATCCAGATTCGATATGATCTTTATTGTCAAAGATGAACATGATCAGAATCGTGATATTGTAAGTCTAACATTTTTGTAATAACTGTATATTATATGATAACTGTCACTTTCATACAAGTAATCTTTGAAAATACCTATTTCTGTTAACACCAGGGTCACTGAGAATAGATAGTGAGATCCAAGTGCTATTTCTACAGACAGGGGTGCTTTGGTGCTTATGAATAATACAAAAATATTATTTCCATAGACGCTGGCAAAGCACATAATCTCTGTTCATATGGGGGGCGACAGTGCAGAGCGTGAAGGGGACGCTGCGGCAGGAGAGTTACCGCTGGCACTGTTGCGACGATACGCTGCGTATTGTCGCGCACGCTGCGGACCACGCCTCGCAGAAACTGCCGCCGAGCGACTGCGCGCCCGCTACGTGCTTATGCGCACAGGGGCCTCACACCACGAGCGGCAAGCGGACAAACGCCTCTCCATACCTATAACTGTCAGGTATACATTACACTGTGTCATTCAGCTTCAAATGGTATTTTTTAAAGATTGTAGTAAAATATTTATTGCGCACATGCTAAAAGGCGGTCTTCCCTAATGAAGACCGCATTTTAGCATAGCGATTTATCTATGTATATGTATGTATATATATGGATTATCGATTTTTGCAAATAATACACCACTAATTTGTACTCAAACAATAATCGACACTTATTGCACTATTAAATCACTAATGACAACTGTCGTTGGTGTTGCCAGACGAAGAACAACTTAAGCTAAGCCCAAAATTTGTAAGAATGTTTTGGAATCACATGGAGATTAATCTCATTTATAGTTGGTAGTAATTGAGGTTAGCAGTCCCATTATTAACAACTAGCTAACCACCCCGGCTTTGCACGGGTGTACACGTATTACACATTCCTATTGTATCACTCTATCTATTAAAAAAACCCGCTTTATAAGCCGTGGCGTAATTTTAAAGATTTAAGCATACATAGGGAGAGTCAGCAACAGCAACTTTATTTTATACTATGTAATAATGATGATACACAATCCACTCTTCCCAATTTGGAGCGGTTGCGGGATCGTTGCGGTGGCTAGATTTTTAAAAGTAGTAAAGGGTCTGTAATAGTTCTACATGAATAAAGATGTTTTGAGATGATTTTGTTTACATGATGGCAATTACCATCTCAGTTTATATTCACACGGTCCCCCTGGAAACCATCAGGTCTTATTAGTGTAGGTCATTTGTCATAAGGTCTAGATGACATCACTTCATACTCATCCGATTAGTCTCCACTGGTGCCCCGCCAGCGCATTCGTCTGCTTCATGACATTATCCTCAATCGTAAATAGGAAAAAAATCAATCTTACATGATTATAAAACTTTCACTTTACAGACAATTGGAAGCCATTGTCCGGATATCGGAATCCTTAGCGAAAATGCGCTTACAACCTTTTGCCACTGAGGCGCACGTTAATGAAGCTCTTCGCTTATTCCAAGTGTCGACACTAGACGCGGCTATGACTGGCAGTTTAGCAGGTATATTTATAATTTACTAACAACCAGATCACATATAACAATATGACGTATACAATATAGCTACTACTTGCTCTGAATTCATTGCCAATGTATAAAGATCAAATAATTAATCAAGCTGACTTAAAAATGTTCACTCATTCTTCCTTTTCATACTTGTATGTGCATTGTGATTACAGTCATATTATTTTTCAGGGGCAGAAGGCTTTACAACTGAGGAAGATCATGAAATGTTATCACGTATTGAAAAACAATTAAAACGCAGATTCGCAGTCGGCTCTCAAGTATCAGAACAGACTATTATTCAGGACTTCCTAAGACAAAAGTACCCTGAACGAGCTATTCTCAAAGTTATCCACACGATGATAAGACGCGGTGAACTGCAACATCGTCTCCAAAGGAAAATGCTTTACAGATTGTCGTGAATTTCATTTTATATGTTAAACTTATTTTTTTTTTTATAAATAAAATCCAATTTTGACAAAACAAATTTATTTAATTATTCAATATGTAACTTAAAAGCATACATGTAACATTTTTTTAAATCAGTTAAACTGATTCGTTATAAAGCTAAGCAGTTACGCTAGTCTTGACACCATAATAATATAGATAATTACAATAGAGGTAGTTATTATATACTTTATTCCTGATATATGTGAATGACCTCTGTAAGTTACATCTAATGAATTCAAGAATGGTCACTTATGCAGATGATACGGCGTTAATCGTTTACGGTAAAGACTGGACTGAAGCACAGAATTGTGCGGAATCCGCATTCTGATTTGTGATGCAATGGTTGTTTAATAATTTACTTCCACTAAATATGGACAAAACTAGATATATGACATTCGCTCCAAGATTATCATCTCAACCCGATCCTTCATTTTCACTGACTGCACATACATGTAACTTATCTGACATAAATTGTAATTGTCTCCAAATTATTCGCACTAATAACATAAAATACCTGGGCATACAAATTGATAGTACCTTATCATGGAACTTTCAAATTGAGTCTCTAATATCTAGAGTCAGGAAATTAATATATATCTTCAGAAATCTACGAAATAGCGCAGATTTAATGACACTAAAAAATGTATATTTTGCACTTGCACTCTTTGATAAGTTATTGTATCTCGGCCTGGGGAGGATCAGGGAAATGCTTATTATTGCGATTGGAAAGATCCCAAAGAGCTGTACTAAAGGTAATGATTAAGAAGCCTATTTATTATCCCACTAAAGAATTGTATTCCCTTTGTTATGTACTGACCGTAAGACAGACATACATATTCAGGAGCGTACTCCGTAGACATTCAGATATAGCTTTCAACCCTAACTTTCATCATAGTAAACGTAGACCTAGTATAGTTTGTCCAACACAATCATCTAATCTTGCAGTAGTTCGACGGCAATATCAATATCTTGGTTCAGTGTTATATAACAAAATTAATAAGATAGTTTCCATTTATCCACATACACTCCGCGAATCTAAAATATTGTTGTTTCAATGGCTTCAGAAATTAGATTACGACGACACTGAAAATCTCGTAAAGGTTTGAAATGTATTTGAATATATATAAAAAAACTCACATCCATACCATCCAACATATACATTTACACAGATACATATACTTACAGATCTATATAATAACACATCAAATCGAATTATGCTCACTACAAATCATAAACATTAAATTACATTATAGCATTCGTTCGTTCGTCTTAAGTTTTTTCATTGTAATATTTTTACATACAGGTAACCTAATTAGTGAATATTGGCTAAGAATTTTGTATTTAATTTAACTTATTTATCTTCCTAAAAGTTATGTTGTAAACGTAATCATGCATGCCTTTGCTTTGCTTTTTATTATTTTTTATTATATAAATTTATTGTATTTGCTACTGGAACGCTAACGCCTCTGTCTTAAGGAGGTGGGCGTTGACGGCCACGACACAGTATTACTTACTAATGTGGCTGTTATCGATAACACTACCCTACTTTGTAAAATATTATATATTTTTAGTTCCAATAAAAGAATTATTATTATTATTATTATTATTATTGACTAGAATTATCAATAAAGTTTAGTAGATAGTAACTAATGTTTTTCATCATTACTGGATTATGAATGTAAATGGATACTCTGGATGGTTTTCGACACCTTTCCAAAACAAAAAGTTAAAAATACGTCCCTTTTCACCTCTATCCAACTTCTTAATACTGTTATTTTCTTCAGGTGTCAATTCAAAATCATATATATCCATATTCTCCTAAAAACAAGACGATTGTTTGTTTTTCAATGAGTATAGAAACATGAGAGTTAAAAGCAAGTTGTATATATTTTGAATATCACGTACAGATAATAGTTGATCATATTATAAACATATTTGTCATTTTAAATAGTCAGTATTACCTAGTCGAAATATAAATATATAATGATTCATATATATATTTGTGGAATGTGTTCTCGGCAGACAGTGACAAATACAGACACAAAACAAGGTAATTATATTAAATGAGTTTGTCAACTACTGTACGGCAGGACCGATTTGAATTAAATTTTGTTTATTTCAATAGGTTCCTGGATTATTTGAAAACAAAAATGAACCCAGTAGATATATATGTAGAGTGGAATATATAAAGTGGACTACATAATTACCTTTAACCTATGTTCACTAGTACTCTTGGGAATAACAACAATCTTCTGTTTAAGGAGAAAATTAAGCAAAATTTGTGCAGTTGTTTTACCATGATGATCAGCAATAGCTTTCACTTCAGAATGTCCAAGTAAATCAGGAAATGTATCAGGGCTGAAAAAATATATCACTAGAATTTATTTAGAGTCCCGGGCTTTCACGACATGTTGGTGAAACAGGCTGGGAATACATAATCAGGCGAATGTAATCTCTTTGAATAGCAACGATATTAAAATATTCTTGTGAAGATTTCAGCGCCTCGTGAAGTAAAATTAAATCAGTATCAATATGGTATTTAGTGAAATAAATAAATTGAACTTGAATACTGATCTGTACTCTACTTAATTATGACGAATAGTTTGTCAACGTAGTACTGTATGATTTTAGTTAAATATTTATAGTGTAATTATGATAGCCATAAACTAGAAATTACGAGCAAGCATTAGCATACTTTGTCATAATCTTATAGTTCATAAACAAGTTTCCCATTGATTTTTCTTAATATAAATTTAAATATACAAAAAAGCACACACCTATAATTATATTTGGTGACAAAATGATCCTTGGCTCCAGGGCTACCTAGGGGTGCATAAGCTGTAACTATTATATCATTTTCTTCACAGAACTGGACTAGTTTTCGCTGTTGGAAATACGCGTGTAATTCCACTTGCAGCACTTGTGGCTTTATTGTAGCCTCTTTGATAATTTTGGATATTTGGCTCTCATTGAAGTTTGATAATCCTAAGTTGCGTACAAGTCCTTCTTTTTGACATTCCTCCATTTTCTATTATAATAAATATTATATTTAAAATAAATAAATTCAAAAATAATCATTTATATATATCCCAAAACATAACATGTTTATAATACCATCTAGCGATATTACATACTGGATATGATCTGAATAATAACCAAACTTACAAGTATGAATGGTATATTTGTGATAAGTTTACATCATGCCTATCCAAGACGGCCGTAAAAATTTTATAATAACTCTCCTAAATGTCTTGTTTGTAACAAAAAAGTTTAGCTCCAAATTGTTTATATACAATATATATATTGTAATAAAACAATAAATTATATAAATAAACATGATGGCATTATAAATAAGTTTTTATTGATTATTTCACTGCACCCAACTTTCAAAAAACAAAAGGCTTTCAATTCAACTGTATTTTTTTTATACATTACTTGAGACCTTTCTGTAACATGAACCAATTTTCATAATTCTTTTTATTATGTGAAAGCTGGAGCATCTCCTTAATTATATATAATGCAATTGGTGTTTTCGTGGCCTCATCATATACCAAGTTAAAGTCACGAAATCTATTCGTTTTAGTGGGCTCATATACCACGTGATGTGGTATGAACTCACCTTCCAAGTTGCTATGTGGTCTGTTTCCATATCCAAAACATATTCTCCTGAAGGGTTCACTAATGGGGTTAAGGTCTCAGGGTTGCATTGAAAGCCAAATGAAACATGTATTAAATACAAGTCCACATAATCTAGTTGCAGTATATTTAGTTGTAGTTCCAAAAACTTCTTGACATCAGAAGCTCGATTTCCGACATGAGGTAGCTGAAATTTCAGACAAACTAATACCTAATACCAAGTATGAAAACTTCTTTATACTACTGATTAATTTAATATTGTTAAACAGTAAACAGAACAGAAGAAGAGGTACATAAAGAGGACCAACCGAAACCTGTCCCGCTTACACTACGCGACCAGGGAGCAGGACACACACAGGACACAGGACACAGTCAACTACATACGGACCAGAAGTAACCTAACTCTGAGGGTGACACGCAGCTGAAATCGAGTCATAACGCTAGTTTTAAGGCGTTTGTGGCTCAAGTTCCCACCAACATGCTGCCACCTTCATGAAGGAGGCTTACTGGCCGCAGTGTGTGGTCTATTGGCGCTAACAATTGCAGATTATCATCATCAGTGCAGTGATCACACAGACAATTTATATTTCATTTCGTGTTAATTTATATTATTTATTTGTATGTTAGTCTGTAAGGTATTTTATTTATTAAATACATAAATAACATAAAATAAAAATTATTGAAGATTATGATAATTCATGGTGAGAAGTTATTTCATATGCTACCAAATTTACGCCTTATTTCCAGATAGATTATCTAAGTAAATATGTTTTATAAAACTGAAAGTCAATAAATATGGTCCACTCTCAGTTAGCGTGATTGTGATGTTACAAAACACAAGAAAAGTATCAAGGGCAGTAAAGAATGTACTAGTGTTGACAATATCCCTCATATCTTACCATACCTCGTCTCGTATTATCTGTCTAATATTCACTGCCTTATTTACCATTACCAATGTGTTTGAATCATTTTTTTACTTTTATTTCTTTTTCTTTTTAATATTGTTTACAAATATTTTGAAATAAGTCATTATTTATTTAATACCTACCCTTATTATTATCACACTCACCTTAGTAGTAATAAACAGATCATTTCTTGTTCCTTTTCCATTTTCTAACCATTTTTTAATAGCATTACCAATAGCTTTCTCATTATTATAATTAAATGCTGTATCAATGTGTCTGTATCCTAGCTCTAAAGCATTGTAAACAACTGTTTCTATTATATCAGAGGAAGCCTGAAAGAAAATTTTATTCAAAACACCAACGTTATTAGGTTACTATTAATTACAATTGATCTATTGTTACCTGCCAAGTTCCCAAACCCAAAGTGGGCATTAGATCGTTTGTTTGTGAAAGTGTAACGTATTTCATATCTTTGATATTAACAATGCACCAGAAATCTGAAAATAAAGAGACCACAAATACAACCGTTCATCAACACAGCACATAGTTTGTTATGAAAAGAAATTGGAAACATGCCAATAACTACATATATCACAATTTTAACATTGTGTGTTCATGACACATATTTGTGTTATAAATATTTTAGTATTAATTGACCTGGATTCGACTGGATTTTTGAATAAGCAATGGATCTCTTGAATAGCTCTAAATTCGTATTACGCGTTACAAAGTATTGATTTTATTCTGCGGACCACCAGTTCTGACATAATACCGGCCGGCGAAAATTTTAAAATTCGCGCTATTATTTTATTCATAAATTCTAAATAATAAGGCTAAAGATACAATCTAAACTGCCATGTTCAAACGACATAAGCGCTGCGCCACGCCGTCTAGGAGGATTCGAGTATGTAATTAATAAAAAAAATACATTATATGTAATATCATTACATTAGAACATTACATGTGTTAAAAAACGTTTAATTATTCGCAAATTTTCAAGATATCACGTCAACATAGTTGTTAGCAACTATGTTGTATCTATGGTTAGTCTATCTTACTGATCTGAGATCTGTGGGTAAATTTGTCAGTTGTATGTTGTTGTTTAAACTTTTCTATTAATATATATTATATCTTGGTATTATATCTTGAATAACTTTCAACCATTCAAGTAATATTTATCTTATTATTTTATACAGTAATATTTCAAAAGTTCTAAAAATGGGTGTAAGTTTAATAACAGTTAATAAATTAACGTTTCGCAGATGCAGTCTGAGCTGTATTATTCGAAGCTTTCTAATTGTTAAATAGTTTATTTATTGAATTACTGTATACTAAGAGTTTGCTTCGATTTATATTCCATATATGGAATGGAATGGAATTCACCACAATTGCAAAGCTTTACTATGTAATAGTAGGTCTAAAACAACCTAAAATAAATACTTAAGTATGTTTTAGAAAAAGTCGACTACTTCTACTAATAAAAATAAAGAAAAACGCCAAGCCAGAAAGTTAGAACAACGCCGCATTGCTGACGGTATGTCACATGTTACTGCTGCCAATAAAATTGACGACTTGACAATCCTCTGCAAGGACCTCCTTGTGTACCAGACAAAAGACTTACAAGTGGATATCTTAATACAGAGGGTGAATCAATTAAACAAGAGTATTCTTAATTGGGCAATTGACCTCATTGAACGGAATATGAAGAAATTGTAAGTACTTAATTGTAATTTTAAGACTTGCTATGCGAAATACAATATAATATTCATATAATGGTTATATGAAATCAAAGTCAAGTTAGGTAATGTTGTTTATTTTATCCTTGTCTATAAAGCTAAAGACTGTCTAGAAATACTGCATTGAAATATTAATGTTGTTAAATTATTATTATGCACTTGCAGTGACAATAAATATTGCCAGAAAATGTTCTGAACATTTTTGACAATGGGAGTTCTCATTTCTTGTTAATACAATATAGATATCTATACAACAATGTATATTTATTATTGGTGATAATAAGAAGGTACTACTGCCAATGCTAACAATTTATGCTAGGTCACCTATAGAAAATGCTACTAGCAAGAAGTTTGGTCAGTTAGCCTATCATAGGAATTCACTGGGAATTAACAATGATAGTTTCCAGGGGTGACTATATGGTGGTTGCTCAACATAACATTTTTGATAAAGTAAGTAATAGGGGCCACTAGTCCCCACTCCTATACTTTCACCCTACTGAACAATTTTTTTAAGTTACTTAGTCATAAATATGTATATTTGTTGTATTTTTTTGTATTAACAAATTTTAAAACAAGAAATTGTAATGTTAATATGTTTTAATTTTTAGGTATGAAACCTGTGCTTGGGGCTGGAATAAAGAACGTAAAGTAGAAGAAATGACAGATGATTCAGCATGGTATATCATTGCTAAAGAGGCTAATGGAACTCTCCTTGCTTTTTCACACTTCAGATTTGATATGGATTTTGGAGAACCAGTACTTTACTGGTAAGATACTTTTTACATATCTTCATAAAACTTATAATTTCAAATGTGAGATATTAAATACCATAGATGGCACATTACATTCTATGTATACTGCTATTGATGTTTATGAGTAGTTACTATTATTAAACAGTAGGTGTCAGCTTCTTTTCAATAAAAAAAATACAAATTGATCCAGAAATAAATCAAAATGAATTCTCACAGTGTTTGTTTTCCTAGGGTTTATTAGTAGGTTACATTTTATTTGTAGGTTGGTAATAAAGACAGAATTTTATTAAATAAATATCTTACTCTTTATTCTTTATCAATGAAATTAATAGCTTAGTATTATTTATATATGTTTATTATTAATTACAGAAACAATTTTATAATATATGTATTACATTTTTAATACATATTCTAGTGACAAATAGCTTAAATTACCAATTTTTCTGTTTGTTGTAAAGATTCTGAAGACAATATTAATTTATATATGTATTTAGCTACACACTAATGAATTCATAATTACCTAATAGATTTACTCATGGAACCTGCAGCATAAGGTTTTCAGTCAAACTCTGATGAAATTATTTTTTTTATTCCCATACTAAAACTAAAATTTAAAATAATGACAAACTGCAATATAATAATATGTATCAATGGGAAAACTGCTGATGTACTATGTAAGGAAGTAAAATCAAATATGAGATAGCTGCAATATACTTTATAAATTATAATTTTAAGGCTTATTTCACAAATGTAAACCGACAATGTAATAGTTCTGTTGATGTAATGTGCTTGTTGTTGTACATAGTCTGCATATGTCTTATGCAGATTATACAGGTTTTAAGGAGATGCCTATGTTTTATGCACTGATAGTAATAACAATTATTCCCAAGATTAAGAGACAAATATTTTTTACTTGTCTATGGTCTAAGTATAATAATTATGACTAAATTTACTTTATTACCAACTTTATAAGAAGCCTCACCACCTTTCGTCCAAGGTAATTCACATACATCCCCTATTTGTGACTAGTCCTTCACCGTAAAACAATTCCACATGCTACAACACGTATCAACTTATAGTGGTGGGGCTTCACATACTTTTGTATGATTCGTATGCCAAAAGTAAGTACTAAATAACTAAGTACTGGCAGTATAATGTAAACTGTCACTAATGTAATCATCTAATAAGATCGACTTGAAAATGACAACTATGTAATGTTAAGTTAATGTTAATGTTAGTGACAATATTGTAATTAATAAATTTTGTACGTATACTCGTATGGGCAATCTCGTGTTTTATGAAAGTAGGAATAATGCGAGTCGGCGCAGACAAAGTTCAATAAGTTCCCGACGAATATAAATTGTATCGTTTATGGTCAAAATACTCTTATTCCCTATTTTTTATTACCTTCCTTCTTGTTGATTCAATAGAAAAATACAAAAATCAGTCGCCGATCTTCTGAGTAAGTTATTGTGGCAAGTTTAATAATGTGTATAGTCTTCCGTGTCAAGCTTTTGGATATACAACGCATGGATACTGCTAATATCATTTTGGGAATTGAATTGAATTATGAATTACCTTCGCCATGTTACGAACATGAATATACTTAAATATACATCTAGATCTAATTGCTCGGCCACTGCGAGCGGAAGAGGCTGTAAAGCACAAATGTGATACCTTGTGCTTATACTGGACATGGTAAATCGTAATTTAATTATTTTTATTTGAACTTTCTAAGTCACTGTATGATACTGAGAATCATAATTTAAGAAACCATTATTTACAGATGTTAATAATAATATAATACAATTATGCTAGTTAATATGTACATTGTTAATTGGTTTTTAATTTGTACCTCCACAATAGACAGAGGAAAACAGTTATTTTTCTCCTGAATAACCTTTTCTCAAACACTAGTTTATCTTTAGGCCACCATGTTATACACCTAGTACAAAGATATCTGAAGAGTTTGTGAAGTATGAACATTGTCATTAAAGTTATACCTAAACTAAGAGCTACTAAATCTAGTAATAAGTATTGCGACGAGGACAAATCAAGTGCCGGTGATCGTAAATGTGTAGCTCCTTTATGTCGTAGAACGTACTCGATCCAATAGATTCCCGTCTCCAAAGGTGGCAGTGGTCGGTCGAGGAACACATCTCTAAGTTTTAAAGCGTTCTGTTTGTATCTGAAATAATTATAATGAGTATTTATTGCATGTTACAATTGAGAAAATATTTAAATTAAATTTTATGATACAGTTTCTTTTTACTAGGTTTGAAATGAATATACTAATTGTGTAATGTATATATCAATAAAAAGCAAAAAGTATATACGGCATTTTAACCAGTTTAGTTTTAGCAAAACCAGTAGGTTATAACTCCCTTTCTAATATTGTAACCCATAAATTCAACCTTCATGTGCTCCACACTAGAAACCATTATAGCAGCCAGTTTATAATTCAATTAATACCTCATAATTAGGTCCATTATCACCTTCTCTAAAAATGAAGTTGTAGCTGTGTACATAGTCCTAATAAACGAACAATTTTCAAATAGGGCTATGCTATATTTTATGTTTCGGCAAAGATCAGTAAATTATTTTTAGCACTGAACTAATCTTGAAAATTTTATATTTATATTTGCGCTTATGTTTATTAACTATGATAGCAATAAAGGCCAATTTACACGATACAATTTTATTTAAGAGCATATATATAGCAATAAACGCATAGTATTGTGGCATGATGTTATTGCTGTACAATAATGGTATGAACCAGTTTTATAGAATCTATAAGCCAAAACTTATATATAGATATGCAGTCATTATAGTATTCAATGAAATAATCACGTTATCTATTTATTTACTTAATTTTATTTAATTATTATTGCACTGAAATTCTTGAATTCAATTCTTTTCAAAATCTGTATTATATCAAAGCTTCACAGTAATAATAATTAAGCTACTTCATGCAAATATTGTACATGTTTATTTTGTCTGGATATCATTATTCATTTATTTTACAAAAAAGTGGCCCTCTTCACTCCATTTATAGTATGGGTTCCAGGGAGTCTTTACGAGAGTGCTTTAATGAAACAAATATCCTCACCGTTGCTTTTGTTGCACATTTACGAAAATATCATGTATGCCAAAAAATATATAGACAATTTCAAAAGAGTGAATACACTAATAAAAGCTTACGTAACAATAACAGACTGATTTTACCTAAACGTCGTTTAACTAATATTAATAATTCATTTTATGGTAATTGCGTAGGTTTTAGAACAATCTACCAGAGTCTGTTCTAAGCCTGTCTGAATAAAGATTCGAATATCGTATAAAACACTTCATTTGTAAAAAATCATATTATTAAATTGAAAAGTTTTAACAATAATAATGTTTTGTAGAAAAACATAAAACTCATAGAGCTGACAATATTATCTGATTACACTAAGAATGAGTACTTATCGGTTTCTACGTTGATTAAAAATAGCACACACGAGTATCTTGCTCATTCTTCTTGTGATGAATCTTGGTTCCGACTGAGTGGTAGAATAAAAAATATGACTATTCAAAAGTGCTTGTATTGGGTTTATTTGAATAAAGACTATTTCTTTCTTTATTATCAGAACAATTTTTGACGTTAAGTATTAAACATTTTTGAGTCAAGAATTTCTTATAGTTCATAGTACTTCAATTTACTTAATTTTGTTTAGATGGCAAAATTATATTCTTGTTTGCAATTATTATATTTATGATGTAATACAATTGTATCGTGTAAATGGGCCTTTATTAATTATCATTTTAGACGTACCAAAGACAGATACCGACCTCAAAAGTTCAATCGTTATATCTGTGGTAGTTGTAACAGTCGCAAATGGAATAGGAATTTTTTCATAGCGGCTTTGAGTTGTTTATACTAAATACTTTATATGATAATTTTAATTAACGACCTATGACCGCTTCAAAGAACCATATCCTTTTAATAAATGTCGTTGAACTATAATAGGCGATTTACGTACATGATCAACATGAAGTAGTTCTAGTATGTATGTTGTTACTTGAATGTGTGTAGGTACTTAATTGTAATGTTAGATAACACACTATACTTCAGTGTTGAATGTGAATTAGGTATATTTATTTTGATAGGTATAATTACAAAGGCATTAGTCGTAATGAATGTATTAACCCCAAACCAACTGATAATATTAATGGAACTGGACACAAAGGTGAACAGCGAAAATACAAAAATATATTTTAACCTTTCTAAATGGGTTCAAAACCTGGCTGTTAGGCATGGGGACCTGTAACCCAATTGCTTGAAAGTACCATGAAAGGACGACCATCCACGCGATGCCCCTCCAAACCATCGTGATGAATTGCTAATGAATATGTCACAATGGGCTGATTGACCTGACCCTATGGTAATCTTATCATCCGCCACTGGTGCCCCGCCAGAATATGTCGTTACCGCAGGCGTGTGCAACACATCATGAAAAATATCTGTCTGACAACCATCTTTATGTCTTACGTCATAAAGGTTACACGTTTAACAAATATAAACACTGTTAAATGACCTAATGTCATTTATTACGTTCTTTATTCTAAATTAATTTAACATATGAAACAAATCTTAAGGATATTATCATTTTTAATTAATTGTACAAGAACCTAAAATTAAAAACCTTAAAAAATAGTACCTTCAAATAGTAACCTTAATAATATAATAACTAAAATATATTATTGCCTAAAGGAGTCCCTTTAAGCAAGGTTCCGAAGATACTGGCAGCGTTTCCCCTTTGAATGGCTAGACTAATTCTTTGTCCGAGGTAGCTGTGAGCTCTTCGGTCTTCTGTGAGGTATAACAATAAGGTATACCGCTATATATATATATTGGTATATATAGCGGTATACCAATTTTACTTCCCTACTTACTACTTAAGATATTTTTAAATAAATTTTCATGTTCAATTTGTTACGGTTGGTAGTTGTTTTATTTTGTAAAAAAAATAAAACAATAACAATACAAAAACCCTACGTGCTTTATTTCAATTGTTTTGCATGAGAAAAGTTCAATTCCAAGAACTTCAATTTATCATTCTGATTCAGTTTGAAGTATAAATTACGTTTCAAATTCACTACTTACTGTGGATTTCTCAACAATTGATGTAAAGCATTCCTCCAAGTTTCTGTAGTGCTATCTTGGAGCGTGACAGTGAGTGCTACGCCTCGGTCACTCATAGCGCGCGCATTGAGCGCCTGATCGGCATACAGGGGCACCGAGAGCATGGGCACCCCGCATGCTACCGCTTCTTGGGTGCCTAATAATCCTCCGTGTGATATAAACAACTTTATATTCGGATGACCTGAAACAATACCATACACATATGTAGAAACGTGCTACTTGTATGTAGGTATTTTAAGATGTTATGAATGAATAATTAAGAAATAAATACATCTTTCCGGTATAAATCTATGATGTTCATGATTATGAACTAATAGGTAAATCAGTCCATGACGTTGCTCAAGACGTAAAGGTCAGGTTTCGGTCTTTCACGTGAATAAACTAAAAATTGTTTTAGACTATTCTTTTCTGTAAACTCGTATGTTCATACCTTCAAACCAGATCTATTAACCCTGTACATGTACTAAGTGTATATACTACGAACGCCATAAAATCTGTCCTATATATTAATTTGTTTTGTACTATTATTAAAATCCGTAGAAGAGTAAAAAACTGTTCATCCTCAGTAAACATTACAAATATTTTTTTAAGATTAGCGGCTCGTCCCAATATTGTTTGTTTGATAATCTGCATAACATATTACAATGTTCATCTATGCTTTGCTTTCAAATAACAATACTTACATAATGTGGCATACTGAGGTATCCAGTCCATAGTGTATATGTTGTCTGGTACAGTTAGATTTCTAGCCAACATCGCCCTATCCATTTTCACGAGTACTATTTGATTCAATTCAGATAAGACCTCAAATATTTGTGACAGTTTCTGACTAGGTATAGTCTCTATTCTCGACATAGACCCAAAACTCCAGTAAATTACTCCCTCTGTAGATATGTCTAAAATTTTCTTCAAATCCTGAGGAGGTAAACTTTCAACGTAAATATTAATTATACGATGATGATATGTACATCCAATAACACTTTTAATTAGCCAATTAATAATAAATAACATACATTTAGATATATCAATGTATTGGATAAAAACGAGAAAATATGTTTTATGACTTGTGATAATAACACTGGATGAAACTTGTTAAATGCATTGTTGTCCGCACCAATTAATTCGATTGTTTGATTTTTTAATCTTAAATACATAACTACCCAATATTTTCTGATTGGGTCTATAAAATTAACGAGTTTCATTAAAATAATTATAAAAAAAACTTAATCAATACATGACATAAATATCCTTCATTGTAAATCGGCTAACTCCATTCAAGTTTAATGAAGATATCACTGATATACAAACCAAAAAAACACCAACACGTGTTAAATTAAAAATAGTTTTTAATTATTACAACGCTGTAAAATTTATAAACAGGTACAAATACCCATTTATTCTGAATGAGGTTACAATGTACATAGTATAAAGACATATAGGTCACTGATTGTTTACTTGAGGTTTTACGTGAAAACTACAATTTGATACGACAGTTTGATCCATTTGACATTATCTGTGGTGTCGGGTGGGTCTTAGGTCCTAGGTCGACGAGATAGTCGGATTCCCTACTGTAATTTAATATAGGTTAATAAGCTTCACAAACAATCGAATCGATTGTGTGAAGTTCTATTGTTTCATACATTGGCCATTTTTAACCGACTTTGAAATGGAGGAATTTCTCAAGGCCTTCTGAACTTATAATTATAAAATAGGACTACTAACTTAAACGATGTATCAAATCTATAACCTCTTTTTAACGGTCTTCGAAACAGGGAGGCATATGTAGTTATGTCATATGTATTTATTTAGGGTGTTAAAAGCATACTTAAAAAACTTCACAAGATTAATGAAGACACCTTAAACAAAATATTATACATATAATATGTACCCGTATTGAAATCCAGTGCCCGTATCTCTGAAGGGCCTGGACTTCAATACAGTAATTAGAGTCCACTATATTTCAGTAAAATTTTTGGTATCGTGTCTGGAGATGGACGATATTTTGAATTAAATTCTACTAACCTAAGTTATATTACTCACATGATATAGACCATAAATATCCGATACAAATAAATAAATAATTGTTTTATTATATAATTGAAAAGGCTTCTTTTGTATTTTCCAATACATTTAAAAAATTGTGGCTGTTATATGTCTAATAAAATGAAACGTAAAATATGCCATTCAACTCTTATTTTCAAAAATACTCTAGATAGTTCATTTTATATACAGCTTTTTTCATACCTATATTTGGTCTCAATAAGGGAAATACGTGTACCTACTAATAACATTGTGGCTAACATCTATTTCTTGATTCTAGGCATTAATAATAATATTTTGTGTTCGGAACCCTCAGTATGTAAGACACACTTGCCAGTTTTTTTAGTATATTGATTACTATATTTTTATATCTTAATTAATTTGTCCGCCTTTTAATTATCAAAGTAATCAGCGGTCCAAACAAACAAACGATGGGTTAAACGATAATTTGACTATCTGAATATTTTTTGTAAACAATATATATTTTTATAGTATGTTACTTCGTAAGTAAATGAATTATCATTACATTGATAAAAATATATAATCGCTTTAGAGGAAAAAATAACCTATAACTTTCATGCATTTTTTCCACTCAAGAATACGATTATTATTGTCGCTGTATGCCTTGTTCTTGTGTTTAATTTATTACATTTATCAAATTTCTAAAACGGAAACATAAACATTGTTAGGTATTCCTCCTTTATACTTGGCTGCGTTTCCGATAGGTCATCAAAGTCACCCCATCCGTGTACTATACTTATACTCTTTATAAAATTTTAGAGATAAATGCGAGAAATATTAGTTTCCGTCCGTAATCCGTATCATAAAATAAGAACAATGTTAAATCATAATTTGAAATTTTAATAGATTTTTAAACCTTCGGGGCGTTACATATTCTGCAAGATTGTTTTTTAAACTTATATCGAGCAATTATCAGTCTTCTGTTTTTAGTATTCATGTGATAGAGAGGCAAAGCTCTTAAGTAAGACCATAGAATTTTACTTAGATCCAGGTATAAACCTAAACAACCTCGCCGACGACGATTACATCTCTGATAATCAGTGAATCGTACTCAGTATGATAGTGCACGTGAAAATCTGAATAATTTTTGGAAACTATAGACTATAGAAAACTATTCGGCCATTTCAATTTACAGCCAATTTAAAATTTTAAGTAACATTACTTTATTTGTTTGAACATAAGCATCACAGATTTGCCGGATACCACAAACGAACGAAAAATAATTTGGTTTACATATTATACTTTACCAAAAAAAATTGTAGTTCTTACCTTTGATAATGTTTGAGAATCGTCTAAATGCAAACCTCCTACTTCAACCAATGCAGGAACCAAAGGGCGGACTTCATTAATGCTAAAGTGGCTATTAGATAACACCAGACTATAGTTTTGTGCTAGAGTTTCTAATTTAGGTCCATATCCAAAAAGACGATCAGCGATTGTCTGAAATAAAAGTTTCCTTTACACTTTACACACGGATTGATTACACTATAACATCTTAGTACCTACTTAATAAATTATTAATTAAAATATATATTTGTCTATGTCAAGTTCATAATTAGGGTACATCAAGTCCTCAATCTTTACGTAATAATTATATTTTTAAACACAATCTCATTCATACATTATGGTCTTGGCGTCTACCTTAAACAGTACATTTGATTTGGATACGTTATTGCAGTATCACATAGTAACATGCCCTTTCACATTAATTCACTATTGTTATTTTTTTACAAATCTTAATCTCACTTTCATACAGACACATACTATAATACCTCAAATACTTAAACAGTACCTATTTATTAATTGTTATGTCTAGGGAGCTGACTGACCAGAATACATTTGAATGAAGTAGTAACCATCGCCTACATATATACAAGACTGTTAGGTATTACAGAATATACAGCTGCCAGGTCGGAGGTAGTTTTCTTCTTATTGTCAGAGAATACTCTGACAGTGTTGTTATTCTGACATCGTCAGGTTTAGAGCATAACAACGTATACATTGCTATATCATATCAGGAATAGATAAGACCACGACCGTGACACTTCCACTGAGTAACACAAAATCACCACCAGTAGACTACCTATCTACACGTCAGATCTCTTACAATACACTAGTTATTGTAGAATATTCCGATGTACTTACCTGTGAAGGTAGCTGTGATTTATATTTATACAAAATCTTCGCCCAAATCACTGATATTGTATTTAGAAATCTTTCAAACACATTCATGTGCTGGCCATAAGACATCATATACGCTGGTACGTAAGCCGTTGCCTCTGGATTTCCAAGTTGTTCATTCACCCATGGTAAGGGTACACTAGAAAGAAGACCCACGACTGGGGCTTCAAATCTTTCTCCCAAAGGAAGGAAACATTCACTACCAAACACTTCCACAATTATCATATCGAATGTCACTTTCGAACTGAGCAGCGATTTAACCGCTGGTATACGTGAAACAGTGTCGCATGCGTTGACGCATTCTTCCATAATCTGTTCTAGGTTTCTAACAAAATCTGGTTTCAAAGAATGTTCTTTTTTGGTAAGATTGTTGGTTATTTCCGGTATAGTTCCGGCTAAACTTATCTCTTCCACATTTGGAGGAGGATTTTTCTGAAAAGAAATATTATTTGCTAAATCTAGTAATGATTAATAGTTACAGTTTTGTGTGCAAAGGGCCAAAATTGAATTTCTCGTCAGCCAAGTCTGTATTAGCATATAGCGGTAGAATAATAAAAATTTACTGTTCAAGTATTTATTAAGTTTATTTGAATAATGATTACATCTATTTTCATTTAAATCTCTAAACGGTAAGAATGTTAGAAATGGAGATCTAGTCTTAATTGTTGATAAACATATACTACTTATTCCATTTGCATTCATCGCAGACAGAAGAAATGGGCTATAAGTATATAGTTTTCAATACTCGACCGATAAATGATCAAGTTCATTGACTTAAATTTAGAATATGTCGAGATAATTAATCAGTATTTTCGTTTGTGGGTGTATCTCAAGGAGCTACGCATATGCAACAGTTCTGTGATAGTCCATAATTACACGTGTAAAAAATGTCTTAGAACTGTATGCCCAATAAATATAGTATATATATCTTTACTAATATTAAAGAACTGAATAAAACTAATATATTAAAGACGAACAATATTGATCTCAATTTCTCATTTTAACCACAGACTTTAACAATTAACAAAAGAGTATACTCGTATAAGCGTGTATGTATCAAGTATATAGTAGTGAGTGTAATGTTTTTTTTATTGTTTAATATTAGCATTCTGTACTCCTCTTTATAAACTATAAGTGTGCAAAATTTCATACTCCTACGTCTGCTCAATTTTCGTAAAAAAGGTTAAAAATATATAGATATCTATTAGCTTTTAACTACATAATTTTAGCCCTGACTGAAGGTGCACTGGTTGGTTGGTACGGAAAGGTATCTATAAAATTTTTGAAATTATCATGAAGCCGTAACTAGGTGCCATGCCTTAACCATGCCTTTCAATAATAATAATTGATACGATGATTTTAAACACTTATTTTTAATGAAATGAAATATAACAGAAATGAAACAGTATTTAGTAATTTTCCAAAGTTTCAAATACTTGTATATTTCCTTGTATTTTTGTAGTGTATTTTTCCTAAAGTACACAAAAAAATATAGACATTTTATCACGGATACTAATGTGATGAAAGACAATTGCAAGTCGGTACCTAGCAGTTAGCAGAGCTGACTACTACCTAGGTAATAATTGGTACACTAATACTACTACTACTACTAGTTACTAGATACATACCATCGGAAAATGGGTAATGACTGTCACTTGGTGTTGCCTTCTAGCTAATTCTTGCACTATTTTGCCATACATGGCATAATGGCTCCTGGTGTTGGTTGGCAAAACGGCAAGCAGCCGAGCCGCATGGCTCGCCGCAACACATGTCACCACAAGCCAAAGCGCCCACAGCCGCATTTCTTCGCCGCCCGATTCAGATTGCGCCCACAAATAAAGTGGTTACACCGACCTGTGAGTACGCGCTATACTCTGATAAGCAGGAACGTCACCCCGCGATCGCCAGATTAAAAGTCAGCAATGTTTTTAAGATTTTTACATACAATATGCGTTTTACACACTTATATAGCTCGAATTAAAAAATCAATACTTTTTCATAATATATTCTACTTTTGTGAAAATTTTATTTAAAGTTTGAAAAATATTACCAATGCAGCCACATTACAATTACTTGTATTTTTATACATTTTCAATTTGAATTTGAATTTGAAAATGTATAAAATAGTCTAAAGTAGTAAATATAGTCGGGTTTCAAATTTTATTGATCTGATTTCATGACACGATTTATATACCTATCTGCATATTCCTAACAATATGCACATCGGAATTCTCACTTAAAACAAATAAAAATCTATAAATGTTGCTGTTTCGATTGTAAGGTGAGATTACTATAAGCCACATTGTTTTAAAAGAAAAAGTCTAATCCATCACATTTAAAATAAGTATTCCTGTTGCTAAGTAGGAGATATACATATGTAACATGCAACCGTAATGAAAACATGATTAAATTATATTCGCTGCTATAATCCACTGAATATCTCCATCAATTACGCAGCGAATTTACAGGACAAGACATCTCAGTCCTCACGATAACGTGATGTCCGCAGTTGTGGTCGTGTATATAGGCGACGGTTACCGCTACCATCAGGTGGGCCTTTAGCTTGTTTAAAACAAATTATAATTATGTACGGGCTACTTCATACATATGCAATTGCGAATTTTACGACTTATTTTGTTTAGAAAATCCTAAACTCGCAGTTTTAATCTGAATTCAAATTTGTTAGAAACAGGATTGCATAATTAATCCCTAGGTCATTCTATCGGTCGAGATCAAATAGAAACATTAAATGCTTGTACCTATACACTATATGGCACAAGTACATTATATAATACCACACGGATACTGCTAGAATCTATACCTATAATAAAGCTGTAAATGACATCAGTTTGTATCTATACAAACAGAGAGATAACTATGAACTCATGCCGTCTGCTTGCCTTTAATTGAACTTTGATAATTTATCTATATAGAGATGTCTCATTCATCATTGCCGATTTAAATTACCAGACTGTAGCTCTGCTATGCGACGCGGTAGGTTGACGCGATTCTGATTTAATATATATATAATGTACCAAACTAAAATGTATGTTGCCATTATAGTAATTAGCAACATCGATACAGGTATATTTCATTACACATAAACTTATCTGAGTAAGGGTGTCATCGATATACAAAAAGATATTTATTAATTTGACGGGCTCGGTAACTTAGCGGTTTAGGACACCTTACTACCGATGATCACAGGTTCGAATCCTCGCACAGCACAAACATTTGCATTCATTAGTATGATTGTTTTGGTCTGGGTATTTTCTATGTATTTACAAAAAATATCTATGTATATTTGCATAACTTATCTAGTATCCATGGCACAAGCTTAAGCTAGCTTAACTTGTGTTTAGATGATGTGTGAATTATCCTGTGATGATTATTATTATTATTAAATTAGTTGCTCACCATACTTACAGTTGTATTTTATCGACCATAAATGTTCTTTATGTTATGTCTTTTCAATTTTGTATTGCATAAATACTTGTACTAAAAATAATAATAGGTTACTTAGAAAATTGGTAGATAAGTTTTAAATAAGAACTTCGCCATTTTTCTAACTATTATAATGGCGATTACAGCTAGCCCATACAAGGTCCTCCCATCCGCGCTCAGCTACGCCCCTCTCATCGGGCTATTTGCCAATGAAGTAACAATTACCCGAAGACGATTATTACCCCTTGCCTCAACCATTTCCAAGCCGCGGATCTCTAAAAACAAATCTCTAAAAACCACGAATCCCACGATCCAGCAATGACTGAAGCCAACTTAGATTCACAATCCAAGGTACATCAGCCTACGCTAACTGTGTACGCTGATATGGACCAGTGGAAAATTATAGGATAAGGTTGAAGTCAGGCATGCTTTTTGGTATATGACTGTTCATCAGGATAGATAGAGGTCGACCTAATATTACCACAACTAATCATCCTCTCCCCCTAATGTAGGAAGGTTTGCAAATCTTTGCGGCATAAAAAACACCATTATTTCCATCCAGACTGTAGAAGTTAGCAAGGCCATACAGACGGACAGACTACCACACTAAACATTATTTTCCTTATTTACCTAAAACATTATTTTCATTCATAATGATATCGTAATCAAGCCAATGACTACATTAGATATATGTATACTAACAAAATGTATTCTTTATATTTAGGCCAAGTTTGTCTGTACATTTGTACACATCTTAGAAATGTCTGAAACAGATTGAAAAACTGTTTTCATACATTTGTAAGTAAAAAATCAGTGTAACATTTTGTGTTTATTTGATTCCAGTTGGTTAACAAACAAAAGTTAAGTCATTGCTATCCCAAATACCAAATAGACGAAGTCGACGGGCACAGTTAGTTATAAATATAGTTACACCTTTGACTTTTACTTTTATCCACAGTTACGAAGTACAAGTGGAGGCAGCTGGTCGGCGGCGCGGCGTCGGGCAGCATGTTCTCAGCGTACTGGAGAAGTTAGCACGCGACACGCGCATGCGGTTCGTGCGCCTCACCGCTCTCACCCACAACCCTTCTGCGTATGCTTTCTTCAAAGCCTGCGGGTTCGTTTTTTTCAACCGTTGTCTAAATACCTGCCTATTCAACAACAGTCATAATAAACATTATATTTGTGGAAGCTAAGATCAATGATCATATAGTTTTTTTTTCTACGTAATATCATACAATTGTTTTGTAGTAAGAAACTTATAATATTTTAATTCTAATAGCATATATTCTGCCTATATTGATATAAATCTTACAATTTAATTCAGTTTATAAACACATGTTATGCTTACTAATTAACATTCTAATAAATATACAAATGTCAAAAAAGGAGTAAAGAATTAATTTCCTCACTATTTTAATATATGCATTATATAAAGCAGAACCAGATATATCTAAATTACTTATCACTTTTACCCTTCTTTTACTAACTATAAACATGATTTCACACAGTGATAACCCAAGCGTGTTTACACTTATTGCGCAACGAGTATTTTATTCAAGAAATAAATGTTAATTAGCAATTGACCTTAAATATTTTATTTTAAGAAGTTTGTATGGTTTCTCACATTTTAATCGATTTTTTAATTGTTAATAATATTATAGTAACCAAGTACCTATCTTTGTACGTCCGTGGATATACATATAATCAGTGAAATATTGTTTACAGTTATCTGTATTCTCTGCTTAATGTTTGTTACTAACCGGAGTCTATACTACTACCATTAATATCTATATGTATAATTTAAAGATCTTTAATTTTCTTAATATTTTTAAAATTATAATAATCCTTTATAATTATACTTTCACAAATTTTGTTGTTAGTGAAAAATCTATTTTTTTCATCTTTCTGAATCATTTATAAGTCATTTTAAAGTATTTATTAACTGATACCATTTAATGGTGTTAAAAATAAAATTATCTAATAGTGAATTTCATACTACAGGTACAGTTTAGACGAGACAAGCCCGCCAATTGAGGAAGCAGCGCATTATGAGATCCTGAGCAAGGCGATAGACGCTGATGACAGTCAAGTAGTCGACGAAACCAAACAGACCGAACAGTGTTCACTCAGCAATGGGATGAAAGCTGTAACGGTCAACGCCGATCAATCATAGCATACGCTTAATTTGTAGAAAATTAACAAAAGACAGTTCACAAAAAAAATAGAACAGTACCCTAAGCGATTGAAACAGTGAAAGCTAAATAGAATAAAATCTATAAGAGATTCATCGCATTGTTAATTTATTTTGTTATCTCTCACAAATACGAAAACGTGATTGATACTGATAGTACGTGTTAATTCTGATCTTGAACAATGATAGCATAATGTGTAATAAAAAGTTAATCTAAAAGTATTAAAACGTTAAGTAAAAAATATTCTATGAAAGTTATCCTCGAATCCCGTATATTTACTGTTAACTATAAGGTAAATTTTTTACCTTAATAAAATGGAGTTGTCTATGGTTTAAAAATAAAATAAGATACCATTTACATATGATTTGTTTTTTTTAGAAAATCATAGCAGAAATATACAATATACTGGTAAAAAGAAAGACATATAATAAGCAATTAATTCTTTCAAGTCATACACTGTAAATATACATACAATATTGCAGTATCGTGATGAAATTGAATTAAGAGAAATTTAGATATTCAAAGTAATAGAAAAGAAATGGAATCAATAGTACATGTTAATGATAATCATGATCTGACTGTAAAATAGAAGGTATTTATCTAGTATAAAATATCTCAAATTGTCGAGTAGTAATTAATTCGAATAATAAATGTTTTTTTTGTACATATTTAGTTTTTAATTCACTTGAATATTTTAAAATCTTTGGAGGTCTTCCTATTAATACTAGTATCGTTCTTGTAAACCCACTTTTAATGAAGATATAAATTAGTTAGATTTTTTCTCATTATTATCCCATATGTAACGTAATTGTATGTTAATAAATATTAAACATTTTTTTCAATGGATTAATATGGAATGGTACACCCGCCTAAGGTGGCTAGCGGAGTGGACTAGTGGAAGATGATATAATATGATTTCACACATTAAAAAACCTTTATAAGTATAATAATTTCAAGTATTTTTATTTGTCTAAATACATAGTGCTATATGCCTTGAAATACATAGTGCTATATAATATTGGTAATTGTAATTTAATGATACCATTCATATCACAGATATTTCTATTGTTAACTGTAGATACCTAACATTAATTTTTACAATTTATGATATACCTAAAAGTACTCTTTTTGTTCTCGCGAGTGAGTAGAAACTCATATCATGTAAATCATAAGAAAGATTAGTCTTCGATATTTTCAACATCTAACGGTGTATCGGGTCTTCCGTCGTCCGTAAATCCTGTTTGCGAATGATAAATTGGACCAGGCAAGGAATTAGTGTCTCTCAAATCATGTGGCGTCTCCGTGTCTACTCGTAAATGGTGGCTGACATTCGTAAATGTGTTATCTTCGACACAGTGTCCGTTCGATAAAGTATTCGCATATGTTGTCCAAGTACTGGGTGTAAAAGTAATTCTTTGCACTGTCGGAGCCAAGGTTACTTCACGCGGTGGTGGTATATTAGCACTTTTCTCTCTACGCTCACGGGCACGGCGATTTTGAAACCAAATTTTGATCTGAAAAAGTAAAATATATAATATTTTATTATTTTTACTTGATAGGAAACAAAGAAATTAAATCATATGAAATACTACGAAGCAAAGAGTTTCAAAATTGAATTCAACTTTCATTGGTTGGGTTAGAACGCCAGCAGAAATCAATCTAAAAGTTATAAAGTTACATTATTAAGGTAACGACGGCCTTACTAATGAAGCTTTTTTTTTAAGAATTTAGCACACACACACGCTTCCGATGCTCGATGGAATTGGTTCGATCCCGTCAAACACTTGTATACTGTTTTTCTGTGTTTAAGGTTTACAAAAAGAAAGAATGTCTTTAAGTTGTCAAACAAAATTATTAACAGTTAGTTCTGCTTAGTAGATGACGTATAGTGATACCTACCTAGTCTAGTATAAAAACAATGCTAGTCTATACTTCTGAATTTGTACACCTTCCTTTTCTCATTCAAGTTATTTAACCTTGATAGAACGCGGAAATTCACGAATAGAATTGCTCTTACCCTGTCGTCTCGGAGCTGCAAAGCGGCAGCGAGGGCGCGTAGTGCTGGCGGTGCGAGATAAGGAGCGCGCGCGTACGCCGCCTCGAGCGCGGACGCCTGCGAAGCCGTAAACGGGACCCGCGCGTGCCGGCCCGAACGGCGACCGCGACACGCGTTACTGTTCACTGACCCTGTTATTGACAGCTTTATTTATTATATCAAACCACAATTATTATCTAATGACGACGTCTCGTAAATATTTCACAATAATATACACACTAATGTTAATGTGAAGTCATCTCTACACATAGTAAAATTGTAGCAATGCGAAATTTACTATACTACATACGTAAACGCTGTTTACAAAGGGTACTCGGGTAGATTTTGTGATAAGTCATCTGCGTAGATAGCTGTCTCACTTATTATACCCGCCAAACAGTATGCTTCGTAAGCAGTGTTTCTGTTGGAGGAGTAATGAAATTCCAGAGTTCTAAGATGTTATGCCTATAGCCTGACATTTTAGTCCTTTAAAATGGTAACTAATTGTAGCTGTCCATGGATAGTATATACAAAGGTTACTGCAACCGGTGGGCCGTCTGCTTGAATGCTATTTTAACTACATAAACAAAGTAATATCTACATAACACATCCCCTGCTTCCATTCACATTCACCCATAGATACATACACACACACACTCACTTGTAAACACCACTTTGGTATACACTCCACGATACAATATCGTATCTATGCAGTGCGCGTATGAAAATTAAAGCCTGTTTACATTCAACCCAAATAAATTAAAAAGCCTATTATAAATTATTTAGTACAGACTAGCTATACAATATCTATAGTGCGGCATTTAATTTAAAAAATGCCTCTCGTCCTCGGACTAGCGACCAATCCGCACTTTATACTTTTCTCACTTTTCATTCTGCGTTTTTTTGTTCTTGTTCGACTCTAAATATCGTGATGTCTAATAGCCGATAACCTTCCTCAGGATTATCTATTATATTACAATGAACATTCCAATACTGTGACGTCACGCGTGGATAGGTAATAATTCCTTCTACTAAAAACTGTAAACCGCCACTTCCTTTTGCTTTTTTGAAATAAAGGAAGTCTTGAAAAGGTAACAGACAAACAGACACACTTCCACATACTATATTATAAGGATAAAGGTGCTTAAAACAGAACAACAATTGTGTAAGTGTCCTAAAACAAGGTACAAAGCAGTGCCGATAATGTAGTTTAAATATAGTCATCTACGACATGAAAATGTATATCTCAGGTAAAAATTAAGAACTCAAAAAATGCTAACGTGGAAGACACGGAGGTTTATAGCGCGTATAACACAGCCAGTCTGGAACTCCAGTATTTTCGTCTATACTATGTCTAGGGTGTTCACTTAATATTCTTTCAATACTAAAATCTGAACTACCACATTTTACACTGGCCGTCACTGGTACCCCATCCATGACTATCAACTGACAAGATGTCTACAATCAAACTGTGGTCCATTTAGTTACTCATAAAAGACTGGACCGGTTTATGGGTTGTTCTAAAAAAGACCACGCCCAAACGCCCAAAGGGATGATACAACCCTGATTTTATAATACGTTATCAACCACCGCCATCAATGGGGAACACGCACCGCCGAACTCACAAGTGTTGTGACGCTAGTTCATTCATGTCTCGCAAATTGAATGAGAAATGGATACTGTTTGCACACAATAGGATGTTATTAGTTTAAGGGTATGTGGGAAAATTAATTTGTAACATATATTATATTACCATTGTATCAATACATGTGTTCTGTAATTCGATATGGGATTAAAGAAGCAAATTGAAAAAACGTACGTACGTACTTTTCGACTTAATTAGTTAACTATTTCTTGAGAGATGATTATAAATAATTGGAATCATCATTATAATATGTAGGACAATGTAGGTATCGACGTATATTAATGGCTAATCAAGAAAATACCCATAAGTAGCTACATACTTGCACATAATGTTTAGACGCGATATCAATACATACTTTTAATTCACTTCTGTAGCCATATTTAGACTTTTATTAATACAAATAAAGTAAATATAATGTTAAAAATAATTATTGATATTTTTATATTATTTTCCGTGTTTTTTTTTATAAACACCGTAATTTACTAATGTGTCCTTAAGTTAATTAGTATCAGGTTATTTTATTAGAACAGATTTTTTGCCTAGTTATCATATAAATTATACCTGAACAATTTTACTATACTATTGAATTATATAGTCAAGTGAAGAGTACTTGCTTAACATTAGTTAATGTTAATGTTAAGCAAGTACTCTTCACTTCACTTCTTAATATTGATTGTTATATTTATATGCAACACAATGGAAATACAAGCGAACCAAGATTATCTGATAATGTCCCTTACTGCCACTCACTACAAACAATTGCCGAAACTCCATAGAATGACCGCAGTGGTTATCGCAGATGTTTTGGAATAATTGTCCAATTTGTACAATTGTATTTTTTGTTATTTTGAAATAAAAAAAAGGCAAACGGTTTTTCTGCTTAATTTAATATACATTTGTTATCTGGATAATTAACTTTTACATACCATACTAATTTCAGACATACATATTTTTAAAGATGGACGACGGAAGTGAGATTGCTACAAACACAAATGAAACGAAACATACAATACTACCTATCTATCGTAATGTATATGATCGACTATAAAATAACATATTTTGCCTTCATTTATCGACTAAAAACACTACCTATAAATGAATGTCATTGAGTTATTTATAAACAGGAAATAAGATTACAGTTTTTCGGTAGGAAGAAACCAATGTCATTTGTTTTTGTTTCATTATGTTTCACATTTTAACTAACAATTAGAACAAAAACGAATAATCATGTAAATTTTTAGAATCCTAGTACTCGCACGTATCTAAATTTAATGGAGAGAGCAGGAGATTGTAATGAATCTTATTAATAATAGTATCCCTGTAAATGATCGTAGTTAATTCCGGGTGAATTCGCAACAATTTTTTATTTGTGGATTTAAAAATGGACAATATAGGCCCAGTATCCAGACTTTCGTGCACCAGTGTGTATGAAACTTATACTTGTACTCAATGGTTAAAAGCCGTAACAGTTATTTGCATTGTAATTTTTCCATTGCATGAATATCATAGCCTTACCTTTATACCAATACATATTTAATATCGGCGCAATATGTCATCTTCTTCCACCGGTCTCTATCAGCCATCATATCTGAGCGTAGGTACTTTCCTTTTATGCTTTCACAGTCCATCCATGTTTCCTTCGGTCATCCTCTCCTTTTACACTCCATTGCTTATCTGAGGAAAATAATTACCACTAAAAACACTAAGTTAATTATACTAAATACAGATAGGTAAATACAGTATTTAAGTACATCTCATACTCAAATATACATAAGCATTAGAATGAATACAAACATAATTGAGTAAATAATTTTGTACGATAAATAAATCATGGAAAACCAGTTACTAAATTGAATTGAGATACCTGGTAGTTGCTTCAAGGCTGTTGTTAGTCCGCCGGTGCACCGTCACGCAAACACTCGCTCTCACATTGTACTATTATCTGTCAATAAGTAAACAACTGCATATCGCACTAAGAAAACTTCTTAAAATATTTATTTGTAAAAAGTAATTGATAAAATTATACAATATTACACAAAGTGCATCAAGGAGAAATGACAGTCGAAAAATATTTTGTTCTACAAGGCGGCGATCGCATGCCGCGTATTGGATTCGGTACCTGGCAGGTAAAAATATATTTCAATATTTTTATTTATTTGTATTGTTTTCTTTAACTAACAAACATATAATAATTTCAATAATGTATATTTGATTAAAGATAAAATTGTTATTTCTGCGATCAAATATTATGGTTTATAAAACTTGTGTATGGTAGACCTAAAAAGTAGGTAGATGACTTACTTTTTAGGTCTACCATACACAAGTTTTATTCCACTGCATATAACACTACCCACAACAGATATTTTTATGTAAAAAATGGATTTGGAATGCAGCAAAATTGTAGAATGAAATTTGTCATAGACAATCAAGCATATTGCCCATTAGAAGGTAAACGGTTACCAAAGTCTATGGATGCCTAAAACACCTGGTGATGCGGGTTGTTGACCCTTTCCTTACCACTCTTGAAAAACCCCATACGGAAGAAAACTTTGACATTTTCATTCCACAAAGTGAGTGTGTGTGGGAGGAAACTCCTCTCAAACCGCACTGTCGGCTTGGCATGGATTCTAAAATGTCATTATAAATTCTTTGTCAATGGCGATTCAATTCGCCACGATCAATGTCACAGTAGAAGTCTCAGATGGTATATCTGACAACTATGGTTACCTAGGGTATCCCGTTAAAATTAACCTGTCATGGTACATTGTTATCAATGGGGTCTCTAAACTTTCTAAAATCTATCTTTCCACAGTTATAATATGCGGTTAACTCTACATGATTGGAATAGAAGTTCATGAACTCGTGAGAACATTCTCACACAACGAACAAAATACAAAATTAAAAATTGAATTAATTAAAATAATGACAGTTTAGTTATATTACATTAGTAGCAAGGTATTAGAGTATATAAATTCCCAACTTTACAATTTTCATATTTGTATTTCTTTTTACCCGGATCAGTTTTAAATATTTCTTAATGAATTCCATTTGGATTCATGTAATTTAGTCGTAGAGTCTGTAATTGAACAGGGTTTACCATTATGTAGAAAGATGTGAAGCTGTGAGTGACTTGAACAGGTTTTACTATGACACGAGTAAGAGTCACCATCGTAATCCCCAGTTGAACATGACGCCAGTCCTTTTAAAGTGGATGGTCTGCAAGTACTTTTACTGTCATGAGAATTTTCATCTTCATCATGTGTAGTAGTGCATGTCTACAATAATCGCCATATTACAATACTATAATCGAAACATACGTTGTCGATCTACACTTCAAATCCATTTCAAACAAATTTGGTAATATGAATAATGACTTAATGACTTTCTTATCTATACTTAAAATAAATTCCAACCACAAACTCATTATTTACATCATTTCTTTAGATAAACAGGGTTATAAAGATATTAGTTATGACAAAATTAATGTCAAATAGCCATCGAAGAGTACGTCATAAGTATTCTTTTCCTTTTATAATTGTACTAGTGGTCGCCCATTGGCTGAAATTCGACCATAATTAATCTAATATTCAGTATGACTACGGACAAATAATAGTAATCTATTCTCAATTTGACTACAGACTTCTGTACATAATATAAAATTAAGTCGCTTTCCCTGTCTGTTCGGCTAGATCTTGTAAACTACTCATTGGATTTTTATTTGTTTATAAACGCAGTTTTTAGCAATAGATAGAGTGATTCAAGAGGAAGATTTACATGTATAATAAAACATGTACCTACACCAGTGTGTAGCCAGGGCGGGCAGATAGTTAACAATAAACATAACAATAGGTATATAAGCATGTGTGTATCTAATACTGTGTGTATAATGTTTTTTTTATTGGTCCATTTGATGTATTTTTATGTATATTTAGCATTAAAAATATTGTCATTCTGCACTCCTTTGGTCGTTTAATCCCAAATAAATGCGGTTCAATCTAACTGTAATTATCGTAATACGCAGGAGTATTTACTACAATATTTTTAGTTAATAATTGTTTGTTTTGTATCTAAGTTAACTTTACGTTTCATATTTCTCCACCTTATGCAGGCGTCAGATGAAGTGCTAGAAAAATCTGTTAGTGACGCTCTGAGTGCGGGGTACCGACACTTCGACACTGCTCGAGCGTACGAGAATGAGGCAGCCCTGGGCCGTGCCTTAACTAGATGGATTGGCGGTGAACAAACTAGAAGAAAAGAGTTATTCGTCGTTACCAAGCTACCTCCAGGAGGTAAACAACATCTAGTATTGATGGCCTCGGTGGTCTAGCGGTTTATCACACCGCTATACGTCCGATGGTCGCGGGTTCGATTGCTCCCTCGGCACTAATATTTGTATTCATGAGTATGATTATTTGTATTGATCTGGGTGTTTTCTAAGTATAATATATAATGTACGTATTTACGAAAAAAATATATCCATTTGTATTTGTATGTATATGTATCAGCTGTCTAATGCCCATAATACAAGTTTTAGCTTGCTTCACTTGGGTCAAGATGGTGCTATATGAATTGTCCTGAGATTATTATTATTATTAAAAATACGAAAGTTTGTCCACCTATTACATTTTCACGAATCCTAAAACAAAACAAACAAATAACAGCTAGATTTATATATTTTGAAGTGGTAAACATAATGAACGTCGCCATGAAAATTACAGGAATAGTACTTACTTATGTACTTAGTCCCCTCACGTTATGTTTTGTTTATTTCCCAGTGCTAGAGTGTCGTGCTTCCAGAACATAGACAATGACCACTCATAAGGATATAGATTATTGTTTTAATTTATTATATAATATGTCATTATATTATTTATTTTGAATTAGCCAAAAGTGTAAATTCAATAGGGCCCGCGAGCCAGGAACAGGTTAAAATGACCAATTTCCCTCCCGGTCAGAAACTTCTAAGAATCTTAAGTTGTGTTCTGATTCTGAAGCTTAGTGAAAGTCAGCTGCGATTCCGAGGGTGAGTGTGAGTGTGAGCAGCACCTTGTACCCGCGACTTCGTCCTCGTAAATTAGTGACCTTGACCAAATAATGAAAAAAATGTTTAATGACCTAATCCTATAAAACCCAAATAAAAAGGTTCATCCTTTTTGCTCCAAAAATGACGACACTTCCATACATAACTCTAATTCCGCAAGTCCAAGAAGCTATCAAACCGGTTTTCGAAGATTTATCGAAAGACGAATTATCTTTCGACCCCTCATAACTCTTTTTCTAAATATATATTGAATAAATGGGTTAAAAATTAAACTTCAATCTTCTAGCTTTAAAAATGACATTATTTCCATATAAACATTTAACTCTCCTTTAAATTCTTTACAACCCATTTTTCTTTATTTATATTTAATCAACAGCCTCAAAAATAAATTTCAAGTTTCTGGCTTAAAAAATTACGAATTTACCTAAAATATTTCATTCCCTAATTTATTTTACCTTCATAAGGGTAAAATTTTAAAAACTTGTATTTTAGGTTGATTATTAAATATTTATTTATATGATGATTTAATCATCAACCTAAAAAGTTTCAAGCTCCTTTCCTACCTTTAAACATGATGATTCTTACGTACAACCTTGCATCTACTATTTCAACCCCCTTACAACCCTTTTTTCGCATTCAAAAGTATCCTATGTGCTTTCTCAAGATCTAGACTAATTGTGTACCAAATTTCACTTAAATCTGTTAAGTAGTTTTAGCGTGTAAGTGAGACTGACAGGCAGACAGAGTTACTTTCACAGTTATAATAGTAGTAAGGTATTTAATAAACTAACACATAAAGCCAATAAAAAGGTTTCATCGTTCTAACTTCAATAATGACGAATTTACATAAAACTTTTTTCCTCTATTTTATTTTACCCCCTTAAGGGTATTTTTTTACAAACTTTGATGGCCTATTTATTTATATTAACCAGCAGCCTCAAAAATCAGTTTGTATCTTCAAAAATAACGAATTTACATAAACACTTTCATCCCCTATTTTATTTTACCCCCCCTAAGGGTAAAATTTTTACAAACGTAGAATATCATATTTATTTATATTTAATCAACAGCCTCAAATATAAGTTTCAAGCGTCTATCTTCAACAATAACGAATTTACATAAAAAAAAATATCCCCTAATTTATTTAATTTTTTAAGGGTAAAATTTTTAAAAACTTTGTATATCATATTTATTTATATTTCATTAGCAGCCTCAAAAATAATTTTCAAGGTTCTAGCTTCAAAAATGACGAATCTTCCATAAAATCTTTCATCCCCAATTTCAACCCCTTACAACCCTACTTTCGCATTAAAAAGTAGCCTATGTCCTTTCTCAGGGTCTAGACTATCTGTGTACTAAATTTCATTTAAATCGGTTGAGTAGTTTTGGCGTGAAAGCGAGACAGACAGGCAGACAGAGTTACTTTCGCATTTATAATATTAGTAAGGATGATTTTCTGTATTAGGTGCAATTAGAGTTTAAATAAAAATAAATAAAGTGACTTACTAAGTAGAACATCTATACCATCTATCTTGAGTACTATAATTTCCTGTTAGGATGATAATAAAGATATTAATCTTGTATTAGTCGGCGTGGAAGCGAACGCAACACTTGACATGTTGTGATTATTATATTTGGATATACGTGGCATCTGTTTTTATACGAATAAATTTTAAACATACAATTTTCAACAGGAAATCGGCCAGATTTAGTTCCTGAGTACTTCAACAACTCTCTGAAGGATCTTGGCTTAGACTACTTAGACATGTATATTATGCACACGCCGTTCGCATTTGAACATATACCTGGAGACCTACACCCAAAGAACCCAGACGGTAGCATGAGAGTTGATCTTTCTACAGACCTCATTGCAGTTTGGAAGGTGCGTACTTATATATTTACCTCACATAATATATTACTAAAACTGTGTAAATAAAAAAATACTTGATAAACAAAAATATTACTTTGTTACTATCAAAGGTACCATATGGTCTATTATCGCGGTTGTTTTATAAAGAATGATATATTACAAAGTTACAGCACAATAAGCTAACAGCAACGAGCACTAAAATTCTAATTTTGGTACATCTGTTGGATAAAGTCGTTCTTATAGAGTAAATATCAGTATAATTTTCCTTCTACTTAATGAATAATAAACGTAAATATTTATCGATGGTAGACATTTCATTGAACTGATTTCAACAGAAACTTTTTTGACATGAAAACTTATAATTTAATTTGTATTTTTTTTTGGTTAGGTTTTTCCCTTTTTATGGAATTTAATTTGTTTAAAATTTTCATTTCTTGTGTCATTTTGTAATGTCAGTTCAAAATCAATTGGCAAACATTTCATAAAATATAAACGACATAAAATATTCTAATTTTTGACATGTTATAATAAATACCATATAAATTAAATAATTCTAACGATCCAAATCTAGAAATGGGAATATCACTAGAAGAAAAGTACATAGTATACAGCCATAATGAGAAAGCTCATAAACAAGATGTAAATCATATTAGGGGGAGCGCTATATATCGTAGTAACTCAATATATAAAGAATGCTGTTATACTGAACCCCCATCTGCTAAATACACATTAAAACATAGTAAAATATTACCAACAGTGAAGCGTATTACAAGTTCGCCAAACAATGAAATAATGTGTGCTACCAAAATCGGTGAAGATGAGAACTATTTTTTCTGGTCTAAAGTATATAGGTCTCCATTATCTAAACGACAAATTAACGATGTACTTAATGTGGTAACAAATAGGTCATACCCACTAACAGAACCAGATGAATTTAGTTTATTAGGAGATAATATAAATGTTTGGAGTAACAACGATGTAACGACCACTAGTACACAAACTATACGCAATGCAGTAAAATCACATGCTAAACAGCCATCAGTGATGAACCAAACATATCTGCATAATATGCCCACTTTTTTGTGTCCATGCTGTACCGGCGGAGACGATGGTATAGACACGCCTTATCAAAATCATACAGTTAAAGATTCCCTTGAAAGTATAGATTTAAAAATATCTAAAACTGCTTTGCCTGCTTTGTATTTAGACGCTTCACTTTTGAGTATTATCAATTTACATAGAAGTATGAAATCTAAGAAAACTCCAAAATTGGATATTAGTTTTTTAAAAGTTATTCTTCGCTGCACATATAAGAACAGTGCATCAATCTTTAAATCTTTGAAAGCTATATTATAAAATGAAATCTAGTGACAATGTAACTAATCACTCAATATAAATTTCAGTAACTACAAATATAAATACCTATAGGTACGCTTCTTTGTTAACAATACAACCAGAATTTTATTACTATGATCATTAAAACGAAATTAATGTTGAAACATAAAAATGATCCAAAATAACTGAATACGAAATAATGTTGTCATGAGGTTGAAAACTTCGCCATGTACTCAATGTTTTAGCCTGATCAGCTGCAGTGATACAAATCCATTGAGATGCCGAAGTCGGAAACCAGAAAAATGCATGTATTCGTATATCTATAAATACATATTGTGCTGCGGTTGGTGTTGTGAACCACACTATAAGACGCGTCCTGATAGAATCACCCATCGCAGAGCATACATGGAACATATAATAAACAAACCCAAAGGTTCCAAGCATAGACTCAATACAGAAATTCGATCAAGTGGGAAAGAAACTAAAATATACTTTTATGCTATAAAGCCTACATTTTTATCCAATTGTCCAAAACCCAAATCGTCTTTAAATTCTTTAGTATGTCATTCCACTGATATGGAAACCAACTCTACTTATACAACAGAAAATAAATCTAAAGGTTTAAAAGAATGGAAAAAACCTGTTAGTATCATAAATGCTTCTATACTATAGTCAGTTGAATGTTTCTACTTTAAAAACATTTTCCAAGCAAAATGCAACACATATCAAGGATTGTTTTATATTAAATATTTTACATTGTTGTTTGGGAGAAAAATAAAAATGAAAGGAAGAAGTAGACCCTACACGATGTAAAAACATATTTTTTAAAAATCGACATAAAAATAGATGAAATCAAAGTCTTTAAACAAAATAGCAATGATTTTTGCTCCCAGTAGTTTCAAATCCAATTAAAGTTTAGAAATAATACATGGGGTATTAACAAAATCAGGCTCTGATTCGTCTGTGAACAGTTATATTAGTTTGAAAATGCATCGACCAATAACCAAAGAATATACTAAGGAAGCTAGTGTTCTTCAAGTTATGATTTACACTTCAGTCAGGAAATTAAAAAAAAAATCAAATACTGAATGTAAAAAAAAATATTACATTTACGATTAACACTAGATTCGAAAAAAATAAAGACCACTCATTATAGGAGTGAATCCTCGCAGCATTGAAATAGTACACGGGAATCTATTAGATCTTTGAATAAAATCTGTGAACCTGGCGAAATACTCGTGAAGAAAAATGCTGACATGAATTGAGTAAGCGGGTTTTTATAAAATCTATTTAAAAATGATATAAATCTGATATTATTACATTGAATCATCTCATGATATTTAAAATTTTTAATGAACTGATGTATATTTATATATATGTAATAGATACATTAACTTGAAACATTCTGCATCATATTAATGGTCGTTCTGCAGCCCATGAGGGTTAATCCTGTTTTGATAACAAAATCAGGGATTAATAGTTATTTTTATGTGAAACGAAATATATTATAGTAATGTAACATTGTCAACTGTATAAAATAATAAAATAAATACATATACATATTTACTAGCTACTCGCCCCGGCTCTGCCTGGGTGTACATGTATTATACGAGTACATATAAACCTTCCTCTTGATCTCTCTATTTTTTAAAAAAAACACTTCAAAATTTAAGCATAGGGACGAACAGACAGCAACAACGACTTTGTTTTATAATATGTAGTGATAGTGAAGTTTTCTATTAAGTAGACTTTTTTTAACTTTACAGGCAATATTGAAATTAAAGGAATCAGGACGGGTGCGACACGTAGGCGTGTCTAACGTAAATGAAGAACAACTGAGAAGACTATGTGCCGTAGAGAAACCAGCTTGCCTACAGATAGAAGTACACGTACTGTGTCAACAAAAGTCTATGATTGGGATTGCAAGTGAACTTGGTATTCCTATAGTGGCATACTCTCCACTTGGCTCTAAAGCGCTAGCTGATGTCCTCGCTGCAAAAACTGGGTAAGCTATGTGTATGTATACAATAAGATTTTCTTTACTGAAAGGTAAATGTTACCTATTCTTGTTGTTCTTACGTTTAGTCTATGGCCAATAAAATATAGGCATAGATAGATACATATTTTTGTAAGGATGAATGTGTATGTTGTACCCTCCTATGCTAACGTAGCTATACGGAGCATCGGTGCAGAATTATCTTATATCGTTCTGAATTAATGAATTCAGTAAGCCCATCGCGAATGTACCAGGAATTGGTCTCTCCATATTTACATATAAGTTCCACAACATAGACGCTTTATAATGAAAGAGAGGACACGATTGTTTAGAAAATGGCAGGGACAAAAGATGTTAAACAATAAATCTTTTTCCAGGATTGTCTAATTAGAAGTAATAAAACTAATTAGAATAATATTAAATAATAACTAACTACGTTCATTTCATATTTTAAATCCTAATATTTTGGCAGTGATACAATAACTAATTCAAATAGGTACCTACGTGTAAACTGAAACGCAGTACACACTATAGGTACTTCTTGTATAAATTCGCAAAATTGATATATTTTGCGATGTAATCTTCAAGCCGCGAGTATCCTGATCTGCTGTCACTACCAATAGTACAGCGCATCGCTGACGCCCATTCCCGTACGGCAGCGCAGGTCCTTTTGCGGTACACCTTACAACGCGGAGTCGGTGCCATCCCAAAGAGTACTAATCCAGCAAGAATACAACAGGTATTTGAATGCTCTTGCCAACCACATTCAAAATATTGTCATATTTATACGTAAATTTCTCTGTATTAAATAAAAGCACTTTTAAATTATTTTTTAGTAGTAATATCATACATATATATCTAATCCAAGCCGTGTTTGTACTATATAAAATAATAAATAAAATCAATTTACACCCTATATTACTTGTTTCTAGAATTGTCCATTTATATACACTAACTGCAGACAGGGCTTATAACTGATTTGAGTGTAAGAATAGGGACATTATTAAGGCCTGTTTCATTCCAATCAGCTCACAATTAATTGAATACGAGCTGTTCTGGAATCGACTCATACAAAGTGACAGCCACTGTTAATCTGTGATAATTGTATAGACTACCCCGTTCCATAATAAAGCTTACCTACTTATACTAAGTATAAGTAGATAACTCTCAACTGTCTTACGAACTATGTAGCTAACATTAAAAAAATGAAAGGTGTCTGTTTTTTATTTATATCATCTTAGCATCTTATCGGCATCATGAAATTGTTTTTTTCTTTGGGTGACTGAAATGACTAACATTATAGTAAGTACCTAATATAAATTATTAAGAAGATTAATAGTGGTCAAGCTTGACCATTATTAATATATATCTATATATAACATATAATTTATATAAGTAGTGATGTGTAATTTTTTTTATTTATTGTATTTTTATGCATAATTAAAAAAACTTGTATTATATATATAGATAACACATATTTTTTTAATATTTCAGAACATTTCACTATGGAACTTCGAACTAACTGAAAGCGAATTGAAAGAATTATCAACTGTAGATCGCGGTGAAAATGGTCGTATTTGTGACTTTTCTTTATCTATCTATTTATGAACAACAATCACTGACATCACTTTCCTGGTATAGAGAAGATTTAAATGAAATTTGGTACACCGCCGAGGAAGGACATGAATTTCCTTTCAAACACCAAGCTTGAATAAATCTCTGATCAAATAAATGTATAAAAAATATAGCGAAAGCGCTAAAATTATAGAAAATAATAATTACAAAGATATCTATATCATACTTTAAGATGTATCTAATGTTAATAAAATAAATAACAAATTCTGGCTTTATATCACATTGTCTCCATTCAAGGGGTATGCAAATAGAAATTCGTCATATTTGGAGCTAGAACGATGAAGCTTTTTTCTTACGCTTTTTTGGGTCAGTTTATTTAATAAATACCTTACTAATACCTTACTTAAAAGCCAAAACTTCTGAACTGATTTAAATGAAATTTAAAGTCTTATAACGAAAATGGGTTGTAAGGGTCAAAAGGGGAGTTAAAATGTTGTATGCATGTATGTCATTTTTTAAAGAGAAACTTGAAACCCATTTTTTAGGCTGTTGAGATAATATCAGTGGACTAGCGACATCTTATCATTGGTACATGATGACACTAATATAAGTAGCAAAAAAAAACAAGAAAAAGGGTTTCTTGATATCGCCTTTAACTATATCTATCTATTTATGAACAACAATCACTGACATCACGTTATAGTATATAGACCATAAATCATTCATGTGTTGTCATTATGAAGGCTTAAAATGTTATGCATCTGCAACCAGTAATATCACTGCCTAATCCCGCTCTTCATCCCAAAAAAATCTTACAAAGCAACTACAAGTACATTATTTGAGTTTGCCTGGTATATATAATACATTATTTCATATCCTATATCATATAAAAAATCCTCGTTTTTTTTAATTCTAGTAAGTAATACATAATAACAATGTAAGTAGATATTAATATAATAAGCAGTCTAATTGCTGGTCGCCTGACTTCATCGTGTCGCATTGGATGGATAGAAAGATAGATAAATCATTTATGCCTTTAGCACTATTAGGCACTAGGTCATCTTAACGATAAGGAAATAAACATGTTGTATCAAATAGAATTGACCTATATTCTATAGCAAGCACGACATACCTATCATACTACTTTCCAATTTCAACTGATATAAAATTGAACGATCTATTGCAAGTCGTTCAAGATCTGACTGTCCACCCTGTCGCGACTTGCCAACTGGCCAACTAATGCCATGATATGAATGAAAACGTTATATTCTATCTAGACAGAGCCGTAGTTCGGGCGGGCGCGGGCGCGGCGCGGCGGGTCAATATTTATTCTGTTTTTGTGTGTTATACCTACACACAAAACCATATAGATCTTGCCCCGCCCGCAAAAGAAATAAATAGGATACCATGACATACTTTACAGTAGATATTCTCAGTTACAGTAACTCTATTCTATTGTCATTAATAATTTCATTACTGTATAATAATATGAGTGATTTTTTTTTGTTCATTGTTACTTTCTGCTATATACATATGCACAATATCTCAGTTCTGCAACAAATAATATAATAGAAACTAAGCGAATATTGAACAACGGTAATAAATAAAATCAAATTAACTGCTGGAATATTTTGTATTCTCTGTCTCATGTTAACCAAATTAGTTGCTACCGAATGATATGATATCTCTAATTGTAAGAAATAATATCGTCCTTTAAAAGATCATACAATCTCTTGAACTGCGAACTACATCCCTGTATATGGAAATGATGTTACGACATTTATAAGTTCGATGTACCTATATTGAAATAACTTGCACCATATTTGCATATTAATTCAAAGGATAGCGATGACAATGTAAACGCCACAGTACTCGCTTAGCCATATTGTTTATTACTCGGAAAACTAAATTACCATGTCTGTGATTTTAAAAGGAGCAATCAGACTATACTATTATCTTAATGAAGAAATAGCTGGTAAGAATTAAGTGTACAACAAAACAAATAGGCACATAAATGTACTTAAATAAATAACTTGCTAATATACCCATGTGGGTAAGTATGTAATAAATTAAATTGTAACTAAACTATTGTCCTTGGGAGAGCTAATAAAAATATTGTATGCAAAGAGGATTTTTTGTGTACCTACTTCCACCAAAACCAAAACATATTGGTTCCATTGTTACCATCCATACCCAGTTATTTTATGCGAAGAACATCAAATTACTACTTACGTAGATTTCTTCATCGATCGGGTTTATTTAAAAGTTGTCTGTTCCAATATAAAATTATTATATATTTCTAAATAGATAAAAGGAGTCAAGAATGGTTCCTCATGAGAAACCCATGGCCTGGATTGGTTATCATAGGAATTTATTTATTGGCTGTATTCAAATGGTTGCCAGAATATATGAAAAAACGAGCTGCCTACGATCTGCGCGTAGTTATAGCAATTTACAATGTAATCCAAATAATAGGTTGTATGTACATTGTATATCAAGTAAGTACTTATTTTATTACTCGCCGATGTATATAATACTAACTGTAATTTATATATACTATACATAAATTACCGTGATATTTATAGAACGTCCTGACTGAGGTATTGTGTAATAGGGATCTTTAATTATACGGTAGGTTAACAATTGAAAAATGTAAATTTTTTATACATAATCGGAAACATACTGTTGTTATCTGTCACAATACTTTATTAGACTGTACTATGTATCGATTTACAATTTTATTTACATGAAGTATAAAACTATAAAGCCGGTATAAAGCCAGTACATCAGCAACACCTACATAATTGATGGTCTAGCGGTTAAGCACACCGCCTTACTTCTTGTATTCATGAGTAGGTATAGTTATTTGTTTTGGTTCGAACGTTCTCTATGTATTATACCTATTTATTTACAAAATGTATGCAAGAATTTAAGTACATACACCAAAATTTTTCTTATGGGTATGATTAATCTATACAAATAAATAAAATTAAAGTGTCTGTTTGTAATATTGAAATAACCGTTTTTTACTACATGCATATGAATATAAATACCGTATACATACATACATATATACATTTTTACAATGTTTGACTGTCTATCTGTTTGTTCTGGTTAATCTCTGAAAGGGCTGGACCGATTTTGACGGAACATTTTATTGATGTAATAAGGAGTAACTTAGGCTACTTTTATTTTAGAAAAATAAAGTTAACTTCCACGCGGATGAAGTCGCGGGCACAGCTAGTGTATAATAATAATTTTATTATAACTTCAAAATGCGTGATATGGATGTTTGTTCCTTTTTCGTAAATTAGTGGACGAATGCAGTAGAGGTTTGGTAAAGAAACAGATCATATTATCCTAGATTAACACTTAGATCCCATGAGTTACAGCTAGTAAGCATAGCTCCATACTATAATAATATTATAAATCTGAAGATCTCTCTGTCAGTAGGTAGATACGACAGAGAGATTTATAGACCACATGACTGAACGAAGGTTAATAAATTTAATGCGAAGTACAGTGCATCGCTAGGACATACTAAGCTACCTTTTACCTTCTGAAACAATAACCTTGAACAGGGTGAATAAGAAATGAAAGTTTGTGCAGATGGAATAGCGGATAGCACAGCTAGTTCTTCATACATATATTTATCATTTTCAGAGTCTAGTGCTGGGCTGGCTGAATCACTACAGATTTGTTTGCCAGCCGGTTGACCACGGACCGAACAGTGTTGAGTATGCCTGGAAAGTCTGCTATTTATACTTTGTTATTAAGATGATGGATCTACTTGATACGGTAGGTAACAATATTTTGCCAGGGTATTGATTTTTAAATTTATTATAAGCCGAGCTACTTAAGCCGAGTGTGGATGGATGGATTGATAGATGTATGGACGGATGTTTGTTACTGAATGGAACAAAAACATACTTTATACATCAGAATAACGTATAGGCTATAAATTTCACGCAGGTGAAACCGCGGGCACGCCTAATATAATATGAACCTAACATTTTTTCAGGTTTTCTTTATATTGAGAAAAAAACAAAATCAAGTGACATTCTTACATGTTTATCATCATTTTGGTATGGTAATGGTCGCATGGGGTATGGTGAAATGGGTACCAGGTAAGAACATTTATATCTATACCTACCTATTACTTCGATTCTTACTTATATAAGTGTAGATAGATTTATCAGTAGCTTAGGTACTGTATTCATTTGCTATGAATTGTATAAGGTAACTATGTAGCTAGCACAATCATAAAAAATTCTTCTTTTTTGAAGTCAGTTGATAAAAAAATTACTAAGGATGTCATAAATATGAGTTTATCGTTCTAATGTAGATTAGGTAAATATTGTATTTAGGTACCAAAGTACGTAAAGGTAAAAGTAGGGGCATCGACTGAAATATTGAATTGAAATTTATTCCTACAGGTGGACATGTGACTTTGTTAGTACCAGTGAATTCTTTGGTACATATCATTATGTATTCATATTACCTGCTTACTATTTGGGACGAGGCGTATAAACAGTCATTGTGGTGGAAGAAACACGTCACACAGATTCAAATTGTAAGGTCGATTACAACCTGTTAAATATTTTTTTAAGTATAGCCTAATTATTGTTTAGAGAGTGGCAAACAAGTGGGCTACGTGGTGGTAAAAGGCAACCGTCGCGAATATTAAACAACACCACGTACAACGTGTCATAATTTCACCCTTGTCATCTTATAGCATTGTCATTTTGCACATGCCTACACCTTGTAATTTCACTGTCATATCGTACCCTTGAAAACTGAAATACAATTACAAAGCAAGCAGTTTGGCGGCTGAAATAGGCCAGACAGGCGGCATGCAAACGATTTTACACAAAGTCTATGTTGTGTATGTGAGGGACAAGTGACAACGAAGGACTGCATAAGCACACTGTTTATTAAATATAAGTGGCCGTGAGGCCGTGAGGTGTAGTGGTGCGCCCGCTGTAAAATGAGATTCTCCCCTTTAAAATGAGAGCATGCAGTACAATATCTTATACTTCACTTTCGGAATGTTCCGTAAGAAAATGCGAGAAGATGGATCATTTCACTGTATTATGGCGAGTTTTCAGTAGGTACAGCTGGGTTTTGACTGGCCATCGTGGTATCCACTTCCTATTGTTCCGATACCGCAATACAATATAGTATACTTTCACAAGTGGGAAAGGATAATATAGAACGCCCCATTTCGTATGCGTCTCGAACATTAAACTCCGCCAATAAAAAGTATTCACAGATACAAAAGGGTGCAACCGCTGTACTATATCTATATCAATCTATAGAACAGTCTATTTACTCGGTATGAAATCGGGATTTATAATAGGTATATAACAAATAAATAGCAAAAATATATTTGAGTAATGAATAAAATCATCAAAAAAATTTTATTACGAAATAGTTGTTTACTCGAATACTTATTATAGTAGGGCTGAAGCCTTTAAAATAGTAAAAAGTGAAAAAAAAAGTTTTTTTGCAAGTTTTGAGAAAATTTTACATAGTAATATTCTAACAGGCATCAGAAAGTGATTTCAACGAACAAAAAGCCCACCGACTTTTATAAAGACCAGATATTGATGTGAGAATTATCTATCGATTGAAATTTAGAGCGATTTTTCTATATTAAGTTTTAAATTATTTTTATCCTACTAGTATTGTTTTTATCTTCCAAAATTATTAAGCCTGGTCTCTACATACATATGTATGTGCTGCTCATATTTTTTTGGCACAGCTACTCGAATGCTGTGTAGAAACTGATCAGAAACTACTCTAAATTAAGTTTTTGTTTACAGCTACAATTTCTACTATTGCTGATACATTTCATACTGGTAGTGACGATACCGGATTGCGCCGTCCCTCGCCAGCCTGCCTATATATTAATACCACAAAATCTCTTCATGGTAATTCTGTTTGTAGATTTCTATTACCGTTCTTACATAAAAACTGTTAAACAAGCGTGATTTCAGTTGTGACTAACAAGCAGTTAGAAACATAATTACTACAATATTAAATACGAAAACAAATATATTTGTTTTAATCGTAACTCCGTGTAATATAAATAGTAAATACAAATAAGGTTCCCAAGATTCCCAAGTTCCCAAAATTAAATTGTTGCTGAGAGTTTGTCCATTATTCTTTTAGAAAAATTTGTATTATTTTGATACCTGTTTTTTATGTCACTTCTGACTATTTTGTGAACCCTCTTGGAAAAAATAGAGTCACGTGGGGCAAGTGTGCGCACTTAAGGTTTGAAGTATCATATAATAAAATATTTGAAGTTAACTGGAACAAAACAAGGTTTATTATATAAAATATTTAATAATCAACAACTTAAACGCAAAATAAATAATTATCATTTACACAAATTCTTTGGAAATCAACAAAATCAAAACTGTTTAAATGCGCCCACTTACCCAAGTATAGGGGTAAGTGTGCGCAGTAGTGCGGGTAAGTGTACGCAACATGTAACATACAGTAAATAGAGTCAGACTCATATGATAAACCAGAAAATAGACATCCTCAACCTAATAATACATCAGTTCAAATAATTCCTTTTCAAAGTTATTGCATTGTTCATGCCACCAGCTCTTACAGATGCTGTATTGGATCCAGTCTTCATTCGGTGGAAATATGTATTTTTCTCCACACAGTGGGCAAAATAATTCCTGCTCATCATTTTATTTATTTTCAGATCAAGTCGTATCTTCTTTTTTGGCAATTTATTCTTCCTCTTGTTTTTTGTTTTTCCAATTCTACTTTATAAGGACTTACAGTATCAATGATTGACTTTTTGCCTTTCTTTCGCCGATTTTGAATCACAGTCATTCATCCAAGAAATGCCTAAGGCTAACTTCGGTATTTCTTGGATGGATGACAGTCGTACATATTCATTCCTAGACGAAGGTACACTCATTATTGCGGGTGCCACACTGTCGTTTGCTACCAACCTCCGAAATTAATCTTTTAACAGCTTCTAGCTGTTCCTCTGTGACAACACTTCTATCCGGCATTTCTTTTATAATCGAGGCATTTTTTATGTATAATTAAACTCTGAAATAACAAATTGCATCATAAATACAAAGCCAAAGCGGAGCGGGGTAAGTATTCGCATGCGCACACTTACCCGACATTCGTATGCGCACACTTACCCCAAACCATCAAAATAAAATTTAACCAGAACTGAGCAATATTACGTAATCGTCATCACCAAAAGATTAAACACGGCTTATATTACATAAAATGTACTGTTCGATGGTATAAAGCATGATTTCAAAATATAAATATATTACAAAGGAATGAGTCTCTCATTTAAGACAAAAATCGCAATATTTCAAGCAAAAAACAATACTCACTTACGGAAACAAAATGGTTCACCGGCGGACAGTGAAAAAGTTGCACTAAGTATAGCCTTTTGTGCGCTAATGAGGAGGGGTGTTATCAGTTCGTACCTATAAACCGTTTTTGAAATACTTCGAGTGCGTACACTTACCCGCTGCGCACACTTGCCCCACGTGACTCTATAGTATAGTTAATAATGGAGATATAATGGAACTGTAACTCCAGTAAATTTACATATATATGTTGTAATATATATGTGACTGTAACCCATTTCCATCAGGTGAGCCGTCTGCGTACTATTGAGTCTGCGTTCCAAGAACTAAAGGACTATTTATTTAATAATAATAATAATAATCATTTATTCAGCATAAAAAAGAGTACAGAGTAAAAAAGAAAACTTAAATACTAATAAGCGTCTATGCTGAAAAGGCTTCCGCACTCAGCTGGTGCCGCAGCGTGTCACTACAGCGCTGATTTTCAGTGCAGCCACTTGAAAAAAAGAAATAGCATTCGTGATGAATTTAAATATCTAAAATGAAGAATCAGTTAAATGGATGAATTAGGTATGTGTGATAAATATAAGAAAAATATATAAGGATAAAAAGTGTTGATAGAAAGACTTGTGTAATATAATATAGCTTCAATATATTTATTTATTTAATCAATATATATGTAAATATGACTACTATATTTATCTGCCACGTTTAAGATTTTTGTACTTTAAGTAAATATTTTTTAAAATGATGTTTAAAAGACGAAACTGACTGAATAGTATTTTGAATCGGGGGTGGTAAATTGTTCCAGCATTTCGTGGCAGTATATTTAAAACTTCCACGAAATGGTGCAGTTTTATATTGAGGGCAGATCATGTATGGATGTGACAATCGATGATTTCGCATAGAAAATGAAAGTGTTTCAAATAAATACATTGGTTTCTTATACTTCACCACTCCAAAAAGCAATACTGTAAAATGTAGAGATCGCCTGTGTTCCATTTTTAGCCAGTTGCATTGATTTATATAGGGAGTAACATGAGCACGGGGGGGTACAGAAAAGCAGAAGCGTGCGCATGCATTCTGCACGCGCTGTACCTATTATTTTTTTTGTACGATTTAATAGACAGCCTCCGTAGACTGTGTCCGCATAATTGAGCTTAGACAGAACTAATAAATCACATAGTGATACGCATTTTCTCACTTAGAAAATCACGTACTTTATAGAGTACTCCTAGTCTATAGTAACAGTTTCTTATGGTTTCATGGATATGACTCTCAAAGTGTAATGAGCCATCCATAATGACACCAAGATTTCGAACCTGATCAACAAATATTAGAGGATTTTCTGAAATTGACAGTGTAGGATTTCGTACCATGATCTGATTTATTTTATTTTTAGTAACAAGTACTAGTAACTTTGATTTTGTTGGATTTAAAGTAAAACCATTTGATACAGACCATTTCGCTATATTGTTCAAATCATTATTTAACACTGCTATATCTGGATTAGGATTATAGGGATTTATAGATTTATACATTTGAAGATCATCTGCGAATAAATGATATTTACAAATTTTAATAGAATTAATTATGTCAGCTGTGAAGAGTATGAACAATATCGGCCCTAGAATAGATCCTTGCGGAATACCTTTTACAACTTGAGCAGATGATGATGTTAAAGTGGGAGAATTTGTAGTTGTCAATTGTACTTTTTGATAGCGATTACTTAGATAGCTAGAGAACCACTTTACTGTAGCGTTATCGAACCCATAAAAAGTTAGTTTGGCTAATAACAGTGATATATTAATGGTATCGAATGCACGAGAAAAATCTAATAGTACAAGAATAGTAACCTTGCCTAAATCTTGATTTGTTAAAATATCATTTACTACTTGTGTAAGTGCACTACATGTGCTGCGGCCCTTTCTAAAACCAGACTGTAGCTCAGGTAGTAAGTGATTAGACTCTAAGTATTCCGTAATTTGAATACAGATTGTTTTTTCAACTATTTTGGACAAAAATGGTAATATATTAATGGGTCGTAAATCTTTTAACTCTGTGGGATTTGTATTTTTGGGTATAGGTTTAACTATGGCCATTTTCCAGGCATTAGGGAAAGTACTAGTTTTAAAAGATAAGTTAACTATGTCAGTTATTACTTGTAAAGTTCTAGGTAAAGTTAACAATCTCATGTTTAGGGAAATACCATCTGACCCTATCGCGTTTGATTTCATAGATTTAATAATTTTTAATATGATATTCGGTTCTACTAATTTGAATTTACACACAGAGGAATTGAAACGATTTAAAGCAAAGTGTAATAAATTGGAAATATCAGGAACATTATTATTAGGTAGGTCAAGAAAAAAGGCATTTATGGCATCTGGATCACGTAAATGTGGTGGCAGTTCTTTTACTTTAGTTTTAAAATTACCAACATTATTTTTAAAATTTTTCCATAAAGTTTTAGGATCGTTTGTTTTTATTTATATATTGATTATAGTACGCAGATTTTTCATGATGTAAAGCAATATTAACAGTACGTTTTAACTGTTTATAGTATTCTTTATGTGAACTCAATTTAGTTTTACAACTTCTAACATAAGCTCTATCACGTAATTTCATCATTAGTTTAATTGTATCTGTTATCCAGGGGTATCTATAGTCCTTAACAAAAATTGTCTTAATAGGAGCATATCTATCAAATAATTTAATTATTTCATGATTAAAATTATTTACACATTCGTTAACGTCTTCAGTTAAGAGTGATTCCCATGCAATAGAATTAATAGCTGTATTAAATTCAATCATATCGATATCCTGTAATGGTCTATAATGTATCCAATTTGGTTTCGGTTTATCTTTTCGTATATCAAAAGTACAGGTTAAGAAAGCATGATTGCTAAGTTCACGTATATAATCGATACATACATGTAATGTTCTTATATTAGAACATATAAGATCTATTAACGTAGTACTGTGTTCAGTATAATGTGTTGGCTCAGTGACATGTTGTGATAAGTTTATGTAGTCTATAAATTCTTTTTTGTTTGAGAATTTTGAACATTTAGAAGGTTGATATTGAAATCTCCGAGTAAATCTCCGGAAAAAAGCTCGAATCCTACAAATGTAGTTAGAGAATTAGTAAGAGCATCAATGAATATGTCAAGATCAAGCCATGGAGGACTGTATGCAGTACCAATTACTAGTTTTTTAGCGTTGATGTTAATACTTATCCACATTTGTTCTACTGATGGTGAGTGTGGGTGTTTAAGAACACGAGTATTTAGTCTTATGTAAAAGCCTACGCCTTCACCGCGCGTACGAAAATCAACAGGACGAGGTATATGACGGAGATGGTATCCGGGAACAATGGGAGCGCGTGCCTCTTCACCAGTTCTAAGCCATGTCTCGTTAACGGCCATCACGTCAACTTGATGTCGCGCCATAGCCACAAGGAACTCGTCATGTTGTCTACCGAGACAACAAATCCTGGTTCTCTCGGTAGACCCTACAGTAAATTTTTTGTTTTTTCTAAATGTAATTACAAACGTATGGAGAATTTGTATGTACTTATTATTGTTTAAAAAACGGCATAAGTATGTTATGTTATGTTATGTTTACTTGAGATTGCAACTTTAACTAAGTAAATAATCTATATTACAGAGTTGAAACTACATTTTTCGTATAGGTTTCGTGTGTATATAAGTATAATTTTAAAAATGTACTAAAACTAGTACCACTCACAGTATTCATACTATGGTAAGTACTTTTGGTAGTCCGGTACTGATCCAGGAAAATTAATAAAATATAATGTGAAAATTTTGAGGAAATAAAGTAATCCATTTATATAAAATATAAATTTAATGTGTACTTAAAACTATTTTAAACATTGCAGTAAAGGCGCTTTGCCTACAGAAAGTAAGTACTTGACGTAACGTCATGCATTTAAAAATATATATGTAATACCTACGTTTTATCTTAACGACTAGTAAGAAAATGGTTTCCAATAATTTAACAATGTAATTTTTGCAATCTTATTGAAAAGCTTACTAAACTACTTAAACGATTACTAATATCACAAAATTAAATAAACATTATCACTCACAAATGTGATAGCAAAGATCACTCGGTCTACATTTAATAGTAAACAATAAAGGTTACAATTTTGTTTTATTTTATTTTTTACTTCCTTTTCATACGGATTTACGGAAAATCAAATTTACAGGTATAGAGAATGAACGTGCGTTATCTTAAGCTATAATAAGATTTTCAGTACTCATTTTTATAAAAATCTTACCAGCATATGATGTTATTTTTTCTGCCTAAGACCTACGAAAGAACAATGCAATCTTTGACGTGATGTGGCAAAGTTTGCATGTTCTTTCTTAGCTTTGATTAAATTATTGCTCTTGAGGAGTGGAAGCTAATATAGAGTGATATAGGCGGCACAATATTCTCCGCATTATCCTTGGAGATTTCCGGCGACTTACAAATTTACATATATCTAGAAAATTAATCTACTTACCATTACCAATAATATAAAGAAGCTATATAACGACTATTGGAAAAATTAATCTAACATACTCAAAATCTGTATTTGAAAGGCGTATATTAATCGAATATTTGAGTAAAACATAATTTTAGTAATGTATAACTCTTAGAGATCAAATTATACCGTTTCATAAATAAATCTGAGCACCATCACTAAATAGTTATCTACTCACTTATAGCGAATACTGTAATAGAAAACGTATTATGCTAATAACTACTATTAGAGCAGCATACGTAATTAGTTAAAAATAAAGCACATAACAAGCTATGAGAAATTACAATTCTGAAATATGAATCCATAGACTAACTTAATCGCGCAAGCAGATTCTGCTTTACCAAATCTATTACATTGCTTTGACTAAACGCGTCTATAACGGCCTTTGTTAAACATAAATTATTAGTGGTACCGTCAACTTCATCCTCATCAAATGATCTGTTAGTATTAACATATTTTGCAAGGTTATCCTTTAAAAGTTTTGTTAGATCCGCACTGGTAATACTTGGAGCTAATTCTAAATTATTAGTCGGCTCATCCAATAAACTTTTCAGATCATACTCCTCTTCAATTGGTACTGTAGTGTCCTCTTCACAAGTTCTCTGCCGTTTGACGCGACGCAACTTACGTTTTTTGTCTAAGTAGATATTAGCCACTGTCTCCAATTGTAGAAACAACACTGCGAGTGGTGTATCAGCTATGTCATCCTGAATTAAAAAATATATTTGTAAAATATGTTAAGTACCCATGCCTCATATTACCACCACATATACCTCACATCAGTACGAAAGGGTGAACAGCAAAATGTTATTAATGAAAGTGAAAACCTACCCAGTAACATGGATCGTCAAGTCGTCAAGACTTTTATGTATATATAATGCTGCTGATAGGCTTCTTCATAGTAAGTCCCAAAAGAAACCCCCTAAATAAATGTTCTTATATGTGGTTTAATATCAGTATGTAATTTGCATCAAAAGATTGATTTGTGCTTAATATTGTAGTCTACAAGATGCTAACTACAGCGTTTGACCTATGCACGCACAAACAAGCATGTTGTTTTTAAAGTGGAATGAAAATAAATATAATAGTGGTAGTGTAATAAACATAATTATACTCACTTCATTGGGGTTAACCAGCAATTTGGCAGTTTCCTGCGGCAAATCCTTACATAATTGAGCAACTAATATTTTTATAAGAGCTTCAGAAACCCGTGTGGAGACATCTTTTTCCTGTTAACAAAAAATAAATCCTCTAATTTAATAAATGTAAAATAATTTAATTTCCTTTACTTATAAATTGTACTTTAAATTTATTAAAATAAAACTTAAATTAAAACTTTAAATTAAAAGAATCTTTATTTGACGGCAAACAAATTCGCTTAGTTATCTACTTCAACAATTTGATATGTACGCCGAAGGCTCGCCAGCCACACAGGATTCGTGTAAACTCAGTGAAATGTACGCAAATCGAATGCAATAACAAGAACAATAACCAAGAAATGTACATACTTTTGCAAATTCTCCTACACTAACTTAAAACTGCATTGTTTATTATTCTTTTTACAAACGATTTGTTTTTATTACGAAAGTAGACTTTGTACAAAGTTGACTGCCTGGGTATATCAGCCGCCAAAAAAATTGTATGTAATAAATTTATCAGTTTAACGTTAAGTTATATTGTCGAGCAGTGGAATTACAAGGTGGAATGATATTTACAAGAATGGCAACGCATGGTAACTACACATATTACTTGTGATGAATATCCGTAATGCTGTTCATCCAGGTGACAGTTAGCTCTTACCATCAGGCGGAACGTCAACTTGTTTGCCTTTCCGATTACATCAGTGAAATAATATAATGTCAGAACAATTCACACATCACCGTCTAGTCCCAAGCTAAGCATTTGTTATGAGTTCTCAACAACTGATATTATTATATACTCACTAAAACACGTATTTTTCGAAGCACACATCACACTGGCCAGAATGACATCTATTGACTCTTTTTTACAAAGTACCCACTTTAGTACATAACAGATATAAATACATATTACGTTTTTTTTTTTGTAAACAAATGCATATTATACATAGAAAACACACAGACCGATACAAACAATCATACTCATAAATACAAATGTTTGAACCATGCGAGGAATCGAACTAGCGACCATCCGCTAGTAAGACGGTATGCTAAACCACTGAGGCCGTCAAAGATATTATTCAATAACATAAATGCATTACATGAGGTAGCCACACATTCAATGCTATGTTGACACAGTCTGTATTCTGAACATAATGCCACCATCCACGAGGGACTAGCAATGCATCTCCTGGTGCCAATTCCACCATCCGGCCACCAGTCAAACCTATAACAAATAAATATTAACTATAATATGTGTGTAATTAACATTGGGTGTATACCCACATTATAATTAATTAACACAATTGTAATTAACATATATCTGAATATCAACTTACAATTCACAAATGCATAATAATCGATAATGTTGCTTTAGGTAAAATGAGGAACCTGTAATTGCGTTTACTAATAATGTATGTTTTTTTGGACTACTCTAATGCTGTAAAGGCCAGTTGCGGTCAACAGGATCGCAACTGGCCTGTACAGCTTCACCAGACAATAGGGAGCAAATGCAGATGGCAATCCAAACCCACAGAACGACTTATGGAGAGCCTGAAGGCCAACTCCCGCCTGATACAACTTTAGTCTGAGGGCAATGTTAGGGGTTCAAATCTCAGCTCAGGCCTTCATGATGTTATACTAAATAATATATATTATAATATATATACAAGTGTACCTACAAATATTATCATCATACCATTGAATACATCCATATTATTAGGGCAATAGAAATTCAGTGCACTGTAAACACTAGATTCTTCATAAGGCACTCTTGTTGGTTTAAGTCCACCTGTTTCAGGAGGAAAAAGTATCCAACGTTTCCTGAAACAACAAAGCAAATTATTACATTATTTATTTCCTAATAAATAAAATAAGTATAATGTTATTGCATGTCTCTTTTTTTATACCTATATAATGATAATGATTACTAACAATATCTTTGATTCAATAATATACTTCCAAAATTATTTAGATTTGGACTAGCTGACCTTATCCCATGCTTCTTTTATCACCCTCCACTAGTGTTCCACCAGCGTAAATTGTTAGTGCAGGCAAGTGTATCATACCATTATCATCCATTAAAAAAAATCTTCACTTACTTACCTTAACAATAATAATACATTTCAACATTGTTAAATACACTATAACTTGGTAATAGTAATCATATCAGTATGTAATATAAATCATATATTACTGTTATAGTTTGTTTTTTAATCCCAGAGACTCTTACACAAACAGAGAGATGATATAATCAGATTACATTCAAAATAAGTCAGTGTAGGATGCTTACGTCCCATAAAGTTGTGCTACAATGTTTATGCCATATGTATCCTGGTGTGCTGGAGTATGAGCTCCACTACTTCCCACCCAAAGAGTACTGTCTGTGGCACCTTTTTCAGCATATCCAAATTGATTCCATGACACTTCCTGTATGAAAAAGAAAAACAGCATTTTTTGGAACATGGAACATGTAATAATTTTGAATATTTCATGATAAATTTATAAATAAAAGGTACAGAAGCATAATCAAATTATCATAATATATTACAGATTATTTCCATAAATATACAGTTATTAACAATCAAAATAACTATACTGCTTCAATTAAGGAGTTTGGACATAGCCAATTTGAACACTTTTACAAATAATTGATAACAATCTCAGGACAATTCACACATCGCCATCTAGACACAAGTTAAGCTAGCTAAAATTTGTATTATGGGTACTATAGACTATTACAAATACTTAGATATATTTTTTACGAAAAAACATACACATAGAAAATACCCAGACCAATACAAACATACTTATGAATGTCTGTGCTATGCTAGGAATCGAACCCGCGATCATCGGAAGTATAACGGTGTACTAAACTGTCTAGGCCGTCAATTTACTGTATATAATTATATAAATTGTAAACATAGTCACCTTGTATAATTCAGTATCAGCATTAAACCACTGATGTAAATATTTATAATCAAAATACATCCATTCATTACTAGACGATGATCCATCAAGAAAATTTTTGAAAGTCATTGATTTGATTTTACATTGTCGTTCCCAGCAAGGTTCGTCAGACACGAAATCTTTTCTCATACACCGAAATGGTATTTGTCTGTCACCGAACACGGTGCTCCATTTGTCGATATTCCACTGGCATATCGGCCAATTACTAATATACTTACGAAATACAAGAGGCACATTAACATTTCTTGTCAAATTACGAACTGTATCTTCATTGAAAACAGTAGACATTTAGAATATTAATTTATTATATCTTATAAATGGAACACTTCAACCACAGGAAGGTGCAATTTACAATATATTATATACAAATTCACTACAACCTATTTGACAAATTGGGAATAAAAACTTAATATTTATAATACATAAAATATTTATTCAAAGAATTATTTCAAAGAATCTATCAAATAAAATTAAAGTTGAATAAATAAATCTTTTTTTTATGAACCACATTTTACGGCTCTGGAATGAACATATCAGAGGAGAATGGGAGAGTAAAATTCTCTATGCTCTGTTGTTCCGTTCCACTGATGACCTTGGAAAGTTTAATTTTAACCTGACATTTGAATATTTTATCTTTATTGGCAATACTGCTTCGCGCTTTTTTTTTGTTTTAATCAAAATCGAATCGAAGTCTCGTGTATTTTTTAGGTGTTTGTATATTTTTTCAATAATAAGAAAGTACTGTTACGTAATAAAAATAATACTTTTGAAACATATTCAGGTGAGACAATGGAATCTGAAATCATGTCATTTTTCTTTCAAGAAATGCATCCTAATATTAACCTGAACTCGAATCTCTGCAATGAATTTCTTGATTTAATAGACCAATTAAATGTTAATTTGGAAAAACTACAATTACCAAATAGTGTTCAATGCATATATAATCCCACAATTTATGCCCGAAATACATTTGAACAGTACGTCCGAAAGTATTGTAATACAAAAAAAAAAGTAATGTTCTTCGGCATGAATCCTGGACCTTGGGGAATGTCTCAAACAGGAGTAAGCTTTTTTTAAAATAATTATATATAATATATATACAAGTAGAAATGTACAGAACGCTTTTCCTTATAATCTCTACTTACCTCTCCTATTATTAGCCCCACATAATGTATATAAATTATTTTATTTAATTCCACTACCTTCAGCAAGTGAACACAAATATTCATTTAAAAAATCATTACTACTGGAAGCGTCCTGTCCACTGAACAGAGCACTGTTACAACTTATTAGTGATCAATATCCAACCATTATTGAATCCAAACCTATATTATGGTACTTGTTTCTTCTCTGAATGATGAGGCATCATCAGTTAATTAATAGAGTTTTAATATAGCTTGGAAGCCTTGTGCTTAAGATGTTTGGTGTGCAAACTACAACTCAAACGTAGAACAGTGAACACTTGGTAAGAGTAGTGATTTGAACAAAATATAGAATCTATCAAGTGACAGACTTCCACAAAATATCATCTAATAAATAAAATATTATAAGGCAAATAATATTACTATTAATATAATATTTGTGATATGTAAATAATACTGTGATATTTCATAGTTTAAAGTTTGGTTAATGAAACAATGATATGTACATTACAAAATACTGGTTTTTGTAATAAAAGATTTTCTTGATTGAAGTTCCACTGTGGTACACCAGTGTGAAAATAAAAATTGAAACAGCCTTATCAACATGTATTTCCCTAAATTTATAATTGTTCTGTTATAATGGCTCACATTTCATATGCAACTTTATTTACCTAGAAATAACATAAGTTAACATATTGCTCCTTTTAAATGTTGTAATTTTAAATATATATAAAAATAAAGTTTATTATTATTTTGTAGCCTTTTGTAATAGATACATACCATATATATATATATATGTACTATAGATTAGATTACAGCTTCTATATATATTACATATAGGCTGGTATTGCATTGCTATTTTATAAATTTTAAAGCAAGACTTCATAACTGTTATGAAGTTTTGCTATAAAAAATTTGAAACATCTGTGCTCATTTTTAGGTCCCATTTGGAGAAGTTGCATCTGTAAGAGACTGGCTGCATATAATAGGACCAGTTGGAAAACCTCCCACGGAACTTAGTAACCGACAAGTCAATGGTTTTAATTGCAAAAGACCAGAAGTAAGTATAAAATGTGTACTAAGGTTTATTGGTTCAACACCAAAAAGTAATCATATAGTTAAGTCTTTCAAATATGTATTAAAATTTTAGATAGAGCTGAGGATTGAAAAACCTTACTGCCTTAACTCGTCGGAAGCGTATCAGATACATACATTTAGTATGATTAGATACAAATAATGGTGCAATACAACACACTGTAATAATGTTTCTGATCATACAATGTGTATGTAAGCAATATTCATTGATGTAAATCCATCAATGATTATAAAATAGCCAGGAGTTAAAAAATCTAAATCATTAGAAATGAAAAGAAAATGCTTCTGACGCGCGGAAGATTGTTGTCTACAACAATCTGTCTTCAATTTCTTCTTCTTCTTCTTTTAGTTTAAATGGCTTCCACCAAATGAGGTCGGTGATTTTGCCAACGTCGTGGTTTGGGAGACACAGTGGTGTGGTTTACGGTTTTCTTGACTGTGTTCGTAGAAAGGACTGTTTCAGTTGGCTGAGAATGCTAAGAATAAGGACAACACAACACATGTTAGCTTACAATTAAAATAGTGGTTGAGTAAAATACATGTATAATAAAATATATGTAACAGGTTGACAGACATGACATAGACAAGGATTTTAAAATGTGGGGAATATATACAAAGGGGTTTATATTTTTATATTATTGACAGCAATAAATTTGGCTAGTATTTTAACTAGAGGGGAGTGGGCCAGTGTTAAAAGAAAAGGAATATTAATAGGTCTGGCAATATTACGGGGAAGCATATCGTAGAGTGGAACTGACAGGTTTTGACATGTGAAAAATATGTGCTCCAATGTCCCTTCGTCTAGGCCACATTCACAGAGAGAGTGGTCACGAACTCTGATTTTAAAAAGGAAAGTGGGAGTACATATATGTCCTAGTCGGAGGCGGCATATAACTGAAGTAACCCATTTGTCTAGTGAGCGCTGGGAGAAGAACCATGGTTTGGAGGGTATTTCCGGTTGAATGCTTCCATAATACTTTCCTTTTTCCAGTCTCGTTTTTTGCCATAGGTGGTGCCATGCCTGCATCAACTGAGGCTTTGCCTGTGCTCGTAGATCACGAGCATAACATTTGTTATGAGTGGTATTGCCCATACTCACCGCTTGTCTGGCCCACGAGTCAACTGACTCGTTCCCTATTATTCCCGAGTGGCTAGGAATCCATGCTAGAGCAACATTTATACCAGAGTTATGACATTTGTAGAGACTTTGTCGTATTTCCAAGGATATAATAGAGTTGTTTTTGGCATGGAATGGATACTTCTGGATATCTTGTAAGCAACTTAGAGAGTCTGATAAGATTAGGGTTTTATTAATTTGGTGGGATTCTACGTATAAAACAGCTTCTAAAATGGCGATAGATTCTCCAGTAAAAATCGATGTGGGAGGAGGACATTTAAAACTGAGCAGTATATTGTATTTAGGGATCCATACTGCAGCGCCAGTGTTGCCGTCATTAGACAACTTGGACGCGTCAGTATAAACGAGAACCCAATCTCTAAAGTATTCCTCTATAATTTTATTAAAATCCTGATTTGCTGTAATGCTGTGTTTTTGGATATTAAAGTTTAAATGCACTGTGGGGTGAAAAATTAAGGAATTATAATCATATTCAAAGATAGGGTTGCGATGTGTTCTAATGATTGAGTAAGGCAAGGCTTTAATTGTGTGGAAACTCTTGAGGATTGGTGAAGGGTCCTTACGTGACCAATAAGCGGATGTGGAGGCTAGGTCTGACAGGGTTTCTAAAGCTGCGACCAAAGGATGGTCGTTGTACTGGTAAGCATTTAGGAAGAATCTATCTGAAAGGAATTGTCTGCGAAGTTGGAGGGGAGGATCTACACATTCTACTTGGACTGCGTTATTAGGTGAAGATTTCATTGCACCCAGAACTAATCGTAGGCACCTTGATTGGATTCTGTCAAGTTTTGCCAAGGCAATTTTATTGCATGGTTCTAGCAGGAAACATCCGTAATCAAAGTGGCTCCTAACTATGGAGTTGTACAGAAGCTTCTGACTATAGGGATGAGACCCCCAACGAACTCCAGAGAGAGCTTTCAGTACGTTAATTGCACTCTCACACTTATTAGAGATGTAAGTGAGATGATGGAGACCAGAGAGTTTAGAGTCTAGAATGATACCGAGAAATTTAACCTTGTCTTCGGTTTTGATATTCTGACCATTAAGAGAAAGATGTATAGGGGGAATTTGTCTCTTCCGGGTGAATACAACAGCCGTACATTTGGGTATGGAGAGAGCTAGGCCGTGATCCTCTAGCCATTGGTGTAAATACCACAAGGCATTATTGAGGCCAGAGACAATTCCAGGCAGGGAGTCGGAAGCTAAATATAAGGCAATATCATCAGCATATTGTAATGTATTGCAGAAGCAGGGAACAGATGTCTCTAGATCGCAGGTGTAAAGATTAAAAAGGAGGGGGCTCAAGACGGAGCCCTGAGGAAGGCCTTTCCAGACCAGTCTTGGAGGATGGAGAGAGCCTTGAAAGCGCAAAGAGATAGATCTGGCCATAAAGAGATTGCATATGATGTTGGTCAGTCTCGCAGGGATACTCAGCTTTTGCAATTTTTGCCTGAGTATTGGAAGCTGGACATTGTCATACGCAGATGAGACGTCTAGAAAGACGCCTATAAGATGCTGATTTTTGGAGAAGGCAAGTCGGACTTCGTTGGTGAGTATACTGAGACTATCAATAGTTCCTCTTCCACGTCTGAATCCAAATTGGCTGTTCGGTAGAAGGTTTTTGTTCTCTAAAATCCACTCAAGCCTATTTTTTAATAAGTGTTCCATGATTTTTGCCAGAACCGAGGAGAGAGCAATAGGTCTGTACGAACTGGCATCAGATGCATCCTTACCAGGCTTTAGAATGGGAACCACGATTTGGGTTTTCCAAGATTCCGGTACATTTCCTGATACAAAAACGGCATTCAATATTTCCAGTAACTTCTTTTTCGCAGAAATAGAGATCCTATGGATGAAGGAGTAAGGAATACCATCTATACCAGGGGATGAGTCTCTAAGGTGGTCGAGAGCGCAGCACAGCTCCGGGTATGAGAAGGGTTCGTCCATTCTATCATTTGACACAGGAGGGGATGGTATTGGGAGGCAGTCTTGGGAGGGGGCGAATGGAGGAGCTAAATTGTTATACAGATTATTAAGCCATGGCAGAGGGTCATTAGAAGTAGCTTCCACGCTAGTACATCCCTTGCGGAATGAATTTAACTTCTTCCAGACTACTGAAGGATGTGTTCGTGGGGATAATGATTCGCAAAATTTCTGCCATCCTATCTTTTTTTTTTTTTAGCTAAGAGTCTTTTTGTGCTAGCACAAATTTTGCGAAAAGCCAAATAGTTGTCCAGCGTTAGGTTTAGTGCGTATGTGTTTTCGGCATCTTTTCGCTGTTTAACGGATGTGGTGCACTCATTATCCCACCATGGTGGAGAGCAGATTTTATTTATTGTCGAGTTTTTGATGGGAATTGAGTCGTCAGCAGCTGACAGAAGACATGATATAAATTGGTCATAATTTTGCAAAAAGTTGTGATCATTGTTTGGAGGGAGGAGAGACAGTTTTTGGTCAAGGAGAGCAGAATACTTTTCCCAGTCAGCATTAGGTAGTCGGTATTTCAGAAGAGGTTGGGGAGCAGGGGTGCGAGGGAAAGTGGAGTTAATTATGGTAATATTTATGGGTAGATGATCACTACCATATGAGTTTGGAAGGATGTGCCAGATAAGTTTATTTATCAAAGTTGGGGATGCAAGACTAAGGTCAGGGGAGCTCGGGTTTTGGGTAGGGGCAATGCGTCGAGTGGCGGATCCATCATTCAGTACGCAGAGATTCAGGTCATCAAGTAAGTCCAGCAGGGAAGAGGACAGTGGGTCATTAAAATGTGATCCCCACATAGTGTGATGGCAATTAAAATCACCAAGCACAATGAGAGGGGAAGGGATAGTACCTAGGATAGCTTGCAACTCTGAGATGTGAGAATAATTTGGGTGAGGGATATAAATAGACACAAAAGAGATATTGAGTACTCTTACTGCTACAATTTGGAAGCCAGGGCTATGAGAAGGTATGGTAATTTGTGTAAAGGGAAAGGATTTACACACTAATAGGGCGGAACCCGCCCAACCATCATCCCTGTCATCCCGGAGAACAGCATGACCTGATACCCGAAATGGAGTGCCAGGTTTTAGCCATGTCTCTGAGATGGCAGTGACGACAGGTTTATAGTGATTAAGAAGGTAAATGAGATCAGACTTCTTGTTTCTGATACTTCTAACGTTCCACTGTAGGACTGACTGGTCCATTATTAACAATTAACTTTGTGAGGAGCTGTTGAACAAGGATAGTGACATTGGGCGGTAAGGCTTCAGAGAATTTAGAGATAATGTTTATTAAGGTGCAAGTAAGTAATTCAATTAAGTTATCATTAGGAGTTGGAAGAGGAGTGGTTTCTATGTACTTCTGGTTGTCTGTTAAAGCGCAACCATTTGGTTGTGTAGATTTTGGAGTTTGTGTGATGTTGTTGTGGGCAACTGCATCATAGGATTTGCCGAGAGGAGCATGAGGACGAGGGGAGTTATAAACTGTTTTGCGATAAGATACTGTTTTCTGAGGGGAGGAGTAGGGTGACTGCAGAGGGGGGTGGTCATATAATTGAGCGATAGAAGCCTGCGAGGGATACATATTGGACTGAGGTGTAGATGTCATATCAGCATAGGAGCGCCTAGGGACAGGGAATCTGGCTGAAGCTTCCATGTGGCTAATGTTATATTCAACCATAACAATTTTAATATTTTTTTGTCTAATGTGTTCAGGGCATGTCGAATTAGTGGCTATATGGTTACCATCACATAAAACACAGAATGGTTGCTCTTCTTTTTTGTCACAAACATCACCGGAATGTTGACCTCCACATTGGAAACATCTAGGCTGTGATCGGCACTGTGTTTTTATGTGACCAAACCTGCAGCAGTTACGGCACTGGATGGTAGGGAGTCACTGGGAGAGAGGTATAGAAACAATAAACTTTTTCAGGGAGAATTTGTCCCTCAAAGGTTAGTACTACTGTAGTGGATGGATCCCAGCTAACACTATTGTCTGGTTTTCGAGATTTAATATTAAGCCTTCTGGCTCTAATAACTTGACCACAACTAGTTGGGGATTTTAAGTTTTCAAGTAGTTCTTCCAATGTCCAGTCTGTGGGAATATTGCGTATGACACCCATCCGGGATACTTGAAATTTAGGAATTACTCCACTATAGTTATTATTTGATAAGATTGGGTTACTTACAAAGTTATTGGCGTCAGAGTGGGAAGAGAATTCTACAGAAATTTTGTTTCTACCCAAGGCTTTGATGCCTTCTTCTTTAATTCCAGGGATATTGTGTTTATGAATGAATTGTGCAAACCTAAGAAGTCGGATAGAATAGCCGGCAGATACGTCTGGTTCCACTCTACTGACATGAACTGAAAATGGACCTGAGTCTGTACTTCTATATTTGAACTATGCATCACTTTCAAAACCAGGTTTCGTATAAACTGATTGAATAGAGTTAGAAGGTGATTTTGTTTTTTTTTCATCAATTGCAGGTGTAGAGTCGTCTGAAGCTTGACGCTTCCTATTATTAGCAAGCTCGATTGAGGGTTGTGAAAGTTCCACACAGTCCATGGTAATTGGATGGGTAAGAGGTCCCCCACCATCAGGAGGATCTTCGTCTACACCCACCTCCATCGTTTTATTGATGGAGGTGGGTCATACAAAAACAAACACTCACCGAAACCACTCGTTAAACAAATCACAGGACAACACAAAAAGGAATATATACAAACTCAACACAGTTTGACGTTTAAAATTAAATAAAGAATTAAAATTAGCTCGACCACGTGTTTACCCAACCACAGATCGCTTGGCTCCGTTTTGTTTACCGTCTTCAATTTGTTTGAAGCATGTACTACTCAATATCTAAATCATATACCTGCATCTTTTACAGATTAGTGGTAAAAGGTTTTGGGGTCTCTTTAAGAAAATTTGTAGGAACCCAGAAAACTTTTTCCATAGTAGTTTCGTATACAATTATTTGCCACAGCAATGGATGAAAAACAGTGGCGCTAATGTCACTCCAGGAGAATTTAGTGTAAGTATATTATACTATTTTTCACAAAACTTATTATTTAATCTTTTTGTCGCATTTTATGTTTACGACTGTGGTAGTTTAATGTTAAAGCTGACAGTAAGACCACCATGCAACAGAATTTACAGATTTCGCAGGTGTTATCAATTTCTTTGATCATTATATTAAATGCATCTTAGTAAGTTTTTTTATGTATTATTATTGGAATGGCAAACAAACAGAGAACCGACTGATTATATCAGTGATAACCATGACCTATACAGGACTACGGACATCATGTTCTGTTCGTCTCAATTATTACTTCTCAATTTTATTATAAACACCAATTGTAATAGTTTATATTAGACAAATCAAGTGATTATTATGTGACACCCATAATACATCTTATGCATTGTCAATCGGAGGACTAAGATATTATGACTCTCATACTGTATCACTGGCAGCCGAAACTGATAAGGTGGAATTGAGACACTCATGCAGATGACTTTTTACATTTTACTCGGGTAAACTAATGTGGTATATAGTTACTAGTTACTAATTGCTTTTAATTTTTGTAAAAATTTTTTTTTCAGGCATCGGATATGAGACCGTTGTATGCTATATGTGATCCAATTTTTGTAAAAGTTCTAGAAATTTATGAAGTGGAAACCATCATAGCCGTTGGAAAGTTTTGTGAAAAAAGAGCACAGAAAGCAATAAAACAATATTTACCAAACGCTACTATTCAGGTAAAATTATATACATATAAATAAAATTTGAGTGTCTGTTTTCAACATTGAAATAACCATTTTTTACTACATGCATATGAATATAACTTGGTACATGCACCAAAATAACATTTTTTACTATTTTTGTCTGTCTGTCTGTTTGTTCCGGCTAATCTCTGAAATGGCTGGACCTATTTTGACGGGACTTTTAATGGCAGGTAACGTACGTAATAAGGAGTAACTTAGGCTACTTTTATATTAGAAAAATAAATTAAATTCCATGCGGATGAAGTCGCAGCTAATTTTATAATAAAATTAGAAAAATTGTTGTAATACTAAATATATTTAAAATTAAATTTCTATCTATTCAGAACATATAGGGTGTCTTTGTTTTATTTTCGAATAAAAAATATAGCTTAATAGGTACTTGACATTGGTACTGATGTTATTTCATTTTTTAAATAGTCTATCTTACTGACACAAAACATGACCCCCCCCCCCCCCCCCCCCCCCCCATCCTCCTCCTAAGTTAGTATATTGTATTCGAATTTTCATACTTTATCTACCCTAATTTTGCTCTGATGGCAAAAAAACTCATAACCGGTATAATAATAATTTCTGTATGTACAATTATATGTATGGTTACAGATATTCTACTTACCACACCCAAGTCCAAGATCTGTAAACAACACGAACTGGGAAGAAAAGGCTGAGAACTGTTTAAAGAATTTCAATATTATTCAATATTACATATAAACTGATATTTTTCATCAGGTATGTGTAAAGAAGGCAAATTTTAATGGGTACAGAAATATAATACCTATTGAGTTCATAAAACTGTACAACTCTTCTGAAGGAAAATAGATTACAAAATATGTGTGGCCTAGTGGTCCAATTTCGCCTATAATTAATTTTCGTTCGTAAATAACTTTAAACCTATATAGATACAGTACGTATCTGTATAGGCCACGGTTACCATTTACCATTAGGTCAGCTGTGAACTTTATTGCCATTCCAATTACATAAAAAATATATAACATAACATTTTTCAAAATAAGAGTCCTATATATATTGAGCACTTCTTTGGCTATATAGAAAGCTACTTTTGCGTATATTGCCTCTTTATTGTATGTATTGCTCAAAGATTAAAAAACTTAGTAATCGCGACGATATTGTGAGTAAATTATATTATGTATATTAAAAATTTACTAAATAACATTTGTCCACAGGTTGCTCAATTTATTGATAATTTTAAGAGGACATAAAAAATATGGTTGATTTTATGAGAAGAGCCCTTGAACTAGCGATGGAGGCCATGGAAGCTCAAGAAGTTCCTGTTGGCTGTGTCTTCACCCACGATGGCAGTATTATCGCCGAATCCAGGAACAGTGTCAATATCACTCGTAACCCAACAAGACATGCAGAAATTAACTGTATTGATTTTGTTTTGGATTACTGTAATAGTAACAATATTAATTATAGAAGTTACTTTCAAAAAATTACTGTATATGTAACAGTTGAACCTTGTATAATGTGTGCATCTGCTTTGAACAATTTAAAGGTAAGGGAAGTTGTTTATGGTTGCGCTAATGATAGGTTTGGTGGCAAAACTGTATTAGATGTGAGTAAGTTTTATGAGAACACTTATACCCTTACAGGCAATTTGCTATCAAATGAAGCAATGGCGTTATTAAAACAATTCTATAAGGGCGCAAATCCTCATGCTCCAGAGTCGAAAGCGAAGAAGAAAAAGTAATGTGATAAAAAAAACTATTAGATATTTATTTAATTATTAAGTTTCTATAATTTTTTATGTAAGTGACCATCTAGGCTGTAGATGTTAAGTACATATGTATACTGTCTTTTTTTTAGTGTGCAATAAATATATACTAATATATATAATAGTGTATACTGTATGACTTTGATTACCTTCTTCGTACTATACTTTAGGTTCTACACAATTGATAATAAAATCTATAAAAATGTTACTTACCTTCATTGTTTAAACAGTGCTTAGCATTTACTATTGTTAATATTTTGCTAAAAAAAATATTGGTTTTGCTGTCTTGCAGCGTTCATTCCGTCATTATCTTGTTAGGTACTCCTGCCTATCCGATCTATCCTCTGTCTACTTCAAACGTGAACCGAAATTATGATGTACTGAACCGAGCTTCGAACCCCTAGTGTTGCACAAACCTACGAGTGTTTTTCCTCTTTGTATGCTGCTAATTGGCAATCTGTTAATCTTTAAATAATAGTCCAATCCGATGTGTCTTATTTTACTTAAATGATGCTTGTATACCTTTCGAGTGATGAGGCTCGAGATGAGTCCGATGAATCAGTTCTCTGAGGTTGTCTGCGAATCTATTATATAGTCTTTGGATACCATGTCTTTTAAGTGAACAGACTCTTATATTCTCAGATCCCTGAAGTTGTGCGGCCACTTTATGTCTATTTAATCTAGACAGTTGCCGTAACCATCTGGCAGTAGCTGGCTGTTTTAGGCTAGTTTGACTGACTATATACAGTGCTTATACTTCATGTAGGCATGCCTAATCTTTCTCCAATATTAAAAAATAATTTGCACCTGCAACTGCCAAATATAATAAGGTAACTTCAAATTTCTTTTAATACGTAGCATTACCTTATTAACGTAGCATCATATGTTTACGCAAGAGCGCACAGACGATTTCTATGGTATACAGCGGAAGCGAATAACGTCCCAATTAGGCAGAGTGCGGGCGTGATCCAACAGTGTCCTGAAGGCAATTGCTTGTAAAATAGACTCCCATTCTAAGACACTGGGTGGACACACAGATAATACGTTAAAAGTTACATTTTTATTTAGTTTCTATTTTTATTTTATATTTTATTACTAACATAAGATATGTTATTAAGCTGTTACTAACAAAATGGATTATGTTGTCTTCAATAAATTATTATTATTATTAACATTTCATATAATACTCAGTACTACTAGAGGGACATAATCAAGGAACATAATACTCTAAAGACATAATTATATTGATAGTGAAGTCTCAAAATAATTTGATGATATTTCAACAAAAACTGATATATCTCAGCATTTACCATTGTCAAATTATATTAATGACCTTTTCAATTACTTCTTTATGTTTAAAGTCACAGACTATGTATTATAATTCCTGTAACGTAACAGTAGATGTAGTTTGCAAATTCACTCGGATCCCATTGCATAAAGTCGGTGTATTTCAATCTGTTGGCCGTGAACCAGCAACAGATGATTGTGATCATTTTTTTCTTAAATGGTTCTTATAGAGAGGTCAACTGCGGTTCTAAGGTTGGGTTGAGGAGCAAGACAAACATGAAATACATAATACATGATAAAAAGAAAGACTAAACAGACTTGCACTAGAACTTTAACTTAAGTTCTTATATTTAGATTTATAAATTTATATATGATATAACTATATTAATATTTTAGATTTTTTTACCAAGGGCGCTGCAATATTTTTTTTTAGTGCAAATGGGTCCTGCATTGCAAATAAAAAAACTATGATACATATTTAAAGTCACATTTACGTAGAACATAGTTTTAGCCAAGAGACTTGAGGGCTCAAATTGACCTGGTATGTTTATGTACATAAAGGAGTTTGGTATTCAAAGTTGAAAAACACTGGCCTAACCAAAGAAATCTGGAAAGATGGATAAGAATATTTTGTAAAGATATTGGCAACTTTATATACTGTTTTAGACTTGACGCGGTCATTATTTATACGTATATAATTAGTAAAAATCACGGGATCTTACCACGTTTTATATTTATTTGCTGAGTTATTTACCCGTGATCATGGTGGTTGAAACACTACTGAAATATCGGGAACCAAATAAATATAAAACGGTAAGATCCCGTGATTTTTACTAATTGGCAACTTTGGATTGCAACAAGAAGTTAATTGGAAATTATATTTATACATAATATATATTATAAGTATACATAATATTGTATTATTTTTTTTCTATGGAAAGGTGATATAAATATTGTGACATTCCACATGTTTATTATAGTTATAACTGTAGTTTTAATATAAATAATAATATCAATTTGCAACTCATAAATTTTACAATGTTGTAATAATACCAAATAGTGTGCATGAATCACATTCGTGCACACTGTTTGGTGATTATTATAACATATTGTAAAATTTATGTATGTAATGTATAATACATACCTGTATTAGAAAATAAACATTTTATTTATTCATGTTGTTCTCCTTTATACAACTATATGGATCTGCTATACAAGATCATTTTGATCATAGTGCTTTATTTTTAAATTTAAATTTTAAAGCCTTTACGAAAAATATTTAAAAACATTCATATCATTCATAACTGTCTTTAATGAATCCCTGTTTAAATGAATATCTAAATTATTACATTATCCTACAGTATTATCTAGTTGACACATTAATTTTGGTTTTAACTTTTTACTTACAAAGGAAACACTCATATATAACAAACTCAACAATAACCATAAAATATTAATATCTAAGTAGTTAAAATAGATATACCTATAAGTATATAATATATTGTGTCAATTTTATAACTATAAAATATACCTCACTGTATCAACATAAAAGTGAGATTTATTTTGGAATAACTAAAAAAACACTACTGACAAAATATCCACAAGGATATCACAGAAAATTTTACTATATCTAATATGAGATCTCACAATTACATTCCCACAGTGATATAAAATACAATAAACCTAAATATAGTGAAATAAATAAAGGAATTATCGGATCAGCAGAACATCTGGCAAGTAAACTAAATGCATCACACGCATGTTCCCACAATTTAAAGATCTTAAATAATAATTTAAAATACATCCTTAAACTATTGTTACATACTATTTAATACAACCAAAATTATTGTCAACCTCTTCATATATTATTCAGAAGGACTGTGAAAACCATTAACGAGTGGATATTCAGATTCTAACTCTTTAGCATCTCCATTAAGTTCATGATGTGAGCCATTTCCATTAGGAATATTTTCAGAAATGTTTGTTGTCTCTGGATCTACTGGACTAACACAATGGCTGGAACTGCTACAACTGTCTGATGTGGAAGAACTATCACTTTCTGAATCTTCACTGGAAGTAGTCTGTGATCCTTGTCTTAAATGTTCATTTTCTATTTGCAATTTCTCATTTGCTAATGTAAGTTGATGTATCTGTTCTTCTTGTTCCTTTACCCGATGCATTATATCATCAATTGATGGTTCATCAGCACTTGACACAACAGAGGTTTCTGAAGTGTCCCTATCAGTTATCATGGTGTCATTATCAGTTACCGTAGTTTCTTTGTCTGCTGTAGTTTCCCTGTCATTATCTAAACCTTTTGGCTTTGAACGTTCGGATCTTTTTACGAGATTGTCATACTTGGCTTCTAGTAGAAGGTATTCTTGAATGAGTTCGTTCTTTGACATATTTGATAACCTCTCACTTTGGGCATCCTCATACACGCTGGAAAACTCTTTAGTCAAATACTCCTCTTCGTCTTCAGGAAGAGAAAAAAAATAATTTTCCTCAGAATCAACACTGAAACTCGAGTCACGTGTACGCGCAGATGGTGTCTGCAAAATATGAAAAGTATTTTCAGGTTCAGGTTTATGTATTTCCATTAGAAATTGGTTATTATTAAACGGTGCACGAGTTTTAGCCAAGACAATTTTTCTATATCTATTATTCCGCTTCGATTTCTCATTCTTACGTCTGTCTTGCCACGGAGTTTTCTTAAAAGGTAATAATAATTTTCGTTTAGATTTCCCGCGCCTCCTCTTCTTTTTGGCAGTTCCTTCAATTTTAGGTTTTTGGATATCAATCATAGATGGCGCCTCATTTAATGGAGGTCGTGTAGTCTGGCCATCTTTAACTTCTGTGTTATTTACATCCATTGGACTATTTTTAAGTTATTATTGACACTTTTATAGATTTATGAACACAGCACTATAATCTTATAATGTCTATAACATTAATAGCTGAAGATAACAATTATAAAACACTCGTTTAAAGCAAATGTGAACAGAGAAAGGAAAGAACGCCACCATCTTTATTTATTTATTTAACAACAAACAGTGTCAAACACTTTTTTTTTTTTTTCCCATATTCGTCCATCTCCTTTTCAGTGATGGAACAGGCAAAGATCCTTAGACCGTACAGCCTAGTCTACTTTTAAACTTCTTCATATTTGAACAAGTGATGAGGCCAAAGGCCAATTCTTATGTATGTTTATTTTTTGTTTTCATTCGTGTTCAAAATTTAAGTCTTATCCGTAGTCCATATCCTTGTATCAATTATTTAAAGTTTTATCGATATCGAGGTAACGTATAAATATATAGGTATATATGTTTCAAAATTAGTTAGCATGTCTTGGATGTCGCGCGGGATTTTTTCCGGTTTCTTGTAAATGTTCAGTAAATTGTCAATAAAGACCAAGCGTTGAATATTATAAGCGGAACATTCGAAAAATATGTGATTTAGGGTCTGACTGCTGTTATTGCACTCTTGACATGCATTTGAATCAATTATTTTCATTCGGCACAAATGACTATTGAATCTAGCGTGACCAAAACGAAGTCGTATAAGGAGTGTGTAAAATTTCCGATTTTTATAAACTCTAGATTTAGTGAACCAGGGTGAGGAATGAATATTTTTGTTAATGGAGTAAAACCAATTACCCTTGGTCTTTAGCGAAAGTTGCCACTGTTCAACCCATTTTTGACGAAAACTCTTGTAAACTATAGAAAGAATGTCGGAATAAGGTATGGCAACATCCTTGACAACGCCAATGTCATTGTTGGTGATAGTTCTTGCCAGGAAATCTGCGTTTTCATTGCCAAAAACACCAATATGTGATGGTGTCCATAATAAAATAATATCATAACACTCCAATGAAAGCTCATATAATAATTGCTTAATGCTATCTATGATATAATTGGTTTTATAATGTAGTTTGTTACTTTGAAGAGCAGTTAAAACACTCATACTGTCTGTGACAATTAACCATTTTTTGCAATTGCCCCTATCATCTTTTATATAACAAAGTGCATTTAAAATAGCCAAAGATTCTGCTGAAAAAATACTAAATTCTTTATGTATTCTAGTTCCATGACCGGTTCTGATACTTGGTAAGTATAGAGCAAAGGATGTTCTCGATTCGTTTTTAGAACCGTCTGTAAATATGGATTGATGAGTTGAAAATGTAGACAACTTGTTATAAACTTCTTGTTTGGTCCTTAACTCAGAGTCAATTACAATATTAATATTTGGAAATGTACTTTCAAATGGTCCATGGTAACAATTCCAAAATCTATTGCTTTTGTGAATTTTGTATTGCTGATCAATATTGATTGAGTCAGAGAAATCATGAAGTATATAGGGAACTGTTTTAGAATTAGAAAGGGGAAATAAAGAAGTAATATGTTTGAGCTTTTGTAAGAGTGGGTCTTCAGAAAAGGATAATAATTTTAGGATGAATCTTTGTTTTAAGTACCAGAATCTCAGGTTTAATGGTGGTATACAGCACTCTACTTGTAAGGAATTTATAGGGGTTGTTTTCATTGCACCAGTTATGTATCTTAAATTATTATTCTGAAGTACTTCAAGTTTATGAAGCTTGTTTTGGTCAGAACCAAAACATAGATAGCCATATTCAAAGTGGCTGCGAACCAAGGATTTGTACAGCATTAAAAGGATCTTAGGATCACATTTATATAGAGCTTTGATAATATTAAATGCTTTGGAAGCTTTACCTAGTAAATAATCAACATATTTGTTCCAAGACAAATTGCTACAAAAAATAACACCTAAAAATCTAACTTCAGCAGTAATAGGTAGTTGTGAATTATTATATAATATTTTAATGTTTTTGTAGGATTTATTAGTTTTAGAAAATATTACTACTTTAGATTTGTCAGGGCTTACATCTAAATTGAGGTATTTAAAGTAATCTGTTAATCTTAACAATGAGTTACTTATTTTTTCTGTTACTTTATTAATGTCTGGGCCTGAAAAGTATATAACAAGGTCATCTGCAAATTGAAGATTCCTGACATGTGGTCCTAAAATTAAATTAAGTTTGTGTATGTAGAGGATAAAGAGTAGTGGACTAAGTATTCCACCTTGACACACACCTTTATAAGAAAGACGAGGTCCTATTAACTGCTTGTTAACTTTAACAAAAACTTCTCTACCATTTAAAAAGTTATAGACCCAGTTTATAATTTTTCCAGGTATACCAATAGAAACAAGTTCCAGAGTGAGAATGTGATGATTGACATTATTGAATGCACCGATAATATCAAAGAATACCCCAATCAAAACTTCATTGCATTTAAGTGCTTTAAATATATCAATATGGAGATGAGTAACACTCTCAGAGGCAGATTTACCTCTACGAAAACCAAACTGGTTTGCTGGTAATAAACAATTACTCTCTATGTAGAATTCTAATCTTTGTTTTAATAATTGCTCAAATATTTTTCCCATGCAGGAGGTCAGGGTTATGGGTCTATAGGAATCTATTTCATTTGCATTTTTGTTTGGTTTTAAAATTGGAATAATACAATCTTTTTTCCAATCGGAAGGAATAACTGACTCTTTCCACAGTGCATTATAAATACATAGAACAATATTTTTAGAGGTATAAGAGAGGTTTTTTAATAATTTATATGGTATGCCATCGAGACCAAATGCTGTATCTCTTCGGGTAGATATGGCTGCATTGAATTCAGAAAAAGTGAAGGGTTTATTTAAATAATTTAATTTGTTACTATTTTCATTAATGTGTGATTTAAATTGGGTCTCGACAGTGTCAGGAGTATATTTCTTAAGAAAATCTGAAATCCAGTTATTTTTATTTGAAATCTGACTATATACATAAGTTTTATTGAATTTTTTAACGGTATTCCAAATTTTCGAAATGGGTGTGGTGCGATTAAAATTTTCACAAAAATTATTCCAGCTAATTGATTGTTCTCTTTTAAGTATTAACTTTTTTTTGGCTTGTAACCTTTTAAATGTAATATAATTTGCCTCTGATGGGTTGTTTTTAAAATTAACATATGCCTGTTTAGAGTTATCTACTGCAAGTGTACATTTTCCATTCCACCAAGGTAATGGAATCCTTTTATTTTTAAAAGGAATATCAGTTGTAGAGTTTATGGGTTTTGATTTTGATATATTACTTTTGTCTAGAGCTAAATTGAAGATATCAATTAATTTAGTATAACACTGCAGGGGTGAATTACTATAAGTGTAAAGTGTAAAATCTTGTAACAAACTATCTGTGGTCTTCTTATACATGGTCCAATGTATAAGATTGTAATTATGAAATTTGGGATAATCTGAGGATTCTGGTAATCTAGTGCAATTGTTATTAATTACTATTTTTGTTATTACAGGTAAATGGTAGCTACCTAAGGGATCATTATGTACCATCCAATTTGAAGCAAGAGATAAGCAAGGGGATGCAATAGTAAGGTCAAGTGCATTACTCTGCCATCTGTGTGATCCTACTGTAGTCGGTGTACCATCATTTAAGATGATCAAGTTGTTACCATCAATACATTCAAGAATGTCACGACCACGAGCATTAATAGACGAGCAACCCCATGCTGTGTGATGAGCATTAAAATCACCAGCAACCAACATGGGTTCTGGAATACTATTAAGAAGATTACTGAATTTATTTTTGTTAAAACGTGGACTACAATTATTTGGGCTATAAAAACTAACAACTGACATTTCTGTGTTTTTATATTTTAATCGTACCGCAATATTCTGTAAGGAATCATCACTATATGTATCAATTTTACTGAATTCTATACTTTTATGAACTAAAATTGCAACGCCGTTATGGTCATTGCCTGAGTCTAATCTAACAATGTTAAAACCTTTAATATTTAATTTATAGTAGGCTTTTAGCCAGGTTTCTGATATCAGAGCAATATGAATATTGTTCTCCAATAGAAAATGTGTAAAGATTTGTTGATTACTTACTAAACTTTGTGCATTCCACTGGACTATTACTATATGGTCCATAAAGAAATAAAAAATTAAAGAAAGAAAGATTAATCTGGGTTTTTTTTATTCTGTAATGTCTCTAGGAGAACTTGTTTTATATTTTCTGTACATATTGTTTTGTCATTGGTTCTATTCAATGTTATAATTTTAACAATTGATTCTAATAGGGTATTTAAGGTATGGTCAGAATTAAGTAGGGATATAAATTGTGCCGAAGGTGAAGTTTTGGTACTGCCTAATTGAGGAAATGATTTCTCTCTAACAATATCAGCATAACTTTGTACTTTATTTTTATTCTCCTCTATTTTCTTTTTCTTAATAGGACACTGTGATGAAATGGCTATATGATTACCATTGCAGTGACAACATTTAGCTTCGTTAATATTTGCCGAACAGTTTCTGAAATTATGATTATTTCCGCATACTGAGCATCTTTCAGCGTTCTTACAAAACTTAGCGATGTGACCATACCTTAAACATTTAAGACACTGCTTTACAGGAGGTATATAAGGCCTCACCACAAAGCGCCAACTATTCAGGTCGACGGTGTCAGGAAGTACAGGACAGGAAAATGTGATGGAGACGGTTTTAGTTGGCTGCATTGTAAAGGTGTTATCATCACCTTTAATACGCCTCATGAATCTGCGTACACAAACAATATTTTTTGAGCTGGTTATATTAGAGTATATTTGTTCGTTCGATAGATGCGTAGGAACATGCTGAACTACTCCAGTTACTTCCGTGGCTGAAGCTGGTATACTTGCCTTTAATTTAAATCCGTCTAGAAATTTTTTATTAACTAAGGCTGCATTAGCTAAACCGGGGCGTTCAAAAATGACGCCGATCTTAAATTTATTCATCCTTAATAATTGCTTAACTCCTTTATTATATTTTTTCAAATTAGTAGCTAAGGACATCATATCCCTATCACCGATTGGCTTATTACTATCTGTACTCTCCATAAATACAATGTATTCAAAGTTTCCACCATCCTCAGGATAGTACCGAACATAATCTGGTATTTGAAATGCCTTATACTTATCCACATCCTCAGGTGCCGATTCCGAGTCAGACCCTAGAAAATTAATATCATCGGATGTATCATCCGATATTTCCTCTTTCTTTTTTCGCTTCTTCCCGCTCCTCTTCGTCATCTTTACTGGTTTTGACTAAAAAAAACTCAATAAAATATAATTTTGCAAAACTAGCGCGAAAAAATACGTGTAGTCGCTTTGAAAGTTCCCGCGCTTTTTTCCAGTGTCAAACACTCAATTACCTTTACCACAGATTATTGATACATCAAGGCTGCAAACATTAAAATATTTTCGTCATTCAAGATACTAAAAATGTCATACATTTGCAATTTGACGTAAATTATATATATTAACCAAATATTTATATTGTTCTTATTATTTTGGCATCTTTTTAGTAACGCGTCTCGTAGCCAAAAATATAGAACGAGACAGAGTGGGTGATTTTTAATGTTCTTAGCTTCACTCGTTTAATTGTAAACACCATAAACACATAACATATGTGTACGTAAGAAATTCGCACTCGAATGCGGTTGTACCCCTTGAACCCCAGGGCCTCTTGAGTAGTATATTTTTTGTCCAGGGCTAAAGACTGGTTGGTACACGATTTCTTTCCAAGCCTCGTCATTGAAACACTGATGAAAACGTATATCTCCTCAATCGTAAAACATTAAAAAAAACAACAGTTTAAGTCGTTGAAGTCAGTCGGTATTATTTTTATTTATATTATTATATATATTCTGTGGTTGTATCTATTTGATTACTGATATAGCTTTGTATTTTTTAATATTTATTTAAAATTTCTTAGTTTTAATTTGGTCTCAACATACTCATTGTCGGTAAAATAAATATAATTTAGATTATAAAACGGGTATCAACTTTTAATTATTTATCTTTGCTTCCTTTGCCATAGTGCATTGAATGCAATTCTCTATTCTACAAACATTTAGTGGTGATGGCTGACGATATTTTATTTGAATTGTTGCATTCTGAAATTATTAATTATGCCTTGGAGCAAAACAAGAATCACAGTGACAAAAAGGTACAGTTGTCGCTATTAACATTTATTACAGATGCTATAAAAATAGATAAATTTCAACAAATTCAAGTCTTAGTTAAAAACTTAGAACTAACTTACTCTTTTCCACTGCTCAGGAGACAGATTTATCAGCAGTGGAGTACATTGGTTTTGCTGCTGGCTATAAAATTATGGAAAGATTGACTCGAGAATGGCCACGTTTTAAAGATGAGTTAGATACAATGAAATTTATATGTACAGATTTTTGGATGTGTATATATAAAAAGCAGATTGATAATTTGCGCACTAATCATCAAGGAGTTTATGTTTTACAAGATAATGCATTCAGATTCCTGACATACTTCTCAAATGGCCTCCAATATTTGGAATATGCTCCAAGAGTAAGTATATCCTATCAACAAAAGAAAACAAAGAATATCCCTTTTGTTAGTCCAAATTTAATTAGGTTTTTCTTTCGTTTCAGTATGTAGCATATACATGTGGATTGATAAGAGGTGGATTAGCAAACCTTTGTATAAACAGTGTAGTTACAGCTGAGGTGCAGTCTATGCCATCTTGCAAATTTCATATACATGTTCAGAGAACATAAATTTATTTAGAACATTGATACTGTAAATATATATGAGAAATAAATTATTGAAATACCTAAATGAATGTGATTAATTAAATTACAGCATGCAGATGTCTGTACGTTATAACTATTGATAAAAAAATACATGTGGGTGTAGAGGAGGTTACTGATTAGAATTGAATTCAGTTTACACCTAAGTGTTGCTAGAATTTTCTAATTATTTCTCGCTAGTATAATTATCAATTGTATTTTAATGGGAATGGTGCACAGGTCTATGCTGGCATTAGTGGAGGAGGAGGAGGAGGAGTTCAACTTATCATAAGTTGAACATCAGGTCAACTCAGTTAGCCTATTGTAACAAATTCATCAGGAGTTTATAATGAAGTCAACATGTCACGGTACTTTGCTAGCAATGGGATTGACTATTACTACACACTATACATGGGGAAAGGGATTGTTAGTAATGTGGACTCTTGACCCCATTACTAGCAATGTACTATGTCAGGTTGACCTCCACGCGGTTCCCCCTGGAAACCATCGTGATAAATTCCTGGTGAATTTGTCACGATGGGCTAACTGACCCGATCTCATACCCATCTTATCATCCTCCACTGGCGCCCCGCCATCGTAAATCGTTAGCGCAAGCGGGTGCACCATTCCATTGTAATACATAAAAAAATACGCACTATACATACTATTACACATTACAAACAATCTCTCTCACCCCACTCCCATTGTTGTGTCATATAAAATAAACAAGTTGAACAATATTAGTTTTTTAAACTAAAAAGAAATGAATAGGGGCTTAGATTAGGCTAATTGTTAGGTTCATTTCCAATGTACTGTGGCGACAACGCCATGCGATTGGCGTATTTCCAAAGAAGATGGGACATAGGACTACTACGCCAATCGGGCGGCGTCTTCACACCGGTTGGTTCAACTCATACTAAAAATATATAAACTGCTAATAGGCCTGTTAGGCCTATTTTTGAAGCCCTTTTACGAGGTACGAGGTAACAATGTGTAAGTAACATAATTAAACCTTTTGGTATATTTACTTTACTCTTTGATTATAAATAACAAGGATAGCAACCCTACAATAATATATTTTATGTTAGGCTAAAAAGGACTTGTATCCAGAGCCGTAAAATATTAAATAAAAAGAAATTAATTGACATTGGACGTTGACTAATATTTTTTTTTGTAAAACTAAGTTGCGTTAAAAAGGACTTGTATCCAGAACCGTAAAATATATAATTAAATCTATACATATAAAAAAAAATTGGAGTGTCTGTTTATAATATTGAAATAAGCGTTTTTTTACTACATGAATATGAATACGGTACATACACCAAAAAACACTTTTTACAATTTTTGTATGTCTGTCTGTCGGTTTTGAAAAGGACGAATTTCTTCATCATCTTCAATTTTCAGCTTATATTTCATTTTATCCTCTTAAGGATAACATTTTACAAACTTAGAATGTCATATTTATTTATATCAGTGGCACTCAATGAGGAAGTAGCCATTATTATTGCTAAAAGTTGCATATAGATGGCGTGATTGGTATCGATGGAATTCTTCATAGTTTTGCAAACGTTTTAAAAAACAAAACTGTGTTTTCAAAAATGTTTAATCAATTTTTAAAAAGTTATATATACATGTTAAAATGAAATAATGCGTTTAGAAAAGTAATTTTCATATATTTACTCATTTTGTTATTTTCCAGTACTTAATTACACTTTAATCAGTGCTAATATGGGGCTCAATGTTTTCAAAATGCTTTCATAGATGGCATTGTCGTCATTTGTATCGGCCTAATTAAATGTCTTTTTTATATTTTCCAATAATAAGCACTTAATATATTATTATTGTAAATTAAACATATAAAATTTTTTTAAGTAAATTAAAAATAGCCGAACAAGCAAGTAATACTATTTCCAATAATACTTATGTATGAAGTGTTGTCATATTAAAAATAAATACATGTATTATCGATTTTTTTGAATAATCGATAACAGGATTTTATTACAGCGCATTATTCGATGATGCTTTTAATGAGTCGTTGTGAACAGTAAATTTTCATTATTATGTATTATAGCAGTGTTCCGTTTCAAAGAACGGAATATAGTAGTACATTATTAGTGTCGTTGGTTATTTACATTTGTACTGAATAATCGATTACATAATAATTTAAAATATCGAGTACGAATCGTAGCTGTCTTCGAATACTGGCAACTGGTAAGATTAAAATAGTATTTAAAAAAAGAGAGAAATCGACCCTAACTCGAATACCATAAAGTTGATTTTCCTTTCTCATTAATATATCATAGCAGTTTGTTTTTAACTTGCGTATGACTCTGTGGTATGATGTTTATTGTACGGTGCATACATTTCAAAAATTATATTTTAATGTAGGTACATACATTTCATACATGTCAAAAATTATCTTTTAATGTAGGTACATACATTTCTTTCATACATTTCATACATTTCAAAAATGAACTTTTTATGTAGGTACATACATTTCTTTCATACATCTCATACATTTAAAAAATTATATTTTAATGTAGGTACATACATTTCTTTCATACATCTCATACATTTAAAAAATTATATTTTAATGTAGGTACATACATTTCATACATGTCAAAAATTATCTTCTAATGTAGGTACATACATACATTTCTTTCATACATTTCAAAAATGAACTTTTTATGTAGGTACATACATTTCTTTCATACATTTCATACATGTCAAAAATTATCTTTTAATGTAGGTACACACATTTCTTTCATACATTTCATACATGTCAAAAATTATCTTTTAATGTAGGTACATACATTTCTTTCATACATTTCAAAAATGAACTTTTTATGTAGGTACATACATTTCATACATGTCAAAAATTATCTTCTAATGTAGGTACGTACATTTCTTTCATACATTTCATACATTTCAAAAATGAACTTTTTATGTAGGTACATACATTTCTTTCATACATCTCATACATTTCAAAAATTATATTTTAATGTAGGTACATACATTTCTTTCATACATTTCAAAAATTATCTTTTAATGTAGGTACATAACACCCCATGTCAGACCCCTTGTATTTGGAAGAAACTTAAAAATAATGCCAAAAATATTAGATGAATATATTTTTAATACGAATATTGTTTTATTTTTGTTCATCAACTTTATCCCTCACTAACAATACTAGTAGTAGTACATAACCTGGTTTATACCGCTAAAGATATTGAAAGATATACGAGTAATTCAGAATGTTATCAAGTTCAAAATAAGCACACATTACTTGCTTAGATAACAGAGTAATATTACTCGTAATAAAAACATTTGTAACACCCATATGTATACTACGTATGTATAGTAAGTACTTACGCTGCGGCGCCGTGAGACTCGTCTACCTCATCTACTCATCTACGCGCGGTAACCGCGCCGACCGACCAATAGGAGCGCGCCTCTCGTGTTTCCAGAAAGTTCGCGACTAACGGACGATATAGTAGTAAGGCAATGAGTGTCCCAGTGACATCATTATAATATTTTCTCGTTAAATTTTATTGTAATATACACAATTTCGCACTAAATAACGTGTTACCCCGTTACACATTTCTAATAATGAAAAACCTAGACCAACCCTGTTCACTTAATCTTACAAGATCTGACTTTAAAAATTACGATATCCTCATATAGCCTTTCATTTCCCCTTTCAATACTTTTTCGCATTAAAAAGTAGCCTTTCTCAGGGTCTACATTATCTGTCTACCAAATTTCAATTAAATCAGTTCAGTAGTTTTGGCGTGAAAGAGAGACAAACAGACAGACTGAGTTACTTTAGCATTTATAATATTTGTAAGAATATCGCTATTAAAAATAGGGGTTGGTGAAAGACGGGTGAAAATTTAGGCGTGTATGTATTTTCAATGTAACATTATAAATAAATAAAAAATTGTCCATAATACAAAAAAATATTTTTTCGGGGTAGGCCACCCCTATGACTTAGGGGTATAAAAAATAGATAACAACCCTACCTCAGACCTGGCAAGTATACATATCAAATTTCATCAAAATGTGGGAGAAATATGGCAACTAACACTGTGATACAAAATTTATATATAAGATATAGCGGAATTCTCATTAGGGAAAAGAGGGGTACATCGTAGAATACATGAGGTATATACCAGTAAATTAATTGTAGCTAAAACCAGTCTCTTACACATAACGATTGAAATAAAAAATCATATAGCCTGATTTTGATACGTACGAGTATAAAAGTATCAAAATCGGGCTATACGTATAGCGCAGACGCGTTACAACATATCAAAAAAATAGGCATGGAATGTAAAATAAACCATAACATAATAGGTATATACATTGGCACATAAGCCATATCTGCAGAGTGTCGGCTAACGATATTATACCTACACATTTACATTGAATCTTGAATCGTCCCTAATGAGGTACACGATACAGTTACCTAAATATCTATTATATACATATCTTTGCAAAACAGATGTCATGTAGACTGAATTGACTGCCATCTATTTTCATGCTTTGTTACTAAGCACCCACTAGTAATCCGAACTGCTTCAGATCTAGCGACATCTAGCGGCTACGGTGGCGAAATAAAATAGCCCGAAGAATAGCCCGAGTTAGGAAGGAACCATTTTCTTGTATGGGATGGGGTATCTGTATGTAATATTATGTTATCTGTGATTTATATTTAGTCAGCAGCCTAAAAAATATTATTAATTAAATTATAAGATTATAAATTAAAGCTTTAGCTTACAAGATCTGACTTTAAAAATGACGATATTTTCATATAGCCTTTCATTTCCCCTTTCAACCCTTTTTCGCATTAAAAAGTAGCCTTTCTCAGGGTCTACATTATCTGTGTACCAAATTTCAATTAAATAAGTTCAGTAGTTTTGGCGTGAAAGCGAGACAAACAGACAGACTGAGTTACTTTAGCATTTATAATATTTGTAAGAATATCGCTATTAAAAATAGGGGTTGGTGAAAGACGGGTCAAAATTTAGGCGTCTATGTATTTTTAATGTAACATTATAAATAAATAAAAAATTGTCCATAATACAAAAAAAAATTTTGAATGTAGAATAAACTATAACATAATATATACCTTGGCACATAAGTCATATCTACAGAGTGTCGGCTAACGATATTATACCTACACATTTACATTGAGTCTTGAATCGTCCCTAATGAGGTACACGATACAGTTACCTACATATCTATTATATACCTATCTTTGCAAAACAGATGTCATGTAGACTGAATTGACTGCCATCTATTTTCGTGCTTTGTTACTAAGCACCCACTAGTAATCCGAACTGCTTCAGATCTAGAGACATCTAGCGGCTACGGCGGCGAAATAAAATAGCCCGAGTTAGGAAGGAACCATTTTCTTGTATGGGATGGGGTATCTGTATGTAATATTATGTTATCTGTGGCAATACTAACAATCACCATTCCAACATGCCAAAGGTACTGGAGCTCGGCTAACGGTCCTCTCACCTTGTACAGTTACAAGTTAAAAGATTTCTGTTTTTGCTACGAGATACAGGAATTTGCACTAGGATAATTTTATGAGTAAATTTTTCACTACAGGTAAAATTTGTATGTCTATATATTTTAATACACATTAATTTCACTATGGAACTAGCTTATTATAAAAAGCTTTGTACAAAGTTTTACGTTTTATGAAAAAGGATTTCAGTGCATATTACGGAACAAATAATAACCGTACGCACAATTTTTTAATCTGGCAACCTTTGGAAGAAAATTTTCATTCAATATTCTCTGGCTTTGCACGCTCCGGCTTGTTCTCTTTTTCGATTCATTTCATTCATTTTAATCCAGTTTTAATGCTATGAAATAAAATGGCTACCGAAAATTTGGTGACTGAGCAGTTTCAATTACTTGGCATAGACGTTGAACAAGAGGTTTTAACAAAATGTAAGTGATTATTAGTTCCTATAGGTACATATTATATACATATGATATTTAATTTATTGCTAAACAAAATGCTACTAAGTTAGATGCCAATCGAAATGAATGTTCAAGGTTGTTCCAATATTCACTTTTTTTTATAGGTATAAGTTTATGTGAAGATTTTAATGTCGATCCGGAAACTTTCATTGAACAATGGATGGCATTCAGTTTGAATTACTTAAACAGTGCACCACCTACGTTAGAAAATTTAGAAGTTTTTGCAAGAAAGGAATTTTCCAAGCGGGCGGTAAACCGCTCCAACACAGTCGTAAAAGAGACTTCATCAAATATCGCTTCTGGTCTCACTGTGTATGGCACGCCTATTTCCACTCAGTATCCTTTATGAAACTGTAATCCACGTGTTCTTTATCTACCATGTTACAAAAAGTTTTAACTTGTAATTATTACTTTTTTGTTAGATTTCATTAACATGTCTTGAGAATGTGTGTGTATATATTTTTGTTAACCTGTATGATTATTAACCTGTGTTATTTTTTCTTCTTATTTCCTTAATAAACAGACCAGATAATAATGTCCTTTCAAATTACATGACAGTAGCTCCAAAGGTTAGTTATATGCATTCTTAGATAGTATAAATGTACTATAAAATTGCCACATGTGATTATGAACATTACTATAGATTTATATTTATCATCCCTGTAATAAATGGAATAACAAGTATATTGTCCACCTCAAAAATATACCTGTAGTAAAAATTTCATTAATATTTCTTGAACTGTTAGGGCACTAATGGGTAATAGACTCATATTTATATACAATTCTAACACAATATATATGGTCAATTAAATAAATATGAGAAAGTAGTACATTTATCAAAATTATGTCTGATTATTGTTTTTGTTACTGCATGTCTGTATGTGGAATATTAAGATACTGCCTATAGTCACTGTAAAGTAATTGCCATGCTACTGGGTGTTTAAAAAATTGTCAGGTGATGTTTTGTTTGTTCATATCTGATCCTGACTAAACAAATCAAACATTGAGTCTTTTTAATTCTAATGGATGTACTGAAACTGTAAGTATTCTATATTAATTTTATTTATACATTTAGTAGGACTAATAATGTGTAATATATATTAGTGTAGATGCAGAGCCTATTTATGTCAAGTTAAATTTAGAGACTAGGCTTTTTTCTACTAAGAATGTGCCAAAATTATGAATTATACTTTGTTCCAATAGAATTTATAGAATATGTACAGAATATTTATCTTGAAAATTATTATATAAGCTTGTAACTATATGGAAATAGTAACACATTTATCTCAATGTTGAGGGTTGTAATGGGGTTTTAAAATTACTTTCTTAACAGTATTTATTTGTATTCACTTTCTAAATTGTACTGAAAAAAATAATAAAGCAAAAATTGTGAGCAAAATGAATGACATTATAGATGGTTGCATATGAAAAGATCATTAGTGTATTCAATGTACATTTTAATAATGGAATATATATTCCATTATTAAATACACACACACAATTCACAATATATTCAGTATAAAAAAATATATAGAAATAATTTTTGAATCATGTTGTATTTATTAATAGTATATTAAAAATAAATTATATCTATATTAGTGTTATTATAAACTTCTGTTTTTATGTTAGTTTTTTGTTAATGGTTGTGGCATATTATTTTGTGTAATTGTTTTATTTTCTTAGTCATTTTATAAATATATTAGTATTTTTATAGAGAATGAAAGAAGATTTGGATATCTGCTTGCATTGCATGGGTGTAGATTTGGTAGCGCAGTTAATAAAATCTGTGACTAGATCTACACTCATTGATTGCATGCAGACTTAACTACAATCAACAAAGAAGAATTTAATTTTAAAATTGGTTATATTTTATTTATTGAAAAAGAAACTGATCTGATATTAATTTATAATATATAGACATCAGTTTTCTATCAAATCAAAACAGACTTATTTATGTTAATCCCTTATGAATGTCATATTTTTGGTACTAATATTATATTCTATATCTAAAATAAAAAAATCTATCTCAAAATTCTTCAATATTTTGTTAAATAACTATTTCATAATCATATTATGTAATGAATATATTCTAAATTTATTATAATAATATTATTTAAACGACTTGATGATATTTGTGGGCGGGTTTGCTTCTGGTTCATGTTTTCTTTCGTGTCATGACTAGATCCATACTCGTCTGCAGCCATCAACTCATTCAACAAATATTTTTTGCAATATTATGTTAGAAAATAGTAGATTTAAAAGTACAAAATTCGAATGACTTGCTATAGGATATTGAATGTTGTTTTTATTACGGAATGGTTGCTCTACTTCAGGTTACCATTACGCAACTGTAAAGATAGTTTAAAATAAAATACAACTATTGTTTGATGTGACTGATCAGATGTTCCATGCCATGTGCATGTCATATTTATTGTTTAATTTATAAGATTCTGAATGAAAAAGTAAATATGGTATCCACAGTTCAATAATTTTCAAAATACTAATGTCATAATGCTGAGATAGCCCTGATATTTTAATGACTGTTCGATTGGAGTTTGAATGATGTATCACATGAAAATTCGTTTCTATATTACAAAACCTATTTTTTTTTTTATTTCCTCGCAGTTTTCGCATTATGATGGAATATTTTAAATAAAAACTATTTAAAAGACACAGACAGATACAATTTAATAATGTAAAACTTAGCTTACATTTAACACAAAATGTTAAATACAAATATGTTTTTGTAAAGTCTTTCAATATGTATAATTATACACATACTTTTCAGAGAGTAAAGCTAGAAACAGAAGTAGTATCTTCACATCAAACGGAATTGCGCCCACCTACATATTCACCTATTATGTTAGTATAATTTGTTGTGTACATTTATGTTATTACAAAATACATAATAATTTACTTACGGGAGCCGCACTTTACAAAGCAATTAAAATTGATAGCAATAATCTGGTACGTCAATCTAACTTGCGCATCATCACCACATCTATGAGTTGTAGTACATATGATCATAATTATAGACGCATGAGAAAACAAATATCTTGGACTGCTCTGCAACAATTTTTTAATTCGTGGATAGCCGTGGTATGCGTTATTAGTAGTTATCACTTTATGTAATGGCCAAAATAAAATGTATTTATTATGTTGGATCTGTTGCACTTTTGTTTTTGATAAAAATAATATTGAACAACCAGATTTGCAATTACATATAATTTTAAATTAAAAAACTCAAAATAATTCTTCCACCCTCTCATTATACCACTGATTTTTATTATTATTCTAACAGCGTGTAGTTCAGTAGTGATGACCTGCAACTGCTACATCAGTGTATTTATGAACAAAGTTTTCTATAGAAGTATCTCTTTATGCTTTTCATAATTTAATTATTTTTGTTGCAATGAATTCGTTGTAATGTGTTTCAGTGAACGCTCACTTAAATACTCATCACGACCAAATCCAGGCACAGTTGTACATTCGTATGGTGACGAAAAACAACTAGAGTTGATATCTCAGTCCAATAATCTCCATGATATTTCGAATCTCAACATTGTTCAAATACCAAATGACGACGGTGACCTATATACAAAAGCTACGTGAGTAATAAGATAATATTTAAATATATTGCCTTATGGATGTTTTGTTCATTATACGTTTCTATTTAGTTGTTGAATAATTACATCTTTTAAAATATATGTAGAAGCATCGCTGTGCGCGTCCAACTCTTCTTTTTTTATATTAACTAGACTTGATTTTGACAATTTATACTTATTCCTAACACTTAATTTATATTAATAATAAATATTTACATGTACAGGTTTGGTTTTGAAATGCTGCATGAGAAAGCTAGTATTTTTGATAACCACTTAACGTATTTGTCTCAATATATAATGAAAAAGGCGGGAATAACAGAATCTACTTCTACCAGACATAAAACACAGGTATGTGGAAGTGTTTATATTAAACTGATTGGTGTTCTCCATACTTCATATTGTACTTTTAATTAGATACTCATAATATATATTGGTTTTTATTATACATAAACAAAATTAATAAAAACCTATAGTTCTAATTTATAAGTCTTCATCTTGAGTTCCACTACAATCTTATTACGATCGAATTTTGCTGCATTACGATATGTATGCTTTTTCGGAAGGTACGTTCGTGATATGTACGTACGTACCTACGTATATCTGACAACCGTTTGTGGTATTCTTTATGAATCGTGGTTACAATTTTACATTTTATGGATCACCAGCTTCTGTACTGTAATATTAAAAATTTATATGTAAAATACCGTCTGTTTCATTAAGACCTGAGGATAGAAGTAAATACTTCATAAAAGCGATGTGACTATAGCAGTGACGCATCGACTATATCTTTTTATTTATTTCCCTTGGTCTGCTTATGCCTACTCTACCCGAGCGAACGTTACATAAAGAAGTTACTATTAAAATTCAATAAAATTGTATGTTGGGCATACTTGTTTTAGACCGTTGTGACAGTAGCCGGCCGAATAGAATGTGATGCTGATGCCAGGCTCAATCCCAAATCAGTTATGTTACAAGGGACTTGGGAAGAGTCACTCAGTCAAGCAGTACCTGTTGATATTGATAAGTATGTTTTAGGAAAACTGTTACAGTTCAAGTTTGATTTTAATTACAATTGGTTTATTGCTTTACAATAAAAACTTGCACCGTGTTAGCAATAAATAATATCATTCTTTTTAAATCTACGATGCCACATATAGAGTCGGGCCAGAAAAAATAGTTATATACATTCCACTATATGTATCATCCATTTAAAATATAGAAACATTTCAACAACCAATTGTCATTAGATTCGGTTATGTACCTAGTGTGAACATTCTGTGAAACTGCATTTTGTACATAGAAATTACATTTTTTATCTTTATAAATAATACATTTTATATCTTTTGATAAATGTACATTTACTGTTTTTGGCACAGTGTGACACAGTATTCATTGTTTCCCGGACAAGTGGTGGTGATGCGAGGTATTAATCAACGTGGTGATCAGTTCATCGCACATGAAATATTATCTGACGCCTCGAAACCCATACCTGATCCTAAAGCTGACATGCTGAACTATTTAGAAGGTAGAGTTATATACATTGTTTAGTAATAACGCTTATTGTTTGAAGATTATAAGATTAGATATGTCGAAGTAGAATCCTAATAATTAACTTTCCTAGATCAATTTCCTTTATAATTAGATCTCTATTTGCAAAAGAAGGATTTAAATAATTACCAAACGGTCTAAGTATTTTCTGTTATCTTTCGCACTCGGTTACAATTAGACACAGTCGTGTTACGGACATTTGTTATATGGGTTATTACTTTTTTTATGTAATTAGAATGGCAAACAATCTGGCGGTCCATCTTATGTAAATGATAACGGTCAACTATGTACATGAACAGCTCTACGAATATCACTTGACTCTGGGATACCACTATTGATCACTAAGATATAGCCTCGTATTCTGTAATATCACTATCTTATCTCATCTTTCAACTAAACCTTAGCTTACAAAGCAAGCGGCTTGGTGGCTGAAATAGGTTTCTCCCTCGGTAGAAAGTACATCGTAGCTTGCAATATTATATCAAAAGACATTTTTACTTGTATGTCGATTTTTTTTGTTTTTAGGTAAATTATCTATAATGATGGCGGCAGGACCCTATACTACTTCAGATAATATGGCTTACGAACCATTAAGAGATTTTATCACATACATTGGTACTCATAGGCCCCACGTGGTAATAATGACAGGGCCTTTCATGGATGTAGAACATTCCAAAATTAAAGATAATTCTATGGCGGAGACATATAAATCGTATTTTGAAAAGTTAATAGATAATTTAGCAGAAGTACATAAAACTAGGTAATATAATAATATTATTATTTATAATTCTATTCTACTATGTTATAAATTGTGTAATATTAGGTAATTCATGCGAAAGCTTTAATCTGTTCCAATAACTTACAAGACGCGAGAACTTTGGGGGACTTGTTATGAATATATTTTATGGGAATCTTACTAATACAGAAGTTTGCGAGTGTAGATGAATGTATGTTTGTTACTCGTTCACGCAAGAACCACAGAATGGATTTTAATTAAACCTTTCAAAAATATAACTTATATATCAGAATAATACAGGCTATAAAATTCAATTTCGCAGATGAATCCGTGGGCACTGCTATTAGAATATAAAAGCTAGCGTGGTGTTTCCACAAGTACATACAACTTTGAGTAAAAATTAGTTATAAATTAAAATACTATTTACATTATGGTTAGGTTTCATGACTATTATCACTGATTTTCCTGTTTTCATTCCCTTTATACAATATCTAAATTTTATTTTTAGTCCATCTACAAACATATACATTGTATCGAGTGTAAAAGATGTTTTCCATGTGAATATCTACCCAACGCCGCCATACTCAACACGAAGGAAATACCAAAATATACATTTCTTACCAGACCCATGCACAATTAACATAAATGGTGTTGTGGTGGGACTAACAAGTACTGATGTCCTTATGAGTATAAATAACGAAGAAATATCATGGTAAGTGGACAGTTTTATATTTTTAAAATTTTATTCATTAGTTTGCTATATTGTCTTTCTGGGTCATCTATAATGTGTTTACAAGCACTGACTGTCATTGTAAAACATTGCATATTATTTATTTCACACTAATATAATGTCAGTGGCTGATCATGTGCACTAATCACTTACACATAAGTAGATTTAAAGGCCTCAAAAACCACCAATTAGATATATGTTTTACAGCACACCAAAGGATCCTTATGTCCACAATGAAGTCGATCTGATGGACTTAAGTTAAAAAAAACTATTAATGTGTAAGTTTTACAAGTCGCCAAAAGATCTTCATATTCTTCTTCACAAAGATATCCATCTGACGTGATATATTGCTAGCAATGGGCCCAGCCTTAACTAACACTCCTTTTCCAAGGACGAGTATTTGTGATAGTATAACGGTATGTCCTTTGTTGGCAGCGGTACAGCAGGCGGTGTGGATAAACTGTCACGTCTATGTGGCCACCTGGTGCGACAACAAAGTTATTCGCCGTTATGGCCGCCACCCGCCACTCGGCCGACTGACGCCGCGTTGTGGGCTGCGCATTCACACCTTCCCTGCACGCCGCATCTAATGCTACTGCCTTCTAACTTCAGATACTTCGTCAAGGTACAGCTTTAGCTTTAGCTAGCATTTGAATATTAACAAAATGTTGCATACGAATGTGTGTGTGTGAATAGACATGCTAACTTCAGTTAATAAGGAAAACATGGTGGAAACTGCTAAGTCTTTACTGGACTGCACAAAAGAGGAACTATTCGAGCCGCCACGCAGCTTATTTTGTAAGGTGTGTTTCAGTGGAAGTGAGGCAGTGATATTACAGGAATCGCAGAAATCATATTGAAGAGACATCTTAGTCATATTGAATAGCAACCCATAAGTACCAAGGGCTGACGTTGTCCGTGCTCTTCATATACATAGATTTTCTCAATTTCAGTTATAAAAAAAATACATATTTAATATTACAGGAAGTGAATGGATGCGTGATGGTGAATCCGGAGCATCTAACCAAAGGCCAGGGCGGCGGCACCTTTGCTCGAATATTAGTTGACGGCAGCCTAAGTCCCTCCGAATTTATCAGTGCACAAATTATACGTATTTGAAGGTACAAATTAAATTTATGATACACTATCAAGTTCTTTTATTATAATATTGTTTATTAACAATCAGTATTTTATACATAACTGAAACTTCATGCATCTAGTCTAAAAGGAAAATGATTGGAACAAATAAAAAAATTATGCAACATAAATTGGGTCGTTAAGGGAAATAAGAGTCCCAGGCTCAGAACGCAACGCCATCTGCAAACCCATGCGTGGTGAGCTTCCTGCCGTTTTGCGCGCCGCGGGGTCCTCTAATTGGCGGTAACTGTAATCATGACAAAGTATATTATATATGTAAATTAACATAAGAATGCTGTGGTAAAGATACTGTACAAAAAAATGTAATATAATATTTCAGTAACCGTATGTGACAACTGGTTTAAACAATTAGTTCTTTACTGAAATAATAAATTATGATTATTTGTAAATTAAAGTATTCCAAAAATTATTCATTGTAATTGTGAAGATATAGATCTAACATCCACACACGCACAGTTGAATTAAGAACTCTATTCAAAGTCTCAAGAAATCAATCATTGATTTGAAATCGACAAGTATAATTACGTTTTCAAAGTCTCTAGCGGTTCAGTCTTGGGGTATCGTATTCCAGTTTCTGGATCAATTGTTGTCATTATGCACCTGAAAGATTAAAGGATAATTTTAACAACATATTCATGGAACGGCTATTATACTTTACTGTAAGAATATGAAAGCCTTACCTAGTACATGGTTTAATAATTTCAAACACGTTGTCGCCAATTTTAACAAACTTCCAATTGTCTTCATCGTAAGGCTTACCACCAGACAACACGAAGTTCGGTCTGAACACTCGTGATGATACTTGCGTCTCCTCCAAGCGTGTATTCAGATCGTCTACTGAAGCCTCATTTATTAGGTTGAATGGGACTTCATCAGGCAAAGCACCCTGAAAGTCAATATTTTATTACATCTTACCCGAAACCCGTAAATTATAGCATATAATCTCCATATGTTTACAATATAATAGTGGTTTTTATTTTACTGATTAATTAATAAATAAAATAACAAGCACTGTATACACGGTTTAAAAGCTTTTCATAAACTAAAATTTATTTAAACTGTTTAGCGGATTGTTTTTCATAATATTTTTTATAGTATCCCAATATTTCTAGCTGAGAAGTTCTCAGAACCGATAAAAATAAGAGTAAAATATGCTCCGAAAAAAAGTGAAGGTGCTAAAGTGAGTACTTGTAGTGTATAGAAAAAAAGTAAGAAGGCGGTATATATATTTTTCTTCTACTCTCCTCCTCCTCTGCTCTTCTACTTTCCTCAATCCACTCGTTTTGTTACCAGCAGACTGAAATACAATACCAGCAACTGATGACCCGAATCGAAATCAAATTGAAAATGCTACCAATTACAGTGAAAAAATCATACACAAAATTTATAGGTACTCTTGTGTATGATTTTTTCACTGTTAAATATTATAGGTCCGTCCGCGTGGAATAAAAGTAACCTAAGTTACTCCTTATTACATCAGCTATCTGCCAAAAAAAGTCCCATCAAAATTGGTCCAGTCATTTCAGAGATTAGCCGAAACAAACAGACAGACAGAAAGATTATGAACATTTATATGCGAGGTTAATGTAACTTTTAGTTTTCCACGTTGCTTTTATGTACGTCGTTTAATTTTAATAAAAATGTTATGGTTGACTTTCGTCGTGAAAATCTTTTCGGACCTAAATTAATGTAATAAATTAAACCATTAAACTAGGTACAATATAATAATAATTAATTATGTATACGATGAGATATTACCGTATCATCCTTTCCAAATTTGAATATTGGATTAATTGATTTTACACGTAAATCTCGGCTGCTTTGTGCAGCATAATATACCAATCGGAAGTTAGTGGTGGACTGATCAATAAGTCTGAAAAATAAAAACGTATTTATAATTTACTAGCTGTTCCCGCGACTCCACCCGCGTGGAATTTAACTTTATTTTCTAAAATAAAAAAAATATTTTAAATAAAAGTAGCCTAAGTTACTCCTTATTACATTAGCTACCTACCAAAAAAGTCCGGTCAAAATTGGTCTAGCCATTTCAGAGATTATTCGGAACAAACTGACCGACAGACATACAGACAAAAATAGTAAAGTGTTTTTTTTTGTATATGTACCTTATTTATATTTTAACTATGAAATAACAGTTTTTTATATTACAAACAGACTTTTATTTATATGTATAGATATCAGGTATACCTAGCGGCAGTGAATGTATGTGACAAGGGTCATGGAGAGATAAAGAAATGATGATGATACCTAACGAAGGTACATTTTTTGTCACTAACCTTGATAACCATTCGCTTACTGACCACCCGCAGTCGAATACAGGGACTGTAACTCCCCACACCGTCGCCGTCTGTGGTTTTTGCAGTGACACCACCTATTTTTATATAACAAACAATATATTAGAATTGTATACATACAATTTATATTTATGACAATGTAACAAATACGGTCAGATTATTTATTATGTAACGCAGCAACGCAATTTTCAATTATAACAGTCTAGCGATCCACCTCAGCTTCGCACGGCTGTAGACTATCTGATGGATTATAGATGGTCATATTATACGTATAAACCATCCGAAATATTCTTGTAATTTAGAAGTAAGCGGGGCAAATCAGAAGACAAAATAGATTAATATCAATAACATTGCTATTTTAAATGAATGATCATTTGAAAGTTGCAGTGACAATAGTACGATTCGAAGCTGCAACTGGATTTCTACATACTTACCGTAAAACCAATACAAAACGCTTAAATCTTTATAACTGCGTAAGGTATTTTGATACAGTTTTTAGCAATAGATAGTGATTCAAGAGAAAGGTTTATATGTATAATACATGTGCGAAGTCGGAATGGGCAACTAGTATATTATATAATCTCAAATCTGTATTTCTCTGTCTGATTTGTCTATATATAGATTTTAATGATTCAAATAAAAAAAAATGTTTTCGACTGCGTCACATAAAAAAAGGACCAGGCTCCAGACCAAATTACAATGTGGAACAATATACCGTAACGTCGTTTGTTATATAGCCCACAGAGCGTCCTGTTTCTTATATGGAAAAAGTATATTAAAAATAATTTTATTCAAAAGGCAAACTTTCATATGTATTGACTTATGGATAACCTTAGATAAGATAAATTATGATTTGCGCATACCGAGTACGCTTTGCAAATTATGTTTAATAAGCAAAATTAAAACTTAGGTAAATATATGTATAAAATAATTATAAATGTCAATTAAGAAATTGAGAAAATTTTAAACTATTATAAGAAAATCGTATATTATTATTTTTATAGAACTTATTTGCCGCCGCCTTCTTTAAAAAAGATATTCAATTTTATAATGTCATTTGTTGTTAATCCAAAAAATATTTAAATTTATTTTTTCGAATTTATACATTTTAGTGTCAACACTATGTTGACACTAAAATGTATAAATTCGAAAAAATAAATTGGTTATAATAACAATGTTAAAATAACTTTATTAGTTGTCATTTAATGTCTATATAGATTGGAACTTGGTTTATAATATGGGTTACTTTTTGTCGCAAAAATAAACAAAGCAGAGTATGAAAATTTATACGGGGTTTCAATATTTTGAGAGGTATGTAGAACTCATCGTAAATAGAAATAGGTTTATTTCTATTTATAATAATTAGTACTAACTTATAATAATAGTACAATAAGTACTTCGAGAGGTTATTGTACTATTCCCTGACATCTGCTAGGTACAAGTACACATTTAGAATATTTTTGGAATTGTGTTATTTTTACTACCATGACAAATTATTTATTTTATGCATGTACCTCGGCTAAATTTACGCTAATAGGCTCCATGTTGGCTCGATTCAAAGTAAGCACGGAACCTTTCACGGAAGGTTGTATTAACAGCAACTCGGGGTAAGCTCTGGCAGTAATGAAGTTATTTTGGTTATCTACTATCATCAGGAATCTGCAAAATATAAAACACCTTTAAAAAGAAAATTTTCACAATTTCGAATAAGATTTCACTTTTTTGTCAATCAACTATCACAAAGAAGAGTAGGAATACAGGGTCAGTAGTAAATGCGAAAACGAGTAGTAGTAGATACCCATTGAAGAACTGTCAAGTGGAAAATAGAAAACAATTTTTAAAACAGTCACGCACACTGCGCAGTAAGGATCAATTTTAAATGAAGAGCCCAAAACTTATAATTCAGATTCTCACTCTTCGTGAAAGTTTTTCAATGGGATCAAGTACTTTAGTTTTCAAATAATTTCTGTTTATTTATTAAAGTAAACATTGTATATATTTGTACCTGTCTCTAAGCCACCCATCTTTCAAGCCTAAGAGTGAGCACTCCGCTTTATCGACTTGCACAGCACCGCAGGACTTAATTGGGTATATGTAGAGGTCTTTCAGTGTACCCACTTGCGTCCAATTTTCAGGGATTTTTACTTTACTTGTACGTTCGTACAAACGGTAGGCGCAGTACGCGCCTCCGAGGACCCCGGCAGTGGCCACGCCTGCCGTTATGTAATGGCCTGAAATATATTGGATATATGTATACTTTATAGCACATATAACTTAAAATAGTACAAGAACATTAAAAATAATGTGTGAAAGTATAAGATTATAACCGGTAAACTGCAAGTAGAACTCGCAAAGTAAGAGAAACTAAATAATATTCATAATCTAGAATATTCTACAGACTCACTCTTACTTCGCATGGAATAAGATCCACGGAATATATTGTGATGTGTATCATTACTAACAATCCCCTTCCCATCCCCATTTGCTAAATCAGAATGTATATCTGTATGGTGTGGTATATGGTTTAGTTAATCTTAAACTTGTGATAGTATTATATTAAGAGTAGGTATACCTAGATGTAAATGTATCGATACCTAAAATTGTGAGATTTATCAGATAAATTTTCGATAAATATATTTATTTATATAGATTAACATTTATATTTAGATTTACAAGGACATATTTAATGCAATATTTTTTTTTATTTCTATTATCTGTAGTTCCCAAACTAGGTCAAACCTATAGGTATCTTAGGGGCTGAGAGCGTGGATACCAATATATATAAATATGCAGTATATACCTACTACAGTAAACTATTTTTAATTAGAGTATTACATAATTCAAATACAATAATTAACAATTCAAAATGTGAATCATTCAGTTAAAGCCGGTTACAATTAGAAAGAAAAATGGTCGAATTGAAAATATTATATTTATGTTAGTAAACATTGAACCAATTACACAGTAAATACTACCGTGTAGTCTTGTATTACGATATAGGTATATTTTTCAATATCTGATTTCGCATGCGCATAATATTGAAACTTCAGCAAGGGGGATGGAAACAAAGCAATCGACACTACATGTTAATGACAATGATAATGACATTGCTACCGAACTATACAACCGTGACATTGTTGGTAGTCGTAAAGGAATGGGTGCCATCGACACCTGCACATACTACATATATGTACAAATATGCAATCAAAACAATACCGGTCTGTTTATATTGGTATTTACGATGTACTACTTACTGTAACTTGACATTATTTCCTGGGAACTATGTGGGTATTGATTTAATTTAATAATTTTGTTCCTTTAAGATGTTTACGCTTTTATGATATGAATTGATATAGACGCTTAAATGTCCATATCACTGTTCTAACAGTTCTGACAGACTATCTAAAAATCATGCCGTCCCCAGACAGCACACTACTACGTAGGTACGTCAGATAAATATTATTTGCATAATGTTAATGTAACATAAAAACAGCTACGCACGACACAATTTAGAAGCCAGTCGGTAAGGTCAATATCATAGGTCATATAGAGATTGTATTGAATTCTCTCAAATTGACTAAAACCCGATTTTCTTTGTCATTTATCAATCTATCATGACCCGACAAATCTGGTCAACAGATCATGTCGTATGTGTACACTTTTACATTAAACCATACTTGTGAAGATTGCTAGTTGTTATCACGTGGTTACTTGTTCAGTGATAACAAGTAGTAGATAAAACGTCTTAATTTAAAAAATAAAATAATTCAGGTGTTCAACTTAACTTATCGATTTTAGGAGTTTTGTCGTTCGGCATAAGTTGGTCGAAATTAATAGATATCAATCTATCAAATTCATAAAATGGTCAAAACAAATCCTTATATCATAACCATTTTTTAAATAATATTTTTGTTATTGTTATGTGTACCAAATAAACTTAATTTCTTTCTAAATGAATATGTACGAATAAATCATAACTACATTTAGAATTACTAATTTAAAATTTAGGCAATCTAAATCCGCTTTTGTACGTGGCATATACATCATGAGAATATTTAATTTGTTCGTTTTTGCATGCAACTAGAGTATCCAGAAGAGAAGTTTAAATTTTGTCCAAAACGGCGCTTTCTGAAAACACTTAAAAATAAATGAAAAAGCATATATTTATTACATTAAATGTATATCACTCGATAGCCAAGTCATCAATATAATATCTTCCAACATAATATTAAAGTTATTTTTTTTTAGAATTTGCAACATTGTAATTCTACTTTCATTTTTGTAAGATTTTTAATTGTAGTTTCTTTTTTGTAATGTATATTGTAAAACTTTAAGTTGGGCTAAAAAGGATTTGTATTCGGAGCCGTAAAATCTGGACTGATCTGTGTTTTATTGACCGTGCGAGTTGTCACAACGTGACGCTTTGACGTTTAGTCAGTCAACGTGTCCGTCGTTATACTACTTTTTATTCAAGAATCTATATATTTAAATTCACAAAAAAATATATTTTACATATTAAAAAAAAATGTTTAAATAAGATTAGTAGTCTGTAAAAGAAAACTGATGTATTTTCATTTATTAGAATACTAGTGAATAAAAATGGTTCTTTTAAGTAATGATGAGGTATATATTAGTCTACTGTCTATAATCTCGTTTTAGTATTATAATTTAATTATCTTCCAATTATTCAATTCTAGTTTTTGGCGGAGCTAACGAAACTATTCCAGAAAGCTCGTATTGCAGGCTCAGTTACTATGACAATGAAAAGGTGTAAGTAATTCAAAAACTATATATATGATATATCACATGTAGTTTATTTTATATAATTCTACAGGAATATTATTTCAGATGATGGTCGTACAAAACCTATACCGAGAGATGGAACACCGGCAGTCAACAATCCTAGCTATAAATGTTTATTAAGAGCACAACATAAGAGTAAAAAAATTTCTACAGTTGTGGAACAACGAGATGTTGAAAAATTTACTACTGCCTATTCTAACTTATTAAAGACTAGCGTTAATGGACTGAAGCGCTTAAAAAAGCCCAAAAAGAAAGCGATTGCAACTCAGTAACATTTAATGTAGCTGAAACAATGTGTCAAGAGACTGAAATATATTGTGCGCAAATTGTGGCAAATCTGTGTGTACTTTATGTGAGTGTACCGTATGATGTACTAGCGTGAAGGACGAGGTCCATTGAATGTTGCTCTTCTCTCACATGTGAGATGTGAAGAGTTGGAGTCGTGCCTGTTGTTGCTAGTGATTCTCATGCAACACAACTTTAGTCATTTGACCATCTGTCTAATTCACCTAATATGTATACATCATTTTAAGTTACAAATTTCAAAATAAACCTTTTTCAAATTAATTATATTATTATTTGTTACTGTTAATAACATCTTAATTTTTTATGGATGAACCTAGAATGTTGCACCCATGTGGATGAACTTCTTAATTATGATCACAGTATACTAATAAAGTGAATTGTGTTGTACATAAACTCTCCTATATATTACAGTTATACCTTGAAGACAAATGAGTGTATATTCTGTATTGTCCATGTATAGTAGTAGACTATCTTTATTATCAATCTGAAGATGTTTCAAAGTTACTTTGTCTGTAACATTTTTCTACCCAGTACATTTAAAAAAACTAAGAGTTGAATTACAAATAATAAGACCTGGTACATACATGTCATGTTAGGACTAATATTTTATTTACCTTTGAATACTGAGATTCTACTAACAATAATTTTTTAAAGCAAACTTTCACACAAATTTTATGATTTGATATTTTATTTCATGACTTCTTTCTTATTCCAATCTTTACACAGCTGGTCACATTTGTGAGACATTTAATATTATGGATTCTCGAAATATTTTGTTAATACTTGTTTTATTACATATATATGATGGCATCAATAGTCTACCGGTTTAGCTCACCACCTTACTTCCGATATATTCCGACATATATATATACTTCAAATAAACAATGTACATAAGTAGCAGTTGTATATTACCCACAACACAAGATCGGCTTAGAATGGGACTAGATGTAGCTGTGTGAATTGTCCTGCAATAAAATATGATATTGGCTCACACGCACCAATTCATGTAAGAAAGTAAGGTGCGCCTTGTTTATTAAATAAAATATAAATACAATTATTTGAAAATATTTTTATTAAAAGTCCTTACAATTTTTAGATATTTATTTTTCATTTTTCTATAAGTCAATATTTTGTTATCACATTATGAGACCAATTTTCATTAGATACCAATAAGGCCTTAATTTAGGCTGAGTCAATACATTGTATAATAAGCCCACTAAGTATATGCAACAGTACAGATAAAAATACTAATAATTTCAATGAATTAATACTGATTTAAAAATTTTTGGATAACTGTAGAATGAATATATCTTTAATTATTCTAATATTTTCAATACTTGAAATATGATTACAAGAATATTGGATATTGTAGGTATTTCGATACAATTAAAGTGGAATTATACCTTTCGCTAATTCATATGTGCTATGCTTGTTCCATATAATTCCATCTTTATACAATATTTTATATAATGAGTCATATGATAAGTGAAAGTATACTTTTTGATAAATAAATTATAATGTTCTATAGACAAATTAAATAATAATACAATGAATTATTTTAAGTTTATTTAAAAAATAACAAATAATTCTTCTAATAAAACAATGTTGCCATGGTCATAGCTGTTGTTACACTCTGTATTGAATATATCTACTTGAGTATGAAGTATTACACAATGAGCCATATAGTTCATTTGTGAGCTATCATTTTATATATTTAAGATTGAGTATACTTAGGTAATATAGCAATGCATTTTATAAATTCAGTATTAATTCATCCTATTCAACTAATAATTTATATAATTGATAAAACAACAAAACATATTAATTAGCGAACACAATAAAATTGCACCTCAAAAATAGTCAATAATTAAATAGATATTTAATTTTAAACTTAACAGATATATTTCCTTTGATTACGTAAAATTAACAATAAAAAAGTCTAATGAAAGTTTTTCTTAATTAGGTAACAATGATTTTAGGTAGAACTATTTTCAAGATCAATGCCTTAGTGTTATATACAAAAGGTATACTACATTCATCTTTGATTTTATGAATATATTTTTAAATATCAATATTTTCAAATCATGACAAAATACGCAATGTTTAATGACTAGAAACTAAATTAACAGTCTGACTTATTAAATCATTTTGTTACAAAATATAATGTATCTTAACTTTTAAATAATAATACCACTATATAACATTTTTGGACGTGAGTCGTTTGAGACAAGCATTCTTAACGGGGTCGTTGCCGAGTCGTTCGGCCTCCTGCAACACGCGACGCAAATCGTTGGTGCGGTCATGCCGCGCGGCCAGTATGTATGCGCTGCTGAGGTTGCGGCAAACTAAGTAGCACGATATCTGTACAAATACCATAGATAATATTACAAATCCGAAATTTACACCACCGTTGCCATGCATAAATATCTTTGTATAGGAAATGAATAGACAGAAGTTTGATAGATAAAATATGAGTAGGTTACTTTTTAGTAACTGGGGTAACAAACACGTTACCGTCCACCTAATGGAAAAGTGGCTACTGTCGCCTATATACACGAACACCACCACTTAATGTGATATATAAATTCCTGAGTTAGGTTTACTAACCCAGTTATTTTACTGTCATTATTTACTACTAAAAAATAAATTACAAACCAAAATATAGCTTGCTAATCATGGTGCTTTGAAGAAGAAATACATAAAAAAATGGTACATACGCAGATGGCTTTGTGTATAGTCTAGGGGGTCCACAATCCACTCAACCATAGACGTGTATCTCATTCATTAACTCTCAAACATTTGATTGTCTAATTTAATCAATACTGTAGCCTAATATTGTCTAGTGGTATCTACCATTCCATAATTATGTAGTTTATTTTTAGTTCTATCTACCTTGATGGTAACGCTGTGTATATCGCATATGAGCAGCTCGGCTTGTTCGTCATACAGCTGGCCGCGAGACTCGCAACGTGCCACAACCGCGCTTACTCCCGATTCTAGCACTTGATCGCTCATAAGGCTGAAACGTAATATATGTTTAAATCTCTAGCATAGTGTCACTTCTGTACTAACAAAAAATATAAAAAATAAATAAGTAAATACTAATACAATATTATTAAAGTTAATGTTAGTAAATACATTACAAAAAGAAAAATAAAATGGTATATCACAGCTGTAGAATTCCATCTTACTAATATTTAAATAGGGGCTCGAAAGATGTTTGATATTAAATATGTGTACGTTTAAAGTTACTTTTATAATTTTTATAGTACAATATTTATATAGTACAATGTCGTACAATTTCCGTTGATGAAAAATGGCTAAAAGGTATTATATGAGTATAGAGAACACTTTTTATACTATTCTATATAAGTATAATTGTGTGCAATGTTAATATCATAAGCTACGGTATTAACATTCTTAAACAACAACTTTGTATTATTGTATGGATTACATCTCTCCAGAGTGGAACACCGCACGCTTTGCTGAGTAATACACACGGGTTCCGTTCTTTCAAATTAGACCATTGGAGTAAGTTTACTTGCCTTTAATGATATTAAATATAAAAAAATCTGATACATACCTAGCAGCAGTTTCTTTAGAAGTTCGGATACATTTAGCCAGCATCTTGACTTCCATAAATCTGTCGGCATGTACCAAGTATCTTGCTACGTGCGTATATATGTTCATGGAATCCAATTTGTGTTCAGTTATAATTCTGTAATAATAATTACTTTCAATCAACTTTAGTAATGTTATCTGCTTTTTTAAATGTATGAATATACATAGAATGGTGCCTTCATCTGTGATGACGGTATACGCTTGCACAGTGAGAGGACACAGTGGAGGAAGATAAGGATGAGCATGAAGTCAGATCAGTCAGTACATTGTAGTAAATTTATTAGCAATTTATCACAATAGTTTCCAGAACGAACACGGGTATTAGAGCAAAAGCCCACGACGGCCAGACATACGTCTTATTAGAAAACGTGAAAGTTCTTGTATGTGTGTCCCCAACACAGGTAAGAACGATCTCCAAACATGAAACCTGGATCGTGGTTCCTTTGGCAGGTAACAGGTAACAATGGTGTAAGAATTTTCATATCAAATTCATTATTTTAAGAAACTCCATATTTTCATATATTGTTCGTAGTAGTATTATTACTTGCTTTGCTCATTGCCAGACACTTAGTGTGGTTCGAACCCCCCTAAACTATACTATTTTATAAATAAATTATTGACATATATATTATTGAGAGAACTATTAAACTGAGTTTCCTAAATTGCCAAACAGTTTTCTTGGTTCTTCATCCTACCAGACTCATTGAAACCGTATATTGGGTAACAACGGTGCATACAATTTCATATCATTTTCGTTATTTTAAGAAACTCCATAGAAATAGAAATAATCTTTATTCAAATAAACTCATTACAAGCCCTTTTGAATAGTCATATTTTGATTCTTCCACTCTATCGTAATGCAGGTTCATCACAAGAAGAATGAGCAAGAAACTTGTGTGTTGCTCTTTTTAATAGATGTTTTTTTTATATAAATAATTACAGTATAACAAGAGGCATGCGATAATCAACATAGAAATCGCTACGCACTCATTATTAGTGTAATCAGATAATATTGTCAGTGCTATGGATTTAAAGTTTTTCTATAAAAACATTATTATAGTTAACGAATTCTTCAATTTTATAGTAACCTTTTTTGCAAAGGAACTGTTTTATTTGACATTTAAATCTTTTTTCTGGCAGATTTATAACAGACTCTGGTATTTTATTGTAAAACCTTACGCAATTGCCATAAAACGAATTACTAACTTTAGCCAAACGACATTTAGGTAAAATCAGTTTGTTGGTGCAATCACTAACTCTTTTGAAACTGTCTATATTCTTCCTGGCATAGATGATATTTTCATAAATGTATTGAGAAGCAACAGTGGGGATATTTGATTCCATAAAACACTCTCGCAATGACTCCCTGGAACTCATACCATAAATGGAGCGAAAAGAGGGCCACTCTTTTATAAAGTAAATATTGTATTTATATCAGCTGCTTAGCCCCATAACAAAATACCATACGACATAATGCTATGGAAATAGCTAAAATAGACAAGTTTAGCCGTTGCCACGTCTGTTAATTGTCTAATTCTTCTTACCGCATAAGCGGCAGAACTAAGTCGATTCGGCAATTTAGTAATATGAGCACCCCATTGCAACTTGGAATCTAATGTGATACCTAGAAATACAGTATCGTCAACAAAATTAATAGGTTTAGTGTCCAATACGATTTTTGAATCTACTGGCCATACATTGGGGAGAGTAAATTTGATACATTTAGTTTTATTTGCATTTAGTAGCATATTATTAGCAGTAAACCATTTCAAAACATAAGAGAGAGCACCATTTACTTCGTCCATATCATCAATATGCCGAATAACTTTAAATACTAATGCAGTATCATCAGCAAACAGAACTATGTCAGCTATCATTTCTACCATATACGGAAGATCGTTTATGTAAACTAAAAATAAGAAAGGACATAGAATAGAGCCCTGAGGAACACCCATTTTAATACTAGTTCCCTCAGACTTTACACCATTTATTTCAACAACTTGCATTCTATTATTTAGATAGGATTTCATCATGCTTAGTCCTTCATATCTAATATCGTAATGTTCTAGTTCAGTGATTTACCGTAAAAGTTTTAAAGTTTCATGATCAACGTTCAATCAAAAATAAAATGGGCCTGGTTTTAATTATTTTTTTGCTATGTTTCATTAAATTGGGAAAAACACCGTCAAAAATACATTTATTGAAGATAGTTACTAAATATGGAGCAATAACATCTATAGCGGTGTTAATAACATATTTTCATATATTGTCCGTAGCATTATTATAACTTGCGCTGTTCATTGCCTGACACTTAGTGTGGTTCCAACCCCCCGCCGGATATTATTTATAAAACTATATTATTTTATAAATAAACTTACGTTATTTTAATAAAACTGAACTTTATATATATTATTCAGAGAACTATTAGAATAGAATAGAAAATCATTTATTAAAATAAACTTAATTTAAGCACTTTTGAATAGTCAACAGTTTTTTTAAATCTACCGCTTATTCGGAAAGCTGTCTCATCACAAGAAGAATAAGCAAGAAACTTGTGTGTTGCTATTTTAAACAATCCTTGTAAGTTAACATTTTACAAGTCGAAACGTGTGAATACAAACTACCAACCAGCACTAATTTATTTAGGCTCAAATATAAAAACACAATAAGATTAAATCAGTCGTAGTGATAAGAGCAGACCAGTCCCTACAAGCAGCACTCGTTCACGAGTATGACGGATGAGCCAGCCATCACTGCGCTCGACCATATTTTAGTCTGGACATTTTAGATGACTACTGTTTACACTCGACCACGTCACAGTTACAAAAATTACTATATGGTAGTTACAGTATTCGCACTTTACATGAGGATGCATGCGGCAATCAATACAAAAGCCACGCTATCATATATCAAGAAAGCAGTATGAAAAATAAATTATAACGTTGTCCGCAAATAAACTTATACTTGAAATATTTTGCTATCATCTATAAATTCATCTATCCTATAATAGGCTATTTTACATAACATTTGTTTAATATAAAGTTTGAACTAGTTATTGAAGTGTGTAGTTATTGAACTGTGTTTCTTAAATTGCCAGACAGTTTTGTTGGTTCTATCATCCTACCAGACTCATTGGAACTGTATATTGGGTTGGAACCATACTAAGTGTCTGGCAATGAGCAGCGCAAGTTATAATAATGCTACGAACAATATATGAATATATGGAGTTTCTTAAAATAACTAATTTGATATGAAATTGTATGCACCGTTGTTACCCAATATACGGTTTCTATGAGTCTGGTAGGATGAAGAACCAAGAAAACAGCCTGGCAATTTAGGAAACTCAGTTTAATAGTTCTCTAAATAATATATATAAAGTTCAGCTTTATTAAAATAACGTAAGTTTATTTATAAAATAGTATAGTTTAGGGGGGTCCGGCGGGGGGTTGGAACCACACTAAGTGTCTGGCAATGAGCAGCGCAAGTTATAATACTACTACGAACAATATATGAAAAAGTGGAGTTTCTTAAAATAACGAATTTGATATGAAATTTTTTACACCTTTGTTACCTGTTACCTAAGGAACCACGATCTAGGTTTCATGTTTGGGGATCGTTCTTACTTGTGTTGGGGACACACATACAAGAATTTTCACATTTACTAATAAGACGTAAGTCTGGCTGTCGTGGGCTCTTGGGCTATATGAAGTCGCGGGTTCAAGTAATTATGTACAGTGCTGTATGTTAGAACATATATTTGTAAAAACAATAGATAACGCTTACCTAAATGCCAATTCGAAACCAGCTTCTACATTTTGTCCCGTCGCTAATACAACAGCGATTAATCTTATTTTATCTGTGTTCGATCCGAACAGAGTCAACGGTCTAAATTCATTGGTTATGTCCGATTCCTTTCGTGTACTGGCAATCGGTATGACCTCATTTAACACTTTCTCAGTTAATCTGCCAGTCTCTTCACAAGCTGCGAGATAATCAGTCAGTTCCATTTGGCGAGTAATCGTCGTCATTAAACCGTCTATGGTCACTTTATCCAAATGAAATTGAATAGATTTCGGGTTGTTTTCCCCTGAAATAAATGATAATCAATATTTACATTTTAGTTTGTTGAATGTTAGTATTCTCAATGAATACATAAATGTATAACAGCCGGGGAGTATTAATAAAAAAGATTTCAGATTTTGTGTTTGGTGCGCTTCAAAACAGAAATTTCTGACTTAGCAATAATCTAAATAGCAGATTATAAATAGAATAAGAATTATATTCCTGAGTAGTAATACTCGCCTTGGTTATTCTAAGACTTAAATTATTGTATTAAATAACTTAATATTAACACAATTATGCATTTAAAACTGGGCCATTTCAACAGATAATTATAATTTTTACCAGTGGAGGTTTGACTGACCACAATAAAAAAATAACATTTTGTGCCATAAATCAATAAATAAATTATGGCATTTCAAGTATGATATTCAGTTTAACATTATATATTTTTAGCAATCGCTTCAACTTAGAAAAATGATATCAAAGTCACATGGGTATTGATTTTGATACATGAATAATACGGATCAAAGGGTGCGTGTGGGTACTGACTGTGCGCGGGCGCCGAGGTGGGGACGCAGTGCGAGAGGTGCGCGAGCGCGGCCGCGAGGCGGTGGCGGCGTGCGCGTAGTTCGGCGAAGGGCGTGGCTGCACGTGCTAACGGGCGCGCGAACAGCAGCGCGCACGTGGCCGACGCGCGGGCGTGCTGCGCGCTGCCAACCTGCAGCGCGTACAACGCCTCCAGCCGCCGGCTCGCCTCCAGCGTGCGGCACACGTGCATTATATACTCCTGACATACAATAACAATGTATTTATTATTTCTCCGTTCATACACATATGTAGATCTTAGTGCTATTTTCTTATTAAGCGTTTTGGGCTATTGTCCTCACCTGCATAGATCTCTTGTGCGCGCCCTTTTTCCAAGTTCAAAAGCTTAGTGCTAAGTGAAAGAACAGATACCCATAAGTATAAATTATAAAATTACTAACTTTGATTAAAAATAATATTACAAATATCATTTCATTTTAATATAACTAAGTAGCTGAACAGCACAAGTTCGTAAGAATTACGCTTATCCGTCCTGTCCGTTATTCTGATGTATAGTTTATATTATTATAAAATCACAATTGTTTCCAGAACGGGCAGGAAGAAGAAGGGTAAGAAGTCGCGGGTTCAAGTAATTATATATGTACTTGTACAATCTTGTATGTCTTCCAAACTTTGGTATCAATAATGTTAGTAAAATTATTTAATATCTTTTATAAACTGTATTTAATATATAATACCAATCAGTTCATACTTCATGGGCATGGCTATCTATCACCTATTTCAACAGCACTAAGAGATTATATTGTAAGTCAATGTAAGCTGTGTTTCACTTAATGGGCAGTTAAATTACAGGAATCATGACATGTTTGTCCTCAGGAATTGCAGAAGTGGTGGTACACATTTAGGTTGTTGTGAAGTGCTGTTGAAGACGTTTACTAGTTACCATCAGCAAGAACCGTCAGTTTGTATGACTTTTCAATTATATAAACAAAGCTGTTTAGTTTTAATTTCTTTGTGTTGTTTATATTGTGTACCTTACCCTTTCCAATTATATAGTCGTTAATTAAATGGACACGCTTTCATTATATGTTCGCTCATAAAATATTACTAAATCAATAAAAAAATATAATAATATCCAAAATATTTTTTTTTTTAAATATATGAATAGAAAATACAACATACTAACCGACCACATTTCTAATGTGCTATCAATATCCGTCATAGCTTTCAGCAACTCATCCACTTTGTCCTTTTTCAGACATTCCATGTACACAGACTCCGTAAATGTTTCTTTGTCGACTAGATTATCGTAGCAGTACCTAATCACCTCTCCCATATCACTGTGTTTCATATAAAATCCTATATTTGTAACATGTGATCCATAGTTACTTAAGTAGTATACACATTCTTTATAAAAGAATGGATCCAGTCTTTTGTTTTTGTGTTTCACTTTTGTCTCGGGTTGATTGTTTCTCCTTAACAAACCTTGAGCCAAAGTTTTCTTTGGTGGAATCACGGCAGTCTGAAAATCACTATAGTCACCTTGTTTAATTTTTTTAACACTAGCTAACGTGTGCATAATATTCAATGCCGGTTCTATTAACTGTATTCTTTTCTTATTTGTATTCATTGATGATAATCTCTCATTGGTAGTCTGGAAATAATGTTTTATATTATTCATAACAGTTTTCTTTTCTCTAATATTATGGATAATCTCAAAGATTCTAACAATATCTTGCAATATATTTAGTATACATAATATTATCAGCAAAAGTTCAAAGAAATTATTAATGTTTAATTTCTCTTTGCCATACCTAATTATATTTATCCAATTAAATTCCTATACTTTTATTATTTACTATAGTATAGTTTGTCAGTTTTTAATGCAAATATTATCATAGAAAATAAAGTATTTATCTTAATCAACTTTTTTACTACGTCATACAAGCCGAGGTCAGGAGTAAGCTCGTCCCGTTGAGCTAAATTAACAATGTATATACTTAATAGACGCCAAAATAAAATATTTTTATCACCTACCTTTATTGCATCGGCTTTTTGGAGTAACTGCTGATTGACTGGATAGTTCATGTCTTCAATCAGACTAATTATTTCATTGAGCAGTGGCGAGTTCGTGCGAGAGCGGCCGTCCGATTGCACGCTCGACATCGAGCTACTCCGCTGTGAAGTCCTCAAGCTGTGCAATCGTCTGTTTACAAACTGAGTTTCCTGTGCTTCCTTCCCGTATTCGCAATCCTCCATCTCAACACACACGTTTACTGTATTTTTAAAACAATGTGCAAATTTCTCACGTGCCTGTTTGAAACAGCCCGCTTTTAGACAGGCTTTACCCCAAGCAGCTAGCACGCTGTTTCTAGATAGAACAGATTTTGTTGCTATTTCTAAAGCTAGCTCCCATTTTTCCGCTTCTAGAAGCGAACGTACAATTTGACCTGAAAATATACAAATTAATTCTTTTCCGGCAGTTCAATGATAAATAATAAAACCCCTGAATGAATTCTATTATAACACTAGCTTCGTTCGTTTCGTCAAAATTATAAATTTTAACATACATATATACATCATTGTTTTTAAGTCAGTGGTCACTAAAAAGAGTACATTACGAAGAAAGTTTGCATGTTTATTTATTCATTATAGGAAAACCATAGCTATATTATATAAATGTTCACGCCATTTATAAAAGAAACTAAACCGCTGACAGTCTTTAATAAATAGCAACAGAATAATAGTATGAAATTAAATATCATTATCTAATATAAAGGCAACACCAATCGAAATTACTGTTAATATTAGCCGAATAAAGCTGGACGTGGTGCAATTGCATTCGTTTCTCATGTTTAGATAGTACCAGATGTTGTTTTACAATATTTATAATAATAGTTAATACTGTTTTCGCTTACCGTCAGTACTTGGTACCCGTAGTATGATTAAACTAACATGGCATACAATCATAGTACATACTAACACTACTTAATCATATACATTAGAAAATAAGGGACATATGGCAACCCTGGGGTCTGGGTCTGAAATGGGACTTACTGGGATGTGCTGCGCGGTGCGGCGGGCAGGCGAGGTGGTGGGCCTGGTGACGCACTAGGGTTGCCATCGCATCCGCGTGCGCAAGACACCGCGCCGCGTGCGCAGCGCCCGCCTCCGACACGCGCCACGCCCTGCGACACCATACGCATCCCACCGTTACATCACTACACCATACAAGGACCATCAACTCACCGGCCTCTGGTGACGCACGAGCATGCCCACGGGACCCACAAATATTAAGGAGCCATGAAATAGAAATAGAAATAGAAATAATCTTTATTCAAATAAACTCATTACAAGCACTTTTGAATAGTCATATTTTGATTCTACCACTCATTCGGAATGCAGATTCATCACAAGAAACTTGTGTGTTGTATCTTTTTAATATATGTTTTTTTTATATAAATAATTACAGTATAACAAGTAAGAGGCATGCGATAATCAACATAGAAGTCGCTACGCACTCATTATTAATGTAATCAGATAATATTGTCAGTGCTATGGATTCAAAGTTTTTCTATAAAAACATTATTATCGTTAACGAATTCTTCAATTTTATAGTAAGCTTTTTTGCAAAGGAACTGTTTTATTTGACATTTAAATCTTTTTTCTGGCAGATTTATAACAGACTCTGGTATTTTATTGTAAAACCTTACGCATGTTTTCACAAACGTCTAAAAACATGTTGTATTTTTCTCCCAGTTCAAATTGTTATCAAATTATACATAATTATATATAAATATAATATTGAAAAAAAAAATGTCTGTTGATTGTGATGGCGGTCTTTCTGATTTGATATTATTGGAAAACACCGCACAAATCTTTTTAGTTGCAAGATTATTATTATATACTATCACTAGACAGTTAAGAGATAATGATGATAATAATAATAATGATGATGATGATGATGATTATTTAATATAAATGTATACTGACGCGTTGTGTGGAGCCCCAGTAGGTGCAGATGGTGTTCGTGAGTAGAGTTCGGCGGCAGCAAGAAGCAGCGAGCGGCGCGCGCGTACTAGCAGCCGCGCATCCCCACCCCACACTTCGCCACCCAGCTCATCACTGCGGTCTAGAAGGAACCTGAAATTTTATTTCGACCTGTAATTTGATAACTGCCAAACTTACATAAAATGCAATTTCAAGCAGTTAATAGAAGATCAGGACCGTGAAAATCTAACATAAAAAATGAAAGATTATTTATTCGAGATACATAAAAATACATACAATCTATAATAATTATGCATGTGACAGAGCCTTGATTTTTCAAACCTAAATAAATAAGCTCAAACTCAAAATTATTTATTAACTTTTCGATTTCTTGTTTGTCACACACGTCTTATTTTTTATCACTATCTCTACCGTCCAGTTCAGCTAGCTACTTCAGTTGGTATATTTATTATATAAACTCAATTGGTATATTTTTATGTTACCGAAAATAACTAAAGTCTACTATTCTGGCAATATCCACATTTGTAAGGAATTCGTATTCACATTACATCCATATAAAGTTTTTTTTTATTTAACATACAAATTAAGAAAATAAGGTCTATAAAGAGAATCCTAAGCATATGATATCAATATACACAGGATCATATTATTGTTTCCTAGGAAGTATACCGTGGGAGTTATAAATTGCTAGCGACCTAAAGAGTTTAAAACCTATAAAGAATTTACAATTAAGCTTAAATGAAGATAGAAAAGCCACTTTTTAGGTTAATTTGAAACTAATAATTGTGAAAGCATCAATAACTCAATTATATAATTAAGGATAAGCAGAAAAATGTATCTTTATTACCTAGGATAATCCAAATTTATTGAATGCATTTTCATAATCGACAAGCACAGAGTGACATTAGGCGTGAATTCATAGGCGAACTCAGTTCTAACCGCTTCGTTTTTATTCGCGTTGTTCGACAAACACCAATCCATATAGGACACCCCACTGCCGGCCGAGTCTGAGTTACTGCTCATAATTAAATCTGGATCCGCGTTCGCTTTCTTATTCATTGTCTGTGTGTAGCAATCGTCGCAAACGCGGAACTTGATGCCGCTCGGGTACGTGGGTATCTATAAATATAACAATATTATAGCAATGCCGATTCATACATTTCAGGTACATATATCTTAATAAAAAAAACGTGGGTATAAGTTAAGAGCAAAAGATACCACACTACAGAATTTTAGAAAATCCTCTGTACACGCAAATCAGACAAAAGCTAGGCCTTGGCTTTGTATTACTTATATATTAAATCATGACAATTTTTTACATTTTTACAGAAACACCATGAAGATGCTGTATGGTTTACTCCTGATGATGATAATATTGATGAAGACATCACATAAACAGTCACAAAAAATAACGTGTAATTAGATCATGCTCGTGACGATGAATCGGTACAATACAATGCAAACTGATACCATATCTGGTATACCGTACCTGCATCCTATTTCGTGAACAGGCGTGACAAACAAGCCTACCACATCGTCTACAATGATGTCTGCGGATGATCATAGAGAAAATTGAAGTGTGGCACAACATACACCTGTCAGCCGCATAATCCTCCACCCACTGCTCTTTGGTTGGAACCTGTTCCGGCATTACAAATGGCTTGGATGCGGACTCCAGATTTATTGAATCAATCGATTGTAATAATGAATCGTCTGACGGTTTAGGTGGTACAGGATACGCGTTCCCTATATTTTTCATATCCAACGCTTTCTCTGCGTAATATCTCAGTAACGCATCTAATGCATTTTTAGAAATTATTGCGCTATCTATGGCTTTTATGTTATAATATAGATTATCACCAGTAGGATCTTTTATTAATATCGGCGAAATTTTATTTATAATATTTGTAAGCACATCCAATTTTGCGTTCATAAGAAACTGCTCTATCATCAGCAATGGCTTTTCTATTAGGTCCCAGAAAAGGTGACGTACGTTACCATCGATTTGAAGCATTATTTGCAAGCCCACTTTAATATTCTCAAACGTCTTCCAGTCAAAAGAGTTATCTGAAATATAGTCAATACACACTTGAAGGATTTCGACATTTCTCACTTTATATATCTCTTTTTGGACCAAATCCATTGCCTGGTTAGTGGGCAGTCTTCTCAAAAGCTCTTCTATAAGAGTGGGAGTGGCCTGATTTGTGTACTCAAAAAGCTGCCGTAACAGATTCATTACAATCAAGTTCTTCATATTTTCTGAGACTTCTTGTACATCTGCCCAATCTAAACACAGTTGGAACTGAAAAAAAAATAATTTTGTTTCAATAAACCTCAATCACTTCTTAGTAATGTAAATGAAAACTATCATAATATATTATGTATAAAAATAATACCTGTTGACTCACTAACAGCACTTCGATGATACTCTCTGGATTGTTTATGGATTTTTCATATATATTATACCAATGACTTTCTCCCATTATAGACGCTATCTAAAATTAGAGTTAAATTGAAAATGAATTTATGATTTTTCAATAATGTTACAATAGTTTTATAATAATAATACTTCAGTACCTGATCGTATAGAGGTATTTTAACTATCCAGTCAGTGCATTTTTTATACAGTCCTTCTTCTAAAGTTTCCTGATGGGAAAGGAAACGCAAGTAGTCTAATACCTCTATGGCACCTTCAGCACACCAATTGTTTAAATTATTTAAGATAAGATCAATCTTTAATTCTGGACATTTTAGATATTGGCAATACTTCCAACTGTTACTGATTTTGGTGTTAGTTGCCAATTTAAATAAAATCAAATCTCGTAAATTGTTCAGGTTGGCGCTACACATCTGCTGGCGTTCTGATAGCGAGTCGATAATATTTAAACACTTTAAAATTTTCCCGGACGCTATCAACTGGGGCATATATAAGAAGAGTTTGTCTAAGTCAATAATAGTATGCAATGAAGCTAAATACTTGTTTCCGCCAAATAGAACTTTCAAGCAATTAAACCTCTCCAGTTCCATGTAATTATTTAATGCTTTTGTTCTCGCATCTATACTTTGTTGCAAACTATTTTCAGTTTGTGATGTGTGAATTTTTTTAATAATATGTGCAAGCACCCAATTATGCAAAACCACGTATGTAAGAGATTGTGGATCAGGTGATCGCGGTAAAGGAGCGAAGTCTGCTACTGGATCTAAAAACAAATTTTCTTCTGGATTTTTGAAGTCATAAACAGCTTGAAGTAAGTTGTTAAAATTAATTTCAGTCGCTTCTTTGTGAGGTCCTGCTAATGTTATGGATGGACAGAAATTTAATATCAACTTTGGTATCAGATCAATGTTTAACTTTTTGCATATAGGCTCTAAGTATGTCACAGAGATTTCCTTGTTGTTTATCATATTTCCAAATATATCATGAAGGTGCTTCTCCATGACGAAGAAGTAAGGCTTTTCTGTCGTCGTATCATCCGAGCGATTCTCTTCTTGTTGTAACTGAAAAACTGTTTTGCAATACATGTAGCACATTCTTAAATATGGAATTCTAGTCTTTTTGTTACCATGTCTTGAAATTTCAACGACATTGCATATGTCTTTATCGGACGCAGCGACGACGTTCATATAAATTTGATGATATTTTTGTAACAAGTTTTGATCCAAGTCCTTTGTTTCTACCGGACTCACGACATCTACCAAATCATCACAAGATTGTCTTAAATCTCTGGAAAGTTGATTCATTTTGCAAAACTCTTTATGTTTAATAGGTATTCGACAGTCGGTTATCAGACCACAAATGTTATCAACGAAATTAAATGTTTTCTCCATATTGCCGAATATTTCGAATGTAACGCTAGCTATGTCTTCAACAAAACGAATATAATTTGTTTTCTTTACAGCAGCTATATCTGTGCAACTCCTAACTTCAGCTAGTTTCCTTTCAACAACATTTATTAAGCCGTAAGTAATTTCTCTATTCAGTCCACTGCTCAGTAATATGTCCACTGCATTAATAAAAGGAGCATTTTGATGACTGTACAGCTGTAAATGTGGGTGCCTCGATGACAAATCTATTACATCAAATGAATTAGGTGCTCTATTTGATGCGAGGAATCCTTCAACAAGACTCATAACTTCAGTGGACACTACCGATAATGCTGAAAGCTCTTTAGTGGCGTAACGAGTATCGTCTCTATAATATATAATATTCTTTATTTTTGCCACAAGATGTCGCAACTGTTCAGTGAATATTACTTCTGTTGCAATTTCCGAATCAGCCAAATCAAACATCTGAAAGATAAAGAAAAAAGAAATATCAACCTCAATAAAATTACTCCTAGCACTAAAATTAATACCGACATATTCTAGTCTACTACTATACTATAATGTCTACTACTTCATTGAACTTAGTGTTGTGAGGTTTTAATATTATGAGCTAGCTAGCTAATTTTTGAAGTAAATGTCATTACATAAATTCCTGAATGAAATTGTAGAATTGTCTTGCTTGATAATACGTCAAGAAACTCAATACTAAAACAAGAGTTTTACTATGTTTATTTGCTCTTTAAGATATAAATATTATAGTTTTCACCTAGTTTGTGGATTAATAATATTTAACGTGTATTATATTATTGCAGACACACTTTATATTTTTCATAAAGGTAACTACAAAATAGATGAAGATGTAAACAATGATCATTACGAGTTGATTGATCAAGATAAATTGGAATATTTTTCTGTAGGTGAAAAGAATCAATTTCATGAAATTAATAGGTATGTACGCTAACACTATTTATCACCTGTAAGTAAACGTATTCAAAAATGTGTTGTTTATTGTTGTTCAAGTCCGGATGGACCTTTAGAATAATCGAAAAATCTATTGACCCCTGATAGAAGTGAAGTGTGTTTCAAATATGAGGGTCGTACGCATATCATAACCGTCGACTCGCTCAGAACAAAGAGCACTCAGCACTCCAGAGTACTCTTTATGGTGTAGACAAAGACATTCGTGTTATTCAGACTTCAAATATTACAGCGTAATCAAGTTATAGAATAATATTATATATTCAGATTACTGAAATTCATATTTGTAAGTAACAATAAACTAACTCTATGTTAGTATACCTACATTTGTCATTATTTAAGAAAATAAAAGATTTTTTATATATTTTTGTTTACAAAGGAATTCATCGAAAATAGTATAATATAAATCAGTTTGTTACATGTGTCTGTATATTACCTTTTGAACAATGATAAGGATTAACTATTATTAAGATATTTTTTTACCGTTGTGATATGAGATTCTGGATAACATTGTTTTATAACAAATTGCAGATTAGCCGTAATCGAATACGAAATAAGTAAAACAACGAGTATTGTGAAAAGAATTAAAATTACAGAGGCTTCAACAGAGACTGCATACGACAACGCTGTCGTAACATATATACCTCATGTGGGTTTTCATCAATACTCACAAATGTACCATACATATTTATATCTATTTCCGTAACATCTTAAGAGAATAAAAAATCCCGAAAATAAATATTAAACATAAAATCACTTTGGAATATTTTTTATAACAATGTGGCGATGATGACTTCGGTGGTGTAGTGATTTAGCACACCGCTTTACTTTCTATGGTCGCGCGCACGATGCAAACTTTTGTATATACATAAATATCTATAATATATAAAGCTGCATTACGGTGACTCACTCACTGATTGACATAGTTGTTCTCCCAGAAGGAGCGTCCGGGGGTCGAGACGATGTATGGGGGAAATGTTCCTTTGGCTAGGGTGACCACGAGAAAATTCCGAAATTTGGGAAAATCCAAGATGGCGGACAAAGATGGCGGCTAACTTTTACAGTTTCGCTCGGATCGATTCCGTTCAAAGAGTGATTTGGCACGTCTCGGCGGGACCCAGAATATGGCGTAAAAACAAAAAATTAAAATCCAAGATGGCGGCGAAAAAATTGCCAAAAACTGGTTGAAAATTTTCTAGGGTTTCAAAAACCGAAATTCCCAGGGTAGTTGCGGGGGTGCTGGCGACTCCGGTTGTGTGGCTTAGCAAACTCGAAGGACCCGGCCTCTAGGGAAAATTATGAAATTTCGAAAATCCAAGATGGTCGCCGAGTTGGGGGCGTGTGAATTTGGTCCTAAAAATCCGGATTATTTTCAAAATCATTTTTTTGGTACAGGGTAACCCCGCAGCGAGTCGGCTTCTATGGGGCGATGATGGGTCTCGGTAAGAAGTATTGCCAGCGCTAAAAAGAATTCCCGAATTTGGGGTAATTTGGGAGAAATGGTCCAAAAAGTGGGAAAAAATTTTTTCGACATTTTTGACAAAAGAGGCATCAAGGCCTATCGAGAAACATCCCCTAAAGGGTTTTAGGTGGGTTTTGTTGGAATTTGCTGGCAACACCCATACATGGTTTGACCAAAATAGAAATTGGGGTGTCTCTCCAAAAACTGAAATTCCTAGGGTACTTGCGGGGATACTACCGATCCCTATTGTAGGGCAGTGGGAGGCTGAAAGACCCGGCCTCTAGGGAAAATTATGAAACTTCAGAAATCCAAGATGGCGGCCAAGCTATGGGAGATTTAGTTTTTGGAAAAATTTTGGGATATTTTCAATCGCGTTTTTGCTGCACATGGCAACCCCGTAACTAAACGCCACCTACTGACATGGGTAAGTCTCAGTAAGAAGATTTGCCAGGGCTAAAAATTTTCCCCGATTTTGGGTTAAATTTGGAGAAAAGTCCCATAAAGTGGGAAAAATTTTTTTCGACATTTTAAATGAAAAAGTCTTGTTGGTCTACCAAAAATCGTCCCCTGAAGGGGTTTAGGTGGATTTTGTCAGAATTTGCTGGCAACACCCATACATCATGGGACAAATTTTGAAATTGAGGTCTAGCTTTAAAAACTGAAATTGATAGGGTACCTACGAGTGTGCTAGCTCAACGCACTGTGCGGCGTCGGATAGCCGAAGGACCCGGCCTCTAGGGAAAATTATGAAATTTTAGAAATCCAAGATGGCGGCACAGATAGGGGAGTTTTGCTTTTCGGATAAAATTTGGGACATTTTTAAATGTTGTTTTAGGACACTTGGCAACCCCGCAGCGAGTCGACTTCTATGGAGAGATGATGTCTCTTGACACAAAGTATTACCTGGTATGAAAATTTTCCCCGATTTTAGGGTAATTGTTGAGATAGGTCCTAAAAAGTGGGAAAAATTTTTTTGGTTATTTCAAACAAAAGAATGATGAAAATCTGTCAAAAACAATCCCCCTATTGATTTTAGGTGGTTTTTGTCAGAATTATCTGGCAACACCTTACATCAGTATTCTTAGAGAATAGTACTAGAAGGAGTCACCGAGGCTCTATACAATGTATGAACGAAATGTTTCTGTCACTAAGGTGAATACGTCAAAAGTATTAAAAAGTAAAAATCTAAGATGGTGGCAGAGATAGGGGAGTTTTGCTTTTCGGAGAAAATTTGGGATACTTTTAAATGTAGTTTTAGGACACTTGCCAACCCCACAGCCAGTCGACTTCTATGGAGAGATGATGTGTCTCAACACAAAGTATTACCTGGTATAAAAATTTTCCACAATTTTAGGGTAATTTTTGAGATAAGTCCTAAAAAGTGGGACAATAATTTTTGGACATTTCAAACAAAAGAATGATGAAAATCTGTCAAAAACAATCCCCCTATTGATTTTAGGTGGTTTTTGTCAGAATTATCTGGCAACACCTTACATCAGTATTCTTAGAGAATAGTACTAGAAGGAGTCACCGAGGCTCTATATAATGTATGAACGAAATGTTTCTGTCACTAAGGTGAATACGTCAAAAGTATTAAAAAGTAAAAATCTAAGATGGTGGCAGAGATAGGGGAGTTTTGCTTTTCGGAGAAAATTTGGGATACTTTTAAATGTAGTTTTAGGACACTTGCCAACCCCACAGCCAGTCGACTTCTATGGAGAGATGATGTGTCTCAACACAAAGTATTACCTGGTATAAAAATTTTCCACAATTTTAGGGTAATTTTTGAGATAAGTCCTAAAAAGTGGGACAATAATTTTTGGACATTTCAAACAAAAGAATGATGAAAATCTGACAAAAACACTCCCTCTATTGATTTTAGGTGGTTTTTGTCAGAATTATCTGGCAACACCTTACATCAGTTTTCTTAGAGAATAGTACTAGAAGGAGTCACCGAGGCTCTATACAATGTATGAACGAAATGTTTCTGTCACTAGGGTGAATATGTCAAAAGTATTAAAAAGTAAAAATCTAAGATGGCGGCCGAGTTGGGGTACTTAATTTATGTTGACATTTTTAGGGACTTTTAAAAATTCAATTTTGAGGTACCACTAAACCTTGTAGCGAGTTGACTTCTATAGAGCAATGGAAACTCTCGGTGGGAAATATTACCTGGTCTAAAAAAATTTCCCGATTTTGGGGTAATTTCGAAGAAAAGTAAAAAAACGTGGGAATTTTTTTTTTTTTCGTTAAGTTGAACAAAACAGTTATGAGCGTTGGTCCAAAATCATCCCCCAAAGGGTCCTAGGTGGTTTTTGTCAAAATCTCCTGGCAACACCATACATCGATTTTCATACTAAACCGTACCAAGGAACTCCTAGGTGTATGTAACCTGGGCTCTGTGTATATGTTAAAAATATTTAAATATGAAAAATCCAAGATGGCGGCCGAGTGAGGATACTTTATCTATGATGACAATTTTAAGAACTTTTTAAAATTCAGTTTTGTGGCACCTATCATCCCTGCAACGAATTAACTTGTACTGAGGAATGGAAACTCTCGGTGCGAAGTATTAACTAATTCTCATAGTAAACAGTACTAAGGAACTACTAGAAGGAGTCACCTTAGCTCTGTACAATGTATGGACAAAATGTTTCTGTCACCAAAGTGGATAAATTAAAAATATTCAAAAAGGAAAAATCCAAGATGACGGCCGAGTTTAAGTAATTTATCTCTGATGATAAATTTAGGAATATATTTTAGTGTACCTGGCTTCCCTGCAGCGAGTCGACCTTTATTGAGTCATGGTAGATTTCGGTTCGAAATATTATCTAGGCTACAAATATTCCCCGATTTTTGGGTAATTTTGCAAACCCATAATGTGGGAATTTTGACTAAGGACCGTGTTTCTGTACAATATATGGACGAAAACGGAAAAACGGTATGAAAATTTTCCCCGATTTTAGGGTAATTTAGAAGACAAGTCCAAAAAAGTGGGAATTTTTTTCGATATGTCAAACAAAATAATGATGGATATCTGTCAAAAATCATCCCCTTATGGGTTTTACGTGATTTTTATCAGAATTATTTGGTAACACCTTAGATTAGTTTTCTTAGGGAATAGTACAAGAAGAAGTCATCGAAGCTCTATATAATGTATGGACGAAATGTTTCTGTTACTACGGTGAATACGTCAAAAGTATTAAGAAGTAAAAATCCAAGATGGCGGCCGAGTTAGGGTACTTTTTTAAATTCAGTTTTCAGGTACCCATCGTCACTGCAGCGAGTTGACTTTTATGGAACAGTGGAAACTCTCGATACGAAGCACTATCTGCTCTAAAAATTTTCCCTGATTTTAGGGTAATATCGGAGAAAGTAAAAAAAACGTGGGATTTTTTTTTTCATCATTTTAGACCAAACAATGATGACGATCTGTCAAAAATAATCCCCAAGGGGTCTTAGGTGGTTTTTGTCAAAATGAGCTGGCAACACCATACATCGATTTCCATTGTAAACAGTACTTAGGAACTACTAGAAGGAGTTACCTTGGCTCTGTACAATGTATGGACGAAATGTTTCTCACCAAGGTGTATATATTAAAACTATTTAAAATGGAATCATTCAAGATGGCGGCCGAGTTAGGGTACTTTATTTCCGATGACAAGTTTAGGGACGTTTTAAAACTCATTTTTGGGGTACTATTTTATTCCTTACAGCAAGTTACTTCTATGGAGCAAAGACGTGAAGTATTATATAGGCTACAATTTTTCCCCGATTTTTGGGTAATTTTGCAAACCTTAAATGTGGGAAATTATTTTTCGACATTTTTAAACATAAAAGTGACGGGGATCTATAATAAATCTCATCTTAATAGTTTTATGCAATTTTTTGTAAAATTAGGTGGCAACACCAAGCATAGATTTTCGTAGAAAGTAATATTTACTAAGGACCCACTAAAAGGACCGTGTCTCTGTACAATATATGGACGAAATATATTTGTCGTCATGTAATATATGTCAGAAGTATCAAAATGGAAAAATCTAAGATGGCCGCCGAGGTTGACTTTGAACAAAATTTGGAAGATATTTTATTTTGGTACATGGTTACCATGCAGCGAGTCCTCTTTTATGGGATGGCATTGAATCTCAGTATTGCCAGCGCTAGAAACTTTCCCCGATTTTAATATTTATGATATTTTAAAAGAGTGTTGAGTGGTTATTATTTATCATAGGTCCTTTACCTACGATAAATAATAACTAAGGCTTTTATCAAAATTATTTGGAAAACTTTACTATGAAAACCGATGTAAGTTGTTACAACGGTTTTCATAGTAAACTATTAGAAGAAGTTGACAATGTATGGACGAAATGGTTTTGTCACCCGGGTAGCTAAACCAAAATAAAAAAAAATAAAAAGTCGAAATGGTATATAGAAAGGTAGGTTAGGTTAGGTTTTGTATTGCGACTCTTACAGTAGAAATTATGGCCTCAGAATAATATAGTAAACAAAAAGGTACTTTAGGTTAGGTTTTGTATTGCGACTCTTACAGTAGAAATTATGGCCTCAGAATAATATAGTAAACAAAAAGGTAGGTTAGGTTAGGTTTTGTATTATGATCTCTACATTAGAAACTGTGAACCCAAATTAATATAGTATACAGAAAGGTAGGTAATGTGAGGTTTTGTATTGTGACCATGCAATAAAAATTAAAGCCACAGGTCGAAATGGTATATAGAAAGGTAGGTTAGGTTAGGTTTTGTATTGCGACTCTTACAGTAGAAATTATGCCCTCAGAATAATATAGTAAACAAAAAGGTAGGTTAGGTTAGGTTTCGTATTATGATCTCTACATTAAAAACTTTGACCCCAGACTAATATAGTATACAGAAAGGTAGGTTAGGTTAGGTTTAGTATTGTGAACATTACAACACAAAGTTTTGCCACACTGTTACAATTGGAAGTCACCTGAATGATTTCGTATCAAAACAGACAACTCTACTTGCCAACCAAGTCTATTCGAAAAGAAAACCGTCTTCACAAAAAAAATCACCGACAACGCCTCGCGGGCCTCTTGAGGCCCGCGCACACACGCACCCTCTAGTCTGTATATAAACTCACACAAAATAAATATTCACACTTTTAGCTTACCAGACAACCGAAACGTAAAAGAGAAACGATGGAAAATAGTTATGCCGAATACAATTATGACCTTTTACTGTACCAATATTTGGATAAAGCTGACCACGAAGTGGATGTACCGAAATTCGTTGCAGGTAATAATAATTACTAGCGGTTACTTTGACTATGACTTTGTCTCCTTTTTATGATTTTCGTCATATTGATATAATAAATATTCATATCTTTTCATTATGTTCCGTTCACTCCTTTATTTGTAAAAAGATAACTAACAGATAGACTTTTAATATTTATAATATTAGTATAGACACCACCGCCCTATCAATCACATCCAGCCATGTATATGCCTTCACATCCTAAAACTCAGAACATGTATTAAATAGTCATTATTTTATGTTATGATTCTGTTAAAATTAAACAATTAAATAAAAAATATATATAGTTGGACTTAATTATAGTCTTTCTTTGTTAGAAGTGGTGTTTCTAGTCGGCTACCTTTTTATTTAACATATTTTTTTTACTTAGAAAAGGGCTCTTCGAATCGAACAGTTTTCAAAGCAAGTGAGGTAAGGCGACTTTGTTCATAGTATACCTCGGTATGCATGAATATAAATAAATTATAGGCGCATATTCATTTATTTATTTATTAGCATACAAAACAGATTACAGTCAATATAATAATATAATTAGGAGCGTGTAGTTCGGTACAAAACTGGATTGTAATCCAACACTATGTATGCCTAAGAGCTAAATTATGTATATAGACGCATTCAATATACACTAGATAGCTAGATAAGGTTATATAATAAAAAGTAAACTAAATAGAAAATGATATATAACTACGTAATGCAATGAATTATCATGTTAACAGAATTTTTTTAGATTTATTTTATTTATGATGTATTAATATTTAATATTTAGCTTTACATTCACAATACATGGGCGACAACCTACACAATTTCTCTTGTTTGTTGCGTATTATTACCAAACTTCCTCTATTACTTATCAATCCATCTACCTGCATATTAACAGATACATTGGAGGGAGGCATATTGCATACTATGCGTAGTATGTTGATTTTCAATACTAACTTTGAAAACTGTACCAAACAAGAGCTAAATGAAATTGGCTTAAGAGCGGTATGCTGTTTAATATTAGAATATAGAAGAAGCGAAACATCAGATGTTGTTCAACTAATTCGTCTATGGAGAATCATCAAGATATGGACTTTAGTGTACTTGGTTATGGCAATTCCGTTATGGTGTACCAGAGGTAAATACTACAATCGGAATAGAATACGTATATAATATATACATAGTATACCTTCACATATACCTAGCGTTGCCATGTGTGTGTATGACGTTTGGGTTTACAATTTAATTTACTTAAAGTGTAATTTAATCTATATTAAAAGACTAGATTGTTTCTATCGACCTCATTATTCTAACTATTAGGCCACTGCTGCTGTGGTTATGCGTATGCGTAGCAACTAAATTATATAATTAATTTCATAACATGTCTGCCAAATCTTTATATTAAAATAACGATGTATTTAAATAAACAAATTAATAAGACCATAAAATGGCTTAATGTCTACATAATATACCTATTGTCTATGACTAGTACCTATTTTAAATTAGATGCGTGGCATAAAGACAGATAAGAACCCTTCACAATCGTACTTTGTTATAGGTGTAATTACGTATGTAATATTGTATCTAAATAAATTAGCTTATTTAAATTTAATAAACCTATTTAAATATCACAAAAAGACAACAAAAATATGTTTATTAGTTTGGAACCCTAACTTTACTTGTACGTACTGGCAGGCATCAATGGTGTAGTTTAGAAAGAATATGTAATGTTCCCACAAAGCGATTAGACCCTAAAATAGAAATAATTTTATATGTAGTATATTATTCACCTACGATATGACTGCACAGGAGATGACCTTGTGCGCTTCCCACAACTTCCTCCAACTTCCAATCACGCAACCGATTTTAGAGCATTTTGACTATATAATAATATACATTGTAGGTACATTGCATACGTTTTTGTATTATTATGTTATGTAATTAAAAACTCGTCTTTTATCTAAAAAGCATAATTTTAGTCAATATTTACTCAGGTTGGTGCTGTTGTTGTTTGGTATGCAAATTTTTTAAACCTCGACGGACTATAGATGATGCCAAGAAATACTTTATAATGAACCCACCCGGTGTGCTTAACATCAATAGCAGAGAAATTCTTTATGAACCATCTGACAATGAAAGGGACATATATGAAGAATTTGAGCATTTAATAAGAACTATATAATTTTGTAGTTAGTAACCGCCATAATGGCAATTTGATTGTTTACATTGGTTGTTACGAACACCTCTAGTAAGGATCACCTTGTAAATCTGTTCAAATTTTATGTGTTAAATTTCATTTTTATACGACTCATCTATTGTATTCGTTGTAATATGAATAAATGTCGAGTACTGGAATTTTATTTCAATTAGGTTCCTCCAAAAGATAGAATATTATAGATAGACTGCGATCTCATAATATAAATGGCGTTTTTTTATGAAAAATATATTTCATACTGTACTAACAATGCACTTATGAACTTAATCAGTGTCTATTTTACTGGTTATAGATTTCTCACATTACCCATATTTAAAACTTACATCTTTTATAGAATGTAACTAAAGCAGACTATGATATGGTATTGATGCCTACTTTAATAATTTGGGATATTCCAAAACTAGAAAATCTCTGTTTACTTCCGCGTAAAAATACCGCGACCACCTTTGAACCGGAGGAAGATCATTAGTAATGGGGACTTCTAACCCTATTGCTAATCAATGGAGCAAATAGCAATTCCTGGTGAACTCACTACTAACTGACCTGACTTCATGCTCATCATCATATCATCCTCCACTAGTACTTCGCTAGCTTATACTGTTAGCGCAGGTAGCATGACTTTTCTATCTATATCCATCAAAAAAGACCAATCACGTCCATTATTAAAAATATATAAATAGTTGATTTACATACCTCAAGAATTTGATTAGCCTTGGAAAAATCGTTGTTGTACAGCGCTAGAGCTACTAAACTGTTTGGTTTAGCCAACATAACAGAGATAAAGTCAATTCCACTTCCTTTAGTAGATAGCGCTAGAATAGAAATGACAATTAACAAATTATAAAAAATTAATTTGGTTTGAGAGAAAAATCTTTTCACCATAATTACATTTGATAATTGTTTAGTTATCAAATGTAATTATGGTGAAAAGATTCAATATGTTAGAATTTACTTACCTTCACCATTAGCTGAAATTGTGGAAGCTTGCATTATTTGATCTTTGTCTTGCTTTACATTTGTATACCTTCTTCTGCATTTTGGCTTCTTTTTCAAAATTTTCATATCAAGTTCTTTATCATCTTCTTCACTGCTTTCGTCAACCTCTACATAGTCCAGACAAAGTTTTAGCTGTGTTGGACTTGTATCTGGAGATAATGTTGATACCAGTTGCAATTTCCACATTGAATGATTAACTACTTTTACTAAATGTTTCAGTCTTGCGTTAGTATTCTGATCTTCATTAATTATACTCTCTTCCAATTTTTCCAAACATATTTTAAGTGTGTTCAAAACAATTTGTGTTGTTAATGAATTGCACATAAATCCAGAATTATTGCTCTTCAAACTAATAGGTTGTTGAGTTTGTCTTTTTGAATAAAAATAAGAGCATTCAGAATGTGTGCCACATGGATAGTCCTGGTTATGTTCATTACATGAGAAATATTCATATCTTAAGAATAAACAGGAATAAATATTTTCAATTACTTCCACACAGTAATGGAAGGGTTGTATCGATAAAACAAGCCGTTTAATTTCATCCAACGATGTTGTAATGTCCTGTGCATCTTCTATTCGCTCAGATGAATTTAGAATACTATCTATAATCTTTGTCACTGCGCAATAACTATTATAGGTCACAATATCCCAATTAGTATTATACCCTTCTTGTTGTTTAGGCTTGGGTTGATGATTCAGACTCATCAGCTCTTTTACAAAATCATTATTCATGTTCAAAAGTCTTGAGACTTTATATCTATCGACTTTAGACAGCCTGCACACTTGAGATATCACAGCTAAAGCACTCTGTGTTAATACTTGACTAAATATTAAGGTTGTCATAATTTTACTATTATTCTCTATGCAAAATTTTATTATTGTCAATTCTCTTTTAACTTCAGTTATATAAAATTGCAATTGTTCATCAATGGTTGTATAGGTATCAAGTATAGAAAATATGTTAGTCAATTGATGAATTAGAGAAGGTAAATCATAAGTCTCTGCACTATTAGTTAGATCAATAAGTACCATAATAAGTATTTGTTTTGTAAAATTATTTATTTTAAATGTCACATTTTTCATGTCATGTAATTGATGTTTATAAACTTGAGCTGCTTTCAACAGCCAATGTATTTTGTCCTCATAACATAATTCCAGCATATATTCTGGTGTCAATTTAAATTCTTTGTGAGGTTCATTTTTCTGCATCTGATCTGATGCCAAATGTAAAAGCTCAGGTTTTCCATAAGGCACAAGACTTATCAATATTTGTTTTCTGTATTGTCGGTATGTGTCAGCTGTGAGTGGCATCAATATTTGTTGGGTAAACAGTGGTAAGAATTTGCTGTCCCATCTCATTACTGATATCATTGTCAGTAGTTTATCTGAACAATGATTTTCAGCCAATTCATTTCGGAGCACTTCTAAATATATTGGTTGTATTTTATCTTGGTCAATAGCACTATTGTGTTGTTCTTGTATAAAATGAATTAGAGTTAGAGTAGTGACAGGGTTGTTCTTTATGTTATGTTTCAGGAATTGAAAGATATTATTTGAAAATTCTGCAGGCTGTTTAGATTCCTCAATGTCATAGTAGAACAGTAATATTTCCTGAAATTAAACAGTAATATTATGTAGAAGAAACAATAACAAAGTTAAGCTATTGTTTACTTTATTAATTTCTAAGTATGTAGCAGTATTATATTATTTACAGGCTGGTATTTGTCAATGAGTACATAGATATTAAAATATTTAATAATAGTACTTAATAGAATATTTTAAAATGTATAATAAGATTAACCAATTAATACTACATTAGTATATAGTTGTTTTAAATAGAATATTGTGTATATACTAAAACAACAATATTAAATATATTTGATTTCAGTTCAGAACTTTATGGAATTACAAAATTTTTATACTTATCTCCAACCACATACCTTAAATATTTCTTCAGTAAGGTCATCTAAAAGCCGCAACATATACTTCAATTCTTCTTCTTTCATTTTGCTTACTATAACATGTCCCTGAAATAAATGTAGAAAATATTTTCATTCTCTACTGTAATCACTTTTATTTCAAAGGTCAGGGTTCAGGTTCTTGTGCTGACATCACAGTCAATTTGCAAAATCTAACAATTTTCTATATTAGATACTTTCTAACATATAAATGGAATGATAGTTTAAAAATATCTAAGTAATCTAAAATTGCAAATTAGATATATTAGAATGGTACATTAAGTTGTCTTAATTTTTACATTTTTTGTTTTAACAAAATTACATAAAATCTATTTTTATATTCCGAGCAATTAGGTGATCTCATTAGTTTTAACTAAATCTAGTATCTGTAGCAATTTCAACAAGTATATTGAGAAAATAACAAGTGTTATTGTTATGTTTATCTAAATTCACTTGAATAAAATTGCTTATGAGTTATCAGTTAAGCAGCTTAATACAAGTGCAATTACTGTATTACAGGGATTTCAATTATTTTTGAACAGAATTCAATTTATTCATTAATAAGAAAATAAAATTGCACTTCAAAACATTTACAATAATGAGCGCTTTTGTGTCAATTTGTCAAGTATTACATTATTTACCTAATCTACCAGAGTAAACATGGCATGTAAGAAATCTGGACATCCCTCACAATCCTTACATAAAAGAGGGTTACACAGAAATCATGACAACACTGACTAATCTAATAAGTTTAAAAATAAATTACCTAGTGATTTATATAACACACTGAATTTAATCTGTAAGCGATATTGAAATCTATACCCTTAAAGAAAAACAAGATTTTTATCAATTATAAACTTGAGAACAAAGTAGACAAAATATTAATTAAAACAAAGCCTAAACCTAGTTTGATATTGAGCAATAAAACTTTAAGGCATTGTGAATTATTACTCTAATACTTGTTGCCATACGGTTACATGTTTCAGATCAGTTGATTTTAAAACGGGGTAATTACTAAAAATAATATTATTATAAAGAAATTAATTATTTCTAAAGTAATATGAAAACACAACACAGAGCACAGAACTCAATAGAAATCATAGACACTTGACATAACACTGCTGGACAGTTAAACTGAGCACAGAACACATATGAAAACCACATGATCACACTCAACTTTTCTTTCAACAAAAAGATGTCGATGTCCATATATCGATATATCGATGTACGAATAACATTTGATATTATAATATATTACGATCATATAGATTTAACTTTTAATATAGAATGTCAAAACATATTAGGATCTTACTTACTACTAATACTATATATCAACTGTTATAAAATTTTAACGTTTCATAGCAATAAAAATGTTTTTTAAGTTTCATTTCTTATGAACAAATTATTTACAATTTTGAAAAAAGTATCCAATATTCAAATGTAGTACAAATTTTTCGCAATGTTCATATATGTCCTTAAAATATGCTTTCACTAATACAGAGATGTATTGTGATATACCTATATGTATAAAATATTATTTGCATATTTATACATCAAATAAAAGATAAAGATATCGATACATATTTCATCGATATTTTTATAATCATAGCCATTACTAAATGGTAGTTAAGTTAATTAATTTTATTTGTTCTATTCTTATTTGCAGGTTATAAGATTTTATTATGTGTTTAAATTATAATAGTTTTATTATATATTTACAATTTATTGTCAGTTTACGGCAGCAATTGTAGTATATGTGGAAAATCAAGTGACCGGCTTTTCACTATTATGCGATTCATAAATCGAAATATGTTCATTAAACATGTATCAAATGTATATCGGTTTCAAACCATTAAAAAATTCAATTACAACATTCCTTTTCGGGAATACATGATTCTTGTTGCAAATAAACAGACATCGAAATATTTACCCGTTGTATCATACATGATATCTGGATATTCTAAGGATAACAAAAAGAATTTCATAAATCTCGAGAAGAAAACCGAAACACTGAAAGATGTCTTTGAACATAGAAAGGAACAGCTGAAAGATACAGAACATAAAATTCGACTGAAAAGTGAGGAAATCGTTAGAGATATAAAACAGCATAAAGAAATTACTGAACAAAAAATTAGAGAGAAAAAAGAACATTTAATCAAAGATATCTTAGAAACTAAAGCAAAAGTAAAAGAAAGATTAGAGGAAGTGGTTGAGGTATGTTATATTTTAGCACTCAATTATTTATAGTCAGACCCAAATTTAATTTTACAGTTGTAGCTTAACAGAATATTGTCTAGTTTCACTTTGTATTGGCGACAAACTTCTTAACAGTCCTTGGATTAACTGTGTAGGTGCCAAGTCTATTATGTGGCTAAAAGGAAAACGCCGAGCTGTTCCATGGACTTATGACCCCGGTGTAGGTTTAAGTGGCTCCTTCCAAATATATGTGAGCACTCACTTTCACCACTTGTGTTTCTCACCCTGCCAGACCAGATATGGTAGAAGCCTGCTAGTATACATGTTCTATTAAAAAACTTACTGTAGTTAGTGACAGGCAGGCATTTTAAAAATTGTAGAGTTCCTAAAATGCCTGCCTGTTACTAACTACAGTATTTTGCCTTTTTATAATATACCTATACCACAGTTACTAGAAAAAATGCTTATTATTTGATTGACATTATGTTAATTTGCATATTAGTAGAATGAACACTATATAAGGTGATTATTTGCACACAGATATGACAGAAATCTGATGAGCTTTCTGTCAGAGGTTGCTACCTTGTAATGCCAAGGGCTTTGTAATTGGCATTTGTGGCATTACAACACTTTACTTTTAATAGTACAATAATGTTAGGTCTAAATATCATTAAAGTGACCTGATAGCCCAATAATGTAATTTAAGTGTAATTTTTTCAGAGAGAAAATGTGTTTACTGTTCCTAACATACTGTGTGTAACTAGAATTATGATGTCTCCTTATCTTGGATATATGATTCTGGAAGATAATTATAATTTAGCCTTAGGATTGATGGTGTTTGCTGGAGTCACTGACCTGGTTAGTAGTTGTTGTTTTATTTTTTATTACATTTTTTCGAATGGTGTCACTGTGACCCTATTTTATTCCAATCAAAAATATATTATGCATATTATATAAACATGTAATAATTTATTTTAATTATAGTAAAAATCAATCAATATTTTTGGTATATTTATTGGTTTGTAATCTCAAACATAAATAAGAAGTTACTTCCTTTATAGCTACATTATTAGCTAGTACCAATGAGTATATTTTACAATAAAGATTTTATTACCATTATTATTTGCTGTAAGTCTTTATTTTCACTTATATGATTTAATATCAGTCATTGTATTAAGTTAGTTATAATATTTCAAATGTCTAGTGTGAAATGATACTGCATACTGTTTTTTTAATGCATGATAATGTACTGGTCCATCCAACTGCACCTGTAGCTGGATGTTAATAATATGATCAAAGAGTCAGATTTGTTAGCCAATCGTAATTACAAATTCATAGCCAATAGCAAATTCATCAGGAATTTATCATGCCCACATGCACTTTCACTCTGGAAATCATCCACAGGGAACTGCATCCAGGTCAACCTGACATGCTACACTGTTTACAATGAGGTCACCAGTCCATATTACTATAAATCCCCTTTCCCTCATAATTATTTTAAGATATCATACACATAAGAAATTATTTTTTAACTGCATACATACAATACATGGTATTTTGTTTAAATGACAGCTGGATGGTTGGATAGCGAGGACTTGGAAAAATCAGTCTTCAAAGATGGGCTCCTTCTTGGATCCAATGGCAGACAAAGTACTCATAGCAACTCTCTTCATTTCACTCACATGGCAAAATTTGATACCTCTAAGCCTGACTTTGCTAATTGTGGGTCGTGATGCAGCCTTAGTAACTGCAGGATTTGTCATCCGATATATGAGCCTCCCACCCCCTGTAAGTTATTTATCTGTACTAATACTTCAAAGAAGAATTTATGGTGTATTGTATATATTTGTATAATATTCATTTCACGTCATTACCTCTTTTCATGACGACTGACCCCTTACAGACAAGACGTTCGATAAGACGTTATGTTCCATAGTTCATAAAATATTATCATGTCATCAGTCACTCGATGTATATTCTATAAAATATTTTCCTATATTTTCCTTCCTTAATATACACTTATCACTAGTTGAGGGTCTATTTTATTTCTATATTAATTATCCCTTGTAGAGTTTCCACAAATTTGTTTATTTTGTTTTTGAAATGGGTAAACTGAAATAATAAACATTATTTTTCTTTAAATAACTTTTATCTGATCAGTAACATCTACATACACAGTCCACATGGATGCAGCATCGCAGGAAAATAATAAAACAAGTATAAACAGTACTTGAATGACTTGATTATTGCATTATAATCGGTTTGATTTTAAATTAAGAATAAAAAAAATATGAGTAAGTAATCTACAGATTTAGTCAATGACCTATATAGCTTATAAATTCGTCATAAAAAAAATATAAAATTATTAAATATAATTAGTGTATTCTGTTAGTAGAATCAAAAGTATAATTATACATGTAGCGGCCTACCCTAATAATAAATATTGATTTTGATATTAATGTTTGCATTACGTAATAATATTTTCTTTTTGTGTTTACAGAGAACGCTTAGCAGATACTTTGATGTGACACATGCTACAGCACAACTTGCACCAACGTTTATCAGCAAAGTGAACACTGCTGTACAACTATTGTTGGTACGTAGATTCCTACAAATATTCATTGTTTCGTCACCCACTGGCAGGGGGCGAGCCGTTACTGCCGTCTCTCGGATTAATTTGGTTTGTTATTGGTTATGCCATCACCGTAGAGTCACTCAGAATCATGATTTTTACTATAACTACGTAACTAGTAGTGAAAGTGTCGCACATACTGTACACTGCGAAGCATGGGCGGTCGCTATTTCTAACAGGGCAGTATAAATAATGATAATACACAAATTAATTATGCACTTTCATAAATACTAACATTATACACAGATGTATCAGGTATATATAAATACAATTTCAGGTTGGAACTACTCTTGCGTCCCCTGTTTTTGGATATGTGAATCATCCTGCATTACAAGCTCTCTGCGGTGTCACCGCCGTGTCTACAGTTGTATCTGCTATTAGTTATTTAGTTAGTAAGGACACTTATAAGTTTTTGAAGAAAACTTAACAAGAAATCGCACAGAACATGTCCCAAGTCTTCCACATATAACATAATAATTTATTTTAAAAACTGTGTACATTATGTAAATAAAAATTTAAAACTGGTTTAATTCATTTATTATTTAAATTCTTTATTTTAAATATACCGATCCTTTAGGATATACTTAGACTAATAGAGAAAATTATGGCCATCAATTATAATGGTAGAAGGGGGTAACTTGTCCAATCGTTTCAAATCAAATAATATATTGAGGGTACAAATGGAATACATTTATTTTGTTCGATCTATTCACATAAATTAAATGTGAACTAGGTTATATTAAAAATTATTTATGTTATAAAAATACGTAAATTACAAAATTATTCTTAAACTAATCGAAAATAATGATATTATTTATCTTACAGATATTTATAGAAAGCAAAATGATATTCTTCATGGATTACATTTTTGTTTTAAAGCATTATGTATGTCTGATATTAATTATCAGACAAAATATTTCATATTAAATTAATATTAACCATGTGGAATGTTGAATATTTTTTGTTAAATTTTAGTAAACAAACCGAAACATTATGCTAATGTAAAGAATATACTTACTACATTGAACATTTAATTACATAAAGATATTAGTACTTCTATATTTATGAATTTCAAATGGACTGAGTGGATGGTGAATATTAGATTTCAAAAGGCACATGTATAATATCAGTTCCTCTAACTTATTAGTTACAATAAATAAATTAAATTAAAAAGCAATAATATTATTTTTCATTCTTATTTTTTTGGTATAGTATTTCATATCAGCAGATATATAAAGCAGATTTTTATTAAATCACCTAAGGGATCAAGCAATTAGTGCAGGTCTCTAGTACTATTACTATTTATAATAATGTCATGATAATTGGTAGAGGCTATGTTACTATCATAGTCAAATTATCTGATATCAATAAAGCAAAATTCAAAAGACTAGAAGATCCAAGCCAATATTTTTGAAAAGCCAAATTAATTTCGTCTGCATTAACGACTTTCATTATTTTTCGATGTTTATACATATAGTAGAAACTAGCATTAATTAAGATATCTATATAAACATTTTACGTTTAGAACTACATATTAATTAAGACATATATAACTTTTTTAATACCTACAATGAATACATAAAGAATTTTCAAAATTAAATATGGCAGCTAGTTATTCCTTAGACATTCAAACATCCAAGTATGGAAATAGAAGATTTTTAGAGTTTATCAACATAAAATATTGAGTTTCTTCATTCAATGTAGATTACAACAGTAGATGATATAAATGCAGCCCAATATATTTTATATTGGGCTGCATTTATATCACATTTTATATACATGCACATAGTTATAGTATGTATATGTTACATAAAATATTCTATGTAATGGTAGACACAAAAATACTTTAAATCTCATATTAATGAACAGATCTTATATATAACATGGTAATATACCTGCTTTGTGTCACCATACATTTTTATCTCCAGGATTTAGTAGGCCACTAGGGGAACAGAGCAGTAATATATAAATTCAAGAGATGGAAAATTCGAAATATAACTTCCAAGTTAATTCTCTTCTTACGAGAACAGTATCTTACCCAGTGGGATGATTATAAGTTGTCACTATGATTAATGGAATTAACAACAGCAAAATTGTCACAAGGAAATAAAAACTTAACTCCTATAATTATAAAATTGTACAAAAATAAAAAAGAAATAAATTGCACAAAATATTAAAAAATAATTACATACATTGTAAAAAAATATGTTACAAATGGTTAACAGTAATCACTTGTATTTAAGTATTATAGCATTTTATAATATATATTTAATGTTGATTTTCTGTGTACTGCATTACTTTTAAATTATAGGGTGATAATACCTAAAGTCAGCCTACATCACATTCACTATTCTAAATTAAAATGCAAATAATTTTTAGAGCAACTAAAAAAAGCTAGCAGTAGTAATACATATTTAGGTACTTTTTAATGTGTTTCTTTTACATACATAATTTGATATAGTGAAAATTCAATTTGTCTTTAATAATGAGTTTTAATAGCTAATGCACCTCTTTGTGTGATTTCAAAAGATGTGTCAAGAAGTAGTACTTATACTAATCTGGTATGAAATAAGTAACAGTTTTATATGCTAAATAAGAATTATTAACAAATCTGAATAAATTGGGATACAATAAATACATCTCAAATATTAAAATCAGGGTGATGAAAAAAAATCTTCTAAAAGTTAGTTTCCATTTATATGATAATAATGATTTTGTCAAAATTGGTTCCTATCAGATTTTAACAATAAAAATCTTTAAAACAAACAATCAAATAATACTATAGAATAATTAATTAAATTAAAATTTCTTTTTTAATTTTTTTCAAAAAACCAACTTCTTGTATACATAATGAATATGTGGCCAATACAAGAGTATACTTTATAAATTGCAAAATACAATCAAATCTAATTTGTATTTAAGATAGTTTGCATGTTGTATGTGATACAGAGTTACATTAAGTACTACTTCTTGGAAATTGGTTAAGTATTTATTAATCTAATTGACTAAATAATTATTATTTGAAGCTCTTTGTCTAATAATCCTTTTGAAAACTGTCAAAATCATCTATTAATTTAATTTCACTGTAACTCTAAACTGCACTCAGAGAGAAAAGATTCACAATTAAACTTTTTTTTCTGTATGTTACACAATGTGATTACAAGGATTATTTTTTAAATCATTGATTTAGAGATATTGAAGCAGAGAGTAGTTTTAGGTGCAAATTAAATAATGTATAAGTAAGTTGAAATTAAATTATGCAGAATATAATTTTGAAGTAGTTACAAAGTTATATAAGCATCAAAGTGGTATTATATTGATATAAGATAAAAATATAATTTTAGGTATTATTAACCTTAAAATTATAGTACTGTAGTCTATATGAAACCTACAATACTTTTAGATTAATATAACATTAGCCTATACAGCTGAATTTAGGGGCGATCACCTTATTTACTCACAGATACAAATTATAAAATGATTATTATACAGATGTAATACATACTTAACCAACCTTGTTAATTAATTCGTCACAAATAGCTGTGAGTTCCTCATTATCTTTTATTTTCTGTGCTAAAGATTCCTGTAGCGAAGATGCATGCACTTCACTTTTTTTCAACATAGCATTCAATTTTAGAATCTCAGCCTGGTGAGATTTTTTCACAGAGTCCAACTCAGCGTTAGCTTTGTTAAGTTGTTGCATAGCATGTTGTCTTAGAGTTTCGTACCTAGCCTCCAACTTTTGTATAGCATCATTATTTTCTTCAACAGTATGTTTTAAAGTTTCTTCATTGCTCTTATATCCTTGAATGATAACTTTGCATCTTTCATATTTTGTATGAACATCATTAAATGCATGTTCCATTGATGCTAAATGGGCTGCTGCCTCATCTCTTTCACGAACCAGGACAGTTCTTTCTTCAATCCATCTTTTTGACTCTGCTTCACGCTCACCTATTAAAGATGAGATGGTTCTTTCGTATTCTTCCATAACTACACTCATTTGCTTGTTATTTCTTACCTTTTCAGCCACTCTCTGTGAAAGAGTCTTTTCTTTTTCTGCATATTCTTCATTTTGTTCTGATAACTTCTTGATTTTGGTTTCACATTCTTCAAGGCGGTCCCTTAAATCATGATTAAGATCTCTCAAACTTTGTGCCTCCTCTTCTTGAGTGGTTAATAACTCTTTCACTGTTCGTAGCTGTTCAATTGTATGTGGATCCATATCTGATGACCGGGTGATAACAGGAGGAGGTGGAGGTATATTAGCACCGAGGCTTAGTAAACGGTCTATAGTAGCGATAGCTGGGGACACTGTGCTTGTCTTCACAGGTGTCACCTTTACAGTAGCAGTAGCTTGACTCCTATTAACAGCTGGAGTGACCACTTGAGTAGGTTTATCAGTATGACCACTGATGCTGGGTTGCACAGACAATTGTTGCATAGAGTTCACTATATTCTGCTCTGTACCTGACATGGTACTGTCCACAGATAAATCTTTTCGAAAAATCCTACAGGTTTCGCTTAAATAGTGTACACATGGTCTTACCTGCAAATTAGAACGAAGTGTAAATATCAAGAATACTATAGATGTCACCAAGGGCGACGCACTGAGTAACTGAGTCATTTAAGTTACCTTAGATATAATGAAGTTTACATTTTGTGAACACAACATATACGAAATGAGTTAAAATAATATGATATACGACAATAAAAATGCATTGCAACCCACGCAAACACGGTTTAAAGAAATCGAACAAAAAGAAATTAGGTAATAAAATATACTTTATATGGCAGTGTAACCTACCGCAGTGTCCTCGAACTAGTTCGGTTTATAGTGAGGATTGAGAAAAGCAACAATATGTATAAAATACGGTAATGATTCAAAAAAGAGTCAGCGTATTGTAATTAAATAAACATTCAGTAAAATTGGTCTCGAAGGTCTGCAAGAATTAAGGATGATGACATCACGATCACATCATTCATGTAGTCACTCCAACAAATGCTGTCATTCAAAAACTTTATAATATAGCTGTCATTCATTCTTTCAAACTAAAATTTAATGTACAATCATAGATAGAGTATATTTATGTTAAAAAAATGTTCTATAAAATGGGAATGAAAAAAACTTAAAATAATTGGGGATTTTATTCATATAACCGACTAACTTATTTGCTATCAATAATTGTATACGAATGAATCTGATAAACGATAAAAATAATAGCTACATTTGAATATTTTTAGATCTTTTGTTCCTTGCACTTATATTTCTGTCAACATCCTTGCCATAACTTGGATTTAATTTTGTGTAAAACTTCGCGTTAAGTGTACGTTTTATTAATAAGCCATGTAGCACACTATCAAATAGACACTACTGTATACAATCTAACTTATAATAGCGACATCTCATTACATCATATATTACGCTACAGTGAAATGGTAATAATCTATACATATAAACAAAATTGGAGTGTCTGTTTGTAACATTGAAATAACCGTTTTTTACTATATGCATATGAATATAGATACGGTACATACACCAAAATAACATTTTTTACAATTTTTCTGTCTGTTTGTTCCGGCTAATCTCTGAAATGGCTGGATCGATTTTGACGGGATTTTTTTTGACAGGTAGCTAATGTAATAAGGAGTAACTTAGGCTAATTTTATTTAGAAAATAAATTTTAATTTCACGCGGAAGATGTCGCGGGTACAGCTAATATAAAATAAAAATTTTGGATTAATTATCATATTTATTATTTATGGTTAACCATCATAAAATGCAGATGATGTCAGGTCGGTTGGTCCATCGTAGCGAATTCATCAGGAATTAATTACGACTTTTTCCAGAACGAACCGCGAGTTCGATCTGATTAGGGTGTTCTTGGCAACGATTATAGTTTTGTTATTAACAAGAGGTCTTCAATATAACCAAACAAGAACTAGCACAGTACTTGATTCTGTGCTGTTGGTAGAGAAGAGAGGTCTACTCTAGAACCAGCAATGTATACGTTGCTTACTCCGTCGTCCGGAACCTGGCGTGAAGGCATGAATAGATAGTTACGCTCGCACAACTTTTGTAGCAGCTGCACAAAATCGAGTGGATAATGAATGCAAATATGTTGAATAATAATCAGATATATTGATTAATAATACATGTATCCAAGTAACAATCATTTTTATTCCAACTTTATTAACATCACAGATTCTAAGTAAAGACACAATCATACACCAACAATATATCTTTCTGTTTTGTACATTTCATAAGCAAATTCTTCCTCATGTGTTGGGTCGAATTCTAGACCTGAAAAACAAATAATTACATATTGAAATGTGTATATGCCTATATAGTTCTCTGTTTATTATTAAGCGGATGAAGGCGAACTCCTGTCTGGCCTGATGTATACGCTAGAGTATACTAGATCACTGTTGGAATAGGTCACGGTATCGAGCAATGGACCAACTGGGAGTGCTGGTGTGTATATGTATATCTATAAAGTATGAAGCACCTATTATATAAAATCTATATTAGGTACATGTTATATATTAATTAAAAAATATATATTACATAAAAAGGATTTTTTTCTTATCTCATTTTATGAAAAATAAGCGGAAGGCATAAGACATGAGCACGCACAAAATGCGAGCGTGTGCTTTTTTTAAAAAAAAAAAAAGAGCTTGATTTATGTTACTAATATCTTAAAAGCGAAAAAGTAACAAACAGATGGGCCTGCTTTAGGCATTATTATATTTGTATGGATATATAGTTTCTCTTTTTGTTTATAGACTTTCACAATAAAATATTATTTTAATTTTACACTGGACAACTACTAGCATTACTAAATACTTACCAATATATTCTATTTCCAATTCAAATCTACCAGGAATTTTGTCACCACATGATATACCAAAATGTGTTACTCTATCTAAACATATTCTGTTTTGTTTGTCTTGCACTCTTCCTTTTGATCCTAAAATGAACTTGGAAAATGGTATCTAAAATATGAACAAGAAACAATAATTATTAGATCAGTAATATACTTTATTATTTATTAACTCACTAGAGTGTTAAAAAATAGTAATGACTGTGACGTAAAGCTACGTAGTTGTTTGCGTTGATACTACTGTCTCATCTTTTTCTTTGTAAGTTTTATTTAGGTTGATGCGTGAGACATATGGAAATGAAATTACACAGTACAGAGTCATGACACTAGTCTTCCGGAATGTCGTACCTTATTCTGTAATTTCACTGTCTAATCTGCACCGTACAAGCGAAACACAGCTTACAAAGCAAGCTGCTTGGCTGCGATAATGGCCAAGACTGAGGTACTCATACAGACGAGGTTTTATAAGTATACCACAGTAAACATTATATATAATGTTTTCTTTACAACAGGCATGTGAAACTTCTGGTATTTCGTATTCTTGGTGGTACCCACTGTAACAACTTTTTGTCGTCTACCTAAAAAAAATCTACAGAACAGTTACCTTAGCAATTTGCCAGTATGGTCCACCTCTTGTATACAATACATAGTGATATATATCATTCCATGTTATGTCGTAGTAACCCTCGCAAGAAATATTTAATAAGTATGATCTACCATCTCCTCTCACTTTCAGAACAAGGGTATTATATAAATGCCAGTTGTAAGTAGATTCCCGTTTAAATGATTTCTGGAACAAGATATAATTTATGCATATAAATAAAATTGGAGTGTCTGTTGTAATATTGAAATAACTGTTTTTTACTTCATGCATATGAATATAAATACGGTACACATACATACACCATAATAAAATTTTATGCCATTTTTGTGTTTGGTCCGGCTAATCTCTGAAATGGCTGAACCGATTTTGACGGGAATATTTTTGTCAGGTAGCTGATGTAATAAGGAGTAACTTACACCACTTTATTTTAGAAAAATAAAGTTATTTTTCCACGCGGACGAAGTCGCGTGTACAGCTAGTAAATAATATAAATTAAAGTTGCATGGTAGTTAAATGACAAATTTCATGTTACAATTCCAAGATATTTGCAGATTTATAATTGTGCAAGTATTATTTGACAGTTGCAGTTTTTTTATTTAGAAAGAAGATAATTTCTCTGTTAGTTCCCGTGACGTAACTATACCATATGAAGCCTGTAACAAATTCGTGTGCCCACTGCTTATAGTTCTGTAGAGTCGAGGAGCCATAGCCTTGGAGAGCATACAAATACTACCAAAGGCATATAGTTTCTTACATAGTTTATAGAAATTTTTATCATATCAGGTTGACCTCCACGCGGTTCCCCGTGGATACCATCATGATAAATTTCTGGCAAATTTATCACGATGGGCTAACTGACCTGATCTCATGTTCATCTTATCATCCTTCACTGGTGTCCTTCCAGTGTAAACCGTTAGCACAGGCGGGAGCAACATTCCATTATCATTCATAAAAAAAATACATACGCACACGAATACAAAACAAATGAACATATATTTGAAGGTTTAGATTCATTTCAAACATATGTTCATAATTCTTGTGTATTCGTTTCTGCTAATTTAGGCATATAAATAAAATTGGAGTGTCTGTTTGTAATATGGAAATAAATCGATATAAACAGACAATTAAGTACGGAGTTTGAACCTCCAACCCATAGGTGATGTAGTGTACCAAAAAAGTACATTACCAAAGTTGTCAAGTCTATTAAGATAAAAAGGATTAATAAATTTATACCAGTGTCTGTTTGTAATATTGATATAACCGTTCTTTACTACGTGCATTTGAATATAAATACGGTACATACACCATAATAATTTTTTTTACAATTTTTGTTTGCAACTTTTATTGGCAAGTAGCTGATGTTATAAGGATGTAACTTAGGCTACTTTTATTTTTGAAAAATAAAGTTTAAATTCCATCCGGACGAAGTCGCGGGTACAGCTAGTATACAGTAAAACCTTACCCTCACTCTTTTAGACCTCATAGCACAATAACCAGCTTTTTTAATGCGCCCGTCTTTTGGCACTCTCAGGTCTAAGTGTCCGTGGAATAAGGCCCTACCAGCACTACTCATATTGAGACTGCATTGGCTGTAGCCCTCGTTATGATCACTGTCGCTGGTCGTAACGAATTTATCGAGAACATTCTGATCATTGAAGCACCATATAAGATCTGTTTCGCCTGTAATGTGAATATTATAATTATAAAGATATTTTTTATACCATTTCAAGCTATTTTGCTGTTTCAATGTATACAACATCAATTTGTAATATTTTTATTCTGTTGGAAAAAACTATTATCTTTCATAATTAAATACACATTCTTAGTAACAATTAATTTCAAACATTTTATTCTATTTTATTTCATAAAATAAGTACAAATAATTTTCTTTAGATTGTACAAAAAAATTGAGTATGTTATATTACATGTTGAATACAAACCATGAGACTCCTTTCATGATAATAATTAAATTTGGGACAAATAAAATTATAAGTACTTACACAAAATATATGTGAACATTTTATTTGAAAAAGAAATTGCAGTCTAAATGAGTAGGTACAACAAGTAAAATATCAAACAATAATAACTATATTATTAGCCTTATAAAAATGTCAGGATGGTTCTGTTAGAATTAAAAGTGTAGAAAATAAATAACTTAAGTATAATTGTTAAATTTTAATTGTCAAATCAATTATACTCTAATAAAACCTGTAGTACCAAGTATTTACACTATATAAATTTAGGTAAGTATAAAAACATCTAACCATATTCAGATCTTTGAAAATCATAATGTTAACCTACTTATGAATAATTTTAAGTACTAATTTATATTGAGCACAATTTGGATGAATTTATTGGCAAGTTAGTCAGATATATCTTTTAACTACATGATTTTTCATCATTATGTTTCCAATTAATACATATAACATGTGGTGGTAGTAATTTAAAAAAAAGAATATAAAAGTAAGTATACATATGAAACCAATTGTGACTCCATTAAGAAACTGTTACATATGACGGGAACTAAACATAAGTATTAATTAAATATTGCCATATATCACATTTACATGATGAAGACTTTCTATCTTTATTACTAGTGAATATCACTGTTTCATATCTTCAAAACAAGAGACGGTACTTTCTTTATATTCATAAGGACATAGAATACACATTCAATAAGAATTAACTGAAACTAAACCAAATATCACAAACATAGCCATAGTTCAAATGAATTATCTATCTTTACCTAATATAAAACACATTATCTGAACATAGATAATTCATCTGAATAATAAATCTGGAAGAACATAACTTTTTATTCAAATTTACTAGGTTTTCCTTCTTTGTTATTTGAAATACAGGATATACTTGAAATAAAAATTAAAGAAGATGTTTCCTCGACATAAACTGCATTAAGTATTACTATTAATGAGGAATATGCACAAAATATAATATGAATATGATTTACACTAAATTTAAATAATAAGTAGTGAATAATGATAATAGAAATCACAGATAATATAAGTAAGATTGTATACAAAAATAGATAAATACAAGATTACCCAAATATTGTTATTAAATGTACTGAAAAGCACCAACATAAGTATGTATTTTATAGTACATAAAAAAATAATAATGAATTATTAACGGACTTCATTGATAAGTTGATCACATATTCTTGTCAATTCCTCATTGTCTCTGGTTTTTTGGACCAATGACTCTTGCTGGGATGCAATAGTTATTTCATGTTTCTTTATAATTGCATTCAGTTTAGTTACTTCTATGTTGTGATTTTTCTTTATGTTTTCCAATGTCTCATTAGCTTTAGATAAATTATCTGAAGTGACTTGTTTAAGACTGCTATATAAACCATCATACTTTTTGATACTAACTTCATATTCTGAAATTTTATCTTGATATATTTTTTCTCTTTCTTTTACCTCCAATATAACACTCTTACATTTTTCATATTTAGAGAGCAAGTCATTGAATGAACTCTCCATGCTAGAAAGGTGATTTAAAGCTTGGTCTCTTTCAGACACCAATTTATCATTGTACTCCTGAAATTGCACTTTGTCCTGTTGTTGTTCACCAATTAATGATGATATGGTTTTTTCATACTCCTCCATTACAATGCACATTTGCTTGTTACTCATAATTTTCTCATTTACTTGATGCATCAATTTATTTTCCCTATCTAACATATTGTCTCTTTCATCTATTAACTTCTTTATTTTCTGTTCCATATGTTCAGTTGCTTTAAAATGCTTGTGTTCCATATCTTGAATTGTTGATTTCAGTTCTCTATTCTCATGTCGTAATTTTAACAGTTCCTGATCTTGGTTTTGAAGAATGGTTCTCAGTGATTGAAGACGGTCTACTTCTTGGGAACTGAAACTACTGTAGCGAGGACTACGAGGAGCTGCTGTTGGTGGGGTACTTCCAGAAATACTAATTAGACGGTCTGTTACCACTTGAGTGGGTGTTAGAATTGCTGACACACTTCGTACCAAGGCTGGTGTTGATCTCATTTGATTGGCACTTGTTTTAGGAACATCAAAGTTTACTACTGGTGGCACTATTTGCATTGGTTTGTCTTTGCCATTTGATATGGCTGCTGCTGACAATGTTTGTTTAGGTGTAACTACAAGATTGTCAGTGAAGACTGATGCGGCGCTGCCTGTCTCATATCCAATATCGATCTCAGAATCAACAACTACCTCAGGCTGAGTTGATTCAGTATTTATTTGATTATATCTTGCATACAAAGGATCAAACTTGACAAAGAGACTTTCTTTTCCACGGTCAATAAGGTTATGGTTACGATTAGAGTCCGCGCATTGAACAAGGTAATCCAAACTACTTGCATTTATAAAAGTATCTTCATATTGAGGCACTTCCTGCATTGTTACATCGCAGATGCTATCAAACTCTGTTCCCGTAAGGAGATCTTCTGTAACGTCAGATTGCTGGGTTAATGTAGATTTTTTTGGTGATAAAGCCATGAGATCGCCCATGGATGACACTGGAGTAATAAAATTATCCTCAGAGACAGCAGAACTGCTCCTCGTAGACAACATATTTTCTTTAAGAATATTACTGCTACAAGTATCAGTCCCACGTCCCAATAGATTATGAAGTTTATAATATATACTTTTTAAATGGCTCTTTTCGTTTTGAATCGGCGAGGAATTGTTATTTGTATTATTGGAAAACATTCGCTTTTATATAGCCCTTTAAAGGAGTGAACTAGTTTAGGACAAAACTAATATTAACTACAAGCTTGCGCTATTTCGGTTATACACAAAAAGAAAAGAAAGCAAAGAATTAAAAATACTTTTAAGACAGGCAATAACGAACGACCTAACGGATTTTTTGAAAACATGTCACAGATGTTAATGTCATTATTTGTTTGACATAAACTGACGAAACTGACAGTCGGACGATGGAAAACTTTATCGACATTAGTCTATGGACCATAATCAAATCAGCTGTTAAAAATAAAATAATAAAGTTAAGCGTTGCTGCTCCAACACAAATTCTGGAATGGATGGTCATACCATTTATCAATTAATGAAGTCAATTTAAATATTTAAGAATAAATGTAAGCTTTCCATTTATTCCTATTCTGCAACTTTTGTACTTACTTTATAAATTATAAATAAATAAATTTATTGATGATCATCAAATAACATAATTTAAAAAATACAAATAATGTGGTGAAGGAAGCTAAAGTACAGTGTATGTAGCATTATATAAGTATAATTTATATGTATCTACATATGACTTTAGCCATTTCAGTAATTATCAGTGTGCACTCATTACAAACACACTACAATAAACATAATTATAATAATCATAATCGGTAGTGGCTATTGAATTAATGAAGTATTTACACTTCATTAAAACATTGCCTTCCACTTATTATTAAATGGCATGTATATTATTGCTTGGACGAATATTAGATTATGGAGGACAGAACATCTAATAGGAAATTTGAAAGAATTTGTTAAACAATGTTAATATATATAAATAATAAGTAAATAACTAGTTATGTATGAGGTATAAAAGTAAGGAATATATTGATTTCTAACAGTAACAATCTTTGTACCTTATGATCTTAAGGATTAAATGGTTATTATAAATCGTACCTGGCCTTGCTACTAGCAGAGGATCAGTCTCCACCAATTCCTTGAGTTCTTGTTTGAACAAAATCAACTCGTAGTTGAGTTCTTTGAAACCATTTTTTAGATGATCTAATATGGACACTTTCTCGGCAGTGTTATAACCTCCTTTTCTTTCATTTTCCCAAAATAACAAACGCTTTGGGGTATTCTGTACTGATGGATTTAATTTAAATAATGTATCCGAATTACCAAAAATTGAATACTGCCGAATATTTTTCAATAAGTGTCTATACACATTAGTCGAGATTAAGGCCATTATTATTGAAATACTGCCACATCACTTTCTACTTAATATAAAAGTAAGAAATAAATAGAAAATGTTAACTTTGTTTACTATTTTGGATTAAGTTACCTTATAGAGGTTATATTGCAAAAATATTATTGAAAAAATCATAGAGCAGAGAGCAGAGAGAACCTTAAGAGACTTTAATTGAATTAGTACTCTGTGAAAGTAAATTAAAAGAATATTACATTATGAAATTTTTGAAACGTTGTGACTAATTTACTGTATATATTAGTGTTTTGTAATAATAACACTGTAATAATATTATAAATTGAAAAGTGCGTGTCTCTATATTTCCGCAGCTGGCCTTTACAGCTTCACCGGATGATAGGGGGCGAGTGCAGATGGCACTCCAAATCCGTGGAAGGACTTATGGAGTAACTGAAGGCTAACTCCCACCTGACGGATACGACTATAGTCTGAGCGCACCGCTAGGGGTTCAAACTTCGGCTTAGACCATCGTAATTTCGTCGCCCGTTTGAAATGGACGGGGGATCAATCGGAGAGGAATGTACTGCACGTTGAATCTTCAATCTATGAAAAATTGGTTTTATTCCATAGAGGCGGAGAAAGACGACGGCTAAACAAAGAATATTATATTTTAAAACGATTTATTTTTATGTTACAAGAAATAATATTCTACAAGAGGAAATAGAAATTGTATTGTACAAAAGGAATATTTGACTAAAACGAATATGTACTTTCATATAATTTGCAAGCCATTATGGTAAACATTGCTGATCAAATATTTTAGTGTAATATCTTTAGACCTCGGTGGTCTAGCGGTCTAGCATACCGCTTTCGGACATAAATGGTCGCGGGTTCGATTCCTCGCACGGTACAAACATTTGTATTCATGAGTATGATTGTTTGCATTGGTCTGGATGTTTTCTATGTACGTTTGTATGTATTTATTTATCTATGTATTTACCGAAAAAAAATCTATGTATTTGTATCTGTTATCGAATACCCATAAGACTAGATTCCGCTGCGTGCATTGTCCTGAGATTATTTTTAATATCTTATCCACTGTACTAGTCTTTCGCAAATAAATTACATAATTATATGATATTATAAAATGAACAATATATCATACTTTCAAATATTCTATCTATTTTTAAATTTGTATGTATACTTGATAATGTAATATTTCAATGGATACCATAGACTATCTGTCTAATTATGATTGATCGATGACTGATTTAGTTAAAGAATACAATTTAGGACAGTCAGTCTGTAACTTCAGTCAATGATATTGAATTCGCAGCTAAGTTTCGATTGAACGAATTTTGAAGGTTACTACAAATACCGACTTTACTTTCACTTTCATGTTCAAAATCAAATCGAAATCCAGTTTTCTAGTACAACGTCGTGGCAGTGTATTCTTACATACAAAACAAGAATAAAGTTAACATTGGCATACTTAGTTTCTGTAAACCAATGAATCTATTCATATTTGAGTTATGTAGTTAATTGTAAAATTTTAACAAAAATTACTGAATACTATCTAATAATACGGATACAGCAAGTTGTCATAATGGGGTTGGAAAAAGTCAACTGCAGTACAGTATGTTATTATTTGAATAATTTTTTATACTGACATTAGTTTTATTTACATTATGAATTATAATTTATTTAGCAACAAACCAAAACGACCATCGATGAAAGGTGAAAGGATGTATTGACTATTCTATCCAAGAATTTTTGCAAGTAGGTGATTGTTAGTAATGTGGACTCATGACTCCATCACTAGCAATGTACCATGTCAGGTTGACCTCCACGCGGTTATTCCTGGAATCCATCGTGATAAATTCCTGGTGAATTTGTCATGATGTGAGTGACCTGACCTCGTGTTCGTCTTATCATCCTCCACTGGTGCCCCTCCAGCAAAATCCTTTAGCCCAGCACCATTCTATTATCATTAATAAAAAAAATATGCTTGGTGGTCCTTATTTCATTTTACTTCCTTCTATTGTTTCAATGATGCCTATAACAAAAAATCAGCAAACCTATTAAAATTGTTTAAATAAAAAATATTTATTTTTTATTTTATAACAAAAGCTACAAATTTATTAAACACAAATGATCTGCTAAATTATAGTTATCTGCTATCTTATGTGTAATTGTGATGACCATAATATAATGGATGTCACAATTTGGAAGTGTGCAAGAATTGGTGTGACATTCTCTTGTCTTTAAACAAGCTATTATCACACCCATGCTATTTATGTTTACTACAAATGATGTACACATTCTGTAATAAATTTACACTTTTTAGGATGGAAGATCTTCAGAATATCTGTATTCTCCTGAGATCCTACAAAGATTGGATTTTAAAAAGAGTCCGGCTACATTCAAACCTAAGATCAGTGCATCACAACCTGGTGAGGTCTGGATGGTTGTAAGGCCATTGCAGCGTTCGGATTATGATAAAGGTTTCCTGCAGCTACTTAGTCAGTTGACTAACGTTGGGAATATTTCTAGGAAACTGTTTGATGGTTAGTATTTTATTTTTAAAGTTTTAATTTAATTCCATCAATCACATATTTCAGAGTTTCTAATACATAATGTGGTCTATAAACTCCATAAAAATAAAGACTAGCACAGTTTTTGATAAATCATCAACACTCCTTGAATAAACTTAAGAAATGTGTAGAAATAGTATTAACAAATAAATAGTTACTACATATAAATTAGATGTTATATACTCAGTATATTTAAAGTAATATGTATATCATCTATTTAGTAATGTAAGGTGATATGGTGGGTGAGCATTATCACCACCTTTTAGTAGATGACTCAAAATTGATAATTATGAAACATTGTGATAATGAAACTGTGTGATTTTAATTAGATTCTGAAAACATTTTGTAATATTATTATATTGGCACTGCAGTGTATTGGGTATCTACACAGGTTTTTAAGGCGTCTTATAATACGACATGAGAGATTTATAATGGTCCATATGTACAAACAATCAATCTATAACAGGTGCTGGTTATTCCTAGGTTCAAAGAGGGATAGGATTCTGCTTTTTATTTTTTTAACTATGTGCTGTTGGCCGCAGCTGGCCCTTAGAGTTTCACCGAACAATAGTAGGCGGCATAATGCTGATAGCTTTTCAAAATTGGGGAAGGTCTTAGAGAGCGGCAGAAGTCAAATCCTGCCTGATGGATACGGCTTTAGTGGGCACCGCTAAGTGTTCGAGAATTTCCACTTAAGCCGTCGTAATTTCTATCCTCGGTTGAATGCGCTGTATCGTGTGGTTGAAGTCATTATCTTCGCCATCGAGGATGGTGTCGTGTATTTGTGTAGTAATGTGTATATATGTAATAGTCAATAAGAACGTGATTACTTAGTGCAAGGTACTTAAAGCATTTCACGGATGTCTTCAAGACATGGGCTCTGCTGCGAAACTTATCGATATGGTAAATGCTGGTAGGGCTTATATGGGTATAGGTACTGCAGTGACACTACACAGTTAAGAAGTTTTAACAACTAGGAGTTTAACTAAATTATCCTTCCGAGTTTCTCAAGATAGGGTATATAATCAATAAATACAAATAAAAATGTAATATCCAACGTAGTTTCTGTTTCTTGACAAAGTATTTCGATCCAGACAGGTTTAATAAAGAATGTAAGTTAACTGGGCGACCTTGGAGGCCGCAGCTAGCTGCATAATGCGGCTAGGTACCTATACATAATTAATAATAAATTAATTTAAATTATTAAATTTTAATTGAATACATTTTAAATTCTTTCTTTAAAAGGCCTTCCTGGCTAGCAAGGTTTTGCAAATAGAAATTAGCAGCTTACATCATAACAGATTAAAGAAACGATAAGAAAATTTAGGCAAATTAGCAAGTATTGTAATTAAAGTAATAACCTTAGTTACTGCTAATAATTTGTCGATATATCCAACGGAGATATTTACTACCTAAACCTAGTTATAGAGAATCGATTATCAATCGTAAGCTTCCCAAATACGAGATTAAGAAACACCTGAGCGATTTTAAAATAAATGTATTTTATGTACAAAATAAAGTGCGAACCAGTTTTAGAAACCGCGGATCCAAAACAAATATTATAAATAAGCTTTTATAAATTACTTTTCATAATTTTTCAAAAACTGTACTAGGTAGAAACAATTTTATTTTTACCATATCTCTATCTATCTACCTGTAATACACCATAGTGACTTATCAGTCGTTGTGTACAGTTATCATACGTCGTTATCCTTAATTGCGATTTGTTCATTTATGTGTTCTCAGATCGTTTTACGAAAATGAAGCAATCCGGCGGCTATTATGTAACAGTCATCGAAGACACACGAATTGGAAAACTGATTGGTGCTGCGACACTCGCTATTGAACAGAAATTTATACATAACTGTTCCTTGGTATGTGCCAGACAAGACAAATTTAATTATGCTTGAAACGCACTGAATATCTGTGGTATCACATGTATTAATGGTAGCGGAATTAAACAAAAAAATATTATTTCTAACATGACACATTTATTAAAGACATTTTTATTCTTGAGGTTGATTTAATCAATACAATGTTCAGTTATAAAAAGCTTTAAGTTTTTATTTACTTTTTATAACTGAATATAATATTGTAGTTTTTCATACATAAAATAAGAGGCCACAAATTGAATATGAATATAAATGTACAATACATTACATTTATAAGCAACTGCTCATATTTGATGGCCTCTAATACTGATGGCCTCAGTGGTCTAGGGAATTTACACACCGCATTATGTCCAATGGGCGCGGGATCGATAACTCGCACGATACAAACATTTGTATTGAGAAGTATGATTGTTTGTATCGGTGTGGGTGTTTTCTATGTATATTATGTATGTATTTACAATAAAATGTATTAATATTAGTTGTCTAGGAACCATAACACAAGCTCTGCTTAGCTTTTGCACAAGATGGTGCTGTGGGAATGTCCTGAGGTTTATCTCATCTTCCTTTTTAATACGACTGATATACTTTATAAAATGTTAAGACTGCCTCAAACCCAATTATATGGTACCCATAATAATAACATTCGGCATCACTATTGTAACCATACGATATGTTACTTTCAGCGCGGTCGCCTCGAAGATGTGGTTGTAAACGACACATACAGGGGAAAGCAACTAGGCAAACTGTAAGTGTCTGCCATCTATAGATTATAATAATATTTTTTTTCTTTTGTTATAAGATGAGAATCATCTCATCTTATATCTGATACCACGTATAGTAAAATTGCACGAAAGTCAGTTGCATCATTTTTTTTTAAGTATGTTCTTTGAAGTATATATCTGTTTTTTTTTTAATGATAATGGAATGGTGCATCCGCCTGCGCTAACGGTTTAGGCTGGCGGGGCACCAGTGGAGGATGATAATATGAACATGAGGTCAAATCAGTTAGCCCAACGTGACAAATTCACCGGATGTATCACGATGGTTTCCAGGGGGAACCGCGTGGAGGTCGATCTGACATGGTACATTGCTAGCAATGAGAACATTAGTCCACATTACTAACAATCCCCTTCCCCCCCTAGTATATATCTGTTGCGTGTTGTATTAAGAGACCTATCTTCAAGTTCAAGACATTATTTTTGTTTACAGCATTGTAGTAACAGTATCATTACTGGCTCAAGAGTTAGGTTGCTACAAAATGTCACTGGATTGTAAGGATAAGTTGATCAAGTTCTATGAAACACTTGGTTATAAAATGGAGCCTGGGAACTCTAATTCTATGAACATGAGGTTTGTATCCATCACTCTTGTTTGTTATTAGCAAATGATTCTGATTAAAAAAAACAATAATATCACTATTATAATACACTAGTTAATCCATAAAAAAACAACATAGGAAACTTCTATGAAGTCAGTTTAGTAATTTAGTTAACGAAATATTTGCCTTATTGGATTAAAATCATGCTACTGTAAGTTTTTGTAGTTTGCCGGCTTTTGAGATGAAAAGTAGTTATTAGCAAACTAAAAGAATAAACACATATTTCACATAGATTTTGTTAACGGGAGTCTGTTGCATTGGTATTGTAATGACATTAATTTGTTCATTTTTGGTAGGTTTGACGACCCATCCTGACAATTAGCCGCTGGGGCATCCGACCTGCGTTCTAAACTGTAAGTATACATAGCAGCCGAGCAGTCCTCACAATGCTACATCAGCTTGCATCACCGATTCACCTCATAACATGAAATTAGTATTATATTGAACTAACATTTTAAAAAATTCTTCATGTTACGCATACATATTAAATTATATAATATCATCTATATAATATGTTTGGTAAAATCTCTTAGATTATGCTATTGAACAGTTATCGGTGACCTACGTTGTGTATTCTGCTTTGTTGTTAATGTTATAGTTTTGCAGGGTCAATTTTCCTATCCATCGGATGCTGTATCTCACAATTTTCCATCTACATTGTAATTTTACTATTACAGTAGCTACTATTATTTTAATATGTGCTACAGTATCCGATGGGGTGTTCAATTGATTTCAGGGTGTCTTAGCACATAATTTTTACTTAGTTAAGAACGCTCATACGGAAGACTTGCAATATCTATTAAATATTACATACCTATTTTTTAGACTAGAATGTTTGTTGTTAATCGTGCAGTAAAATATTCATAAAAATATCACTTAAATTATTGATTTTTATGCTAAAAGAGTATTTAAAAAAAAAATTGTTGGGGTTCAAACTAAACGAAGTAATTTATTTATCAATTTCTATGCAAAGTATTCTGTATTCCTTTTGATTTGAAAATAATATTGTAGAAGATGCAAGATTTCGGTATGAACGTATATGGAGAGGTTATATTTTCATTGTTACTAAACTAACTAATGTAGATTATTAATTATTGCAAATTGAATTATGTATAATTATAATATATATTTAAACATATAATTTTGCGTTTTTGTTCAATGTACTTAGTATTATTGAGTTTATTCTAACAATTTGATTAACGTTATGTAGTTCATCCTTTGGTGCATTAAATTTTTGTTTTGCTTTATTATTTTGTTTCATTTTACTCATTACAAATTCATTATGGCCCGCGAGCCAGCGAAAGGTCTACAATAAGGTGAGCATTTTCTTTCCGGTTAAAATAAATTTCATTAATAAGAACAAAAATTTACAATGAAGTTACAGCGCAGAGAGTGTTTTTATCAAAAAGTCCTTCCTTACCTACATAATACAACTATCGTTACCAGTTTAAAATTTTTTGGGTGAGGAAAAGATTTATGAAACTAGGCTCTGGCTCGCGGTCTATTACGTCTCATAACAACATATAGCAACGAGATAAAGTGTAATAAAAATAGAAATAAGTATATATAATTTTATTTACAGAACTGTAGGTAGGTAGTAGATAGATCAAGAATGTTTTTTTCCATTGATTTATATACAGTATCAATCATATTTATTATAATCGTATCGTAAAACTTACATCGCACGTTTATAAAAACGCCAATATTTTTCACGTAACAAATAGTGCTTTAGAAATTATAATTAATATGCCATATACAACATATGAATTTTAAGAGAGCGAAATGTAAATTTTACGTAATCCAGTCACAATCTTAACAATTTGAAGTTGCATATTCTACTAAAAATATTGAGAACTTAAACAATAGTAGTGTGTGAGTGAAATTCGTTACTTTGGCTATATAGTAACGATACAACACAGATAATAATTCTTTGATTCTGTTAAATTAATCTTGTTTATTTCGCAAGGTTAAAATGATAATATATATTTTATCAATTGATTCGGTAGGTATTCACTTAATGATTTCTAACTATCGGTAGTAAGTAGATGCATGGTACACACCTTATATCTACTTATTATCTTATATTAGTATCAATAATAAATTCGTCACTATAAAGAGTACGTAAGTATGACAAACAAATATTAAAAAAAAATAGTGTCCAATGCTTCCTATAACACTTGTCATATTTGCATAATTTCTTATTATTTTGTTTCATCGCTGTGTTATAAATAGCAACATTGTTCACGTTATATAAAATTATGACATAAAACTTGAATTCATATCAATTTAATTTTGCTAAAGAATACTTGAATGGTTGAAGTATTTTATTTCATATGTTATGCAATTACATTCAGTGAAGGATGATGATTGTCAGATAATAATCAATAATAAATAAGGAATATATTGTATTCTTTTTATTTTGGCTGTAGTAGATCATAACTATTTTAGCTTTTTACACATATTCTACTTGGTACTCGTATAAATAAATCTTACAAACATATAAAAGGTATGATGGTACAAATGGTTGATATTAGTGGCGGTTAGAGTTGATCATAACTCAATAACATAACAGTATTATAAATAAAGAGCAAGAGAAATAGACAAAATTGTAGCAGCAGGTAACAGACAATAATTATTTGGTTTTCTGTATTACTTTAAATTTAATTATAATATTTACTATACAGAAAAAATAAAAGTCATACATTCATCATCTCATTTGTAATATTGTATCGAATGAAAATTTAAATCGTACTTGAATAATAATTTTATGTTGTTGGTAATAAAATATTGATGAGCAAATATCAAAATGGGTTTATTTATAGAGTTCTGAATCGATTTTTTAAATTAATTATACCCCGTCCGCCATATAATGATACTGGTGACAGCTGTAAATAATTAAAAAGTTTATAATTTACGAGGATTATTACACTATACTTGACAGAACTATTGAATGTACTAAAATATTACATAAAAAATCGGATTTCATAACTGTCACTATCTTGTTTTCCACACAATTGCTTTGAGTAATACATATTGATTATATACTGATATATAAATAATATATATAGTATATGAATAATCTATTTTCATCATTTTATATTTCTGAAATTTTAAGTTCTATTTAAAATGTAAAACATATACTTTGTAAAAATCATAGACTGTCTCAGTCTGGTGGTTTGAATATTATAATACATATAATGCATGTACAATGGATATAAAAGACTTCCTATTCCACTATACCTGGTATTCAGTTCCCGATGCTTGAAAATGCACCATAAAGTATGTGCAGTTACAATAATAATTTTAATATGTACACATTAAGACTTGTTTATACAGATGTGATTTTATATTGAGAGAGCTTCATATAATGCATTTTCAAGTAGCGGTTCTGGAATGTACGTAACAACATTCATAGAAGCACTTACATTTAAATTGACACCCTCATATCCTCCGATTGCACACAATCCCATCCTCACAAGCAGATAAAGCAAAATAAATATATAAATTTACTTTGAATATGTGTTATATGTAGCAGTTAGAGGAAATCTGTCAATAACTTAGTCTAATACAAATATGACTCACATATGAGATTTATATCAGGGACTATTTACCTAATATAAAATGTTGGCAGTCACATTTTTTCTATGAAGTTTAAATCTGGTAAAATCGCTGAATAAGGTTAATAAATGAATTTATTCAAATTGTCTACGACTGTTCATCATAGTGTAGACAATATATTTTTACTGATTACTCTGTGATTGTTCTCACTCACCTTATCATTGCCTTACTGAAAGATCATAATTACATTAAAGCGGGAATATTTCTAGATATAAGTACAAACTGATTTGCCTTAGTGGCATCTAATCTCACTTGAGCTTTCTATTTGACTTGATTTATAATATATCTTGATTTATAATAATAGATATCTTATGTAACTTGTTCCCTAATATTCAATACAATTTATAATAATTACGAAAAAAGGTAAGTCAATTATCAAATTAATGTTGATATAACTATCATAGATATGGGAACAGTGATTGCCGTTTAAATTACAATAATACATTTTATATTTATCTAAAATTAAATTACATAGAAAACAAATTATTGCCTAAAAATTCTTTTTAATTAGTCTGAGATAAAAGTATAATTATTGGGATTTACGATTGTGATGAGTATTAGCAATGCAATGTAAAATCAGCTATGGTAATAAGTTGTTTGTTTTCATGGCATACAACAGTGGGTTATAAAATGTAACAAATATAAAACATATTCTAGATCAATTATTATAAAATGATTATACACCTGTATATATCTGTATAGAGTATACAGATGTTTATTATCAAGTCTACCAATGTCTTTTCTAAACAGAAAAGTCAACATAATTATATTGAGTCAAATATCATAATTATAAAAATACATGGATAAAATAAAATAATATAGTCCTAGTGTAAAACTATTTCAAATTATCATTTGGAATAAACAGTAGCCCGGATTTCTGAACATACATGCATTATTCAAAGATCTCATAAGCACTATGGAACACTTTGCAGTGAGGCGAGCGAAACGCGCTCCCGGCTTAACGTATACGAACTCCCGGGTGGGAATTTTATAATTAGAGGTCACAAGGCCGGTAACATGAATTACTTCTTACTTATCACTTCCTAGTACACACTTTGCCAAAGTTACAGAATGTATTTTTTCGTACGGGAAATTCAAACAAATTTGTAGACCACCTGATGAGAAGTGGAAACAGTCATAAGTAAACAGCGTGAATAATATATATATGATGTACGTTCATAGTACGTAAGTGAGTTAGCATACGTCTTCTTATAGAAACGCAATTTATGTATTGCTTCAAAACAGACAGATAAGACGGTGGCACCTATATAAGTAAGAATATACTAAAATATCAGGTATGTTACACAATATGGAGACTAACCTATCTCGCCTTTATCTATTGTCTATGGGCAGGCCCTAGAAGGCGGCTATGGGCTAACGTAATAACGTTGCATGCTATTTGTTCATGACGCTGTTTATATTTGTTCACAACATGGAAATCACAATATAAGGTAGCAGTTACCAGTTTACATCAGGTAAATCATAAACTTATTTGTCATCCCTATAGTAAACAAAAGTTCATAGATAAGTCTTACAAACGAGGACATATTCGAAAAATTAACAAAGTGTGCACTGTTTAAGAAGGCAATTAAACAACAGTGATATGATGCACAAAATTGTAACATTTAAGAATATTGTAGTCTCGCAACATTAATTTGTCAACAAGAACAACTTTCGAAATATAGATTGTTTGTACGTATGATTAGTAAAAATCACGGGATGTTTTCAGTTTGTCAAAATGAATATCGAAATCGTTAACGAACGAATGTTTACCCATAAAAGATTGTATTTACCAGCTCAGTTCACCTGTGATCAATGGCGGTTGAAACACTATGAAATATCGGAACTCGACAAAAATAAAACGTGATAAGATCCCGTGATTTTTACTAATTGTACGTATAAATAATGACCGCGTCAAATTTAAAACAGTATATGTAGATAATAATGAAATTGGTTTTAAAAATTGACAGATAATGATTCAGCAGACAGGATCTCACGAGACTTTGCTATGATAGCCCTAATTTATTTATCATAACGTATATTCATATTACCGCCCCTAAATTACGAATGCGTCTCGTACATATCAGGAATATATCAATACTGGATTACCCGATCTGTTGGATCGGCGAGGACTAGAAGGGTGGCGCGCCGGATATCTTGGTGCCGAGCTTCATGGGCCCTTGACCACGGGCACTGCGCCTCGCTTCCATTTCTCGTTGCCTTTGTAGCTTTCTTTCTTCGCGCTTTCGACGCATTTCGTCCATTTTTGATGCATTGTTTTCTGTAAAACGTAACAAACTTTAAATAATCTCTATAGAATTTTAAATAGCTTGATTAGGCCCATTAAAGCAGTTTTTATCTTATATATTTCACTAAAACAAAGACGAATTGCCTTTTTATAAATCAAATGTCCTTCGTTTGGTGTCATATTTTATAAAACAAACACCTATTTAAAATACTTAGCTAAAAAAAAAATGTTTTGCAGTAAATAAAGTATTTAATTACCTCACTCGACGACTCGTTTTGCCTAGGGTCGTAATATGGTCGCATCTCTTTCATACACTATATTTCAATGTATCATTTATTAATACACACTTTGTATATGCAGTTAACGTCTATAGGATTTTAATAAAAATAGTAGTAATTATGCAAAAAAATAAATTACCGTCAGCATTTTCCTCAATGGGTTCGAACTCCCCGTCTTCCCAACCGCCTAGCGAATCGTTGCTATTCTGATGTGCGGTGGGCCTGTGTTCGAGGCGGCTGCCCGTATTGCTCGCAGCAGCCGTAGTGCCTCGCACGTATGTTGCATTTGCGTTCATACTAGGTTCGTTCCATTGTGCGTTGTTCCAAGTTTCCGAAGGACTCGCAAGCTCCGCTTCAGCCGTCTGTGATATTACGATTTTATTCTAAAGCTACAATACTAAAAATAGTTGATATGAAATTAGTAACCGTACTATCAGAATTTCTTTTAAATACATTCTTTTAAGGCTAGATAGCCCAAATAAGCTATATAAAATCACATACATGCAATGAAAAATGAGCAGAAACGGCGGAAATGTGACGCAGACGAGTTGCGCGGGTCAACTAGTCCAACTACAAAGTTTTATCAAAACATTTGTAACATAGATCCTTTACTTTATTAATAATAATGTCAAATATCCAAACTATAGAAGAAGGTCGTAAGAAAATCTGATTTTCTTCTGCCCTTAAATCATATCGAATATTTTTTATTGGAAAGTAATTTCCAAAACACTATTAAAGAAAGGCCTGTTCAGCTGCTTTTATCAAAGTAAATACGTTAGTAGCTGACATACCGGCTGCTCCTGCAAAGTGCCCCACTCCTCGTTGTCCCAATCATCCTCGCAGAGCGCCCCCAGCCCTGGCGTCGCTTGAGCACTACCGCTGCTCGGCGGTGACTTTGCGCTCGCTCCCGTACCTATCATTTTAAAGCAGATCTATGTTTAGTCGTCGTCTGCGTGGGTCACCTCACTTAATTCTGCCGTTAAGCAACTCACTTTGTAGGCTATGTTCTTGTTTGAGTGGTGGGATATGGCAGTGCAATTATATAGTGTGGAGGCACAACATCTTAGTCCTAAGGAATAGCTTTTATAGAGCACCACCGGCGTTCACGAGACGAGGGGACTTTCGTGGTGCTGTTCATGTATACATATAGACGACAGTGGCCATTTTATATGAGGCCGTCGGTTTATTTTGCCATTAGCTATTTCAGTTGACGTGCAAAAAGATGAAATTTGTTATATATTTTTACAGATACCCATCATCACAAAGCTGTCGAGATGAAGATAACTAGAAATGAATTGAATGTTATTAAATTTTGTAAATAAAATATAGTATTTTAAAAGTTAATATACTACTACCTACCTATAATTATTATTAAAATTTAGATTGAAGAAATATTCTACCTTGCTGGAATTTTACAGTGTTTTTTATTTTCAATTGATATTGCCCGTTATGAAAATAAAAAAGAAACTAAATAAAATTAATATGTACAATATATAACAGTTTACATTGTTTTATTTATACAATAAGAAAATGCAACATTATTTTGACAGATTCAGCATTCATTACAGCCTTCAGTTTGAATTCATTTCTAATGAAACAGAAGACTTGTCATATATAAATGAATTACTGAAACTGATAAAATTGCAAGTAAATGTAAAATACTGCAGTGAATACACATTGAGAGGAATATCAAGTTTATTCCTATACATTACAAATGAAGTTATATATAGTATATAAGTAATAAAATAGTACAGATGCATACCTGCACTGGAATCAATCTCGCCCCAAGCGGCCATATCCCAGTGTTCCGGATCGTAGTCGGAAGCAGACTCGCTGTGTTCCAGAGACGTCATCGATGTCACCGACGACGTTGTTGTTGACATACTGCTCGATGATGGTTGCTCTGTTTGACCATGTTACATTAAATATAATGTACTAGAAGCGCAAGTTTTAAATATTCTTATGATTTAGCCATGTTAAACATTACACATAATTTATAGCCTATGTTGGAATACTATATCTTATTAATTGTGATTCTAACTCAGTTCTGTTTCCCATAATAATTCTAATTTCGTGTATTTTTCTTTTTAACATCTACATAAAATCTGCCGTCGTTGGGTCAATCCGAATTCTTACTGTTATAAATAGAATGAGATTATACTTGTTTCATCCCTATACGAAAAACAAAAATTAAGAAATTCAATTTTTATAACAGTTGAATAACTATAAAAATATTTTTAATTCCTACAAAAACATTGTTTACAACATATAGAATTCCTTGCTAAAGGGCCGTTCAAGTATTACGTAAGCACTATAGAGGGGGGGGGTCTTTTCTTTGCTTATTTTGGATGACATAGATGATGATTACGTCATCGGTCGTAATTTACTTTTTTACACGAATGGCAACCCTCACATTGTCTTTGCTAAAAAAAACAATACATTAATTGAGAGATGTTTACGTAAGCATGGGTGGAGGGGGTAAGAGCTTTGTTTTTTGCTGACAACGGGGGATGGGGGGTAAATAATTGTGATAAATCTGCTTACGTAATACTTGAACAGCCCCTAAATAGACAAGTAGAAATAGTAGTAATAGAATAGTAGAGTTGCCAACTGAAGGACGGTTGTTTTACCAGGACATGTCCAAGTTTTTATAGTATCCTGGGACATCCTGAATAAATAGCTTTTAAGCAACATCCTATTTGTAAACAGAATTATTCTGCTATTCCAACTTGAAATCCTGGTTTTTTAAATTTGGAGTTTGCTTGCAAGCTAAAAAAGGTAATGTAACTAATATATATGTAATGTAAATATATAAGGACAAAGACCTAGAGAGCCAGGTTTGGATAGCGTGGACTTTGTGGGGTGTTGCACGCGCGTAGTATCTGAGTGTGAGCGGTAGAACTTGGCGGCGACGGCTGTAACCGCCCAGCCCGCCCATGTGGCAGCCGCGTTGCTCAGCGACGGCGTTGCCGAGTGTACGTCCGCCTCTGTACACAATATATACCCTGTGTTCATTTTCTGCGATAGATTTATATACGATCATCATATTTCTTTAAACTGTCTTTTTTCTCCATTTAAGGTTCACTATATTAAGTAATTACAGATTGTGCCTTTAACTACAGCAACTTATTTTTCTACAAGGAAATGGCAAATACTTTAGACTTGTTGCATTCAAGAATTTAAAGTATTTATATATTTAATATAATATGGTTTTTTACAATTATTAGTACTTGTGTGTATGTAATTTACATTTTATTATTAACATATTTTCATATTATGGGGTTTAATAGCAAAATAATCATCAAAATGTCGTTATCTGTCAGCAAAAAGACAAATAAATGTGTAGAATTAGATAATAATAAATAATTATAAATAGTTTTGTCTTTTACAACCACTCCATTGATAACAATAAATTACATATTATTAGAATTTGCAAACAAAGTTACATGCAAAGTAGTAGCAAATTTCCAATATAAAATTAAATTAAATAAACTTACCCATTCCTTCTTTCAGACTAGGATCCTCTGATACTTTCTCTAATTTACCTAGGAAGCCCTTTATCGTTCTAAATGCTGCATCCCTAACCTACAATACGTAATAACAAAAGTCATTGACCTCTTAAAATTACTAATCATTACAATATGTACAATGGGCGAGACAAATTGATAAGAATTAATTTTAAATTGAATGATGACTGCACTTAAGTGGTTTTATTGAACAGATAGGATGATTTAAATTGTACAGATAGTAAATAGTTAAATAGTCTACTTATTACTATAAAAGTTATTGCAATAATATAACAAAAATATATGACTAGTAGACATACTTGTTTTTCTGGGTCGGCAGTAAGCGGACACAAAGCTGGCAAGACTCTGTTAGCGACTTCGGCGAGCAGAAAGTACTGCTGTGTCGCAGCCAGCGCCAAAACTCCCGCTTGCCTCGCGGGTGGAAATGCATCGCGTGTAGCTCGTACAAACGCCGAAACCAGGACTTTTTGTCTTATTTGAGGATGAAGATGAGCCGCGATCTTCCCGAGGCATACTGTTGTGTTTGTTCTAAAACAGCAATTTATTTATGTAACTGAAATGAAAATGACAAGCTGACGGCTTATCAGGATAAACAGTAAACTAGACCTATGTACATGAACAGCACCACAGACATCACTTTGTCATGATACCCGTAATATCAAAATACTAGGCTGAAATAGTCCAAATTATTTATAAGAAAAGTTGTACCTAAATAAATATGTATGCATGGAAATAATAAACTATTAATATTTTCCCCCTTATGAAGAGAGGTCTGTCTATGGTAAAGAGACATTATAGGATTGTTATGGAATGGTATAGTTGATAGTATAATCGAGACGATTTCCAGAGTGATCCATATGGTTAACTCTGGAAATCATCGAGTTTTGTGAATTCGCCATAGCGGAATAACTGACCTGATTTCATACTCATCCCATCATCATACATTGGTGTATGATGATGTGATGCGATGAGGATGAAATACGGTCACTTATTGCCATTTTCACGTCAAATACTAATAACATTTTATAAAAAAAACAATCTCACGTTATAAGGTCTCTCTCAATTTAAACATATTGCACATTTGTAACAAATGTCTATAGATAGACAACATACCTTATTCCACCTTGGTCATCTTTAGACTGAAGCCTGGCAAAGTGTCGCAACACTTCCACATTTAAGTTATTGTAGTTGAGTTTAGAAGCGAGGTGTACAATAGATTTTACTGTTTGTTCTCTGATGACTGCATTTGTATCTAAGAAACCATTCACTACTTGAGGAAATATTTGGTCATTAACCTGAAAATCAATTAAACTCATTCAAGTAAGAATAATCATGTCAGAGGTATAATGGTAAAAAAAATCGCAATTTTTTTATAAATATATATATATTTATGAAATGTATGAGTCAATCAGCGGCCACAGTGCTAAAAAATATAGTATATAGTATATTTTTTTAGCAATAGTATATAGAGTTTTGGTATCTAATCATATACATATAGTAGTCATTATAGTTCCAATTATAATCTGTAAGTAGGATTGCAATTACTAAAAATATACATATTTTATTTTGAAACTTTTTTGTTGTAGAGTTCTAAATCTGATAAGTATTTTGTTACTTACTGTTGCATTCTGCAAATGCAATATGAACTGATCCAGATGTTGTAAAAGACGTGACCTTGTTGTTCTGTCATTTGAAGCAAACAACTTAACAACACATGGCACAATCTGTTTCTGGTAGTCTGCTTCGTCTAGTAATTTTCCTAGCTACAAGTGAACATATTATACATTTATAAGAATAAAAATCAATGCACATGAACTAAATCTTTAGCTATATACTAGCCAAGCTTAGGTTTGAGACAATATTCAAACAGAAACCTTAACATAGAAGAAATCTGTGTAACTTATGGCAATTAACAGCATTTTATAGTTACATCTAGTCTAGTCTAGTAATAAATAAAATGTAGTGTTAGTTGTCCTAATGCAAGGTCTTGGTTTTGATGAAATCTCCTAAGCTGTTTCTTTATAGTATCATCATGATAAATTTCAGATGGAATATCTGAGAAAAAATATGCAATATTTCATATTTCTTATTTGTTTGTTGAGCAAAACAATATTTATATGTCCATATGTATTAATATATTTGTATATTATACCTTAAACATGGGTGCTAGAACAGCAGAGCCAGCATCTCCATAATGAAATGCAGTGAGCAACTGTGGTAAAATCTTGTGAACACACACTGCTTCCGGGAAATTGTCCAGAAATGAGCTTAGGGTCGAAAAGAACTTCCCTTTTTCTATTTTATCTTTAATTTGTATCTCTTCTAAGAACAGCATTGTATCTATCAGATCATTCTTAAAGTAACCGCCTAATTTACGACACCTGTAATGAGATGTTTACTTCATATACGATATATCTATACCTTATTATACTATACCTATATTACGCCTACCCAAAATAAATGTGATAAGGAAAGAGCAGATGATGATACATATACCTTATACTTATGCAATTTATCACATAACGAAAACAAAATCTAAATAAATAGGTTGCAATATTAGTTCAGAACCCCTGTATGTAACTTTAACAGATTCATTAACACTTATCTTTAAAAAAGTAGTAGTAGAGTATAGATGAATTTCAGTTTTCTAAAAGTACATGTTAATTGGAATAAATAATATTATAATGATATTAATAATTACCTTGTAATAATATCAGCAGGGTTGGGTCTTGATGCAGGATTTGCGCTAACTAGTTCACAATATAAAGTGCAGAGCTGCTTTGGTATATGGTCAGTTGTCTTTAGCGATGGCTGATTTCTCAAAGGGCCATCAAAAGCTTCCCAAATCAAACAACCTAAACCCCACATATCTGATGAACTGTTAACATTACAATGAAGAAATTAAATATATTCTATTGAATAAGGTGCTATTTTTTAAAAGTTCATTACATTACTTAATTATAATAGTAGTCAAATTAAACAAAATAATACTGATTCATTAAATGAAAAAATTAAGTGTTATATAAATATGTTCATACACAACATACAATTTTTAAGAGTAATTAGTGTACCACTGGTGGCCATAGGCATCCCTTGTCACGCCTCCTAAACTCTCTATCTTGATTAGGTGATAAAGTTTTAAATATAGTATTACACTTGCATCTGCTATTTAACTGTAACATTTTTATTTTGTCTAAAAGATGCAAAAATGGTAATCCTGTATGTATTGTAAAACAATATCTGATAGTCCCCTTATAGCTTTTGTTGAAATTTGTCAGAGATAAGGCAGTGCCAATGAATAAAGGTATGAGGTATATGTAGGTATCGATTTTCATATTAAAACCATTAAATTTATAATATACTTATTGTATTTAGATATGTTGCATGGGTAAATTCAGGTAAAAGTATCTAATAACTTATTATATTCTATCATCATATGTGGTTGGAGCCAACTTATAAACAAAATCTCCTTTGGAAAGTTTACACTCTATCCTGAGGAGATAAAAACCATTGCTCCTAAGAATGTCTTTCAATTTTTGTCCCTGACTGGTCTAGGTAATGAACTCTGAAAAAGGGTGAGCACAATAGATCTATGTAGGTTGCAGTGTAGCACTGCTAGTGTAGGCCCAGCACTAGACAATGGCCCAAATATAATAAAAATTTAGGTAGACGACTTGTCAGCACAGTTACCTCAGTCTCCTTCAGTAGCAGCTTTATTGGTATCCTTTGTTTGTTGTAACTTCAGTTAAAGGGAGAGATGAGGTCAGTGAAATTACATCTTAATCCTACAGAATGTTAATGCATGAGAGGTATCATGGGCATCAGTTGATAATGTGATGTGTCTAGTGCTATTTGTATATATAGGTGATTCTAATTACATAAAAAAATAGTACTAGTACCATATTACAAATTTTATTGGCATTCACACTGAAGCAGACATACATTTACTCACCCTTTTAAACTGTTAGCCATTATATTAATAGTAATAATATATTCATTTTTCTCCACAAAAACATATACATAATATATAGTGAAATAGAGCTTTGAGGCATGTAAAATTCCATGTTAAAATACAGATTTGTGGAGAACTGGTGCCTACTACTAGGTATCTGAAGAACTTATGTCATGGATCATCAAGTCCCCCCACTAGATCTTATGTGATAAAATAATAGTAGTATGTGCAGTAGTATTTACCATTTTGTAATAGCTTTCAATTTGGCAGGATCTTTCTTCTCTGGTGGATCATAGATTTCCAATGAGGGCAATATTTTGATAGGTATAGGATTAGTTGTTTCTTGTCCATGAGAGGTTAAGAACTCAAAACCACCTAGTTTCCACTCACCAGCCATTGTTACAAATACAGAATATAAACAGACATTATTATGTCTCATGTTACCATCATTATTTAAAAATGACAATGCCCTCTGTAACAGTAAATAAAGAAAAAATTTAACAGATGACACATACTGCAAGTATTTTGTTTAAACAAAAATATATATTGATAAAGAATATTATATTTAAATGATAACTAATAATACTAATTCAAATTAAGATAATTTATTGATTATAATATAAAATGGACAAGATTTTTTATCAACATCTGTGGGTAGTTTGTATACATTAATTAATATAGATTGTACAATATATAAACAATCTGAACTTGCATTATTTATTATTAGTTATTTGGTCCCTCAAAATTACTAATTTTAAATTAATAGTGTTGATTAAATAAGCATATAATTAATCAATATGAGTAATGAAAACAAAAAATTAAAGTATTAAGTTATGGATTATAATATAGTTAGAAGAATGATTCACACTTACAGTAATTTGGAATATACCCCATGAAAGAAATAATTCCTTTTGTTGGCCCTCAAGTTTCATATTCTCTATGTGATTAGCTAATGGCTCCACATATTCAGTAGCTACATACAAAAATTTCTCGGTTTCACAACTATCTAAATAATGTAAAAGGCTAGGGTGTCTCATAGTCTTTAATCTCTTTATGGAGGCCTTTGCAATATCGAATAGAGTCTCAGAATTCTTCTGAACATCAAATAGAAATATTGACACTTCATCTTGAGTGCCCCTTTTCTTGCCTTTGTGTAAAGACCACACAGTTCGATCTTCTAAACCCCGTACTGGATCTCCCACCTCGTATGGGAAGTCTTTTGTAGGATCTCGTGAGAAAAACGACCACATTATGGCACAACTTTCAAGAAGCAACTGGTTAAAATAACTTGGTATTTTTAATGCAACTACCAACGTTTGATATATTATACAATAACATAATGTAAGAAACGACAGGTACTTAATGTGAATTAATTACTAATTTAAATAATGAAAGACGTATTTACACTTTATGTATGATATTAATTATTTTATTTTTTATTCAGAAAAATGAATTGATAAATATGACAAATGTCAATTTGGAGGTAGGATGACATTGACACGTAATATAATGATACAAGCAAAAAAACGCTGCAAAAAATGTCAAAACACAGATATCAACTCACAAATGAAATGACAACTTATTGACATATTATGCTAGATCTGTGTTTTAATCTGTTTTGTATTTTTTTTTAAATATTTTATATATTTCTTTAGTATCAAAAAAATAGGTTATGTAAATATTACATATATAGTTGCATTAAAATTGATATTAGTAAATAAAATTTGAGTCACACTTATATATTTCTTCATGCTGGATATTAATATCGCTTAACAAAATGTCTAAATCAGTATCTAGACTGAAATCAATGAAGAAAGTAGCTGATAAAATTGATCATTCTTCAAAGTTGAGGACCAATATTCCAGCTGGTATGGCAGCTGCTGGTCCGCCTTTGGGCCCTATGCTTGGACAAGTATGTTTCTCCAACAATTATAATAGTTTTGATTGGACATCTATTTACTGGATCTGAGTAAATACTACATTAATTCAGATATAACCTATTACAATTACGACTTGCAATACAAATCAACTTCTGTTTTTGTGATTGTATTTCTAATGTGTTTATTTTTACAGCGTAATATTAACATAGCAGCATTTTGTAAAGATTTTAATGAACGGACAGCAAGTATAAAGCAAGGGATACCTTTACCAACAAGAGTAAAAATGAACTCTGACCGTTCATATCAACTTGTTATTCATCAACCACCTGCATCATACTTTTTAATGCAAGCTGCAGGAATGAACCGTGGTGCTATGGAACCTGGTTAGTAAACTATTTTTTAAATGTTGCTACATATCAACAACAATACACTCTTCAGAAAATAGAATATAACAAGAGTACATTTTTTGTAGTACCTTTTCTCTTTATAAAATCAGCATCCTTGTTCCAACTTGTTACAGCCACCACAATGGTATAGTAAAATATAACAAGTTAAGCTCAATTCATATTCATTCATTCAGGATTTATTAGTTACCCAGCAGAATAGGCAGTATTATCATACCATGATTCAATTGGTAAATTCATTCATTGTGGATTTATCCACATGTTTCTTATATTTTAAAATAAATTATGTATTATATTTTAAAAGTCATTTATGACTTTTACCTGTATCAAAATCAGTTGTGTGTTTAAAATATAAGAAACATGTGGACAGCCAATTTTGTTTTAAAAGTAGTGGCCCTGTGCCTATATGTATTTAGATTTATATAAACATACAAATGTTCTCAATTATAATTCAGCTCACTTAAGTTTGCTTATCTCAGCAAACTTTGATTTAGCTTTAGCTTGAATTATACTTTGAGATTCTGCATTGAGAGTCCACATTCATGTAGCAGAATATAGTAAATTAATAATGGGGCAGTAGTACAATATTTTATATATATCTTAAGTCCCAGTGCTAACTCACTATTATGTTACTAGTGGTGTGGTGATACACAATACTCTACAGCCCTATTGCTAAGCAAGGTTGTTAGGTTCATTCACACCATCTCTTATAAATGTGTCATGTTTAATAACTGATGAAGAAATGATACAATCTTCATCATGCCTAAGGGCACAGGCTGCTTTATCATAAAAAATCCTACATATTATAAATATGATTTGTACCTATACCATATGATAATACTGCAGTGTGTTTCTATATATTTACAGTTAAAGAAACATCTGGAAAAATAACACTCAAACATCTGTATGAAATAGCTAAAATCAAATCTCAGGACCCAACACTCGAATGGAGACCACTAAAGGAAATCTGCACAATGTTGGTGGCCACAGCTAGGACTTGTGGTATTGAAATTGTAAAGGAGTTAGATGCAAAGGTAATATATTATATATCATTATTAAATATAATTTAGTACTGTATTTTTTTGTTAAATATAATAAAATTTGACATTTGTCTTTTTATTTCAGGAATATGGAGAATTCCTTGAAGAAAGAAAGAAGGTAATAGAAGAACAGAAAAAAATGCTTCAAGAAAAACGAGAGGCCAAAATGTTACGAACTGCTTAGATTAGTAAAATATTGTTGTTGTAGATAATTAGTATAAAATATATATCATAAGAACTGGAGCTCACCGACAGAATGGCGCAGCAGGCGACAAATTAATATGGAGTGCTTAGTAACTTTCTTAAATGCTGTCAAATTTGAAATCCAAATGGCAGTATAACCATTGTCATATGTAAATACCTTACAAGGTTTTATGTGGTGGAATTAAGCTATTTAAGTTTTATATAATAAAAAAGGAACAATAATTCGTAGAAGCCTCCACTGCAGCACTCAATTAGCTTCACCTGTGTCCATGCTTCTATGTTTTGTCGACGAGCGACAGCTTTGTTTATACGAATGTGATTTATTGTTATACATATTAGAACTACATTGCAAAAAAGATGATATGACAAAAAAGAGTCAATAAAGAGAAGTCTGAGAAGACAGATCAACGGAAGAGAAAAATATTACGCGGACCCCAAATCATATGACATAAGAATTAGAACTCTAATAAAACCAAGGTATAGGTGGCATAGATAAAATAAAAATTTACATTCAGAAAATATAGATTTATTCTTATACAATGATATGATACGTACCTATCTTATATTTTAATATGTGTGGACAAAGATAACAAGTTTTAATGTCATTTTTAACTTGTGCATACACATCCATTAAATAATAAAAAGTAGGGAAGAATTTTTTAAATAATAACATAAGTACATCTAATTATTTTAGCATCTTGTAAATATATTCTATGTCAAAATGAGACTGGCATTTGTACTAGAAGGTACATTTATTTTTAGCACATGCAGCTGCTAATTAAGTTACATATTTTTTTACATAGCTTTCTGGGTAATATGCTATGAATCTTTAGGATGATGAATTGTTATTTACAAACAGTCTAAATTTACTTATTCTGGGACTAAGACAACAAAATCCTTACGACCTAACAATCATTCAAAACCAATATGAATGTCCAATCGCGTTTGCATTTTTACTACGATATTAGCAAGAAACGAAAATATTTATTTAAAGAGCACCTATCTTATGGCTACAAATTCCACTATTTCTACTAAGTAACAAAAATAAAAATTGAAACAACCACTAATAAATATCACATATGACAGTCTTGACATTATAAACCTTAATAGGATACAACCAATATAATAATATAGAAATATAGTGTAGAATCTCTCTATGTACTCTAATTTTATCACTGCAAGTATAAAGATGAGTGGTGCCTATAATGTACATCCACGATAAAATCAGGAGAGTTACAAAGTTTCAGGCCGCTGACATCATAGTTTTTCGTCCGCCTACGCCTCCAATGTTTTGGAAAACACATTTTATTTCAATTAATTAAAAATTTTGCGATCTACAATGATTCGTACTGTACGCGTCATTGATATGACGGTTACCGTGTTGCACCCATCCCGATACATTTTATGAACTATGAGAACGAAACAAGTAAATATGTGAAAAAACATAATATCTGAAGCAACAATTAAAAACAAAACGCACACTAATTTAGTTATCCTTCTCCTGGGTCAGAGGTCGTCATTATAATATAAGATTATGTATTTTAATACTTTTTTTCATGATCAGAATGAAATATTCAAATATTAATACAGTTGCAGTAGAAAAAGTATGTCTGTCCAAAATAATATTCACCAAAAGTATTTATGGAATAAAATAAAATCATCAATCATCAAATAAAATCATCAAAATGTTAACAATATCAATTTTGAAATAAAAAATATATAATATCTGTACGGAGACGACCATAATCTTTGAATTAGTACTAATAATGAAATAAACAAGAATAATTACAGACTATTTAGTGTTTTACGAGACACTAGTATTTATCTTATAAATAAAAAAATAATAGAATTTGGATTGACATAAATTTTCCTTCAACAAATTATATGCATACGGGGATTACATATGTGTATATTTCTACTGAATCTTTTAGTTGCTCAGAGTATTAAATAAAAACATTTAAATAGATTGTTTAGAATATTTGCAAAATTTTTGAAAGGAAAACATTAATTCCGTTACGAGCGGATTGTTGTTTTCATACATAGATACTTTTTAATATAATCTAGATAAAAGTATCGCTTGCGGTAATGAAATTTATAATCTCAATATAAATAAGAAAATTAAGTAAACAAATTTTTTTATCAACTCTCCAGAGATTCGTCATAATAGAAATACTTTAAAATATGGAAGAAACTTCAGGCTTTTTTGCGATTTAAAATATGTACATTTTAAATTGACAACATTACAAATTGCATATAAAAATATAATGCTTCAAGCCATCAACTATATTTACTAATGCAAGTGCTGTTGGGATTAGAATATTCTTCATAAAAATGACAACTATATATTTTTATTGTTATAAATATTGTTACCTAATCTAAAAATAAAAATGTTATCAAAAATAATCAAGGTACATATAGCTACATATTCAGTAATCTAAACTTCATATATAGTACAAAATAATATGTCTAGATATAGAGAAAAGTTGTATCAAAAGTAAATATTTGGCCAATATTTAAACATAATGAAGCTAATTCTAGAAGGTTACTATACCATGGAATTACATTAATGGTAACGTAAATTATTAACACGTACTTTCTAGTACTGATCAAATAGTAGATTTCTTTTATTCTCACACTTATTACGTGAGAATTAAATTAAAATAATATAAATCTTTTATTTGCAAATATAACCTATTACATACTGCAAATACTGACAGATCTAAAATTTATTATTGCTAGCTTGTTACCTGCAATCTATGACGTGACGGTATCTTTAACACAACAAATAATTAGGAATACATCCATGGTTTTTAACAAAAAGTAACGTTATATTAAACGGCAGATAAAGATACAAACTGTATCGGTCATCTCAAAACACATTACATTATTTGTTCAATGGTCAGATTAATAAAATAAATGACAAAATAAACAAAATAATTAGGTTCATTTTCCAAATTACTAAATTAACTATTAGAAGCACATTACAGACAAAGATGGAGCCCCTGCTGATCTTGTCTTGGTCACAAAATTTAAAACAGTACCAGTTTTATACAATTGTTATACAAGGTTACTGTTACTCCCTTTTAATAACTCTTTCAATAATTCGTATAACAATTGTATATTGTGTAATTAAAGCTAACTATGTACCAGATAGACATTTCGGCACATTAGTTAACGTTTCTACAATATTAGCCTATCTAAAAATCGTCGGTCCATTAAGTGAGTTATATAAACAATCTACGTATTACATACAAAACTAATAAGTGAAAAAGCGAGTGTACCTTTCCGTTCAAATTATATAGCAAATTAACATCTGTACAGTGAACTCTGAAACCTTTTAGTTTAATTAGCCGTATCTCCTATTGAATCAATAAACATAATTTCGGTAAATAGATATCAACAATGAGTAGATGTGCGTGCACAACGTTTCAATTTAGGAGAATTATGTAAGACTTCTGGCAATTTAGTCACTTTGTCAATGGTGAAATCTGGTAAATCCGAAGACTCCTCGTCTTTTTGCAACGGTATCCAAATTGTACCGCCTAACTCCGCTTCTTTGCCACCCTGGAATAGTAATTTTTTTAATAATCAAATTTATGGTACTCTGCCTTAAAGATTTATTCTTTGTGTAACTATTATAAAATAAGTTAGGACCTTAGGACCATTGAGAACTGAAAGCACACTAGGGACTGTCTTTTTGAGTAGATTTTAGTTTTGAGCCAAAACAGGTAACAAGCTTGAGACTGCAAGCTGTCATTATTGTGCTTACTAAAGATATAAGTGCATATTCTTTGTCGAGAAAAAATTCAGTGTTAAAGTAAAGGGGTTAGATACCTTTATATCCGTTTCCAGTTTGTCACCAACCATGATGCAAGTACGAGGCTCGACATTCAGTAATTTGCAAGCTTCAAGAAAGATCTCTTGATCGGGCTTCTCCCAAGGCAGATCGCCGGACACCAAGACGCAGTCAAAGTACTTGCGCAGGTCCAGCCGTTCAATCTTCTGCCACTGGGCACGCGAGGGCCCGTTCGTGATCAGACCAAGAAGATAATCCTCCCTGTACCACATTCATCGACCAGCTTTTTGTTATTACCTGTTACACACTATGCTGAATCTCAGCACATGATATAATTTGAGGCAAAATGTTCTTGCACATTAGAGATATTTAATTCTGCAAGCTTTTGGTATTTATAACATGAATGTTTGTGATTGTGAAAGAATGGAAATTATTGCATGAATTTTATTACATTATAGTTGTATTATCGAGATCTAAATCCTGTTAGTCAAACGATAATAAACATCAAAATATATCAGTAGCATGTATCTAAATTTATGCATTGTGCAAGAGCATTTCTAGCCCATTATTGTATAATTTCATATACAATTTATAAGATATAAATTATATATAATTTGGTAGACACCATGAAGATATATCAATTTTATGATCTTTTCTGATGCCTAATGTTTATGATAACAATTGTTATATTAAATTTATTACTAATGATCTATATTCATGGCTATAGGTAATGAAATTTTTGAGGTAATGTAATTACCTTCGCCGTGATGTACTCCCTCACAAATTTTACAAATACAATTCAAACCTAAGTGTTGCGCACGCGGCGCCCCGAGTTTAGTCACTCGTTGCGCAACAACTGAACTGTTGAAAAACAAGTATTTTATTAGCAACATGCGTGTAAAGTCAGCCCAATTCGATTGCAAAGGCATTAAACATTAAATAATTGAGTTCAAAATTATATATAATAAACTTGATCTAAAAATGTTTTCAAATATTTCTCGTAACACCGTGGTATCCTATAACATTTTGAAAAATGCGTACTAAAACATTTCTAGTAATGCATCCTGTGGGTTACCTTCACGCGGTGCTTCTGTAAGCCATTGTGGATAATTCTTGTCGAATTGGTTAAGGTGAACAGTAATCTTATTTTTTTTTTTGCGATGTATTAACTGATTTTTCTTTGCATTGCATGCCCGCTATTGTAGGCCAGGGCATTTTGTCGTCATCTTCCATAAAATAATTTAATATTACTGCGTATTCGTATGACGTTTTATACATAATTGTTGTGCGTGCAAAATTGTTGCGTTGTTACTGAAAAATCATGTGAGACTAGTTTAGTCGCGAGAAACTTCTAAAAACATTGTAGTAGGTTGTATTAAATAACATTAAAATGCCTTTACAACATTTTGGAGCCAACTTTATCATGATAGACTCGAAAATCGGTGTCTAACTGATGTTCCCATAGTATTATGTGGCATGCATGCTTCTTAAGAGAATATAAAAATAAAAGAATGAATACTATTCGAGAAATCATAATTATTATGCAAAACAAATACACTAATGACTGTATGGAGGTGAATGTTTTTTAGAATCATATATGATATATGTAAACGAGTAAAATTCTGTGTAGGTCCACATAACACCATGCAAATGTAGCAGACAAAAATGGTCTTATTTAATAAATTTCTCTTTTAGTGAAATAATATTCAATATAATAATTAATTTTCATGTATTGTTAATAAAACAGAACCATTTTATACTGCTGCATATATACCACGATATTTAATTAAGTAATTTCTTTGCTACGATGGTAATAGTTCTTTAGTAGTAAGTACTTTCTGTCAATAATATTATATATACTTAGAAGAATTTGATAAAATAAATGTTAGTCAGTTTGGTTTGTTACAATAACATAGAAATTACTTAATTACATTATACAAATACATTTATTTATGTATATCATGAAGAAATATCAAGTTTGTTAAACGTATGAAGTAATATTGCGTGTCTTAAATATTTCTGCATAACATAATATAAAATGAAACTGGATGTTTTTAAACGTACCGCAATGATTCCAACAGGTGTATGACGTCATTTGTTAAAGCTAAATATTGAAATCTATACTTCAACCATTCGGCTGACAGATTTTCTGAAACAATAGCAAATTTATATATAATTATTCCATAATCAACTAATCTCGTGAGATAAATTTGGTGGAAGCTAATGTTAAAGCGATGAGCTTCAGTTATGGAATGCGTTTGGGCATGTCTATTCTAGAATAGGAAACGTTGTCTGGTCGCATACAATGCAGGTTCTGGGAAGAAGATACATTTTGGCGACACAGATTCTACTAAGTAACTAAATATTCGTATGGCAGAGGCTGTGGAGGTAGTGGCTTGTGTGTGTCCGAGAGGAAATGCCTCAAGAGCGTTTAAACTCCAGAGCATTAGAATCTAACTAATGGAACAAAAAAAAGTTGGAAATATCGTCTCGGTCGTCTAGCGGGTAAGCCTACCGCCTTACCTCCCGTGGTTCAATTAATCACACGGTACAAACATTTATTTTCATGACAGTAATTGTTTGTATAGGCCTGGGTGTTTTTGATGTATATTATGTAAATATTAAAAAAATGTATCGATGAACTTATATCTATTGTACCCGTAACGCGAGCTCTGCTTAGCTTAGGATTAGATGGCGCTGTGTTGTCCTGATATTATTATTATAATAAGCAATAGTCCTAGTCTCCATAGTCGCATAAGCTGTTGCTGTGTGAGAATACCGATAGAGTATTTGATATATAAAATCTCAAAAAACAATAAGTGACAATTATTTGTGCACTTCATTGGTTAATAAAAATATGTGTAGTATTTGTCACTTTATATTTGCGAAAACGAGTAGGTAACCGAAAAATCAGTCTAAAATTATATCGTGCGATGACAAATGTAGAGTATTTTAAATCATCTTGGAAGGTTATTATTGTAATGTTGGCGTCATCCAACCTTAAAACCTATAGCGTCTATGTCACAACAAAATGTTATGCGGTAGCTACTTTACAACTTCTCCAGACAGCTGTTACACCCACGGGGTGCTAGAAAATATTATACTCAGCATATTGTATCATGCAACGCGTGAAACAGTTTTATTTATCTTCACACCAGGCCCTTACAGGGTATGCAAATTTAAGGATAAGGAGACAGAGTGCTATGTTATTTTCTACAAAAAAATATCAATTGTTATTATTGGTACTAGTTTATTAATTGATGGTTGATATGGAATGACACAGTCTTAGATAGTACAATCGAGAATACTCTCAGCTTACTCCAATCCAAAATCTTTCTGCTGAAGTTAAAATAATAAAAGAACAAATTCTACAAATAAATGTAAAGTGGATCAGCGGCTTTGGCAGAAAGTAGTTAAAAATTAGGTTACTATATATTTGTAGGAAACACATTTATGAAGACACGATGCGTTGCGTATCGCGATGTGTAATCTAAGATCCAGGTTAGAAGACTGGTGGTTTTAATAGGAGTGTTTTTATACTAGAGGTAGTAAGATTGATTTTTTAAGCTACTTGGCTAAAAATCTATTTAATTTTTAGAGTTCCGAATGAAAAATGAAACAGATTCGTATTGACTTGTTTATTGCCTATAGAGGTTTACGTATTGACGGCAGCATAAAGAAAACAAAAGATTCGAAAAAATATTTTTATTTTATGTGCAAGAGGGAGCGAGGACATTTAAAATCAGTCCTATTTTGTTATGGTTTGAGGTTTGATTTAATAACCAATTTTGATTTAATTAAGAATAATCTATTGTATAATATTGCTATATAGGATCGCTCTGCCATAACCTATCTATATAAATTATCATGTACCTATATTTATAAACTACTTTCACAATGTTTGTATGGAACACATGACGTGCGAGAGTGACTTGCAATATTTCATGATTATGGGTCAGTAGAGGCCAATTTGTTGATTGTCACATACCGCGTAGTTTTGTCTAATAAATGTAATCTAATGTAAGTATGTAGGTATATATATGCCTAAGTCTAGTTTTCAAAATTTAGATGAGCCAACATATACGAGTATATGCACGCGCTTATTTGAATCAATAGATAGAAGTAGTTGCCATAATATATGAGGTCTGTTCTACAACACCGTGTAGTTTGTAGTGCGGTAAAAGACACACATCTCCCCGTCGGCCTCCTGTTTGGCAAAGTCTTGAAAATTTTCCACAACGTAAAAAAGCAAAAGGGATATACTAAATACTTTGCCTATTTGAGAATATACACTTGTAATTTACATGAGATTATTGGGCATATATAACAATTTAAACAAATACTTACTAGCAATATGCCTGTAGTTTTTCGGTAAACTGTTACACCATAAATGTGTCGGCCATTCGTCCAGCGCGAAAGAATCATCATCTGGACGGGCTCGGAATGCTCGTAAAAAACTAGTAGCGCTTTCATCTGCAATATCTTTAGGGAGTCCATATTGTTGCTGTAATATTTCTATAAGCTGTGGACAATTAAAATTATTTCATAAAGTATATATAAATAATAATGTGATGACATGTCAGAATAAAAATGAACAGAATGGTTCATAAATTTCTTGTTTCGGAAAAGTCTCTGCATACTTGCAGGTGCTCGACCGTCTTTTATATTTTTATTAGCTTATTTTATATTTGAATAGATAAAAATAAGGAAGATACTAAACCATTGAATATTCCTGTTTAGTTATTTTTATATGTGGAGATTTTGAAATTATGTTTTTAACTTTTCTTTTGATTTATTAACATTTCCTTTCCCAAAAAACTTCTGGCAAATACAAACTTTTAACCAAATGCACTTAGCCGTTCTCGAGTGATGCACTTACCTACATACATTCATTAGTTGATTTTAAATTCTATAGTTAAATTATTATTACATACTGATATTAAATTCATAATAAAGTCCAAATAGTATTTACTTTTAACCAAAAAGAATGGTTTTTGTTTTTACTGTCGTTAATGTTTAGTATACCTACTGCTTACGGGTGAATTACATGTAAATAAATTTTCACAATAGGTATATGTAAATAAATACGAAGGAGCACAAAAGTACTATACTTTTTTTTTGTATATTTAATTCATTACTTTTAAGTAGTTCTGTGTACATTTCTACAGATATGATTCGGAGATAAGTAAAATTAGGTACGTGCTTGCACTAATATAGGTATTAGTGCAAGCACGTACCTAATTTTCACCAAACCTAACGAATTAGCTAAAGAGATATTTAACATAGTATGAGTAGGTAAGTAATTTTTGTAGTTTTTACTGTAAAAGATTAAATATCTACATTTATAATAAGTAATAGAGCTGTGCCCGCTTTTGTAGTTGAAATTGCTACAATGACGCAACTCTGCGCATTGTGTATAGTGGGATTTCTGTAAACATCTCTATTTCTACGACGTCATAAAATGATAAGGTCATAAATGATCCTATGATATGTCTCGCACGACCAACCAAACCAGTTCAATTCTTTTTGTATATTGAACATAAAGAACAAATTTCGTGCTTACGGTTAAAAGTAGGTACTTACGGTTTCTCTACACGACTTTATTACAGCACCTACAAGATTGTGTATGTAGGTAATGTATATATAGAATGGATAAACAACGACGCACTTACACGCATATATATAATATACTTTACTAGAGATAATTAGATATATCTATCATTAATGTTCTATGCATATATTTCAACATATATACGCAGTATAGTATTTTATTTACATATGGCACTTATACCTTTATTACCAAGCCGCTAGAGAAGATTATTGAAATATAAACTATATACCAGATAACATACAGGCTGAAGTTTCTACATGAGTATTAATTATGAAAGTACAGAAACAAAGTAGAAATACTGATTGAAGTCTGTTCCAATGCTGTGTTGTCTTGAAATTGGTCAAAATTCTTGTGGTAATCAATAGCCAGTAACTGTCTCGATTGACATTATGTGTAGTAAGGAAGTGTTTGTTAGTCCAGGAATAGAAAAGGGTCAACGTTCTCTTTGTATCTACACAACTAGGGTGCACTCACCTGTTCCCTTGGCAAGCTTTGCCTGATGAAAACTGATACTTTATTTATGTATTTTTGTGTACCTAAATTGCAAATGTCACTTATACACATGAATGTACATGACTCAGATTATTCATGACTAGCATCTTTACATAGTATAAAATAAAGTCCCTTCCGATGTCTGCTCGCTTAGATCTCTTAAAGTACACAATGGATTTTAATGCAGTTTTTATCAGTAGATAGTGGGTTCAAGAAGGTTTACCTATATACTACACATATTTACACCCGTGCGAACCTGGGGCTGATAGCTAGTTGAGAATAAATGTATTAATTTAATGCAAGGTCTGTCTCCTAAAAATATCAAAGAATTCTTGGAGAAACATCTAAAAATTCTTTGATATTTTTAGGAGTTTGTAACTAGCTATAAATATTTAAAAGTTTGTGTTATAGATATTCATGTCCAAACTAGGCATGTATAACAATTAGACAAACTATGTAGTTTTTGTTTTTCTGTTCTAGGAATTGAGATAATGAGAAAATCATGTGTCAAGATAAATGTATATTTCAAATGGATCATACATAATGTGTTTTAGTATTTATATATTTTAAATTAACATACATGCATGAAATGTAGGTTAATATAGTCAAAATTAATAATTCAAAATCAATAAGTACCTTGTTTATTCTTAGACTTGCTATTTATACAGGAAACTAATAATATGGTATATCAGGCTTACCACAAATTAGTTAAAAGTGTATATTATACCAAGATACTCAGTCATTGGGACTAGTCTATAAAAAAGATGACAAGTAGATTAATATTGAACATTTCTAATTCATGTTAAGACAATGTACCATACATCATAAAGATAACAAGTATTTATTTTATTAAAAAAAAATGTAAAACAAAGTGTTTATGTAATTATTTATAATTATTATTTTAATCTCCAAACAATTTCTTTCCCAAGTCCATCATTCTGTGACTTCGACACATTTTAAGTGCTCCTCCCTTTTTAAGTACTGGTATAACTGCCTCATTGGAGTCCACTAATCTACATAAAAAGTCTTCAAAAGCAGATTTTACATTAGGAGGTAGAGTACCAACTTTGACTTTGGCTAGCATCTCAGCAATGCCTTCTGCCCATCCACTCTCAATAGCAAACTCCGATATCCATGGGACTATGGTTAAAACACCACTCATAGTTTGCATACCTAAGAACCAAAGGTCAGCTATTTCATTCCAATGTTCTTTATATGTCATTGAAACAACAAGTGCTGTAGGATCATTCGATTCATCCACATTGTATGCATCCCACAGGAATCTTATTGTAGATTGAATATATCTGCATATTGAGAAATCGTTTTTCTTTACCTTACTTGCTTGTTGTTTCAGTAATAGCAAACCTAAAACAGCCAAATGTCCATGAAGCACAAGATTATCTGGGATGTTCTTCAACTCTGGTAAATTATTGAATATGAATTTCAATAAAGTATTGAATAATATACTGTTTTCAACAACTTTTGGAGCTAATACTGTCAGGTTCATAAATATGTTACAAAGGCTGACCATGGCAGCTCTAGAGTCTTTCATATCTTCTAATAATTTTGGATCCAGTTCTGGTTCAGGCTGTGTTTTGACTTTACCCCTCTCCGATTTTGGAATTGGAGGCTTTTTGTAATGTACAATTGACCAATGGAAATTCATTGATTCATATAGAATATCTTCTTCTTTCAAGTTCAGTACAATATCTCTGGCTTTGTCTTCAACAACCAAATGGCATAGAGCCGGTAACATCAAGCGTAGTAAATCTACTTGGCCCATGAGACTGGTGTCAACATCCATGCCCTCACCATCAGATTTATTTTTTTCTGATAACTTTCTGGCTCGATAGGCATGAAAGGAATCATTAGCAAGTGAGAATATGAATGGAAGCAATGCATATATTTGCTCTCTCATTGCTGTTGTTTCTTGAGCAATCCATGACACTAAAACTCTGATCATTGCACAAACAAATACTTTCTCAGAATCAGGTAACTTATCTCTATTCTTATCATTACATATCTTAGTTAAAATAGAGACAACAGCATTGAAAGCTCCTTTAAGGCTAGTGTATACTGACTGTTTCTCTTTTTGTTCTAAATCTAACTGGTCAGTTGCCATATAATTCACAGATAACTCTAATATTGTAAAGCAGGAGGTCACTAAATCTGCATTAGCAAATGCTTGTTTAAAACTTCTGTCTTCAAGCTGCATTCTTATTTCTATGGCACTCAACTGAAGAAGTAGCAGGAAAAATTTCTTTGGATTTTCTTCATCATTCAATGTCCATTCAATTCCAAGGAGGTCAACAATGTTAGCAGCTAATTTCAATGCTGGATCTCTTTGGTTTTTCCCAATTTTACTAGTGAGAATATCATGGAGAGCTTTGTAGATACTTTGTGGCCAGGTTTCCTCTGAAGACCCAGGTATCACTGTAGACTTATTACAACTATATAAAAGTGCACTTAGGATAGTAGCTAACTCAAATTTTCTCTCTGATTGATCTGTAGCAAAGTCTAATGCTATTTTGTTGACCAATGCATGAAAAGGTGTGGGATCATTTCCCCAAGCTGCAGGCCCATATCGGCTCACCAATTTTACAAGAATATTTAAAGCTTCATCTGTTTGGAAGCTTTGGTGCGAATAAATCTCTGACATTTTCTTGATTGCACCAACTTCAATCAGTGCTTTCTGACCAGCTTCATGTTCTGCTATGCATTGGAGGCATGTGTATGCTTCACTGATAATGATCAGATTATCATCATAGTCATCATTGTCTGAAGTTTGTACAATATCAAGGAACACCGGTATGTTGGCGAGCATCTCTGGGTGTGCAGACAGCTCGGGATCGTTGCAGAAACATGTCAGTATGGAGAGTGCAACTGACTTGTACACAGATGGAGGGCAGTCGTCTTCTACATTGTTGCTTGTCAGCAGTTTTTTCAAGAACTTGAATCCAATAGCTTCGAATAAAGCTTTTTTAGCTTGGGAGTTACAATCCTTGCTCTTCACTAGTTTTGTAACCATGAAGAGCGCGGCAAATTTTTCTGTATCGCTCTTGGCAGATTTTAGGATTAGTATGCATTTCTTTATTGGCTCCGATATATCACCCATTATCACAACACTACACGATCAGCGATCACAAAGCGCAATAGTTCGCGCTCCAATGAAAGCAAGAAGACGCAGATGAATCGCACGACGGCAGCCCGATCTACATCACGTTTATAATTAGCGCGAGTTCTGTTCCAAAATATCTAAATCTGGACGTCGAGCTCGCGTTCTCCAACTATGAAAACACTATTTATAACCACACACTGGAACATTCAACACGCGGAGTGCAATAGGTAAAGCAAAACAGACCAACTTCAGCGACGTAAAATCGTTGGCTGACAGCGCGCGCACTTCGTTTCGTTCCTACATCCATGACCGTGACAATGTCATTTAAAAAATATTTTATAAATAATATGTACCTTGTTGCAAGCCTTTGTATCACCTTTTCTTGTTTGTATTAATGTGTTGTCTAAATCGAAAAATATAGCAGATACATTATTATTTTCGCTATAGACACTAGCCATATTTTTTTGAGCACACAGAATATCAAGTTTGTTAATGGCGAAATACACTAGCTATACTGGTGTTACTGGTTGTTATATAGGATCCGGAATAGAGATAGTTGGTCGTCATTCGTCACAAGTTTACACGAAGCGAAAACGAAACATTTTCACGAATAAGGACGATCGACAAAATAATGACGACATTTTTACAGTGTTGCCCACATATTATAAGCAAGTCCACCAGTTCTGTTGTTGAAACTCCTAAAACTGACAGAAAACCTCCAAAATTTATTTATTTATCGTAAATATTATTTATTCTTTTTATCTGTACGTACGCTGTCTCTGGTTGCCCCTCTGAAGCATTCAGGGTTATTAAATAATAAGAAGGATTGTTTAATTAAAACGCTTAATGTAATTCTAAATTTTGATCATTTGCAATATCAATATTTTTAATATATATATATATATTATATCACACTGCAACAAAACTTTACGCTTACATTACAGAAACAAAAAACCTACAATAAACAATTAAAGCGATTTTAATCCATTATATTCTCTCAGTCACTCACACAAACAGTGAGTTGTAGATGTGACATACGAAATTACTGGAAAGGAGTCGAAAAATGTAGGTAGTTTATGACTATTTACTTTTCTTCACCACTATAAGTTTATGACGCTGTACGAACGATTCTCTCTTGACAAAGATAAAACTTACAATATTGCTATTTAAGTGGCTATGGCTTATCTGGAATAGTTGATAGAAAATATTAAATCCATAAATTAAAATTTGATACAATTGAGAATTGTTAGTAATGATTCTCTGGTTATCAGCATTGAATGAAATAGAACAACACTAAATTAATATTAAACTTTTCATCCATTGGATTCTTATTACATTGCAAAAAAATATGTTAAAAATAGTTTACAAAAATATAATATTCTTTTCCTTAATGTACGTTGACTTTTCCTAGTTATTGTAAATTGTCCATTGAAATTTTTAATAATTCCAATACAAAAACTATTTATTATTTCATTGTTTTCGAATAACACTACATAACCAGAAATACCCATAATCAAATTTTGCTATCAAAATAAAATCCATTAGGACTTTATTAGGAGGATTACCTCCATTCCATTTTTAGTAGTAAAACTATTAAACTGGCAACACTGTAATTACAAATTTATTGTGAATTCGCAATATTAGAATAGTCTACAAATTATAATAAATATGTTGTACTATGGAGCATATTTTTTTACGTATTTATCATTTAAGCCGTATTGATTATAATTTTATTTTTGCTATTGTGTTTATTTCATAAATGTTTGTGAAAATTACATTGTTTTAGTAGGATATGTACTTACGCCATCTATTGAAATAATTTGGTAAGACCAAGATTGATCTCTACCTTTAAAGAATTTATATTATTTATTGAGTTAGTACTTATAATAATAATAGTGTGATACTGTATACAGGAAAATATAATTTGGCCTGGTTCTGGAATGGATGGTCAGCAGTCTTAAATAATTTCATTACAAAATGATAGATGGCGCCATTAAGTAAAAATTCAATAATCCAACTGGTTGCACGAAGATTTAAAATGGGGTATCGAACTGCAGACCTAGGTACATAGTTCAGGATAGACATTGTAAAAGACATATAAAATATCTATTTTGCTATAGTATGTACAAAAAAGATAATGATGGATATAGCCTACATTGTATAATGTACTTTGTAGGATTTGATATGACATAAGATCAAATAAGACAAAAAAAATTAAGTTCCGAGTCGACGGACACACTATGCGAAATCGCATCCGATTTTGCTAGTTCCGATATTGCCCCGATTTTAGTGTTGTTTTACTATTATCATATGTAATATTTACTTATCTTTGCTATGATGAAGTTAAATAGGTACAGTACATAAACATATATCTAGTTTAAATCACTACTAAATTTAGAGAAGGTTTTTTTTCTTTGTGTTCAATTATTTATTCGAATCTGACTTGTTCCGAATAGGTAAACCATTTTTTTTCAGCTTATGTCAGTGTGTTCGGTAGGTATCCTTGAAGATGACACATCGTTTTTGGTTTTTGTCCGAGCGGTACGTATTATGGTTTGTTACATACGGTAAGTTGCGATAAACCTTCGAGCAACATATGAAAGTAATATGAGGAGGCCGGGATGAGTTACGATCAAGGGACACGTCATTCCTTGAACAGAGAAATTCTTTTATCAACATTGTTTCGTTGGGATAATATGCCATGGGTATGAGGGTTCATTTTTTATTTACGACTTTAACATTATCTGAACTTAACTTCGGTATCCTTCTTTGCTCATCCAATTGCTATTATCACAGATTATTACAAAAAACAATTACATTATAAGTTATAAATTTATGCAGCAATTTAAAAAATAATAACAGTGTAATTCAATATCAATAAAATTATATATATTTACCTACTATATTATATATTAAGGAATTATAGTGTGCAATTTACGTAAAATAATACAAAATATCTATACCAATAAAATGATATCTATATAGATACTAATGTTATGATTGACGATGTGTCTCTGTCTGTCCTCCGGTTTTTTATATTTTTAAGATTGAACGGATCTGTAGCCTGTTATAGTATAAAAACTGCGAAACATAAAAAAATAACATATGTGTAATAAAGTATGTACATGTATATGTGACAACATCCGTTTGTGATAAGTTTAAATTCCAAAATACCTACATATGGGGATTAAATTAAAAAATAATGGATTAAATCCACCAATCCTGACAATATTATAATAGAATCTACAATCGTGTAGTAGGTATTTATATATTGCAAAATATAGATGACATCTTATCTTTTCAGACACAATATTGTACATAATTACCTAAGAACCATAGTAGTTGAAGAAGTTTAGATTATTTTTTAATTGTTAATGCAATAAGATTATGTTCACCTGGTAGAAAACGGTTATCGTCGTTCTTTATCTATGAGAAAACACAATGAACTTTAATAAAAGAATAACAGATTCCAAATTCAAATGTTGTATTTTGATTATTTTTAATTGTAACATTATTTATGGCCAGACTATGTACCCTTTTGGTATATTTACTTTACTCTTTGCTATGTATCTACTTACATAAGATGCACCCCGGGTATACCACCACATTATCACACTCGTGGTATATGTTGCCATTTCCGAGGATTAATAAGCTCCTTACTCTGTAATTTAAAATTTCATTATATTTATTTTTAATAGCGCATTATGTAGAAAAAGATATCAAAACTCAGAATCAGTTGGTTGTAGGTACTTGAATACTCGATTTATTGTCAATTATATTGGTCTCTAATATCGACTTAGTAAATAGATGTAAACAGGACATATTGTCTGCTACAGTTTAGATGTATATCCGAAAAAGGGACTAGCAGAGAAGATTGTCTAAGAAATTTATACGTGGCACTCGTTCAAGGGTTATTAGATTTCCTGTCACACGCAAGACCCGACGGCCGCAAACCCTATTTGCCAAACATTGCCAGCCAATGCCAATTTGTTGCGTAAACATTTTGTGCGGTCATTATAGTTTCTTGTTATACCTTATTTGTAAGTTTATAGTAACAAAATATAATTTTATATTAGATTTATGTAGCCTACTTATTCGCAAGAGAAAAATGATAGTTGTTGTAAAATGTAAATGGACAAGTTATATGTTGAGTATCGTGCATGTAGTAAGCAAGGATTAGTTTATTATATGGTAACATTGATTGTTTGATTTATGCCTGTAAATAATGTAGTCTTTCTATTTCTTAGTGAAAAGAAATGGTTAAAAGTGTGCTCGTTCAAAACGGCAAAAGAAAATAAAACAAGTATTAATAAGTGTAATCACATTTAATTTGAATAAGTCTAGCAATTGTAATAAAATATGCTTTTTTATATGGCTAACCCTCGCCTATATATATATGAACAGCACGACGAACATCACATTACAATGTGATGTTCGTCGTGCTGTTCATATATGTGCTGTTCTAGAGAGATAAGGTGTTATGTTTTAGTATCTACCATGTAATTTCACGTTATATCTCACTCTGCAACTGAATCACAGATTACAAAGCATGCAGCTTGGTAGTGATAAGTGATAATTATAATAGTACACTACATCTACGAACAATGAATTTATTATTATCCGTATGTTGTTAGATTACCATAATACATAATGAAAGCAATTGAATCTACATTCTTATACTAATGTGTATCATGATAACCAATCCTTGCTCATAAGTTACTTGTATGACAGATGACACATAATAATAATAATATCCCTGGATTTCACACAGTCTCAAGTACTACCAACTTAGCAGATCTTGTGTTATGGTTACTACTGATGTAAATAAATGTATAGATATTTCTTTTTCTAAATATATAGGTACATAGAAAACATACAGACCGATACAAAAAACAATACTCATGAATACAATTGACACACATTGACTAAAAATACTTTGCATTTGTCACATTTTGACAAAAGACATATAGCTACTTGGTTAGCTTATAATATACACAATCCTGTTATAAGTAGTATAACGGGTACTTATCCTGACTGCACAGTTTTTAGTAGTTTTACTAATGTTTCTGTGCAAGAATCTTTAAACTTAAGTTACAGACAAAGAGAAATCCACAACTAAATTTATTACATCAAAATATTCAAGGCTTTCTTGGCAAATAATTAGAGATAGAATTATTTATAAGTAAATTTAATATTGACATGGTATGCCTCACAGAACATTGGTTAAAACAGTCCAACATGTTATTTCAGTTACCAAATTATGAAATATTGAGTACATTTACACGGCAAATTTCAATTAGAATAATTGAACCCCCAATTATTTGATTAAAAAATAACATTAAAGGGAAAGAACGTAAAGATATTGTAGCACTTTCAAATGAATGCATTATAGAATTATCATGTGCAGAAACACATAATTATATGTGTGTACAGGCCTCCTAACTCAGACTATGAAAAATTTGAGTCCACCATGGAAGATGTACTAAAGTTAGCATTCAAAAGTAATAAATTTATTTTGGTATGTGGGGATTTCAATATTGATGTTCTTGTTGATAATCCTATGAGTAATAAAATTAGAAACCTTTTTAAAAGTTTTGATCTTGATCATATTTTCTTTGAACGTACTAGGATTACATCCACTACGGCAACATGTACTCCGTAAACGAG